GATGTATTCTGGCTGGGGGAAGAAGTCATCGAAAGTCTTTGCAGGGCGCTTGACAGACCGGGCACGGATGAGGGCGGGATCTCTGCGTTCTATGTAGGGAGTAAGTAAGGAATTAGACGTCATGCCAGAGGTTAAGAGCTCGCCTGTTATGGTCACACTACGGCGGGGAGTGGCAGGTGCAGACACGGGTTTCAGAACACCGTATTTCTCTCCTGAAGGATTCTGGTAAAGTTGGCCGGAGCGGTCACGGAAAATGTATTGCTGGGTATCAGCATCATATGCAATCCGCTTTATACCCTCCGGAAGACGGTGTGAATCCTGGAAGTCATGATGATTAGTTAACTGACTATAGGTTTATGATAATAAACTGGACTGCCGGTCCATTACCGACCTCGTCAAAATAAGCCATAAGATGGTGGAAGTTGAGAATCAAGAGATGAGTGCCTTATGTTGTGGTAGAGACTCCTATGTATAGTATGCACCACAGTCGGCACGTGCCGACGACTGCGATGTACACTGCAATGGTATCACTACATTTCAGACTTGGAGACCAAGGGAAAATGTAAAACGATAACAGTTCTGAAAGACGGTCAAGTTTGCCCGACAATGGGATCAAATCAGAATGTCTGTAGAGCTCCGAGTCTGTGTACTTGGGAACATGAGCTAGGGGACATCCACGCGGTTGCTGGGTAAAAATATCCACAGAATAACTGAGTAGAACTAGAACTTTGATGCAGTACCTCGTCTCCTATGCCAAGGGCATGCATCATTGACTGTCGCTATGCACACATATATACCAGGAACTGATACATGCTTGCAGCCTGTCACATTGCACGTCCTTGATTTAATAATGTCTGGACTTTTTTAGTCTTTGGTGTAGTATGAAGGAAGATGGCCTAGAGGATTGGTATAAAACTATATGTACTTGATTAGGTTTGCTTCGTTACTAGCACTGATCAGTGGGCTTACCTGGCTTTTCATTGTGAACCGGGGCTGACAGAACCTTGTGAGTTACTGCTTCAGTAGTAGAGTGCTCAGTGTTTCCTCCTAGCCAGTGCGGTAGAAGAATAAAGGAAGTGTTCATTGTAGACCGACTATACTATGTCAACGGCGCTCACCTGCAAAAGTGAAAGCACAGCATTCCTTCCTTTGTAGTTACTAGGGTTAGGGTTCTGAATGAAGACGACAGCTTTCTAGCAGAACGCGTCACTGCTCGTCGCGCAACCAACCAAGACTCATATCTCTTTCCTTTAATAACATTCGCCCAAGATGCCGCTCGAGGCAACGATGATGATAATTGACAACTCAGAATACATGCGCAATGGAGACTATATCCCATCCCGCTTCGAAGCCCAGTCTGATGCTGTCAAGACCATCTTCCAAACCAAGATTGATTCAAATCCAGAGAACACTGTTGGCGTCATGACAATGGCTAATAAAGGGTACGACTCAGTTACATGTGCAAACTTTGATTGCTGATGTCTCTTACAGGCCTGAAGTTCTCGTGACCCATTCGAAAGACATTGGACAGATAATCAAGGCCTTGCATGTAACATCATCCAAAATTGGCGGGTCAATAGACATCCCTACTGCTATTAACATTGCTCAGCTTGCCCTCAAACATCGAGAGAACAAGAATCTGCGCCAGAGGATAATAGTCTTTGTCGGATCTCCGTTACAAGGTCAGGGAGCGGACGAACGAGAAATGGTGAAGCTCGCAAAGAGATTGAAGAAGAATAATGTTGCTGTTGACTTTATTGCATTTGGTGACGGCGTCGAGGAGGAAACCAGCGTCCTCAAAGCTTTTGTAGACAACACAACGAATAGCGATAACTCGTGGGTGTCACCTTGTTAGAATGTGCGCGTAGACTGATGCGGTTGGTCTTTTAGACATTTGGTGTCTGTACCACCTGGTACACATCTACTGTCAGATGTGATCATTTCTTCCTCAATTCTGTCGGAAGACCGGGGCATACCACCAGAGGCGATGGGAGACGTTGGCGGTGCATCGGGTTCTGGTGGTGCCAACTTTGAATTCGGTGTTGATCCTAGTTTGGACCCCGAACTTGCACTAGTGCGTTTCTTTTCTGACGTCGAATACGAAGTCTTGTTGATATTTTTACATAGGCCCTTCGCATGTCCATGGAAGAAGAACAAGCTCGGCAAGCAGCAGAGGAGCAAACACGTCAATCTGCTACCGATGCCAAGCCTCAGACGGAATCAGCAGGTGTAGACAGGGATGAAGAGGCTATGCTCGCTCAAGCTCTCGCCATGTCCGAACGCAATGATGTTGACATGGGTGAGGAGCAAGACGAAGACATGGATGAAGAAGAGGCAATTGCGCGGGCGATTCAGATGAGTATGAAACAAGAAGAAAAAGAACAAGGAGGACAGTAGTACTAAGCTTACATATTCTCACTTGTATTTTTCCCTGAGTTACACTCTGATTTCTCGAACGGCTGTTAATTTCATGTTGGCGCTCAGCGCTGAGCGCTCTGAGCAAAATACTCATAACAACTGGCACAGCCACTTCGACCTCATTCCCGGCCCAAAGTCCGTTCGTTTCCTCAAGTTCTTCCCTGACGTCTTCTTGAAATCATCTATGCCATCATCACTCACTGCATCTCAGGAGGAGCTCAAGGCGGCCAAAGTGCCTTTGGCTTGGAGAGACCAGTGTTCAGCGTACGTTCTTACTTTACCCTTCCGGTTGCGAGCGTCTGGCCCACAACACTATTGTCCGTGATATTTCAGACTCTTGATACCTTTGAATACCTGCCGGAGGGAGAACTATTATTTACCCTGGACTTGCGAGAATGAGCGCCACGGCTATGAGAAGTAAGTTAAATATCTACTTTTCTATCTGTTGAGGGTCTGACTGATGCACACAACATGCCAATATGATGAGTAGGCATCCCAACCACATACCTACACATATGACATTCATTTTTTTTCTGCAGCATGATGCGGAGGATGAAGAAAATGTCAAAACTGGAACTCCAGCAAGCAGAGTAGACAGCCGAAGTTGTCATATAGAAGACTTTCTTAAGAACGCTCCGTGTCAATCGCTTTCGAGACATCAAACAATGCAATAAGATAGATGAATGGTGTGATATGCTGAAGGCAAGATGCTGATGTATTGAAGTTTTACACTTTCCTCCTTTGTTTCCTTCTCAAACTCTGAAATTTCCTTTTTGACCCGCTCAACGACTTCATCTGGCGTACTGCTCTGACCAAACGCTTCTACAAACTGCCCATTTGGATCCATGAGGTAGACGTATATGGAATGGTCGACGAGGTAGTCACCCTTAGGATCTGCATTAGGCGGGGTGGAGAAGTAGACGCGGTAGGCTTTGCATGTGGTTTTCACGGTTGCATAGTCACCGGTAAGACCGATGATACGAGGGTGAAAGTCTGCAAGATATGTCTTCATTTGAGGGACAGAGTCGCGTGCAGGGTCAACAGAGATGAATACGGGCTGGAAGATTGTGCCATAATCCTTCTCTGAATTGATGAGGTGAATGCGTGCCATGGATAAAGTGATTTATGGACACGAACCTAGGGGAGTTAAAACAGAGCCAATCTTGTCTAATTCGGCAGGACATATGTCGGGACAATTGGTGAAACCAAAGTAAACGAAGTTCCATTTCCCCAAGAGGTCTTTATCAGAAAAAAGGCTTGTCTTCGTGAGTCGTTAACGTGAATGGACCACCGACATGCGCTCGTCCGACGCTTCGAGATTCGAGCTCCTTTTCTGTATAAATATTTGCTCTTGAACGCTTTAGGTGGAATGCGGAAAGGCACGTACGTCGTTGTTCGAGCAGCTTTTGCTTCTCATGCCGGAAGTAGTAAAATAAACCAACGCCTGTTGCAACGAACAGAGCTGCAGCCTTTGGCGTAAAGACCTGGGATCAGATGCAAGAATGTGAACAGAGAATAACAGGCGAGCTGAGGAATCATACCCCGACAACAGCTCTATCCTGTGCCCCCGACGTAAAACAACGTCTGCCAGGTGCTGTTGCTTTGTTATGGCGCATGCATATATATTGACGTGGCATTGAATGCTGCGACTTGGCAAACAGGGCCGCAATGACCTGAAATATGTGGATGAGAGTTTTGACATTTCAGGTCGAAGTTCCAAAAGCAGTCAAGCTTGACGGTCGCATACAAATTCTTAACATTTCAACATCGCTTCAATTTACCGGGATCAATGACCTTGGCGAACATGACTTTCAGATTTTTCTAAATGTTCTCAGCATGCCATCAACGTTAACGTGCTTAGGCTGAAGCCCCCAGCCCATTATTTTGAAGCTTCGACTTATTACATATGATGAATCAAGTCAAGCTTGTGGGTCCAAGACTCCAACTACTGTTAAGAGTTGACGGACGTCTGTTATGTGGTTCTCTACTCTAGTATATGTTACATTGGCCACTGTCGCAACGCTGCAACCGATCACTTCCCACAACATCGAGGAAAGCGCACGTTCCTCCGAGTCCAACAAAAACATCATTGAGGAAGGTAGGGTCGCACTTTTATCTTACGACGAACATCAAATTGATTTTAGTAAAAGGATGGGGAGCGGTGAAATGAGTACGGACTACTCACTTTTCAATCTCTTCCTAAATCAACAGCACTATTTGATAATCCCTCAAAAATGATACACGGTCAATTTGATCACCTACTCATTCCTTAAGGCGCTGTTTACAACATAACAGAAGGATTCGATTCTTTGTTTGCTTCAGCACACACGTGGCATGAATCGCATTTTCCAGACACGGGAGAGTCGTTCTGGGACAAAATCATAGAGCTCGGTCCAAATATCAAGGAATATACCGACGAGCTCTTTTATCACGTCGTAGAGCTGTATCCATCCGAGAAGCTTGCAGAGTTCAGGCAATCTATGGTCAACGTCACTGCCGCTGCTACTGCATTGCACAAAGTCTGCAGTGGAGCCGCAGAGGACAGTGGTATTTCTCTCTACTCTGTGATGTACTCTGTGATGGAAGAACATGGGGATATCTTCATTGTCCTATTCGAAGAGCTCATGGAGATGTTCCCGCCACCTTCCGAGGCTCCTGTCATGACAACTGTACAATCATGATCGGCATGGCTCTTGACCGCATCGAGCAAAGTTTTCTACAGATCGCCACCAAGGTTGGAATCAACGAAGAACTATTGAAAAGTTACTCTGGTTCTCTCAAGTTCGTCGTTCAACATGTTGTCGTAACCATAGGCACGTCACGAGCATCTGCCGTTCCGGAACATTGACGACATAATACTAAATGTTACAGGAGACCTTGTTGAACAGCATCCGGACATTGCCAATACCCTCTTGCTCATCGCGATTGCAGAGTTTGCCCCTCTATTGTTACCTGAGATCAAACTTCTCCGCTTGTTTGGATTTGGACCACGAGGACCAATCAAAGGTACGTTCTTGTATATTGCTGCGATGGTGGGCAGCACCGTGACATCGCTGATATTTTAGGTGAAATTGCTGCGTGGTTCCAACGTTGGATGTTTGGTGGCACCATCCCAAACGGTAGCTGGTTTTCGGTACGAAACTTTAAGTGGCGTTGAAGTTCCAGCAGTCGTCTGTTTCATGACATTGACGTCTGTTTTACGTTTGTACTTCGGGGATATTTTTTATACTTCAAGTGTATTCCAGAATTCACCTTGTAAATGTGCTTGAGCATTACATCTTCATGAAATCGAGCCTAGTGCCGAGCGCTCGGATCCAACCCAGTCAAGCAGCCTTCTAGGTCTGTTGGGAGCCAATATTAGCGTGGGCGTGTGAATGTTATGGGTCCTGGTAGGTCCTGTACTATTAAGTTTTGAGTAGTGCTTAGTACTGCGATGCGGTTCACTACTCTAGCATTTATTGCATTGGCACTGCGGCCTGTCGCTTCCAGCGACGTTGACGAAAGTACTTGTTCCTACAGCAATGAAAATTTAGTAGAGGCGGCCACTGAAGGAGGTATGTCGCACTCTTGTTCTTTATGAGAACAGACTTTTTATTTCGTCTCGGGAAAGGATGGGGACTAGTGAAGTGTGAGTAGCATCTGTAGCTACCCTTCTTCAATAATTTAATCATAAATCATTAACAGCGACATTTTTCGACAAGTCGTCACAAGTTGCAGAAACGTTACGCGGTCACTTTGATCACCTCAGTCATGAAGGCGCCGAGAGCCTCACAGGAAAACTTGAATCTTTGTCTGCTTCAGCATACACGCTGTACGATGGATTGCACTTTCCAAGTGCGGGAGAGTCCTGGGAGAAAGTCATGGGGCTCGGATCAAAGATCCAAGGGAATGTAGATGAACTCTTCGAAAATGCCAAGAAACTCTATCCTGCGAAGATGTCGGAGTTCAAGAAGTCTGTGAATAGTGTTGCCAGCACAGCTACATCACTGCACCAAGTCGTTAAAGGAGCTGCCGCACAACGTGATGTTCCTTTCGATTCAGTGTTAGAAGAACTTCGAAATACCTTGCATGTCGTATTTGAAGAGCTCAAAGAGCAATTCCCACCACCTGAGGAGGCTCCCGGTCACGAGAATCGTACCCTCATGATCAACACAGTTCTTGATCGTGTTGAAGAGAGTTTCCTACGGGTTGCCATCAAATACGGAGCCAGTGAGGAAGTCCTGAAAAACCATACTGGTTCTCTCATGTCTGGTATTCGACATATTTTGGGGATCATCGGTACGTCACAGGCATTGGACCGTTCTGGAACATTATTGATGATTTAATATGAAATGATGCAGGAGACCTTTACGAACAGCACCCTCAGCTGGCATGGACCCTCTTGTGCATTGCTATTGGCTCGTTGTTGGCACCATGGTTTCTTCTTGGCACAGTCCGCATAATTGGGTTTGGGGCATTGGGACCAATTAAGGGTACGTGTTTATGTGGTTGCGGCACTGAGCAGCCCGTTGATGTAATTATTTTAGGATCTATTGCTGCATGGTTACAAGCATGGTTATTTGCCGGGGCTGTTCCAGCGGGTAGCTTGTTTGCGATGCTTCAGCGTCTAGGCATGATACTTTGAGTAATTTCAATGCCAGTCGTATAGGCGTTTTATCCCTGATATAAAAAACCTCCAAATCTATCTTGTTTGTAATTTAATGCTGATACCTCATGATCAAGTGCATCCCAAATTTTACTGTGTAAACATGCTTACTCGTGAGCGTTGTGCCATTTTCATCTCACTGAGTCCAGCGCCGAGTGTTGCCGGCTAAGTTGTGGTAGTAATTCGTCAGAATGCAGGAAGAAGTGATAGTACAAGGTTAGCGCACATAAAATGCATTTCACATTCCTCGCCGTTCCTGTTGCCTTGACAGCATCTATGTTGGTCAACACATTTTCGACAGCAATGTGGTCGGGCGAAAGAGCCTCTGGACCAGCAAGAGGGTCATCTGCATCACGAAACTCTGTCGCGAGTGGAGGTGCCCTCTTAACCTCTTCACCTGAGTGTGCATGTGAGCGTCTTGACAGCGAGTGGAGTTCCCAGCATCCGCAGCTTTTTATGGCACTGTCACTTGATTGTGAAGTTTGCGCTTGCGCGAATTTTACCAATTATTGCAAATGCTGAGAGATTATACCGTCGCGCAGATTGTGTTCTACCGAGATCAGAGAATGTGCGCTCTACTTTGCCTGCATATACCCTATTGACATTGCCATCCCTTTGCGTGAGATCTGCCGTGGAACTAGGCGCAACCAATTTTGCCAAAAACTCAGCAACCTCAATGCATTATTGTTGTCGGAGTGTATGAACAACTTGGATAAACTCTACCATCATCTATTCGTCTCAGAAGATCCAGAATAATTTGCCGATCCTTGCCTATTTGTTGTTTTTGGCGCGTTTTCATTTCCAACCAGCGAGGACGTACTACCCTGCAAGATAAAACGGTCTTCGCGTTGACCTATGTGTATTCTTGGCCTCACCGCACCGATTGGAAAGACGGACACATCCTACAAAATGAAAACATTGAATTGATAAACGAGACTTATGTATCCAGAGGGAAAAGGTTTGATTTAAGCCCTCGGTACAAGTGGCGGCAGAGGAACCGCGTAGTCCAAGTGACCGACGATGGGAAGGCTTGCGACCATGCCGGACTCGGTGTTTCACCCAGCACTGAAATACCTCATCCCTTTCGAAGTAGTATTCCGGCGTGTCCATCGCACTCCCGCTGAACCGAAGGCGAAGGCTTAGCTTGGACGACCATATACACGTGAACATAGAGAGGGTGACACAGGTGGAGAAGTACGCAGCCCAGAGGTCATTGGTGGAGGGGGTGTAGACTTTGATGACCATCATACCATTCTCGGGTGCCCACCGCGACTCTTTTGGGCTCCTGCAAAATGACTGGATATCGATATAGTCTTTGCGCCCGGTCAGTGTTCCAGAGATGATCTGACAGGAAGCTGCTCGGGCGCGGCGGTGTTTACCGTAGGAGTGAACGACCGCAGAGGGTTCCAGGCGTGGGTAATCAGGTACTGATTTCACAAGGACCGCGCCTGACTGTGAAGTGACTCCTGGTGCGGAGTTTTGATTTTTGCTCTCCTTGCTTGCATAAGGAAGGTCGGACTGCTAGTGTCGACTACCGTCTTCGATGAACTCTGGAAGAATACTGGAAGCCTGGTTCTCAGTGTTGTCTTCGCTCTCCTTGCTGGATTCCAGAGAATATTTGTGAGCCCCCTGGAAGGCAGGCAACTGACAAACAGGAGCAGAGAGCGCATCGGTGTACTTGGCAATATCACCGAGATGGACACTGTGACGGCGAGCGCCCTGATGAAAAAAGGATGATCGAGAAGGTGAGGCGCATGGCCAACATCCCTTGGGCAATTCCAAAAATCTCCCTCGCGGACAGAGGCACCAACAGACGTGATCTTGAAATTGTAAGTTTTGTTAACGAACGTGAGACTGTCGTCGGAAAGATCCTCGAGCGCGATCCTCGGATGGTCGGAATCGAGAATGTGGGAATGATGTTCTGGGTTCAAAAAATCTGACCCGTGAAGTGGTCCCATTTCTGGGATATGCTGGATGCCTCAGTTCCAAATTGATACGAGATGATCGCGCACGTACAGGTATTTGTGATTAATATTTTCGCGTTCTCCATACGTTTGAGCGAATTGACAGCAATACTTTTGTCGAGAATAAAACCTTTAAAGAGTACGCTCGTGAGATAAGCAGGATTGGTTGTATCCTCTCAGCCTACCTTCATCGAGGTATGAGTCTGTGAGTTTGCCTCCAACTTTCTTGATGATTTGGATGTGCTCCAAATCCGTTGAACCCTCGAAGATGGTCAATACGAGCATCAATACAGTAAGTAAAACGTACCTTCAATCGAAGCACAGCATCCACTGCTAAGTTGGCAAAGTAGTCTTTGTCTTGTGATAAGACTTTTGATGACAGGGTGGTACCAGCAATGTTAAAAAGATCCTGACGAAACTTGGCAGCATCAGAGCTATTTGAGAGCACAAACGAAAGTCAAGTCAGTAAGAAATGTCAAAACGACGCGAAAAACGCGAATATTCACGCGTGATCGACTGCTGCCCTCTCGAGTGCGGCAAGCCAGCGATGCTCGCGACCCGGTATCCTTCCACAATCGTCTGAGGATGTATCTTCATAGAAATCAACCTCTCTGCTTCCCTCAGCAGCTCTACTGCCAGCACACACACGCTCGTAGTTCCATCTCCGACTTCGTCATCTTGGACTTTCGAGATATTAACGAGGATCTTGGCTGCTGCATTATCGAGCTGGATGGACTTGAGAATCGTTGCATCATCATTAGTCACATTGATGTCTCCAGAGGATGCTGATTTCAGAATCTTATTCATGCCCTTTGGCCCAAGCGTTGATTTCACAAGATCGCCAAGGGCGAGGACGCCGACGAAAGAGGATAAACGAGCTTTTTCAGCTTTTTCCTCAGTTGCCTGGATAAAAACTAGTGACGTCGAGCACGATAAGTCATCAATCCCCGGGACTTACCTCGTTACCGAATATGTGCATGGACATGACTGTAGTTTTGGAGTTGCGAAACATGGTTTAAGGACAATTGAATTCGACATCGCGTTTGATTATGTAATACACTGATCTGTGTTAGCTTGGATCGCAAGCAGGTTCTCTCCGCTCACACAGGATGCCTAATACAACACATGAACCGCAGACATTCTCTGCTGAATCGTACTTCGAAACACAACCACAACCTTCTTCACTCGTCGCCGACATAGAGGGTGTCCACGAATTTATCCAACGGCAACGACAGGCTAACCGATCCGTCGTGCTTGTAACGGTGAGAGTCATTATCACAGGTGCTCGCGTCATGCACCCTGAACTCGAACCAGAGCGGAGGGACCACCGTACCGCTAGAGCTCAATGTGTAAGAATGAGCAACCACTCCCAGCCGCACAGGTCACTGACCTCATGTTCAATCAATGTGTAGCGTCCGCTTCCTCGATAATTTCAGCGCCGGTACGTGCTGATTTTCTTTTCATTGTATTTTGCTAACCATCATGCAGGTACCCGAGGTGCAACTTCTGCCGAATACTTCCTCAAAGCTGGTTATGCCGTCATATTCATGCATCGCCAGTTCAGCTTGCAACCCTTTAGTCGACATTATTCCCACTCGACCAATCCATTCCTCAACTTTCTCGAGATTGACGCTGCATTGCCGTCGTCTTCAACTATTGACTCGGCATTCCCGTACTCAAATGATCCTCCACCTTCGACACCGACACCGCAAATCACTGTAACCACTGATGAACGCGCCAAATTATTTTCTGTGCTCCGTGCATACAAAGCAGTGCATGCACAAGGAACCCTACACATGGTTTCCTTCGTTAGTGTGAACGAATATCTTTGGCTACTGCGGGCAATTAGTAGAGAGATGAGCGTTCTAGGAAGAAAGGCGATGTATTATCTTGCTGCCGCTGTCAGTGATTTCTTCTTGCCGCAGCAAAGATTGGTAAGTGATCACACGTTGTCTCGGAAAACGATGCTCACAGTACCCACGATCAGTCGGAACATAAGATACAATCTGGAAAGGGCAATCTGTCCATAGAAATGGATCAAGTGCCGAAGATCTTGAAGCCGCTTGTTTCAGAATGGAACCCAGAAGGTTTCATTGTCTCCTTCAAGGTACGCTCGCTTCACTTTTCTACGCTGCTATCTGACTAAACATATTTTCCCAGCTCGAAACTGACGAGACGATTCTGATACCGAAAGCCCAACAGGCGCTTGAGCGTTATGGGCACCAGGTGGTGATCGGAAACGATCTCCACCACCGCAAGTATCGCGTTGTGTTAATATCTCCAATGGCGCAGGCAGACGCTAAAAAGAAACTGGACGCAGACGTCGTATCTCAACCGAAATATGCGGAATTTTGGATAGAAATTGATTCTCACCAACCGTCCAACCACCCCAAGGAAATAGAGGAAGACATCGTTGCAGAATTACTTAAACGGCACAATGCATGGATCGAGGGTTCATGAGTGGGTGGGGGATGTTCTGACCCATGGCGGTGCATTGTATGTAATGATGTACACTAGAATTATGGGGCTTTGATATCTTGTCGAGGCATGTGCAAAAATCAAGGATTACCTTTATGTAATTTAGCACGACTCGATCTGACTGCTGTGTAGTGTACTGTAAGCATGCCAACAGCTTACGACGTTGATAGACTCGAGTCATCATTCTCTCATAATTTACAGACATGCAAATCAATGAAATCAGCACTATATAGCAAGGCTCGTACGACTAGTTGCTAATATGTTATCTCGGGAGTCTTGACAGATAAAACCAGGAGATCTTCCTAGGCAAGCGTCCTCTTTGGCCCTTCTGATGGAGCAAAAGGCGACCGAGGCTAGACTTCAAAAGAGAGGTCGGGTAGCTCGATGGTAAGTAAGTAATCTTGATTAGAAGGTTGGATATCGGCCGCATCATATGAAGTCGTACGTCTACATTCAACCAACTAATCGTCCAACCGCATTAAGTGCCTCAGGCACGAATTTTGGGCAAAATCTGTGCCGTCGTTAGTTCTCACCAGAAAAAATCATGGGGTATTACCGCACCGAAGTTGTCGTTTGGATCACACGAACAATGTCCTTCCCGCCACTGTTTGCCCTGCGGACAGTGAGCGAATTCAGCGTGTTTATAACCTGCGAAGGGATCAGTTATGAATACGAAATAACATGACCATAGCTTACCTATATCCTTGAAGAAATGTATTTGATCCTTGCGCGTAAATAAGGCCGCAGCGATGCTATGAACAGGTGCGTCTCCCCATCTCTGTGTATGGCGATCAGCTAACACGAAAAGAAAGACTTGCATTGAACTTACCTCGTAGTAGAACCCTCCTGTGTTGTCGAGGTGCTCGAAAAATTTCGTGTAGGCTTCGCTCCTCCAGAAATCCATATCTGCGATCTCGAAGTTTGACCAAACTGAGTGGGCATCATTGACCATCTTTAAACCATGAGATCGAACGACTCTTACAGTGACACATATTGTAAGAATCGCCCGCATCGTCAGACAGAAAATCCATTGAGTTGTCTAGGTGACACATATTGAGGATGTTCCGCGATGAAGTCTGCCAAATCGGTTTACTCTCAAGTTATCGTACGTTATTATTGGTGCTACCTTTCACCGTTGACCATAACGAGGGTATAGTTAGTTTCCATTCTGTCGAGAGCGCGATTCACGCTATAATTAATGTACCAGAGATGAGAATTTACCTGGCATGGATATCGTGAAGCCTGTCCTTGCATAAATTTAGCAGCTCAAGCAAATATAACGAGAATAACTCACCATAAACTTTGGTGTGATCTTTCATGAATACAAAAGGGTCATAATCCAGGTCACAGTAGTATCTAACATCAGGCCTGCAGAACGGGTCAGAACCCAATACATCTATATGGTGAACGACCAACTGACTCTACTCTCCAGTACCACTTATATGGCGTTAAGAGTTCATGGCGGAAAAAGAACTGTAGAAAGAAGTCAGCCAATAAAACATCCTTCCTAGACCCGCGACGCGGGGGGGGCGCTCACCCCTGAGTTAAACCGGCACATATTGCGGTAACTAATAACTGGGGATGAGATGGTACCTGAATGGGATGCAAGGACATACGTACGAAACACTGCCTGTGGTTTCAATGGTAAGATAGTAGCAAATAATTCCAGGCGAATAATGAACTTACTGCCATAAATTACACCATGTCGCACAAGCTTATTACGTCCCTCCTGAGCTCGTCCTTCATCTATCCAGTCCGGTTGGACCCAGTGCTCGCGGGGGATCAACCCGAAAGAAACATTTGCGTTGGTGAGCACACTGACACGCCTGACAAAGCATGAGATACCAACTGCGCTCAAGCTAGATAGTGACACGATCTACCTTTTGAAGTCGGTGGAAAAGGGCTCGTCATTCAAAAACACCCAGGGATAACTGAATTTGCGATTAAACTTCGCCTCTAGCTGTTCTACACTTGATATCACGCCACTGAGATCGGTATTCCGAGCCAATATCACCAAGGTAGTGTTGGCTTTGTGGGGAGGGGGAGAGATTTGTGGAATCATATTTCCAAGGGAGGGCGACGGTTTGTTCTTTGACGCAGACATAAAATAAGACACAATCAGCTATATGTGAAGCTGTATATGAGATAGTGAAATGCGATATGTCTTTGACATACCACAGTTGTGACTGCAATGACGATATATCTACGATGTGCCGCAGTTAAAGGGAGAGCCATATTTCGAAAGAGAGCGCCTCGATGCCAGTCAGCTAGCAAGTATCGTTATGAATTTGAGATAGCACTTGTGCATTATATCAATGGGTGAACCGGTGACTTCCCGCAGGCTAGATAATCCGGATTATCATCATGAAGATAGAAATTTGTTCGGTAAAGGGACCTGATTTGCGATTGGTCAACACTCAGTACCAGAACAGTAGACTACCGGAACCGAGCAAGACACCATGATAAACAGAATACAAACATCGGGAGAATGCAGCCGGCAGAATACATGAAAGTGAATCCCCTGTTGATTTCAATATGAAGTTGGGGAACAGGAGGGAAAAGAATATTACCTCATGAAGCAATCAACAACGCTCCGAGTTAGAACGGGGCACCAGGTCTCCTCCAGCAGCTTTACCCGCTGCACGGACATACGTTGAGCCATGCAGTATACCAGTTTTTCATCAATTTTACTGGTCAAAAAAGAAGTGAACATGTTATGTGCTGCTTGGCTTTCCTTCACGAGTCTGAAACAAACTTGGCGCACCGGTGGGTGAGAAAAGAAAAGCAGAAGGCAGCACAGCTTTGAGCAGGCGTGGCACGTGTTGGAAGTAACCCTCGTTTGAATTTGATCCCCTCCTATTTGCGTGTTTATCCTGCTTCCCTCCTTTTGCAATTGTGCTTCACCTTTTCCAATGCGTGTCTTCTGAGTTCCACATGCGATTGTCCACGCTAGGGGCTGGCATTGCCGCTATCCGGGACCTCGCTCAGCACTCAGTCTCCTTATTAATGTTTATTGCAATATGGAGGTGACACAGTTTCCTAGATTCAACATCTTGTCAGTGCATGGCTCCCTGGCACAGGACAGTCGCTTTCATATGCTCAACGCTTGCTTTTCTTCTTCATTTCGGTTGCACGTCTGCTGCTGATCCAGATCATGCCATAAACTACTTCAATAATGCACCAACTCGGTTGTTCTTTTTCGACGATACGACTGTGAGGCATTCATATCTTCCTCAGTGTTCACTTAATAATAATTCACTTGATCCTCTAGAGCGTGATATACCATGATGCCATCTTCGGGGAAATACATGTTTTCCAGGACGAAGGCAAGACCTGGAAACGCGCAGACGACATACCACCTGGCGAGGCTGCAATGTTTATTGAGCACCCATTCAACAATCGCGTGGTGCATTACTGTCCATGCTCTTATTCTCAGTATATTTCATCTGCCTCCGAGTTGAACACACTGACGTGGCTTTCGATCTGACCAAATTCTATCTAGGCATCTGTATTAACAAACTCGTACACGCATTACCGCACAGACAACCGCGGAAAGTCATGGCGCACATTCGACGTCCCTGAGCTACTGACCTATGTCCAAAAACCACTCTCGTTCCACTCAGGTCCCAAAAAATGGGAGTATACCCTCTTCCAGACTACCAAATGTGACCAAATTTCCTGGGGAAAACGCTGTCGAGACGTGGTGCATACTTATTTAAATATATATCACTTGCATCCAAATTTCTACTATGTAGACATACCACACCAAAGATGGATTTGCCTCATCACCACAACTACTCCTAGACGACGTCTCCCATTGCCAATTCGCTCACAGTAGTAAGGACTTCAAACATGACGCTCACGAAGACCTCGTCTACTGCGTCGCCTATGACTCTTCCGCGGTGACTGACTCGCACAACATTGCAAGCAGTCGTCTGTACTCCAGCACAGACTTTTTTGCCACTAAGCAGAACGAAGACCTTGGCATTGGAAAGGATGCCAAGGGTGTTGTGGCGTTTGAGATCGTGTCCAAGTTTGCTGTGGTTGTGCTCAAGGACTTGACACCCAGCAGCGAGGGTGAAATGCTATTATATGTTACTGTGAATACCAAGGAATGGGCAAGGCATATTTCCCACATACCTCCCAGGCGCGCTTGCGGCAAAACGCATACACTATCGTCGAGTCTACAGTCCATTCTCTAGCAGTGGATATTGGCTTGCACGACATAACCACTGTCGGTACCCTATTCGTCAGCAACTCTAATGGCACTTATTTCGTGGAGAGCTTAATGGACACGAACAGGAACTTGGGGGGGTACGTTGACTACGATATCATATATGGGGTTGAGGGTGTTGGTATTGCCAACATTATTGCTAATGTGCAAGACGTTGAGAGGAAGATGGCAGCCAAGCAATTACGGTTGGTCATCACATTCAATGATGGTGAGGAACTATGTCTCTTGTTCTATTTTGAACTGACCTTACATCTTCGCAGGCAGCTCATGGGATCCTCTTGTCGCTCCTAGCGGTACCTGCTCCTCTGAACCATGTTCGCTGCACTTGCACTCAGTAACAAACATGCACAACTATGGCCCTGTTTTCTCGTCCCCGGCCCCTGGCTTCGTCATGGGTGTTGGTTCCGTTGAAAAGGCGCTCGCGCTGTATGAGGAGAGCAACACCTACATGAGCACCGACGCCGGCCTGATGTGGACCATGGTCTGCGAAGGCGCATGTCAATACCAATTCAGCGATTCCGCAACTGTCATCGTCATTGTGGCGACGAACAACCTACTGACTACATCATGTACTCCACGGACATGGGTCAGACCTGGTATATCTTTCCGCCCTGCTGCTTGCTGCGTGTGCATGTATGCGATCTTACTGAAACGATACACCCTATAGGAACACGTACACTGTTGGGATTCAATCCCGTGCCAGGAGCTTGACGACGGTATCGGATTCGACGTCTCAGAAGTTCCTTCTCCTCAGCCAGGTCATGCGGCAGTCCCAACAACCTAATCAGGGCCACAACGCTGCCATTTACCTCGACTTCGCTGCCCTTGAGCGCTGGAAGTGTGGTACAAACAACAAGGAGTCATTGTATGCAAGAGCCAATACCAAATCAGAGTGCATCATAGGTGCCAAGGTCTGTTACTGAGAGTAAACCTTGTCATGAGAATGGTCTTGCTGATACACTTCGAAGTCATGGTACACGAGGCGCAAGGCTAACGCAGATTGCTACATGGGTGAGAAGTTCCATGATCCGCAAGTTCATGATGATAAGTGCCCATGCGAGGAACGTGATTATGAGTGGTACATCGTTTCTGGTCACTTTGCCCATCATAACCACTCGTACTGTCTAGCGACTACAACTACGTGCGGAGCGATGGCAAATGTGTACCTTCATTTTCAAAGCGCATACCCAGCACTCAGTGCACCCTTGGGACGCCCGGCGAAAAGTACATGGGTTCATCGGGATATCGCAAGATCCCTGGGAACAAGTGTGAAGGTGGCTCTCCCATGGACAAGCCTGTGTCTAAAGATTGTTCTGGAGGTGAGTGCTCCAGAAGCGATAAAGGGTCTGTGTCTCATCGTCATGTGCAGCTGAACCTGTTGAAGGAGCAATCGTTCACCAGATTGTATGTTTCTGTTCTGGCCATTCTTCCCACTATGGAGACTTATGATATTGTAGCATTCATTCCCTAGTGATATTGTACAGAGCAAGTATTTCAAGGACTCAAAGGTGAGTGTCCTATACATCGTACCATATCAATACTTCAGCTCCCATCTGCCTCCATAGACTGTTCTCGTCTGTTGTAGAAAGCAAATTCCTGCTGGGCTCAGCAGAAATCGTACTACCTAGACAACAAATATTTAGGTAGATCTTAGCACAACCTAGTCTGCTATACTTGCAGAGCAAGTGCGTTTGATCCTATAGGGGTAGCTGTTTGGTATTAGTTCGAATAGTTAGTTATCAGTAATAGGAAGATAATCCGAAGCTAAGAACTACTTGTCCGAAGGGAAACTGTCAGGTCCGAAAATATTGGAGTCGGGTCGGGCGTCGGACTATGCGTCAGACTGTCAGAAATGCATCGGATGATAAAGGAATGTGTCAGAAGTGTGTCGGATTGTTGGTCAAATGAATGTCGGATGTGTCAGAATGTTTTGGAGAAAAAGAGCGGATAGATATTTTGCAATACAATAAAGTACTACTAATATCTAATGACTTCCATCCTACTACTGAGTAGGGAAAAGTAAGTAATGCAATAGGTAGGAAGTACTAGATATTAAATAGTGACTATGTAGAAATTCGGACTGCTATAGGCAAGAGTAGTAGCGATATTTCGGGTCCGAAATCCTATGTAATAGGACATGTGGTACTGCGGACCATGAGAAAACATGTAATAACACTGTATACAATGCTTAGCAAGTCAAAAGGAGTAAATGCGCACCTAGTGGGGATAGATGCGACTGGGCAGGACATAGGGAGGACTGGTCCGATGCGTGGGAATGTCGGGTCAGGATCGGACATGCGTTGGACTGTCAAAAAGTGCGTTGGGTCAGGATCAGACTGTTAGACTCAGGTCAGGGTAGTCGGAAGTGCATCGGACAAATACTGTTTGACATCAGTATCAAAATAGCTGGTTCTGAGCCCAGCGCCGCGACCATTGTTACACCATCTTACCGACTTCACAATATGGCAATCTAGCAATGAAGGTTACACATGGGAACAAAAATTCCCAGAAGAGCATTTCCTAGTGTTCTATATGCACACACACAGCAATGAGCGTGCATACCTAATCACCGACTCCAAGAGGTTCTACTACACAACAGATACAGGCCGTTACTCATCAGCAAACTACTGATTTTGTGACAAAGTGTCACAACAATAACAAACATTTACAGAACTACACAAGCATCACAAACAACACAAGCCGACAAGCATTTGACATTACAAATATCTACAGAGCGATAAAAGCAGCACAAACAAACAAAGTAACAAAGTATGTACTAGTAGCCCTCGAGATAATATCATACTAGAAGTGCGAAAAATAAAAATATCTTGATTGTTTGTGATGAAGATGTATGTCAAAAGGTTGTCTGCAATCATCTCAATGGTGATAAGTTATAATGAAACCAACAAATGAGCACTTACCATTAAACCTGAGTCTGAGCGAGCAAATGCTGCAATACCACTCTTCTTGCGCTCCATGTGCATGCGTCCAACGTTGAGATCTGCATTCAATAAATGGCAGTTTGCTACCTCCGCTGTCCTGCATGATGTGGGAATCATGCATGGACATGAATACTAGGTGACCCTCAAAAGACAAAGTCTGTTAGCTTAGTCCTCAGACTAGTCAACCCATACCTTGGTTTCAAACCATGGTTCATATTTCCAGTTTTCCCCAAGTTTCATGATCTGAATATGTTTTGACAGAAAAAGTCTAATGTGAGATGGGAATCACATTTAGACCTAGTTGATGTGAGAAGAGAAATGAAGGTTAAGGTATAGCCTTGCCTTTGGCTTATTCACTTTGGCTAGAGAAAACCATAGAGAAAAGTACAAAGCCTATAAAAAACCTATCCAAAAAGACCGCGTTTCAATTCCTGCCAACTGTCTTATTTTTGCTACCTACTTTTCTCTAGTGTTTCTTTACTTTACTTTTTCATTAGGATGCTTTGACTCACCTGACACTTCATAAAATTGTACCCATAGGGTATGATGTCATTATGATGTCATAAGACTCCACAGATACTCCTGCAGGTATTCTGTTGAAAGATATTATGTCATCAAGCTCTAGATTATTCTACTCTACAATGACATCATTCATGATGTCATTTCCTTCTAGAATATTCTGCTCCACAATGACTCACTCATGAAAGGTTCTGGAATCTTTTGCTCCACAATGATGTCATAGCTCCATCTTTCACTTGTATTTTATTCTTTTATTGGGTTTGACCCAATATTTTAATTGGTCCTCCTTATTTTTTATTGTTTGTGAACCTAGGTTACTTTCCCACACAAAATGTATATAAGGAGAGCCCATTCTCCCCCAAAAAAATATGATCTCCCATTTGTAGCAATCTGCCTCTCAGATATTTCACTTGCAAAGTTAGTCCCTTTGAAGTGAGACAAGTGCAGGGAAAAGAATTTCCTTGAGATTATAAGTTTCTTACCTTAGAAACTTATTTAGTACCATAGACCAAGTGTTCTTGGTCATATATATTGTCTTTGAGACCCCTTTGTCTCATTGCTCTGTGCCCTTTGACTAAGCGATCTTAGTCATCTATCATATTGTTGAGACCACATCTCACTAGTTGTTCCATAGACCAAGTGATCTTGGTCAAGTTATAGTCCCCTTTGTTCAAGCGATCTTGAACATATATCGTATATTTGAGACCATTGTCTCATAGTCAAGTGTCCATAGACCAAGCGATCTTGGTCAGATTTCGTATATTTGAGACCACGTCTCACTAGTTCCAGTATCCAAGTCCAGAGCCTAGAAGGAGATTTCCTAGGCAAATACATTCCAGAAACCAAATTACGTGTCTAGAAGCTTATTCCTACATAAGAGATTTGAGTTTCAATAAAGAAAAGTAAAGCTCCAGCTAGGTTGATCTTAATAAAAGATTAGTTTAGCGAGCCTCCCAAGAACTCACACATTATCTACCACGAAATAGGAAAAGTCGTAGACTGTGTTAATCGAGGACTGGCAAGCAGTCTTATCCAAAGTGTAATTGTGGTGTCATTACATTTACACGACTTTATATAAGACCCTCGGTTATTAAGACAACGCATACAAGCGGGGTGCCGGAAATGATCCCCAAACTGTAGATACGAAGCCGTGGTGAAAGGAGATGTCTTCCCACGCACACACACAAGCATGGCTGCCTCTGGGGTATCGATGATGTACACTGCAAGAGGCATAAAATAGTGTTGAACATTTCCCACCGGATCGGACATCATGATGCCAACTTCTGCCGCTATCATCAAGGGCTTCAGGACAATTGAAAGGCACTCATGCACCAGGCGGTCTTCAAGCATGCCACGCATCCATTGGTTGGGGTGTAGGTACTTCAGAATGGGGAGGAGAGCCATGAGCATGAATGCTTTGGATGAGAGTTTCATCCAAGTATGCATACATATGTTGGCAAGGCCGAGAAGAAGTGGATGGGCAATCCTGGCACCAGCCATGGTAGTGATATTTGTTTTATCAGAAGATAAAACCACGCCGAGGATCATAGCACCTCTAGGATATTGGCTCTGCAGGAATGATGGTAAGACAGCGCAAAATGAGTAGACTGAACCTGCACATACCTGCACGTCTCATGCAGAATTACCTGTCAACCATTCAGAATATACCCTCAGAAGCCGCGCTGCTGTTTTGTACATGCGATGAGGGAGCTTATCATGAAACAGAGGATTGCTGAAAAGGTTTTCCAGACATTCAACGGGATCTCACCAGAATAAGTGGATAGGAAGTTTTGTAGGATGAAGTGAGGGAATGGTCTGGCATTTCCAGCTTGGTCTGCTGGGGAGCATTTTGGCACAACTACACAATTCGCTAGTGTTGCTGAATGATAGTTGTAAATTTTGGATCTGAAAGATAAGTTATATTATAATAATCACTGTCAGAGTACAAATACATACCATGTGAAGCCTCAAGAATTCATCAATTGCTGCCATACTCAGGAATGAGCGAAGGAGATAGTCAGCAACTTCCCATTCCTCCTTGGATGCAAAAGGGTAGAAGATATTGTCCTTCCTGTACTCCACAAATTCATCGGCATTGAATACATCCAAAAAGGTTGACCCATTTTCTGAATAACAAGCCCCGGAACCCTCATACTTCTCCTCCAAAGACTCCCCAGCCGCTCCAAAATCATTGTCAAGTGAACCAAAGCCATCGCCGATGTTTCAAAAGTCGTTAGATTGTTGTTGATCCTTGACACAAGTATCTGGGTCAGGTTCTGGAGCTGAAGGTGAGACATCGCGCCATGGTGGTTGCACCTGCGTAAACTGAGAGATATTGACCATGTCATGCAAGTAGCTGTGGCACAATGTTTGGGGCTGGCTGAGATGTCGAGTAACACTGCTTTCCTTGGTAAATGTTTTCCCACACTTTGGACATGTTGACATCTGATTCAGACTCAAGAATTCACACAGTGTAATGCTATTGGTTTTACTCTGTCATAATATTTGTCACTCACATAGTAAAACCAATAGCATTACACTGTGTGAATTCTTGAGTCTGAATCAGATGTCAACATGTCCAAAGTGTGGGAAAACATTTACCAAGGAAAGCAGTGTTACTCGACATCTCAGCCAGCCCCAAACATTGTGCCACAGCTACTTGCATGACATGGTCAATATCTCTCAGTTTACGCAGGTGCAACCACCATGGCGCGATGTCTCACCTTCAGCTCCAGAACCTGACCCAGATACTTGTGTCAAGGATCAACAACAATCTAACGACTTTTGAAACATCGGCGATGGCTTTGGTTCACTTGACAATGATTTTGGAGCGGCTGGGGAGTCTTTGGAGGAGAAGTATGAGGGTTCCGGGGCTTGTTATTCAGAAAATGGGTCAACCTTTTTGGATGTATTCAATGCCGATGAATTTGTGGAGTACAGGAAGGACAATATCTTCTACCCTTTTGCATCCAAGGAGGAATGGGAAGTTGCTGACTATCTCCTTCGCTCATTCCTGAGTATGGCAGCAATTGATGAATTCTTGAGGCTTCACATGGTATGTATTTGTACTCTGACAGTGATTATTATAATATAACTTATCTTTCAGATCCAAAATTTACAACTATCATTCAGCAACACTAGCGAATTGTGTAGTTGTGCCAAAATGCTCCCCAGCAGACCAAGCTGGAAATGCCAGACCATTCCCTCACTTCATCCTACAAAACTTCCTATCCACTTATTCTGGTGAGATCCCGTTGAATGTCTGGAAAACCTTTTCAGCAATCCTCTGTTTCATGATAAGCTCCCTCATCGCATGTACAAAACAGCAGCGCGGCTTCTGAGGGTATATTCTGAATGGTTGACAGGTAATTCTGCATGAGACGTGCAGGTATGTGCAGGTTCAGTCTACTCATTTTGCGCTGTCTTACCATCATTCCTGCAGAGCCAATATCCTAGAGGTGCTATGATCCTCGGCGTGGTTTTATCTTCTGATAAAACAAATATCACTACCATGGCTGGTGCCAGGATTGCCCATCCACTTCTTCTCGGCCTTGCCAACATATGTATGCATACTTGGATGAAACTCTCATCCAAAGCATTCATGCTCATGGCTCTCCTCCCCATTCTGAAGTACCTACACCCCAACCAATGGATGCGTGGCATGCTTGAAGACCGCCTGGTGCATGAGTGCCTTTCAATTGTCCTGAAGCCCTTGATGATAGCGGCAGAAGTTGGCATCATGATGTCCGATCCGGTGGGAAATGTTCAACACTATTTTATGCCTCTTGCAGTGTACATCATCGATACCCCAGAGGCAGCCATGCTTGTGTGTGTGCGTGGGAAGACATCTCCTTTCACCACGGCTTCGTATCTACAGTTTGGGGATCATTTCCGGCACCCCGCTTGTATGCGTTGTCTTAATAACCGAGGGTCTTATATAAAGTCGTGTAAATGTAATGACACCACAATTACACTTTGGATAAGACTGCTTGCCAGTCCTCGATTAACACAGTCTACGACTTTTCCTATTTCGTGGTAGATAATGTGTGAGTTCTTGGGAGGCTCGCTAAACTAATCTTTTATTAAGATCAACCTAGCTGGAGCTTTACTTTTCTTTATTGAAACTCAAATCTCTTATGTAGGAATAAGCTTCTAGACACGTAATTTGGTTTCTGGAATGTATTTGCCTAGGAAATCTCCTTCTAGGCTCTGGACTTGGATACTGGAACTAGTGAGACGTGGTCTCAAATATACGAAATCTGACCAAGATCGCTTGGTCTATGGACACTTGACTATGAGACAATGGTCTCAAATATACGATATATGTTCAAGATCGCTTGAACAAAGGGGACTATAACTTGACCAAGATCACTTGGTCTATGGAACAACTAGTGAGATGTGGTCTCAACAATATGATAGATGACTAAGATCGCTTAGTCAAAGGGCACAGAGCAATGAGACAAAGGGGTCTCAAAGACAATATATATGACCAAGAACACTTGGTCTATGGTACTAAATAAGTTTCTAAGGTAAGAAACTTATAATCTCAAGGAAATTCTTTTCCCTGCACTTGTCTCACTTCAAAGGGACTAACTTTGCAAGTGAAATATCTGAGAGGCAGATTGCTACAAATGGGAGATCATATTTTTTTGGGGGAGAATGGGCTCTCCTTATATACATTTTGTGTGGGAAAGTAACCTAGGTTCACAAACAATAAAAAATAAGGAGGACCAATTAAAATATTGGGTCAAACCCAATAAAAGAATAAAATACAAGTGAAAGATGGAGCTATGACATCATTGTGGAGCAAAAGATTTCAGAACCTTTCATGAGTGAGTCATTGTGGAGCAGAATATTCTAGAAGGAAATGACATCATGAATGATGTCATTGTAGAGTAGAATAATCTAGAGCTTGATGACATAATATCTTTCAACAGAATACCTGCAGGAGTATCTGTGGAGTCTTATGACATCATAATGACATCATACCCTATGGGTACAATTTTATGAAGTGTCAGGTGAGTCAAAGCATCCTAATGAAAAAGTAAAGTAAAGAAACACTAGAGAAAAGTAGGTAGCAAAAATAAGACAGTTGGCAGGAATTGAAACGCGGTCTTTTTGGATAGGTTTTTTATAGGCTTTGTACTTTTCTCTATGGTTTTCTCTAGCCAAAGTGAATAAGCCAAAGGCAAGGCTATACCTTAACCTTCATTTCTCTTCTCACATCAACTAGGTCTAAATGTGATTCCCATCTCACATTAGACTTTTTCTGTCAAAACATATTCAGATCATGAAACTTGGGGAAAACTGGAAATATGGACCATGGTTTGAAACCAAGGTATGGGTTGACTAGTCTGAGGACTAAGCTAACAGACTTTGTCTTTTGAGGGTCACCTAGTATTCATGTCCATGCATGATTCTCACATCATGCAGGACAACGGTCCATGTGAGGTATCGGTGGTCATGCTGCACAACTCCAAAAAAACAGGCAAAACTCTAATGGCCCCAAGAAGGCGAAAGAAGGCATCAAACGATCTGGATATAAGCGACTCTGAAGAAAATCCAATGGCTCCTTCGCAACTCAAGAGATGCAAGGAAAAAGTTGCAGTATTATTTCAAATATTCAGTGAAAGGTACCCAACTAATAAACACTTGTCAGGCCAGCACTCCAAAGAGTTCTGTTGAACCTGATTCTTCACGGCCAGAGAGCGAACGTGCTCATCTCCACATAGCCCGCCCTTCAGACAGGTTTGGTTTCAAGCTGTCCCAGTCCCAGGCAACCCATCCCATGGGTCACAATCACAAGGAAGCCAGTAGTGATGTTGCAGAGCAGGATTTGGAAAATTGTGGTGGATCGGGAGACTTGGATGATTTTGACAAGTGGGGGAAGAGTGCCAATGAACATGAGACACAAGATGAAAGATGAGCAGCTGACGATGATTTTGGGGAGTATGGCAATGGTTCAGCTTTGACTGATTCACCCCCAGGCAGTGATGGTAATGAACTGATGGAAATTGACGAAAGCCAGCCTGGACGCAATGATAGGTGCACAGATACGATCCCTTATGATGTCCTTAAACACCATCAAGCGAAGAACGGACGTCGCAAGGCTCCTTCCCTGACCCGTTTATCAAGTGTGCGCCATTGCTTAAACAAATCACATATTTGCTAACTTTCTCTAGAACTCTTGCAGCCACACTCTGACACGTAACACCTTTGGTCATTTGAAGTCTCCTTGCCAATATTCACCCAAACATGTAAGCTCTTACTATTTGAATCTGCTTGTTTCTGATTTGCTATGCTACAGATCCCTCGTCATCAGTCCCCTGAGACACATACTTCTTCCACTCACCTCAAGCCTCCCCAGCATGCACCTCAAAAAGGGCCATCTGCAAAGGCTGGTTCTGTCCATGGGTAAGTTCAACATTGATATTTACTTCCTTTGCTCGCTCAATGTCTCCACATTCAAGCAGGGGTCATGATCCCATGTCCTGTGGACCATCTCATCAATGCTCCCCGACTCGATCAACAACTGTCTTTACTCACTCAAGGTCTCCGCATTCAAGCAGGGGTCATGATCACACTTTCCGCAGACCATCTCCTTCGCGATACTCCCCGACTCAGTCAACAACTGTTTTCACTTGCTCAAGATCTCCACATCGGAGTACATCCCGTGGATCATCTCCTGGACATTCCTCATTGCAGCCACCAGATAGGTGAGCCTCTCGATTCAATCACTCGCAGTCTCATACCCCTGTTCCAAGCCATTCTCACTCGCATACTCATAGTCCCACACCTGAATCAAGGAACAAAGACAAACCCATGAACAAGCAGATGAATCCTTCGAAACTCGGGTTTTATCCACCATGTTGGCAAGCATTTCTCCAGGCCACCAAATTAGAAATGCACTTGCAAGCTGTTCTGACTCATCCTGTCCCAGAGCATCAGGATGTGCTACAGCTCATGCAAGAAGTCTTAGATGCAGTATTATGGAGTTACCATTCGAAGAAGATCAAAATGGAAAACGGTAAGTTTTAATTCACCAGTGTTGCTGTCATCTGATGCCCCTTGTCAAGGCTATTTCCTGCAGTATAGGGCACAGATGTTGCACCTTGTGAGTCCTGAGTACTGACCGTGAACACACTCACTGATTCATTGTCAGCTTTGCGACGACTTATTCACATTTCACACCGAGCTCAAGAAAGTTGTAATATCTATTGCAAAACAACTGTATGGTATCTTTCCCAAAGCCAACATGGGGCAGAAGGATGCCATACAACGGCATGTCATCAAAGCAGCATCGAAGCTGATCAAATCTGGCGACTATCTTCGATTGCCTGACTCGTCATCGGTTAGTAACATCATGGGGCGGTGCATTTTACTGAAGCATTTTTCGTTTAGGGCAAGTACAAGAATTTCTTTTTGCAAGTTCTCAAGAACGCATGTATCGACTTCTACTACGGTAACAGCAAAAAGGCCCTCAAGTTGACCAAAGAATTCCGCAAAACAATCCCCATCAATGCGCTCATTCTTGTCAGCGCGGTCGTATGTTTTTTTTAAAAAATTATTCTTAATGCTATTGCTGATGGTTCAACAGGCGAAGGGTATTCTAACTGGGTTCCACGACACCAGCACAGAAAAAGTCCCCGACCTGTCCGCTGATAAATGCAGGTCTGACTTCAACTCCTTATGAAGGTCAGTTGACACACTGATGGACAATTCCGAGTGTCGTCAGGAACTGGAAAGTATGCTAGAGGAATGGGCTGATGTGGGGATGATGGGTGAGTTTTGGGACGATTCTGATAGCGTGGCAGGCAGCAACAATGTCAACATCATTTTGTAGTAGTTTTTTTTGTCATCATCAGTATCACATTTTTTTAATAGAATGACTGCAGCACCTTACTAGGCCTGCACATTGTGTCCATCATGTATTGTCTGTGTAGTACTACTGAATTTAATCTAAGTCTGTATGCTATGTCTAAACTGTATAATGTGTGTCTGTATAGTATGTCCAATGTGTCAAGATTGTGACCATTTGTACAGGCTGTAAGGCTTTGTGACAAGCTTGTATAGGAGGGACTTTGTTGTGAAATTGTATTGCTTGTACAAGGGTTCAGTGATTTGCTGATGCTGGCACTCTTCCAAAGCGCCTTCACCTCCCAACACCTTTGGGGCCCAAATTCTCCACTTCCACACCAAGTCTGACTATCTCATTTGGATTGGTAATGTGGGCTGCCAATCAGGGTATGAAAACTGTCGCACGCAGGCCCAATACACGTGGAACAATGGGCAGAATTGGTGGTTGGTGGAAGACTATGTTGTCAACTGTGACTGGGCACACGATGAGGAGCTGCGGATTGATTCATCTCAGATTCTATGCGAGTCATACACGGACAAACAGGGCTCGCAGGTGTTTTTCAGGAAAGAGAATGCATTGCAGCTTGTGTCTGGGATGGACTATTACACGACAAAAATGAAGCTGTTTGATCATGTCATGGGGTTCACCAAGTCTTCGGAGTTTTTGATCGTGGGTGAGGTGAGTTTTTTTCCGGTTGTTCTGTGCATGCGCTGTTGGTTGACTGGTTGTGTACTTGCAGTACCTCCTGATGAGGGGCACACTTAACCTCCAGGTCTCACTTGATGGACGAATGTTTGCTTCTGGGAACTTCCCTCCTGGCATGCATCCAGATTCTCACGTAGGCAGCTCGCCCTAACTCTACAAACACTGGAATCATTCATGATGTTTTTAGGCATACACTGTCCTCAAGTCAAGCACTAAATCCATCTTCCTACTCATGACCATGAACGAGTTTCCAATGCCATGGGGCAACATCCTCAAATCCAACTCCAACGGAACTTACTTTGGATTGTCCATCGAGAACATGAACAAGAACAATGGTGGTTTTGTCAACTTTGAGAAGTTTGCGGGGTTGGACGGCATCACAATGGTCAATGTAGTGGCCAATCCTGCAGAGGCTACCCTCATGGGATGTAAGGCTCTGCAGATGAGGATCACCCATAATGACGGTATGCCTTTTTCATGGGTATCTCTCGCCTCTTGTTGATGGTTGCTTGTTGCATTATAGATGGCACTTGGAAGCCACTTCTACCTCCTTCAGTGGATTCACTGGGTCTGAAGTACCCTTGTAGGTCAGTGATATGTCATGCTCTTTTTTTTACCATTGCTGCCAACTGACTTATTTGATCATGTGTAGGGCTGTGCACTCCACGTTCATGGGTATACAGAGTGCTTCGATGCCTGGGCAACATATAGCAGCCCATCCATTGTCGGCGTGGTGATGGCAGTTGGGAATGTGGGTGATTTGCTTGCCACCTACATGGAGAGCGATACCTTCCTGTCCCAGGATGGCAGGTTCACATCAGAGGAAGTTCACAAAGATGCCCATCTCTGGGAGTTCGGCGACTCAGGGTCTATCATTGTAATTGTGAACGATGAGGAGCCGACGGACCACATCCTGTTTACCATAGATGAGGGTCTCACTTGGCAAGAATTCAAGTTCATGACTGAGAAGATCAGAGTGAGGGATATTATAACAGTGACAGAGGATACAAGCCGGAAGTTTATGCTCCTGGGTCGTTATCCCGCGACGGCTGGCTCGGTGATTGTGCATTTAGACTTCTCACCTCTCACACATAGAAAATGTGAGCTGGGTTTGTGCTGAATGATTAATGTTGAACTCATTCTTCCAGGCCTCGTGGATGTGGAAAACCCTGGGCACGATGACTTTGAGCTGTGGAGCCCCAGCAAAGAAAGAGACTCACTTTGCTTGTTCGGTCGACAGGTGAGTCGCCCAAACTTGATTTTTTCCCTTTGTTACCCATATTATATATAGACACTCTACCATTGCCACAAACAGGATGTGAACTGTGTTGTTGGAGACACACCCAAGGCACTAGACAACATTGTATGGAATTGCACTTGTACACTGGAGGACTTTGAGTGGTGAGTCACGTGTATGACACCACCCGCTCAGAACTAATTTAAATCTGGGCACAAAAAACAGCAAATTCAACTATGTCTGCAACAGGGAAGGTGAATGTGTTATTGTGCCAGCGACGAGTCCACGACCGCCTGATAATTCATGTCACAATGGAGAAGACTATTGGTATGAATGCACAGCGTACCTCAAGGTGCTCTACTCCACTTGTGAAGGTGGCAACCACATAGACCGAGGTCATCACCAAAACTGCCCAAATGTCACAACAGGTAACATTAGGTAACACTACCTTATCTGGAATTTTTCCCATGATCGAGTGTTATGGCCCCATATATGCGTGCGTCATACAAGATTGGCACATTATAAAGCCTCCCCACAATGGCATCACGGTAAATGCAGCTCAACCACAGTGGCAGCAAGATTATATTGTAGATGTAAGGTGATAGCGACATTATATGGTAGTTATAATTATAAGCTGGTAATGATATTACATGCAGCTCATTATAGTTTTGTACTGGCACTGCCTAACATGATGAAATTTGTGGGTTGTAATGGGCAGAACAAACTTTCTGAAACTTTCATTCAGGAATAGAGAAGGCTCGTTCTGCTCTACCCATATATACTAAGTATGGGCTACTACGCCAACACGTCCGAGGTATAAACACCAAACAAGTACAAATGCACGACTTAAGCATTTTTGACCGCACTGTAAGAATTGTATATTCTCTATGCACGGACCAACGTGCGTGACTCGTTGATCGCATCCGAGTCATGCGGACACAGTCCTCTCCTTTATCTCACCATCGTTGTCATCGTCAACAATGGTTCCAGGCCCCATCTTACACCAAACATTTCTCCTTCTTGTATTCTCGGTCACCTAATATATTTGTGTCTTGTATCTTTCTCTCTTCATTCACAATTCACTGTTGAACTCACACCTAGCCTTACAGCACACTCATCTGTAAGCCGTCCTTGACATTGTCTGTCCTGCAGGTATTGAGAATGACTCTAGGCCATAGTGGTGCCGAAGTCCAGTTCGGTTCAGTTCTGGGGCCTCTAAATGCGAACACTGAACCTGACCATCGGTCGCGTTCAGGCAAGGAGGGCGAACGCTGGACCGGACCCTTGTGAACGTGTTCGAACGCTCGAACACTACATATAAATTGGCAAAAATTGCAAGAAATACATGAACAGTAAATGAGTAGCTAAATTTCGTCCATGGCAAAGTGTTCATGAGCAGCGGCAAACTCGGCTTGAACCGTTGCGGATATATGGCCTTGACGGTACCCACTCTTCAATAGCTGAAGGGCCTCGAATGTTGTTGGTAACAAATGATTACGGCGCGTGGTCCCAGTGATGCCGCCACTCGAAAAGGCTCATTCAGATGCAATGGCCAAGCCTTGAATAGTGAGGTAATCCTTCGCAATGCAAGAGATGGTGGGATATTCTATGGAATGGTGCTAAAGGCATTTTAAGTCAACTTGCAAGGAAACACGATGCGAAAAAACTCACCCCCCACCATGCCACTATATTCTCAACATCCTCTAACGGGGCAGCAAGGTAGTCATTGAGCTCCTGGCGAGGTCTTTGGTTTGTGGTGTCATTTGTGACACGAGTTTTGACAGCATTGCGCATCCAGCTATGGCCGTATGACCCATTGCGAGCAAGCAAGGAAGGGGCCACGACAGCTGGCTCTGCATCAGCGGGCAAGGAATTGTGATGATAGTACTTGTCGAAAAGCTTCCACAAGTTTCTCATGCCCTCGTCGAAGTCGTGAGGCTCCCATTTACCCTTCGCGTATGCCACCTTGTAGTTAAGATCGAGCGCTGTATCATACATTAGATAGGGCATCATAGTAAATAAAATATGTACCAAGGCAAACAAAATAAACATCGGTTTCGTCGATCTTGTGATACCATTTGTGAATGCTGTCGAGGCCAGAGTTAATCGCATCTGAAAAGTTGTCGAACTTCGAAGAACCGGCCATGTTCTGCCAAGTTTGCTGGAGATACTCGAGGACTGGAATTGCGTGCCATATGGTAGGTTCGTGAGTTGCTGAAAATGATTGCTGAGTATTGGCGGGTTCCTGGTTATACAGTAGGTTAATACAACATTTGAGACTCGACTGGACACTCGCACATACCTGAAGCACATCATGCATCAATTCCAACTTCTTCCATTCTTCGGCTGAAAGCTTGAATGCTCCATATGACTTGCCCTTCAAGTTTGGGACTTCATCGCTATCATCTGCCAGTTGTATGAATCTATTGACCCCCTGCCAGCAGATTGAGTTAGTATTGTTCATAGGGACAGTAATGAAAAACAACTTACTTTGCGCAGCTTAAGGGTGCGCTCCAACATGCCAAAGAGTGAGGCCCATCGGGTGCGAATCCATTTCAAAAGCTCAAGCTTCGACTCATTGACCTTGACACAGCACTGTTGGAAGAAGGTACATGCTTGGGGAGATTTTCGTATCTAAAGAAAGTGTTCATCAAACAGTGTTAGTCAGACGAGGGTACACACTTACCTGTGTAACAAGCGCAAGAGCTTTTCCTGCGGTGTCAGCAACATCGAAATCAGTCGCTTCGTTGTCGTCATTGTCGTTGTCATCTTCGTCAGCCATGTTCTTGAGGAGAACACTTGCTGGTGTAGGAGTGACCTCCTCGACAAAGTGTTTGGTGGCTAAGTGTAAGGCGTGCTCCATACAGCTGAATAGATGTCAACATGTATATAGATCACAATATTAAATAGATCACTTACCGCACACGGTGCTTGCCAGTGATCCATTTCTTGCCAGAAGGGTCTATAGCAAGCGCGACAGTCTGAATTGCTGTGTCGTTATTGGTGGTGTTGTCGGCCATAAACCATCCAACCTTGGTGCGAATGCCGTAGTTATTGATTGTTTCGATCAGGATTCTTCCAATGTTGCTCCCACTGTGATTGCCGTTGATGATGGCGAATGCAAGCTGCTCTGTCTTCAATTCCCACTCGTGAGGTTTCCCAGCTGGGGAGTCAATATAATGCGTGGTGACGGAGAGGAAAGGTACACCAGGTTCGGGTGTCCATGAGTCGAAGGTGATCAAAATCTTGTTATCGACTTGCTTAAGCTTCTCCTTGACACGTTGAACGGCAAGCTGTGCCCGTTCAAGAATTTCATCTCGAGTTTTTGTGCGATGAGGAATATCCCTGTCTGAAAGGGAGGGCCACAGGTATTGAAGCAGCTGACGAAAGGGTCCCTTGTCAACAAGTTGGAGCGCCTATCTATGGCATGAACACCCTAAGTCACAATTACAAAAAAAACATTCACCTCGTCCCCACACACAATAAGCTCAACAATGTAATCCATTAGACCGGACTTGGTGAATTCAGGAATTTTAGCTGTAAGGGAGGCATCTAATGTTTGCTGTGCTTCGTCGGTTGCTTTGCAGTTAGGAGGTATTGCCCGCTCATGCATCTTGATACCTCGTTGGTTGCAGTGGTCATGGTAAATCGGAAAGTGACACTTTGCATTGCGAGCGATATGGGTGCGGTGAGTCGAAACACTGCCTTTGAAAAAGCATTGATTCATGGGTACATCATTGGCTCTTTAATTGACGTTAGTTCAGTGATGTTCAAAGTAAAAGTAAAAACATACCTGCATATCTCACACCACCAGCCGTCTTTGCGTTCTTGGGTGTGTGGATTGATGTGTCCCTTCTCCTGAGTAAACACTACCTTCAAGTCCCCACTGCGCTCCTCTTTCTTCTTATGCTTGCGATCCTCACGATCCTCGTCTTCAAATGCCTTGGTCCTTTTGTAAGCTTCCTCTTTGTCGTTGTCCTCGGCCTCTTCTTCATCGTCTGAACAATCCTCTAGCGCAGGGGGTTCATCATTGTCATTGTCGTCATCACAGTGACGGACCAGACAGGACCCACATTGCACTAGCTTGGGTGCGGTGTAGCGATGGTCGCGGTGTTGGGCTCAAAACCACATATTTCCATACTCATGTCAACACCCGAAACATATGCGCACATGTCCGATGCACTTCCGCACATGTCCGAGCCACTCTGTATCGGATCCGGCACATCGGACCTTCGGACATCACATTGGCCAATCGCACTTCATGCGCACTTGTCCATCCCGTGTCCTGTCCATCCAAACTAGCCTCACTAGGTGCGTAGTTATTTCCGTGCACGTTTTCTGACATTTGGACCGCGTTATTACATGTCCGCAGCACCTCGTGTCTTATTACATAGGACATCGGACCCGAAATATATCGCTACTATCTTCGCCTGTAGTTTTCTGAATTTCTATGTACTTACTTAAATACTCTGTAGTGACCCGTAGCAATCATCATCCAGTAGTTAGGAGCTGTTTCCCGACTCTGCAGATCACCCAGAATATTCTCGTAGTTCTTAGTTGCATTGCGAAATATTACCATTGGTTCACCATCATACTCCGTCACTTGTTATACTCACGCAATCCGACACTCGTTATAAAGTTTCTGACCTATTATCGTGAAGTCCGAAAGTCCGAAATCTCGGACATCGCACTTTGGCTTCGGACATTGGATAAGTACCTTTGGACATCATTTCACACCATCGGACATTTTGTTATTTGCATTACTGATGCATTTTTACTACTAATACCAATTAGCAATCCCTTTAGGATCAAACGCACTTGCTCTGCAAGTATAGCAGCATAGGTTGTGCTAAGATCTACCTAAATATTTGTTGTCTAGGTAGTACGATTTCTGCTGAGCCCAGCAGAAATCAGCTTTCTACAGCGGGCTGTCCTTGGGGGGCTGCTGGAGCCACTCGTTTGGCTGGAGCTGTGTTGGCAGCATGGCAGATTTTTTCTGTTGGTTTGATGGCTCGGCCTGAGCGACGAGACACGAAGTTAGTTAGCTTGCCATTGGATGCAAGAGGCAGAGGTGGAGGAAGCATGGGGGTGTTGTCGTCAGGATCATTGTACCAATCGATGGCACTAGCATCTTTGAGTTGGCCATTGGATTCAAGTGCACACAACATTTGTGCAGCAAGGAGGGTGGAGATTGAACCTGTAGTTAGTAGCTCATTTATACTAAAACTTGTGATAAGAGATCAAAAAAAAGACGCACTTTGAACATACTGTTGCCATGCAGTCGCTTGATGTTGAAGCTTGAGGTACTGGAACGAGAAACCTGCAGATATGTTCTGAACATAAAAGACATTATAGTCTGTATAAAGATTAACATTTGATTAACATTGGGCTTACCAGAACATTGAGTGGATTACCAAGGAAGTCAGATGTCGCCAATGGAAATGTGTTGGGTGTTTTGGCTGCAAAGTCAGACCCGCTGTTGATTGTCCCGAGATCGATTGACATGCCCATTGCCAGAAGATCAGAGCAGATACTGGTGGATCATGCAAAGAATCTGAGAACACGTTCGAATGGGTTCGAATGGGTCTGCAGTATTCAGGCAGCAGCCGAATGCCGAACCTAATAATCAGTTTGGTCCTTGTGCTATGTCGAACCTAGGTCTGAACCTGTGGTCCGGTCCAGGAGCATTCAGGTCCGAACCAAAGTTCAGAACCAGACTGCGGCAACACTACTAGGCCGTGTGATCCATCTTCTAAAGTACAGGGTCAGTGTGTATGCCTCATTTGAGTTAGGTCCCATGGTCTGTCAGGATAACTCCTCCACACATTCGAGATCTCTGTCAGAGAACTACTGGATCGCAGTGAAAACTTAAAGACAGGACGATGGACATCACTTGAGCCTTGCTGACCAAACACATCGCTGATCACTTGACAGTGTGTGAGTGTGTTAATCCTCTGTCGAGCTCGAGCCTCGCTGACCGAAGATGTCACTGATCCTTTTGACAGGATGTAAGTTTGTTGATCCTCTGTCGAGCTTCCATGTCATCGACAATGCACTCCCTCACATCACAATCCAAATGCCCATCTACAAAGAAAGCCTTGCTATAGTCCTGTAAGTCTCCAGCCTTTTTATCGATGACAATGGCCTCCGTCTCCTCCCACCAGACCAGGCAAATAAGTGTATCGAGTACTATGCAAATCACGGGATCGGCTGGATCGCAAGACCACGACACGGACACCAAGGTTACTCATACTCCCTCTAGCCTTTCAATACTAACACAACACACACAGGCTTCATACGCGCAGGCCGCTTCAAAAAGGCCTCCAACATGAACTATGCACTCGATGTCTCCCTCCGTCTCAAACACATCCTCGAGGAACTCCAATCATCCCGCAACTCCCCTGATTACAATTTGTACAGTGCGCGCCAAAACCAAAACATCAACTCAAGCAGAGATAGCAACATATTCACACCTCCCAACCCGCCCTTTCACCGCACCAGCGTGTCAGTTCACCCTGTTCGCGTTGCTCTTGAGCAGTACATGGTGTCTCCCAATGCAGGCTGAATCCATTTCAACGGACCTTGGGTCTACACCCCATAAATTATACCTACTGCCCTGCAGGACTGTTTTCATGGACTTGCATGTCTCGTTAGATTGTTTTGTACCATACCATGTATTTGTATAGCTCAATGACATGTGTTTATTATGGGATATAATTGTGATCTGATATTATAACTAAATATAAGACAATATGATGATACAGTGTTGTGGAACATAGCAGGCGGTCTGGAATGTGGCTGTGACCATATCACAAAAATCGATGTGGCGTAGTATTCGCATGTATTCTAGGCTTTGTTGTAGATACTAGTCACAGTCGTTACAGTGTATTACAGTGGTTACATGTGTATATATGGCTATATATACGTTGAGGAGTTTTGCTGATGGCACGCAATACCTGTGCCCTGGCATCAATGGCCACAGCGCGACATTCTGGATTATGGTGATTTTGTTCCCATTTGAGATCACAGCGCTTGTCGCATGGTGGTGGTGCAGCAAGAGCAGAATGGCGAGAGGGTAAGTGTCATCTACTTTATGTGTGCGCGTTGTATGCTTATTGTTGATATGCAGGACGATCCGTTTACCCAGAGACTATTCGCATGGGTCAGGGTCTGGTGTGATGGCTACGCTGGCATCTGTACCACCGTTCCTTCTCTGGCTTGCGGGCATCGCGTTCGAACATATGGCGTCAAGCCTGGAATCTATATCGATGGGCTATCGCGCGAGGCGTGGATATAGGGATGTACCTGTAGACGAGGATGCACAAGTCCTGTATTTCGAGGATGAGGAATAAGCGGGACAGAGGCCATACTCAGACGGAACTTTCTCGACTACATATATAACGAGTGGACTGGTAGGCCTGCGAAGAGCTTGACAAAGTCCTTGCCTTACGTCGAGGTCATCTTGGACAGAAAGTTTGGTTCTGCTGAATCAGAGCTAGTAGACGTGTGGGTTGTTGATAAGGATAGGATTTATTTTCTCAACACAAAGTAAGATCACGAAGTGGTAGGTTTTGCACATTACGCGATAGAGTATAGCAAGCTTGAAGTCAAAGTTGAAGTTCAAACATTGATAGATATCTATGTAGTTGCACTGTCATACGACATGATGACACTGTAGATAGTAGTTCCAATAAACATCAGTGCAAAATGCACTGATGCTCAATGTTTGAGAGTAACTTCCACTAAAATTGCATGCAGTTATGTCGAAACTTTTTTCATGGTCTCTTTGGCGGTCGGTGTAGCGGTAAAGCCCCCTGACGAAAGGAATCGCGGCTACTTTCCCGCTTACTTACTCCTTTCTTCATGCACTTCTTGCTGACAAAGCCTTATCGTTGTGTATTGGAGGAGGACAGCCCAGGGCCAAAGACTTAGTACTTTAGTAAGGATCATATATCATCGGCAGTGAATATCGGCAACCAGAAAGTGTTTTCCACACATCAAATGACAGATGGCATGATATTCATTTCGTACAGAACCTCTCCACTCCAATCCAACTAACGTGGGGGAATATGAATATAAACACGTTGGAAGAAAGAATGCAGCCAAGAAAATACAGATACAAGGGACATCCAAGAAAGAGATCAGAACCCCACATGTCCGTCATGTACATTAAGATTTACATTTATCCCTGTTGATTTGGTCGCAACAAACAATAAGAAGGCTGAGCGAGGTCCATAGCGGCGACACCGACCCCTAGTGGTTGAAAGGATATAACTATGGTCATATCAGGCAGAGTAGATTCCAGTTATGCCAGCTACCGTGGGATCCGGGTCTTGGTTATAGATTGGACATAAGCGCTCCCATTCAGCTGTAAAGCAGTTCAGGAAGAGAAGTACGGATTCTTTACATATGATTTACCTGGCACGGGGCTCACGTGAGCTGGAGTATCCGAGGGACTTTCTGCCATTACCACAGCAAAACCGCTGGATATGAAGGATTAGCCACTTCGTTAACGGAAAGGCTTATACACATACGTTGCAAGGTGCCAGTCAATGTGACTGTAATTCAGAGTTAGTATCCTTCTTGAAAGCTTGATGAAAATGATACAATACCAATGCAAGATCCACGGGCCAGAATTGTCAGTGACCCATCGGATCACCGTTTGCTGCCCAATAATCCCAGCGCTGACCACATCGCGGCGAACGGGGTTCGCGTAATTGAAGGTACTGCTGTCCGCGCTCTGTACGACCTCAAATGCATGCTAATAATCATAAGTATCAGCCAGACATGACTTCAAAGTCACGGAGAACATACCCCATGAAGGTGTATAGGATGCTAGTGCGATACATATCAGTCACGTAAATATCGAATGAATCGAAAAGACGTACAGGTCCGCCGGGAGCGCCTACTATTGCCACTGTCAACTCTACCGTTTTGTTGGCCTCGAGAACGTACACACTCCCGTTTGGGAGCAGCTCAGAAGGGTCTCGAACTCCACTAAGAATTTGGAGTAGAACAGGAACAGTGGGGTTTACAAATGTGACATCATTGACATCGAAATTTGAGCCATTGAAGGAAACATTGAAGTTGAGGTTTATATCTGCGTTCCCGTACCCCGGAATGCCAGGAGCACCGGGAGTGTTCAGAGTATGCAAGTTGGTCTCTACCAATGGGTTCTGGGCTGACGTATTGACCGTAGTCGGGTTGGTCTCCGGGGCGCCTTCGTAGCGTAGAATAGCAGAGTTCATGCCTCCGTCGTAGGTCGCATTCTCCGTGCTAGGAAGAGCGCGTACCCAGTAGTTATCCACTGGCTGATCAGTTACTAGAACCACAGAGTAGCGCTGGGCCGCAAGAATCTGAAGCTGATCTACCACTAGAGGATCTGTCAGCTGTCCATCCGCTTCGATAACAGTTAAGTTGTGGCCATCGATGGAGAATTGGACGTTGGGTTCGCATGACATTTGAATCAGGCGCAAGCGATATCGCTTTCCCGGCTTGACATTGATCACAGCAAGCTCAGACTGGGGTCCGCCAGCATAGCGACCGAGTCCATTGATGAGCATAGACTGGGCAGTAGGTACAGTGCCGAGCAAGTCGGGGGACACAGTGTGATACCTAGTGATCCTGGTTTAATCGGGAAGATTACTCATGTTCGTGAAACTCACCAGTCGGCAAGCGTGATTACGGTACTTGCTGGAACACATGATAGTCAGAGGGTTCAAATGAACCAATTTCTCACTCACCATCGTCGACATCATACATGTACGCCAAAGGGTCTTCAGGATCATATATTACCAGTGGTCCCCTCAGACCATCGCACTGTTCCGTAGGTCAGTACCACACATGCAAAGTTGGAGTGATACTTGCATATTGAACAGAATAATGACTGTGATACCAGTAAGTGCCCGCCTGGTTTGGGGCGGAGAAGGAATGTAAAAAAGAATGGTTCTGCGTAATGGGGCATTGTGTGACGAAGGCCACCCCATCGGCATAGTTCGTTCGATTCTGGAAGAGGCCATGCCAGTGCTGCCAGTGCCATCAATAATGTCAATTTTAACAACGTCAATGATGATTCGAAACTGCTTACAACACTGGTAAGCACGTACATCGATTCGTCATTGAGTATGTTGACCACTTCAATATCAAAGTGTTCTCCCTATTGTGATGTCAGCACCGGCACTCGACAACGAAGTTAAACAAGTTCACCTTCTGGGCTGTGATCAACGGTCCAGGAAATGCGCCATTAACAAGAGTTGTTCTGTCAAAAATCAGGAATGAATTTCGAGTACCGTCATAATAGACTCACGAGCGGTTGAAGCCATCTGGAGCAATGTATTTATTGCCTATGGTTAATCTAGTTTTTGGACCGTGTGCAGGGATCTGAGATAGCGGGTACTCTGAGCGAGATATCATAGCTGTAGCATTGATCGATGAGATGAGAGAAACGATCAGAAAAAAAATTAACATCGCAATTTTCAAAATGTATAGTAATGCTGTCGTTGGCGAGAGTGGGAGGTAGTAGGATAAGATTATAATGCTCTCGGGCTTTTATCTTGGAGCAGTGAATAGCCTTAAAGTGTTCCGACCCGTTCGAAAAGAATTATAACGTACCACGAAACCGTGATTCGGACATGATCCAAAATAACTTAGACGGAGGAACGGCCAACTGATCCCAGATGTAGTGGTAGGCCAAAATAGCTTGAATTAACTCTTCGTGTGCAGGAAGAGAAGAGTGACAATCACTCGGGCTGATCGTAGTTCTCCGTCAAGTACGGTGGCTCTGCGAGAGATTTAGGCTAGCGGTTGTTGGACAGAAATTTGAAAGGAGACGGCCACATAATTGGGGTGCGATGACCGAAGATTGTGCCATTATTGGATAGTGCAAGTCGAGCTGAAGTGGCCATCGAAGATCCGTGATCAATGAAATGTCTGCTATTTGTTGGCAGATTGTAGCAGTGACTGTAATTGTAATTGCGGTACTGAAATTAACCAAATGCACAACCGCAGACAGTGAAGTTCATGTCAATTTCGAGCCTGGTTGGTTGGTTTTATGAGTTCTTGAGACCACGGCAAAGCACGTCACTAGTTACAGTCACTGCAGCGTCGGGCCATATGGTGGTGGTTACTACTAGCTCGTCGGAAGGAAGAAGTTATAGATCAAGGTTAGGGTCAGAGCTTTGTGCCGTAATTGTAAATTACAGGATTGATTACCTAATTTGGCTCCTCAATCCCTTGCACGATTGTGAATCGTACAACCGCAACCTCCTTCGCTCGCCGCCGACTTTGAGGGTGTTCACGAATTTATCTAGTGGCTACAACAAGCTAACTAATCCGTTGTGTTTGAAACAAGGTATGCAATTGGTTTTAAATGAGTCGATGTGATTTAGTAAGAACCAGAACAGCATGCTACCGGAACCGAGCAAGACACTATGATAAACAAAATACAAACACAACAGAACACGTGAAAGTGAGTATCTCTGTCGATTTCCAATAAGGGGGCTGAGCAAGGTCCATGGGCCAGCTCAACCTAGTAACGGTGACTGTCGTTATTACCGATGCGGCTCGCGTCATGCACTCTCAGTGGAGGGACCACCGTACCGCTATAGCTCAATGTGTAACGAGCAACCACCCAGGGTCACTGGCTACTAAATGTGCAGCGTACGCTTCCTCGATAATTTCAGTATCGGTAGGTACAACGTTTACCGGATGTTTGAGCTGGTTATGCCGTCATATTCATGCATCGCCAGTTCAGCCTGCAACCCACTCGACCAACCCATTTCTCAACTTTCTCGAGATTTACCCTACATTGCTGTCATCATTAACTATTGGCTCGGCATTCCCGTACTCAAATGACCGTCCACCTATGACACCGACATCGCAAATCACTGTAACTCCTGCTGGACGCACCAACCCATTTTCTGTGCTTTGTGCATACAAAGCAGTGCATGCCCGAGGAACCCTACACATGGTCACGTTTGTTACGGTGAACGAATATCTTTGGTTACTGCATGGTCAGTAGAAAGATGAGCGTCTTAGGAAAACCGGCAATGTATTATCTTGCCGCCACTGTCGGTGATTGCTTTTTACCGCAGCAGAGATTGGGAAGTGACTACACCTTGTCTCGGAAAACGATGCTGACAATACCCACGACCAGTCGGAACACAAGATACAATCTGGAAAGGGCAATCTCTCCATAGAAATTGTTCAAGTACCGAAGATCTTAAAGCCGCTTGTGAATGGAACCCGGAAGACATACTAGGGGGCTTTGTAGTGTTGTGGGCAAAACTAGTTGTGCCTGACAGATGGCAGAACTCTGGAAAGCCCGGACATTTGTTATGAACAAAACAGGCGATGATGGTGATCAAGTTCTCTTTGTGAGTATTGACAATGCAGAGGTCCATGTAGCTCGGCTTTCCGGGCTAAACATAATATCGTGATCTTGTGTCTGAAACAAACTTTCATATCAGAACACGTTTGATCCCGCGCAAGCAAGAATTTCGCGCCCACCTGAGCTCCACATGCTCAGGCTATGCTCTCCGAAATTCTGAATCGCTCACTATGGCATGTGTTCTCTGCTTATCCCCATGTGTACTTTGCTTCTACTTCTCTTTTTCCAATGCGTGTCTCCTGAGCTTTAGTTAGGGTTAGCAGTGACACTGTGGCCTACTTACGGCTGCATTCTCCCGAAGTTCCAAACTTCCAGTGTGTTTGTGTCTGGCTCGGTTCCGGTAGTTTACCTGTAAGCGGTGTTCGATTTATGTAATCACAATGTTACACAGGGGCCCATTATTTGGAAATGACAGAAAATCGACCATGCCTTGCTTCGCGAGGTAACTCCACCTCCATGGCTTCAGCGTGCACGTATCCGTCTTCACCGCGGATTCAGATCATGCCGGAGAGATACATCACCTGTTACCTTCTCTTCCAATCCAGCGCGTTCAAGCTGGCCTGTAAATCGAAAACAGCTTCCCTTGCTTTAAGTTGCTTATGCGACAACATTCAACGGATCTCAAGGGCTGACGCTGGAGAAACGTGCTAGACCTGCGCGCAGATTCGTTTGCATGCGGATAACTATACACCGCACTTTCAAAAGTACGAGGCCGTTGAGACGTTCGAACGCCATTTCCAAGAGAAGAGACAACAGTAAATGTAGTGTACAGACGTCCGAAGGTGAACGGAGCGAAGCGCTTGTGATACTGTAAGCTCGCCAACAGCTTACGACGTTGAGGCCGATAAGCTGGTTTGAGTCGCATCCTCTTATAATTCATTTATATTATATGTACAAAGGATTAAAATCGCAAAGCCCGTATAACCGGTTGCCAACAATCATCTTGAGGGAGTCTTGAGAAATAAAACTGGGAGGTCTTCTCGGGCAAGCGTCCTCTTTGGCCCTTCTGGTGGAGCAGAAGGCGATCGAAGCTGGTCTTCAAAAGTGAGGTTGGGTAGCTCGATGGTAGATGAGTGATCCTGATCGAAAGGCGGGATATCGACGCCATACGGCTGGCGTTCGGGAATACTTGATGGTTGATTACTCACGGGAAGCTGCTCTTGGGCTAGATGTGGAATATCGGCGAAAGCACTGTGCACCTAAGCTGTGTGAGTTGTGATTGTGTTGTAAGAAATACACCGCACTCACCCACGGCTTCGGATCGCCACATGCATAGTGCGCCGACAGGGGACAGCAGACCGAACATAGTACAACAAACTTATCTGTCTCTGGTACTCTGAATTGCATCACGACAGGAGGGGCAAGACATTTTGATGGTGCAGCAGCAACGAAGGTGCATGTCGCATGCAACGCGCCGATAGTGGTCATCTCACCCTCCTTGTGCTTGGTGGCTAACTTGGTTTTTGAACGCCAAAGATGCAACGAGAGTACACGAGACCACAGTCTGTTGAACGGCATTGGCTCGCCTTTGTTGACCTTCGATGAACTTTGCTTGATCCTGGTTGCAGAACGATGCCGAAGAAACACGCAGATTACGAGGGCACTCATGCCAATTATACAGATTGCGAGAATGATGATGTTTGCGACAGGAAAAGAGCCTCGATTGACCTGGGCTGGGCGGGAAGTGGATGCAACTGGGAAGCTAGCGGTATTGGTGCCATTGGAGGGTGCCATGATAGATAGAGTCGACCTTGACTCATCCCAAATTATGTAAATATATGGAGGCTGTCAATTTTGTCAATGCGTAAGATCTCACACTAAGTACTTGGCTTAGCGTTTCATGAGTCGACTCTCGTGGTCACTGACCCACGCCCGTGGACACGCAGCATGATTTTACTGCGGCACAGCCTTAAGCTTAGCAACGACGACATTGAATGTGACCATCATGATAGCCATCATTGAATAGCCCTGCGAAGTTTTGAGGCTGCGCAGCTGCGCTTCCTGTCACAGAACTGTTCAAATAACATGCACAACTCAAGCTTGATCTCCAACGACCATCAAGACCACCCTTAACAACGAATAAATTTACCATGGAAGAAGAAGTAGCTGCCCTCGTAAGTCCAGTCTTATCGCCGTCGTCCACATCGTCTCTAGCAAGCTCATGGTCAAAATTGTCAGGTCATTGACAATGGTTCCGGCATGTGCAAGGCTGGCTGTAAGTTATCCTCGATCTAATTTACAACACTGTCTAATAAGCCTTCTCGCAGTTGCTGGTGATTCAATGCGATTCATGGTGTTGTAAGGATACACAACTGACTGCATTATTTAGGTGACGATGCTCCTCGTGCTGTCTTTCCGTAGGTTTTCACATTTTATATAACCCATCATACGTGGGGTATTCACGGGCCTTTCACAGCTCCATCGTCGGTCGTCCGCGCCACCAAGGTGTCATGGTTGGTATGGGACAGAAAGACTCTTACGTCGGGTATGCTTCGCCTCAGTCGTAGTCGCCGTCAACTTACATCTACCCAGCGATGAAGCTCAATCCAAGCGTGGTATCTTAACACTCAAGTACCCCATCGAGCACGGTATTGTCACGAACTGGGATGACATGGAGAAGATTTGGCATCACACTTTCTACAACGAGCTTCGTGTGGCCCCGGAGGAGCACCCTGTCTTGCTCACCGAGGCTCCTCTCAATCCTAAAGCTAATCGTGAAAAGATGACCCAAATCATGTTCGAGACATTCAATGCACCTGCATTCTATGTTTCAATTCAAGCCGTCTTGTCACTATACGCTTCCGGTCGTACCACCGGTATTGTCATGGACTCTGGTGATGGTGTCACCCACACTGTGCCTATTTATGAAGGATTCTCTCTTCCACACGCCATCCTCCGTCTCGATCTTGCTGGTCGTGATCTCACCGACTGTCTCATCAAGAACCTAACTGAGCGTGGTTACTCTTTCACGACAACCGCCGAACGTGAAATCGTCCGCGACATCAAGGAGAAGCTGTGCTACGTCGCCCTCGACTTTGAGCAGGAAATGCAAACTGCCGCACAGTCATCAGCCCTCGAGAAAAGCTACGAACTTCCTGATGGGCAGGTTATCACGATCGGCAACGAGCGGTAAGATGATCCCCTGTCGATCATTGGTCATCATATCTCATAATCGTGAAAGATTCCGTGCACCTGAAGCTCTCTTCCAGCCTGCATTCCTCGGTCTTGAATCTGCGGGTATCCATGAGACAACGTAAGCAAACAAATCAATTACCAGGAACGTTGTCCAATTGACTTCCCTTCTAGGTACAACTCAATCTACAAGTGCGATCTTGATATCCGTCGTGACTTGTACGGGAACGTCGTGTTGTCGGGTGGTACTACCATGTTCCCTGGTATCGCCGACCGCATGCAGAAGGAATTGACCTCGCTCTCGCCGTCAAGCATGAAGGTTAGTCCCAGACTTTAATATGGGAGATATGATTCTTATTCGTCATCGTTTTTAGGTCAAGATCGTTGCTCCCCCTGAGCGGAAATACTCAGTCTGGATCGGTGGTTCCATCTTGGCTTCCCTGTCCACTTTCCAGAACTTGTGGTGTTCAAAGCAGGAGTACGACGAGTCCGGTCCTGGTATCGTTCATCGCAGTGCGTATTTCTCGCCATATCGTCACCTCTCAGTCTCATTCAATTCTACTACAGAGTGCTTCTAAACATGATCGATGAAACAGTGAAAAGGAATTATGTTTCCGCTGTACTAGAATGACATTGCTTTTGATATTTCACGACCTTGAGACGCACTCACTTACGTTAAGCCTGGATGTTCAAGTTTACTTTTACTCTTTTCAATAGTTTTACCGCATATTTTCTTGAATGTTTATGATTCTTGCTGCACTGCGGCACCCCAGGGACGAACAAATACTCATTACGTAACAGGTACTACAGGCCCTTTCAAACTAAGCGAGTCTCCGCGATGTCCGGCGCCTCTCGGTCAGAGTGTTCCTGTGTCATACAACACCTGTTGAAGCAGCCCTGCAGATGAACTAACTGCAGCTTTTCACGACTCACGAGCCTCTTTACCTCTCCAGTTGACAGTCTTGCCTCTATTAGCATCTACTTCATCACAATTGTATGGTTGGGAACTGCAGTTTCGGCAATGTAGATTTACGGTCACCAAGTCACTCTAAATGCAACCACTAAAGTTTATTTGCGAGCGAGCTGGAATTTACTACCAAGTTGTTCAAGTGCGCTATTTGCAAGCTGGCAGCGACTCGTCGCTTTATCCCCGAGCAGGCAACATGTACGGTCGCAGACGGCGGTGGAATACTATTAGGTGGAATCTTTTCTCGAGTGAGGCATACACCCGATACTGATGTCAAATTAGTCTCAATCATGTAGCTACCGCTTCATCATGAAACTCAGATCAGTGGTGATTGGTCACATCTTTAACTTTGGCTGCCGTCGGTATCCGTTCTGTTGTCACACAACGCACTGGTCAACTGTCAGTCTCAGGGCCCAGAGGGTCATCATGTCCTGCGATCAATCTGTCACAGAGAGTAGGTAAGGTTGTCTCAGACTCCCTGGCGCGCAAGGCATATATCTGTAACTGTCGGTATTTGTTCTTTTGTCAAGCTCTACGTAACGTACGTCCTCAACTGTGCAACTGCCAGTCTGAGGGCACAGAGGGTCATCATGTCCTGGATTAACCTGTCATAGAGAATAGGTAAGGTCATCGCAAACCCCCTCACGCGAAAGGTATATAATGTCCCGCGATTTCACCACGTCGGTCAATATCTTACTCTGCGAAATATGGGATTGAAAAGAATGCCGATAACAGCTAACCTACTGGCCATTTCGCAGACTTTCCTCGCATTAGCAGCGTTGGTCACCGCGGATGCGCCTATCGTTAATTTGGGTTATGCTCAATACCAGGGTTCGGTGAACACAACTACAAATACAACCAGCTTCCTTGGAATACGGTATGCAGCTCCTCCGCTTGGTGCGTCCAGTTTTGTGCATTGCATACAATGTCAATCCACACTAAACATAAACATATAGACAACTTGAGATGGGCAGCTCCGCAGCCTCCGCCGACCATCTCAGGCGTTCAACAAGCTACCACGCAACCGAATGAATGTTATCAAGGACCCCTTGGCACTGCCTCGACGAATCCTTTCGAAAGCATCTCTTTAAGCAAGAGGGATGTCAGTCAGTCGGAAGATTGCTTATTTTTAAAGTAAGCCTTGTCTTAGAACATTCACGAACACTCACGATTTTGCTGCATCCGGTAGCGTATACACCCCAGGAAGCATGATTGTGACCCCTCCGTCGGGTGGGCTCCCAGTAGTCGTGTTTATTCACGGCGGAGGGTAAGTAGCGTGTGAAGTGATCCCACTGTTAGTGAAATTGACATTGTTATAGTTACGTTTTAGGAGCTGCGAGTTTATACGATGGTTCAAATCTAATCGTGGAATCGAACTATGGTGTCATCACTGTCATAATCCAATACCGCCTCGGTGTATTCGGTATATTTTTGCGACTCTTTCTGATTCTTAAATGTAAATGCTAGCTAGGTTTTCTTGCTGGAGAAGCAGTCCAAGAAGGGGGTGCGCTCAACGCTGGACTACGTACGTGCTCATCAAGTTTTGATAGTATTCAGACTTAAGCTGAACCTCAATCTCAAGTTGACCAAAATTATGCTTTGCAATGGGTACAAGCGCACGTAAGCAAAGTTTTCTACTCGTGTATTTTGTATTTCAGCTGATAAGCTTACCTGAGATAGATAAGTCGATTCGGTGGTGACCCTACGAAGGTTACGATTTGGGGACAGTCTGCTGGTGAGCCATGTCAAGTACTCTTATCACGATTGGCCTCGCTTCCTACTCAATTTTTTCAGGTGCCGGTTCTGTGATACAGCATGTTGTTGCTCACAGAGGCAACACACAACCTCCCCTCTTCAGAGCTGCCATCACGAGCTCTACGTTCTTGCCGTCACAATACAACTACAATGACCGTATCCCGGAGGTAATGTTGTCTATGAAATCAACGTCCGTGATGACCTGAATACCATCACCAGACACTGTACAGTATGGTTGTGAACGGAACAAAGCAAGTCCTTTCACAGTCAATCTTTGGCTATTGCCCAGCTAATACACTCAACTCACAGCTGTCACTCAAGCTCAGATACCCTCTCTTGCCTGCGCGCTGCAGATGTAAATACGCTGCAAACCTTGAACACTAACATCAACCTCGACGGCTTCTATGGCATGATCGCATTCATCCCTATTGTGGATGGGACTTTTATCGTGGAAAGACCCACCGTAACACTCAGCAAGGGCCGTCTGAATGGTGTAAGCTTGTTGAAAGAAGCCATCTCTGAGTGACACTCATAACCTCCTTTTAGAACTACCTTCTTTCAGTAACGAATACGCATGAGGGGAACATCCTTGTGAATCAATCAATGACAATGGATGTCGCGGATTTTATCGGGACGATCTACCCGAACTTTGGTCCTGCTCAGATTACTGGAGCAGCGGCGTTGTACCAGAATATGGGAAGCAACGTCAATCAAGCAAATCTTGCGATAGGTGAATGTGCGTATGACCTTTGGGAATTCGCCCCTGTTCCTAATTTCATGTGTGGATTTAGCAATGTTTCTCTGCCCCACTTATTATATGCTCGAGGCTTTTGGAGGACGAGCGTGGAAGGTAAGCTCAATGTGAATCTCGAGTACGTACGCCTAACAAAAGCAGGGCGAGTTTGCAATTCCACCTGGCCTGCATGGAGATGATGTTGGAGAGTACTTTACTTCATATACGTAAGCAAGTTGTTGTGAAGGATCACTACTTACTCTGATGCATACTGTTTCAGGGGTGGTCCTGAATTCATCGATGGTCCTCTATACAATAATTCACAGTTCATCACTTCCTTTTCGAATTCCTTCATGGCTATGGTCATGTTTGAGACACCTGACCATAGATACACCCCGGGAGATATCACACCTCCCTGGAACATATGGCAACAACGTTTCACAGAGATGGTCTTCAACGAGACTTCTGAGGGATTGCCTGATGTGTTCACGTCGAAGACTGACACGGCCTTACTCGAGCGTTGCACGTGAGTACTATACTATATTTGCTATGCGCACATGGAACTAAACTAAACACATATAGCTACTGGCGAAGTGTATCAGCGTATATACCGCAGTGAATGAGCACCAGGATCTGTTGCGTCGGCGGCTACTTGACCACGCGTGGGGTCATGTCCTATGCGTAAGTTTTCAGTGTACGATTTGCCGTGATGCCGTGTACAATTTTCACAGTCCGCTATATTTATTGTTGTTGTATCGTCATAAAGCAATTGCAATTTATTAAATATTTTATTGGGTAACTTGTTTCTAAATGGTAAGTCCTTGTTTTGGCTACGTCATGCAAGCAGGTGTAAGCCGGTTGCTTACCTGTCTGCGATGCTGAGCATTGATTATCACTGCCTTCGGCGTAAATGTTAAGGGATGAATCGATGACAGTCTTGATACAGCAGGGCAGATATTACAGCAGTGCATCAAATCTTAGTGAGTATCTGCATGACCAAACAGATCAGCGCCACTAACAACAGAGTGACAACGTGCAACCTGAGTGATGAGATCAAAGATAACTGTACTTTTTCCCCCGGTACCCTATTGTTGCATACATTCCTTCGCCACAGGTTCCTAACCATAATTGCCGCCAACGCGGCATTTCCAAACTAGCAGTTCTAGGTGACTTACATATAATACTACGCCGCGGTTTGCTACAACTTTGCTTCGGCGGTTTCATATCCGGATTATTAATTTAACCACGACGGAGTACATTTACGACATATTTCGGAGTTTGAAAAATAAATTTTGACCGTGCCGTTCACCCTTCAATTTATAATCTAGCGTGTGTACAGGGGCGGGTGTGATAGTGAGGCCGATTCGATTTTCTTGAACCAGAACCACGTACAAAAACCTTCCATGTGATTCTGCCGGCTCATACATACTATAATAAAGCATCCTTTCAGATCAAACGCATTCCGTTCAACAATGGAATTGCCACCTGGGATCGTCTACCTCCTCAGTTGCTTTCCACAGCTCCTATTGCCACCAGCGATAGTTTATATCTGCGATTTGGCATTTGGCGTATCCTTGTCAGGATGGTCACAGATTCCTGTATATGTGTTATCTTTTCCTGCTCTGTTCACTTGCAAGGTGCTCGCATTAAAGTACCACGATAGGCGCCAAGCTGCCATCCATGGTGCTGTCCTTCCACCCATGTTTCCAAGTAAATGGCCTGGCAGTCTGGATCTCCTCGCAGCCTTGATACAAAATTTCAAGTTTGGATACATGGGTATGCTACTCAACCACTTCACTTTCTATCAATACTTATGATCACAGGGGACTTGATGGCAGAGCAGTGTAACACTCTAGGACATACGTTCAACATGCGAGTCCTCTTTGAAAATAGGGTATGTGCATTCTTTCACACCCTCAGTTTCATCGTTGATACGTCGCGATTAATAGATCTTCACCGCTGAACCAGAATATACCAAGGTAAGCAGCTCATCGGAGTATTATAACCCCAGACATTCATGCGTGACAGGCAATTCTAGTATCAAAGTTCGCATCATTTGAGAAAGGTCGGCGATTTCATTTGCGGAGAACTGTCCCGATTCGATGTAATAATATTTTCAATCAACAGGGCCTATGTTTTCGGACCAAGTCAATTCCCTCCTTGGTACCGGAGTGTTCAATTCCGATGGTGAGTATTTTCCCTCTATTTCATCGTCAGTACATAGTTTACTTACTGTACTTCAGGGGATACGTGGAAGTGTGCCTTATTCATTGTCGTTCATTATTCGAACAGGCTTAATCTAGTGACTACAGATTCCACCGCTCGATGACACGCCCGTTCTTCAGCAAAAACAGAATCAGTCATTTTGATATATTTGACAAGCACGCGGAGGATGCCATTAGCCAGCTGAAGATTAGACTTAGAGATGGATACCCTGTGGATTTCCAGGTAAATTTATGATGACTATTCTATCCTTATTCTTTCTGATGCAGCTTCAGGACGTGGTCTCTCGTTTCACCTTAGATTCTGCGACAGAATTTCTCTTCGGCAAAGATGTCTGTTCTCTCTCCGCCGGCCTGGTCTACCCACCGTCATCGCCTCGTTCTAAAGACGTCGCATTTAAGAACCACCCCGCTAACAAGTTTGCGCATGCATTCAGTGAGGCTCAGATTGCTGTTGTCTATCGTGGCCGATTTGGCTCAGCGTGGCCCCTGTTTGAATTCTGGACTGATCGTGTCAAGAAGCACATGGGTGTTTGTTACAAGTTCATTGATCCCATCCTCAAGGAGGCGTTAGAAAAGAACAAAATGCTCAAGGAAAATATTGACGAGAAGGTAGTAAAGGATAGGGACGTCGAAGAAGGCGAAACGCTGCTTGATCACTTGGTGAATTACACAGAAGGTATGTAGCGCAAGCGCTGACGCGTCATCTCACATGATATATATTTGTTTCTTTCTAGACCCCATCGTCATCAGGGACGAAATTCTCAATATCATGATTGCTGGACGTGATACTGTATGTGTCTCTTTCGGACGGTCATTCTCAGGATGCTCATACCGCTCTTTCCAGACTGCAGCTACCTTGACTTTTGTTATTTATATGCTCACAGAGCATCCTGATGTCCTCCGCCGTCTTCGTGAGGAGATCCTTGGCAAGGTAGGTCGTTCGAGGAGACCAACCTACGATGATATGCGCGATATGAAATATTTGAGAGCAGTCATTAATGGTGAGATCATACTCAAAAGCCACTTTCTCCTGAGGTGACATAGGAATTTCAGAAACGCTTCGACTTTACCCACCTGTGTGAGTATTGGATCCGCTCCCTCGAAATTTCTGTATTTGATGTCGTCGAATTTTTCTAATTTTATTAGACCATTCAATGTCAGGTAAATACTAGTCCGCCCATTCAAATGTCTTCGTGCTCATTATAGATTAGGATCAGTACAGAACCAACGGTCTGGCCTGGAATTAATGGGGGAAAACCGATCTATATTCCTCCAAATACTAGGTGATTACATCAAGAAACAGGTTGTTTTTTCAACTGACGATGAGTATCTCAGGACACCTTACTCTGTATTCCTGATGCAACGACGAACAGACTTATGGGGACCAGATGGTGAGCACAATAATTGATTGGCTGCTTCATTGAAACGAATATTTGCTGACATTCTTCTCCACTAGCTGAAGAATTTGACCCAGATCGTTTCCTTGATGACCGCCTCCGGAAATATTGTACTCCTAACCCATTCATCTTCGTGCCTTTCAATGCAGGCCCCAGGATTTGTCTTGGGCAACAGGTCTGCTGACTGCTCTATCACAGTATTCATGCTTACATTCATGTTTCTCTAGTTCGCCTACAACGAGATTTCTTTTTTCCTAGTCCGACTTCTCCAGCAGTTCTCTTCGGTCTCATTGGCCACCGATGTCCAGACTCTTCCGCCTGCAGAGTGGGCGAAGTGTTCTGGCCGCAAGGCCATCGAAAAGGTCATATTTAAGAGTCACCTTACCATGTATGCACATGTAAGTCCTCACTTTGATTCTTTGTCCAGTGGCTCACATCGCGTATAGAACGGGCTATGGGTTAGGATGGAGGAAGCTACCCCTGTCGAGGTTGTGTAGATTTAAGGGTTCAGCATCACGACGACAAATCATTTATATCATCTGTACTATCATGTATATTGATGCAGAGGAAATATGTACAGTGGGCGGGGCCACCAAAACATAGAGGTGGATGCTAATCGGAAAATGAGACGACTACGAGGTGGGTAGAAGTAAGAAGCTCTGCATCATCAGCTGAGGCTCAATCTCACTGCAAGGCCAACCTTCACGAGGTTGCAGGCCATGTAGTGCGTGCTCCATTAATTAAACAGCTACAGAAGTTCAGAACCAGAGCAATTGCTAAACATATACTGTGAGCGCAAGGATCCCTGTTCCTTGTAATTACAATATTATGTAATGTAGAATGAACCCTGAGTAGCTTTCGGCGAAATGTCGGAGATACTAAGTGTAGCAGAGAGGAATGACTTGAATCTGTTCTTTGTCACCGTATGCAGATTTACTTTTGTTTTAGTGCTGCTGCAACTCTTTCAAAAGTCTTTTCTTCCCGGCCAAAGAAAATCAGGTTGTTGGTCAGATCAAGCTTGAGCCGACCAGTTTAGCCTTCCGATCAATGGTTGACCTTCATCTGAACTTTAAATGTGGGCCTGGACCATTATTTAATATATAAATCTTTCAGCTCCGTTTCATACACTGCTGCTCTACAGGCTCACAGTCTACGTTCACCACGTCATGGGTGTAACATGTGGCATTAGCAGGCCTGACTGGACGTCTCTAGATAGCGATCATGACTCAGAGGTGGTCGACGACTATGACTCCCCTTTGACGGACCTGGAAGACAGTACTGGTGATAGCAGCCTGGAGGAGACATTCAGTGAATCAAGCGGTAGTGAATACGGCGGAAAGACATATCATAGTAATTTCTATTTTCATCTCTCCAAGTGCAACTTGATATTCAAGGCTGGCTTTTGCTTTCAGGGAAACAACCCGCAAAAAAGCGTGCCAGGGTAGTTAAAACACTCAATACCGGTGTGACGCCACCAGCCAGAGCCTCTAGTCGAAAAAAGAAAATTCTTAGCCTCATTGTCACTATGCCGATTGACATTCTTCTTGAGGTTAGTTGATGAGCATCGGCCTTTTACGTGTCATCTGACCTCAACTTATACTCCCCATCAGATTTTTGGCCTTTTGGAACCGGCAGACCTTTTACATCTGTCACGCGCGAGCAAAGCTTTCCGCAAGGTTCTCTTATCTAATAATGCAGTCTCAGTCTGGAAAGCTGCCCGCGTCAATCGTGGTGGTGTTCCCGACTGTATGCCTGGCATGTCTGAGGTCGAATGGGCCAACCTGCTATTTGGTGGTTCTCAGTGTTATGTATGTATACTCTCCGTTCTCACCTTTTGCACTTTCGTGACAATCACCTCAGGTGTGTAGCACTAAGGGAATTACGAGAATAGACTTCGGTATCAGACGCAGAGTATGTACCTCGTGCCTCAAGAAAAAGTGAGCATCACTTTATGACTATGTCCTTATGTGCTCAACGATTCGTCAAGCCTGGTCTATAAGTCCAACTTTCCATCAAGATTTCCTGACATTGATCCGACTGTCATGGATTTAATACCATTCACTAACAGTGGGTACACTCCTACTATGACTTGTTAGTATCTGACCATCCAGAATAGTCGGTGGATGGGCTCATGGTCATGCCAGTGGCAGCAAGTTTTTTTGGTCAGACGACGTGCTGAAAATGGCTGCTCAGTTGGGATTTTACCAGAAGGATGTACACATGTTTAAGCCAGGTGCCAAGAAAAGGCTGGAAGACTTCAAGCAATCACGCAAGATATATGTTGATTCTGTTGTTAATGTAAGGTTTCTGCAAGTAGTTTGTTTAGATCTAACACCCTCGAAGCATGCTACGATGTGTAATACCTGGGTCAATAAGGACCGCGAACGTCATCTATTGACAATCACCGGGCTTCGCAGGCAAAATAAAGAGCTGTAAGCATATTTCATTGACTCGTCATCCCACCATGACTTGATCCTTTCCCAGGATTAAAGCTAGATTAGTTCACCTCGGCCACGATGCTAAGGACGTGACACGCATGTTCGATCATCGCGGATATGCCGTCAATAAGGAGCTTACCGATGCACGTCAGTGTTTCTACCATCATTGTAAAGAATTATCCTCTTACTGCGTCGGTTTCCAGGGTGGAAACGTCTACTCCCGAGAATCGAGCGTAATCTTTTTGAATTGAAGGAAAAGTGGCGTCTCCAGGACCAAGAAAATGCATCGTCTCGACGGAAGATGGACCTGCTGGAGATGTATGGCAACTATGTGCGGCAGGTGCGAAAGGGCCTTGTACCTCCTTTGGAATCCTTCTTGGAGCGCAGTGATGTCATGGACTTTATCAATAGCCCGCCCACTATGGAACGAGAAAGCGATATGAATGCTTGTCGTGCTTTTGCCGACAAATTCCCCGAATTTTGCACTGGGTACACCCATCAAGTGAAGCTCGCAGCAACGCAACTTCTTGGCCCCTCCACTGGTGTCTCGCAAAATACTCTAGGGCTACAAAATCACGGTATCAGCGCCCCTGACGAGACCTCGCTGCAACTAGCCACTTCTATTTTCCAATGCACTTCCTCGCGCCCTTTTCCCCTGATCACATGGGACAAAGTGCAGTATCACAGGTGCCATTCTCGCTTTTCCTGGTCGCTGAGGACAACAGCTTGCACATTTTCGATATCTCAATTTGGAATTACTGCCGCTCGCTCTTTGTTAAGCTTAGTCGGCCTTGATGCCAAAACTACGACTGCAGCCACAATGGATCAGCTCCAGTTTCACTTTTTTTGCTCCAACTGTCCACCCAAGCAAGAGAAAGGAGGATCTTACCGGATGGCGATGGACTGGCGTCGAAGTGTTCGTTCCTGTGTTTGTCTTTTGACAACGTGCTCAATAATTATGGTGCACCTAGATCATCCATTACGTCGAGGATTCGCACGCAGAACCTCGTTGGGAGCTCTTGAGTGCTGCGCAACTTGAAATGATTCGAGGCCCGCGTGCTCCCCAATATCCTAAAGCTACTGATTTGGTGTGGTGCTGTAACAAGTGCGATAGGCATCACGGAAACCCAGTTAGCAAGGCTGCCGTCATTGACCATATGCGATGGTAGATCATCACCTCTCCTGTTATACTCACTTTACTGACACCCAGTAGGCATGGAATCGCCGCTCCGAAGCAAGGGGTCGACTTTAGCTATGACCTCGGCCCTGTCGAGCTACCACCATCAGGAACGAAGTTCTTCGTTACCTCCCCTCACCCGGGCCTACCCAAAAAGCCGCCGACAAAAGACTATCGATGCAAACACTGCAAGGGCTCACAACGGAGTTTTATATTGGAAGGTGTTAGGCAGCACATCAAACACAAGTAAAAAGACATTCCATCTGGTTGTGCCCTACTCATTGAATTTTCTTTAGGCACGAAATCAGCTCCCCGCGTGAAGAGACAGACTTCCATCGAATCTAAGTAATGCTTCCCCGTTAATACGTATCTCCAGCGGTCACGTACGCCGACCGCTATTTGCATTACCAGCCCCTAATGTCTATGTACTTCGGACTTTCATCTACTGTCAAATGAATGAAACTCGTTGAATGCTAGGACGACAATCCATTAAGTACGTCGTATACGTAGATGATCACCGCCAGAGCATGCCCACCAGCTCGCTAGCAGGATATCTATCTCTAAGCAACACCATTCCCTGTCTTCTCATTCGGGTTCCATGGTCCTGCGTCGCTCAGCGAGCACCCGCCCGCGCATCTGCACTTGCCACCCAGATCAGCAGGAAGATCCTCTGCACGGATGTCCTGCAATAACTTCTGTTGGTATGAACTCCCAAGAATTTCTATCTTCGACACAGTCACTTCATCCAGCCAAGGTTTGATCAACGACCACACGGCAGCGAAGCCCCACGGCGCGTTGATGATGTAAAATTTACCCATGCATTCCGGATATCGGTCCTGCCCGATCTTCGAAGCCTCGTTCACGTAATCTCTGACTTGGTAAAAGGAAGAAAGGGAAACGCCTTTCAGATCAAGGATGGTGCAGACCGTCTCGACGGGGTGACCAACAGCTGCGGAGCATGCAGGGAGACGATCTGTAAGAAACTTCTCGTACTCGAGGATAAGACGTTGGAGCAACCGTTCCTTTGTCGTGATGCCATACAGCGCTGGGACATTGAGCTTGCCGAGTCTCTCGATGTATACCGGTCTGCCATCCTGCAACACAGCGGTTAGCGAAAGAACACGTTTGAAGGATGTGACGGCTACCTTGTCTATTTTGTGGTAGTATTGAGGATAGTATTGATCGACCTGCTCTTTCTCGGTGAAAACAAAGTTCCTGCGTTCAAGTTGGGCGAGATCAGGTTTATCGGCACTCAAGGCAATGGCAAGCGACGAACTGCACGATGTCATCTACTTTCATATCCCGTCTCCACTGCTCAGCAGCTAGTAACATCGCCTTTGCCTTCGGGACATCGAACTTGCGCGCCCTCAAGTATCTGCAGACTGGGTCAACACACGCCTCACACGACCAATCGGTCATAAATCGTGGGTCTGCGACACAGAATGCATCTACAGACTCTCAGATCGAGGAGTGGGACATACCGTAGCAGCATTGGATCATCCATTCTCTCCTCGACGAAATGACCTTCATCTCGGAGCTGATTCTTCAAGGTCTCAAGGGCATGTTGCTGCGGGACGGTGAGGTTTCCAACCCGCCCTGGCAGTGGACGAAAGTTAGGATCAGTTATGCCGTTTGGCAGTGGACTAGCGCTGGCTTGTTCAAGTGTGGACATGGTCAAGAGTGAAGCTTAGCACAGGCGTTGAAACTTTAAAATCGGGATTACAGTACTAGTACAGCAACAGCCTCCACTATTTGGTATTTGTGTTCCAATTACACCATTCCACGGTTCATACAAGCAACAATATCCCAAATCTAGCAGGAATCGCATCATTATTTCCAGAGCCCAGAAACACGAGTTGAGTCGTGTTCTAATGCGAGGGGGCTTGGGTAGTAATCCATCTACTAATAGTACACGATGCGGCTCAGCGGATAAATTTACGGAGCAACGCAGGTTGAAATGCAACTTGTGTGTGAGGAATGCAATAGAAAGTAGTATGCAAACAAATGAAAAGAACAAAATGCTTTCTGAGGTACAACCAACCTGGAAGCCAATATGATACAACATATCGATAATTTTCAGATTGTGGCGTAGGAGATGAGGGCATTACACGATGTCCCAGAGTTCTTCTAGACCACAACATAACTACCAGAAAATGAGGATCTAGTTTAAGATATTGACGCAAGCACTCACCTTGCCACAAGCAACTGATGCAGATAGAGGATAATCACTGATACTGATTTTGTGGTCTACAACATGATCGGCAAAGTCATCGCGGCCTCGAGCCATCGCGCCCACAAAGACAGCGATCGAGTGCGTTTCCGGAAGAGTCGGAAGATAACGGGATAGTCTGACAGTGGGAGCATCACCAGAAAGGGCTAGATAAGTGATCAGGGGTGAGCGGGTATCTACGGAATGCATGAGTTGACTGACTGAGTTTGATAGTATTGACAGGAAGGTGGTCGGACACGGGGTTCTGAAGCACAAGGTCAAGTAATGATCGCAGGTCGAAGAAAATGCAAAACGTACCTTGATTACCTTGAGCAGCTTCTCTGGGCCGTTGACACCTCGAATAGACAACTTATGGAGAAGTTGAACTTTTTTTTAAAAAAATGAGTGACGAGAACAAGATCAACGAGCGTAACTTACCCATTAATCCGCTGAATCGTTTGAAGGTACGAGGAATCCTTACATGAGGATTGACCTCAATGAGCACTCCTTTTGTAGTGTGTATGTACACCTGTAGCAGACCCGCCTTATTTAGAGGCGAATCCAAGAGTGTCAACAGGCACTGGGAAGGGGAAAAAAAATTGGTATCAAGGAATCATATGTCGTTTTCCCATAGTGCGCACCTGATGCGTAATATCGGGACGAGCATCCGCGATATCTCTACCAGTTTTTGCGAGGATGCCCTGATGGTCGTCGCAATTGAGAAGAGTGTATTTGACATCACCCTCCCTGCCGCCTTTGCCTTTTCCTCCACTTGATACTCTGTATGCCTCCAAGCAAGCTTGCTCTAGGATGACAAACAACCTTCTCTGAGTCGATGCAATACCACCACGGGGTACATGAGCCTGAACTGGCAACATGGACGGGTTTGCAGATTGCGGCATAGGATTGCTGGATGAATTTCCGGCCATTTTTCGAGATTTAGCAGGTAGAGGACGAGTGGGACGCTCTGGGCTAGAATTTTCTAGATTGGATGTGATGACTTGACGTTTTTGAGATTCTTGAGAGTGTGACGAAGATTGTTGAGTTTGTTGACTGAGTAAATCGTTATCAACCTGCATGGTGGATGTCTCCTTATCGGAGCCTTCCGAATCAGACTCGGGTGAACCGGACCTGCGTTGTCGCTGGTGCCGTTCATCAATGGGAGTTGATTTTGGTCGTGGTGGGGGCACAATCATAGCTTCATCATCTCGTTGTGCATTGAGTAGATTAGCACGGATTGGCGCTGGGGCTGTGGTCGATCCTGAATGGCGACGACGACGAACAGAGAGTTCTGGGACGGCAGACATGATTCGATGTGAGAGGAAAGAGGGAGGTGGATGTAACTGTAGATGAACGTTGAATCCCGGATATCAGATCTCTAAGTACTTATTCAATTTTATTTGGAGCACTTAGTATCCGCACTTAGGTATGGCATAGGTATCAGGCAAGTGAAAATTTTCACAAGGTGCTATGTAACAACATCCAGATCTCACACAATCAGACACAAATATAATAGATTTATTCGCACAAGAACTGTTCGAGGCTTGTTAGGTCTCAAAAGAAGTTTTTGATGAGCTGGAAAGAGTGGGAAATGAGTTTTGCCATTGAACCATCCTCTCAATCCACCATCATCTGCCATCTCAAATAGAGAGCGCAGTCTAGATAAGAAAAGTCACCTGGCACACCTACGCCCGATGTATGATCATCGTGGAGTCTCTCTATAAAGAGACAACAATTGATTAGCATGTCTCATAACTAGTCTGCGTATTACATACTAAAGGTATTCCCATCGAAACTCGTAATGACCCCATCTAGACTGCTTCCATGCCTTCGGATGCAAAGCAGATGAATGGAACCCAACGCTCCTGTAATACCTTCGGAAACACGAAAGGTAAACCTTGCGGGCATTCCGGCATATACGGATGCCTGCATGAGGCTACGGCCTATTTGGTATCAATCCGACAAGATCGATGGTAAACACATGCGCTCACAAACTCCATGAGTACCTTGCTAGGCTAGCCTGTAATCCGAGGCGGGGCATGTCACTCAGACCGCTTTTGCCTAAAACTGCCTACAAGGGCGTTATCAACATCCATTGGAGCATCAGCCGAATTATGCATCTGATGAAGGAAATAGGAAATGCGGAAAGATAAGTCGTTTAACTGTTCGCCTAGTAGAGATATATCACATGGAAGAGGGCGACGGACCGTCGATGACAGGGACAACCACGAAAGGGCGCGTAAAGTGACATCGCACTTCACTTCGATATTCGAAGTTCAAAATGTTCGTGATAGTCGATAATCTTGCCGACTGGATGAGTGATAACGCGGGAATCGAAGTCGGAGACACTTTACCACCTCCAAGTCAAGCACCCGAGAGGTCTCAAGGTCAGACGACACCCGCGAGGAACACCAACGTCGATTGCGCGGTTGAGGGAGAGCATTCCTTGTGGAGTTTAAGTATCCTGGTCTCACGTATGGAGTGCAACCAGGTCCCATTCGTTAACTTCGCACCCACAGTGTGAAAATTGTCGTCGTTCCAGAGTTCCAGAGAACAGCATGTTTTCTGGGAAATCTCACAGACTAAACACACTATTGACAAGACCGATGTAGCCGAGACCAATCATGATAAAAATAAAACCAATATTTCGAATAGGTTGCATTTAATGAAGCTATCGGTAGTGCTTTACGGCACAAGCGATGACAGCAACGAACATTCTTGAGACGGGGGTGGCAGTCTATGGCAGTATTAAGTTAGTGCGATCCTTCACCTGACATGTACAATGATAATGACATTTGAGGCACTTACCTCACTCTAGGCCTATTGAACATCACATGCCCGCCATTTTAGTGTCGGACGTCAACTTGAAGTCCTGAAGGTAGGTCGAATTGTATGAAATCAAGACCATGATATGGTATTTCGGTTCCGTCTTTTCTTCAAGAAGCAGGAAAGTTACAAACGTTGGAAAGCCTATCATTAATATTGCCGGCGGTTAAGTAGCCATGGCGGAGTTCGGAACCTAAACCGATTCAAACCAGCTGGTGGTTTATCACAGCTATCTGCAAAATGATAGGCCAGAATGTCAAAAATTTACTTGGCCACTTTTGTTTATTATTGGAGCGAGACCAGGCTCCTTCCCAGCCCCATTGAGGGGCATTGCCAAAATCAATGCACGTGATCTGTCGCGTCAATATGAGTAAATAGGTCTAGTATGGGTTGGCATCAAACCACATTTGCGTACTCTAAAATCCACAGCTAATATGAAACCACTCTTTGTATCGGATAACAACAAACTAGTCACTGCATACAGTCATGCCCTGAGAGTGATCACTACGTTGCTCACACGGGCGGGCGTCTTCCTCATTTCCCTTGGTGTTGACGGTCATATCGTCTCCAGGGGCATCGCCAGTCTTGCTGACTCACTGAAGGAGTTGCAAGGGATAGTAATAACTATAGAGGACTGGGTCGAACAAATCATAAGGAACCATGTCAGTACTGCCTTCAGTGATTATAGGCGATATCGCTGATATTGATATGGAATTGACAGAACAGCGCTCAGGCAACTCCGGTAGAAAGTGGGCAAAAAGAGGATGATGTTGTGATTACACCTCGCACTCCGTCACGCAGCACTCACTTAGACCAATCCCCGTGTCTGAGACCTACCCCCGTCGCGCCCAGCCCTGCCGCCCCTTCCGGAGTGTCTACACCGTGGTCAGCATTTCCGCAATCTTCGCCTCAAGTCACACCGCTGTTTCGTTGTGACCTTCAAAATACTCCTGTATCCATCAAGAACGCGCATGTTCTCTTCAATCGCATGCGGGCAGTACCTGCATACCAAACGCCTACACTTGGACTGCTCGAATCTCCCATGACGTCTCGCGTCACGACGCCACTTGCATATGGAGGACATCTTTCTTCAATCGACACTCCTCGTCCAATCATACCATTGTTCTGGCAACCGGCACCGAAAGGACATCCGGTCAAACTGATGGCACCAGACAGTGCGAGACATAGAAAGAAGGCTAGTAAAGAGAACGAGGAAGTGGGGACTGCCTCTGCAGCGAGCAGGTCAATATCATGACTCTTTGAGTGATCTTTTGTCTGTGCGACTGAGGTACGCAGGTACTCCTCTTGCATGATACAAGAGTGGGGGACACATGTACGCACTGAGGCGCTAGGAGGATATTGTTGAGGAGGCAGGTATGATAATCTGGAGTATTCTTGCAATAACAGTTATGGAGGCGTCCGGGAGGCAAATGACCTTAAGTGTCCTGCGCATCTATTAAAACGAGTAAGGTTGAGACAGTGAAGCACAATAAAACGTACAATACAGGCGCCTCCGCAGCTTAGAGGCAGACACAATCCCACCTTGACCCCATCAACCTCTAGTAAAATGTCGAACCTCATCACAATCACTATGCCCCTACGAGAGTTTAAAAGTCGTGGAGGAAGCGTAAGGGCAGTCGCAGTTTTCTCCGATAAACGACGGATGGTTACATTGTGGTCCAGGGACAAGGCACTCGGTCTATGGGGCATGAAGACAGGTATTGTGTTGAAGAAGTTAGAGAGGCATCGCAGTCAAGTGCAGACATTGGCAGTATCACGAAATGGTCAATTGATAGCAAGCGGTGAGAGTGGTCATCGTGTGGCACGAAGAAACTGGCGAATCACTCGCCAAAATTGAAGTCCACTCCGATTGAATTTCTTCATTGGATTTTTCTCCGGACGGGACAGTGCTGGCCACTGGTTTATGGCAAGAAGATTTAATCTGGAGTCATTTTATCCGCTGCTTACGGTATTCACCATCTGGAAAACGTCTTGCCATCGCAACAGACGGTGATATCGAAATTTGATCGAAATTTACAATTCAGGCTCGAGGTACATTCGTCGCATCTTCATCTTATGATCATGTCCGTCTCTGGCACCTCTCAAACTAACAAACCCTTGCTATCTTCAAGCACTCAGAATGCGTCACTTTTGCCGTGGACGGCAACCACATCCTCAACGGAGGTGAGGAAGGATGCGATGGGCATAGATGCGCAGGACCTGATCTATTTTCGTCCGGGGATGAGGAATGCCTAAAAGAAACTGCAATGAGCATCAGGCGCGTCACATGCAAACTAGATCACCGCTGAAAAGACTTTAATTCAGTTCTTGCGGGAAAAGCCCATTCGGCAAATGTTCTTGTCCGTCCGTGGGATCGGCATCTCCTCGGAGTACCTGATTTCGCAGACGATATGGAGAGCATAGGAGATTAGTTCGAGCCCAGGTTTCCGGTGGACGACTCTGACAAGTTACCCGGCGGTTTACCTGTATGCGAGGAACCTTGCTCACGAACGTTGCGGTTGCTAGTCCGCCTCGGGCAGCCTTTCGACGCATTTTTGCTAGCGCAGCAGCATGTTGGAGAATACGAGAGGGTCGCGATAGACCATAACATCATTGCACAAATCAAAGACATTGCTTCGGTCGATAGCATGGATGTCGGTACCGTATAAATACTCTAGGTGAAAAGGGAGTATAGTGAAGTAGGAGAAAGAGCGATCGCATGTGAGCTCGGCATGAGGTAGGCATGAATTGCTTCCGCGGGATCAAACGTTCCATCGATGACTGGCATAAATTTTGGTCAGCGAATGTATATGTTCATTTATCACCAATGACTTGTTGTAAGTAGATTACTGGCCTAGTAACATGATCAGTTCTACAAGCTCAATTGTTCAACACACTAAACTAGATACTCGGCAGGAAGGATCAAGGACTTGAATGCTGTGAAAGTCATCTGAAAGTACGATGATTGACGTTACTCGTGACAATTCTTCATTCACAATATCTAGATATCCATGGTAGGTGATGAGTACTAACATGCACTGCGAACGTACCTTCGCTCTCCAAAGTCACCTAAACCTGGAATAATGTAAGATTTTTCGTTGAGGCCCTGGTCTATCCATCCGGTAATCTGGATGATAGATTAAGTTGATCAAATCTGACTGGCATATATCTACTCACCACGCGCAAAGACGGGAATCTACCGCAGAATCTCTTCAAACCTTCTGGTGCCGCGATCTAGACGGCAATAAAATATTTGCTTTCGGATGGAACTCGCAGTAGGACAAACCAAGTTAATGAATATGATTCGCTCCTCTGGAACGCCTTGTTCCTGCAAAACTTCAACTGCCTTCATAGCTGAGCCTCCAGTGGCTTTAAAGTGTTTAGCAAAAGAATGTGCGTTGCAAGAGAATATGATGTACCTAGCATCGGATCGAGGAGAAGTACATATCGGGATGCGATGTCTTCGGGAAGCTGCAGTTACAAAGCAGTCAACACAATGCTCGTCGTAGCGCACCGAGTCTACCTTAGAATAAAAGAGCTTTGGAAGCGCAGTCTCCTCGTCCTGGTTGCAAAGCCGTTATTTATGATCAGAAGATGCAGATATATGATCGTACTCGTTGAATCAGAATCTTCCCTATGCGCACGCTACGGCATACTTCTCGAAGACCAGCTTCCATGGCCTGTTACGTTCGGCATTACTAACCGTCAGGTGATGTACTATTCGTACAATGATGGCCAACAAACCTCGCCAGCGCGCAGAATTGATACTCCACAAATCTTTCCCTCGAATCCAACACCTTGATACGTGGAGCCCTTCAGCAGAAACACGTCAATATAGGGGGGAAATGATGCAGCTTCTTCCTCGACCCAGGCGGTTCAAATAGAATTGACATACCGTGGGAGTCTCCACTATCTTTGGGACCACAGGTAGATGATTTAAACTTTCTTCAACAAGTAGACGAATGATTCGGTCAGAGTAAAACAAGAAATCTCCTCGACTTGTGGTTTTATCGCGGATGATGGTGTACAGAGCCTCGAGTTGTGCTGTTTGGGGAAGAGTAAACACTGATGGCGGTAGCAAAGCTGGGTGCGTTTGAGACGTCGGCGCCGTTGATGCTGCCATTGCTTAATTGCTTAATATTAATGCTGGCACTGATCTGAGAGCTTGAGCATTCGAACGACATGGCTTGTCACGTGCACGTCATTCTCCGCCAAAACTGAGCCAGTCTCAATCTATCACTGCTGTCAACCGCCCAGATCCACACATTCCTGTCAAGAACGACACCGCTAAACTGGCACTCATACTGTAGTATTGCAGGCTGCTTCGTGTTGCACATTTGCTTTATTTGTACGTCGGGAGAAATGTCTGACAACTGCTAGTCTCATGCCTCACACACGTTGTCAATCACTCTTGGTTCTTGCAACAAATGATACCCAGTAAGCGGCTGTCAGCCTCGTGCGATTGCTTTGACGTCAGCCGCATTCTCGAACCCTTCTGAAACGATTAGTGACCTTCCTATGTGTCTCTTCTCATGGCCCCTGCCATCAGGAATGTTCGCAACGTACCTTCCGCGCATCTTACCGCAGTCACTCCTTCATCTACCTTTGCATCCCTCTACCTCCAAGATGGGCTGCCGGGTTCTGGTATCCCGCAAGATGTCTTCAAAGGTGGCTCCTTCTGTTTCTCTGTAGTTGCGTTCTCCGCCATTGGATTTCTTTACCGTTCAAAGAATAAAGCCCGAACGTCGAGATCTGGTCCTCGTGATCTCCTTCTCCCCGCTGTCTTCGCCTGTAACAATTCTGATGCTCCAGCCAGACTTGCTGCTGGACGACTCGCAATGGACATCTCCGCACCATGTCTCGTGTCTTCTACCAATGCTGCTTTGGACCCTTATTATTTCGAAAGCCATACTCCACATCAACTTTATTCCTCAGTCGAAGTGTCCCCCATCGCATGCCATTCCGGGTTGGAGTTTTCGGCTAGCCTGCAGCATCCTTATGCGGTAAATCAACTTCATGGTTTGCTGAAATTGTGGCTCACTGTATTCACTCAGTCTACACCTCTGATAGAACACAGCCAGTCGCTCGATTTCTTTCAAAGTGGTATTGGAGAGCTCCAGCATATCCCAGAAATGGGACCACTTCACGGGTCAGATTTTTTGGACCCAGAACACCATTCCTACATTCTCTCGATTCCGACCATTCCGAGGATCGCGCTCGAGGATCTTTCCGACGACAGTCTCACGTTCGTTAACAAAACTTACGATTTCAAGATCATGTCTGTTGGTGCCTCTGTCCGCGAGGGAGATTTTTTGGAATTGCCCAAGGGATGTTGGCCACGCGCCTCACCTTCTCGATCATCCTTTTCTCATCAGGGCGCTCGCTGTTACAGTGTCCATGTCGGTGATATTTCCAAGTACACCGATGCACTCTCTGCTCCTGTTTGTCGGCTGCCTGCCTTCCAGGGGGCTCACAAATATTCTCTGGAATCCAGCAAGGAGAGCGATGACAAGACTGAGAACCAGGCTTCCAGTATTCTTCTAGAGTTCATCGAAGATGGTAGTCGACACCAGCAGTCCGACCTTACTTCTGCAAGCAAGGAGAGCAAAAATCATAACTCCGCATCAGGAGTCACTTCACAGTCAGACGCGGTCCTTGTGAAATCAGTACCTGATTACCCACGCCTGGAACCCTCTGCGGTCGTTCACTCCCACGGTAAACACCGCCGCGCCCGAGCAGCTTCCTATCAGATTATCTCTGGAACACTGACCGAGCACAAAGACTATATCGATATCCAGTCATTTTGCAGGAGCCCAAAAGAGTCGCGGTGGGCACCCGAGAATGGTATGATGGTCATCAAAGTCTACATCCCCTCCACCAATGACCTCTGGGCTGCGTACTTCCCCACCTATGTCACCCTCTCTATGTTCACGTATATATGGTCGTCCAAACTAAGCCTTCGCCTCCGGTTCAGCGGGAGTGCGATGGACACGCCGGAATACTACTTCGAAAGGGATGAGGTATTTCAGTGCTGGGTGAAACACCGAGTCCGGCATGGTCGCAACCTTCCCATCGTCGGTCATTTGGACTACGCGGTCCCTCTGCCGCCACTTGTACCGAAGGAGGCTTAGACCAAACCTTTTCCCTCTGGATACACCAGTCTCGTTGCTGACATCTTATCTCCACCGCTCACATGTCTTCAACTCTGCACAATACTACTTCCGCTCGATGTGTTTATCAATTCAATGTTTTCATTTTGTAGGATCTGTCTGTTTTTCCAATCGGTGCGGTTAGGCCAAAAATACACATGGGTCAACGCGAAGACCGTTTTATCTTGCAGGGTAGTACGTCCTCGCTCGTTGAACATGAAAACGCGCCAAAAACAACAAATAGGCAAGAATTGGCAAAATTATTCTGAATCTTCTGAGACGAATAGATGATGGTAGAGTTTATCCAAGCTATCTACACCCTCCGACAACAATACTGCATTGATGTTCCAGAGTTGTTGGCAAAATCTGTTGCGCCTAGTTCCACGGCAGATCTCACGCAAAGGGATGGCAACAAAGCTGAGCAGAACTCTAGACTCGATAACATAGATTGATATTCCACTAAAATATGACCCTAAAGCAACTACGATGGATTTACGCAGGTAGCCGATGGCAGATTCTTCTTCGAATTCATGGTCGGGGTCACCCTTGGCAATGCAACATGCTGGAAATGGGACATGATGATGTCAAAACAAATTCTCAGATGACCTGCAGACCTATAATCACTCAGCAGCTCTGGCGGTCAAGCGGACAGTCACCGCGTAATCAACCCACTCAAGGCAAGCTTTTACTGTGACAATCCTCTCAATGATAGGCCATGCAGGCAAAGTAGAGCGCACATTCTCTGATCTCGGTAGAACACAATCTGCGCGACGGTATAATCTCTCAGCATTTGCAATAATTCGCGCAAACTTCACAATTAACAGTGCCATAAAACCCGCGCAGGCCAGGAAGTCCACTCGCTGTCAAGATGCTCACATGCACACTCGTGAAGAGGTTAGCATGCTACCGAGACTTGACAGGATCTTGAAACATCATCATTCGTGAGGGCACCTCCGTTCGCGACAGAGTTTCGTGATGCAGATGACCCTCTTGCTGGTCCAGAGGCTATTTTGCCCGACCACATTGCCGTCGAAAATGCGTTGACCAAACATAGATGCTGTCAAAGCAACAGGAACAATGAGGAATGAGAAATGCATTTTCTGTGCAAGGTGAAATGTAATCTTCTGAAGGGGATATCGAATAATACCTCTGAGGATGGGGAAACATTACAGGATGATGGCCAGCTCTTAGCATATTCCATACATTTGGGTACGATTCTGATCAATTTGGCAGAATTGTTATTGCTGGCGCTGTCAGATGGCGTCAAAACCTGCAGTTGTGTGTTTGTTTGCTGATGTACCATAACCCAATCTCTCGCTCATCGCTTCATCATTTGAACCTGCAGTGACCCTGCGGGACAATGAACTTGAATGCCCATTCTTGTGAATCCGATATATGCACTCGCCGACTCGCCGTACCCTGCGCAGAGACCACGAGGTATCTTTGATTCTCATTCTCATTCTCATTCTTGGCAAGCGCTTGGTCAAAGATTCCTAGTACCTGAGTCTTGGTGTGGTTATAGCTATCACAGTTCACTGTAAAAAATTTGAGACAATCACGACAATATCAGGTTAGTCCATGGCATACCCCGACGACCACGTACTTCCGCGTCGACCGTGTCTCTCGCTCAATGACTTGAAGAGAATAACTCTCGAGCTCTCCATGCTACCCTTTGATGACAAGTACCACACAGGGAGCAAGATTGATCCTCCTTACCCTTTACCTTTTATCTTTGTCGCCTGCCAGATTTTTTCACTTTCACCATAACGCGCATTCCCGTATGACCTTGAGCAAGTTTCGACCAATATATACCAGAAAATAACACATTCGTCACGCAATGAAGTAGCGTTTCGTCGGCTCCATCGCAGTGAGAGAGAGAGAAAAGCTAGCCTTTGTGGCCAGCCATGACGTTAGACAAGTGATTTGCAAAAACGAAATAACAGATCAGTATATTACATAATCAAACGCGATCTCAATGTGAATCCGATTGACCTTAAACTTGTTTCGCAACTCCAAAACTACAAGTCATGTCCATGCACATATTCGGTAACGAGGTAAGTCCCGGGGATTGATGACTTATCGTGCTCGACGTCACTAGGTTTTATCCAGGCAACCGAGGAAAAAGCTGAAAATGCTCGTTTATCCTCTTTCGTCGGCGCCCTCGCCCTTGGCGATCTTGTGAAATCAACGCTTGGACCGAAGGGCATGAATAAGATTCTGCAATCAGCATCCTCTGGAGACATCAATGTGACTAATGATGGCGCAACGATTCTCAAGTCCATCCAGCTCGATAATGCAGCAGCCAAGATCCTCGTTAATATCTCGAAAGTCCAAGATGACGAAGTCGGAGATGGAACTACGAGCGTGTGTGTGCTGGCAGCAGAGCTGCTGAGGGAAGCAGAGAGGTTGATTGCTATGAAGATACATCCTCAGACGATTGTGGAAGGATACCGGGTCGCGAGCATCGCTGCGCTTGCCGCACTTGAGAAGGCAGCAGTCGATCACGCGTGAGTATTCGCGTTTTTCGCGTCGTTTTGACATTTCTTACTGAATTGACTTTCGTTTGTGCTCTCAAATAGCTCTGATGCTGCCCAGTTTCGTCAGGATCTTTTTAATATTGCTCGTACCACCCTGTCATCAAAAGTCTTATCACAAGAGAAAGATTATTTTGCCAACTTAGCAGTGGATGCTGTGCTCCGATTGAAGGTACGTTGTAATTGCTGAATTTGACGCTCGTATTGACTATCTTCGAGGGTTCAACGGATTTGGAGCACATCCAAATCATCAAGAAAGTTGGAGGCAAACTCACAGACTCATACCTCGATGAAGGTAGGCTGAGAGGATACAACCAACCTTCCTTATCTCACGAGCGTACTCTTTAAAGGTTTCATTCTCGACAAAAGTATTGCTGTCAACTCGCCCAAACGTATGGAGAATGCGAAAATATTAATCGCAAATACCTGTACGTGCGCGATCATCTCGTATCAATTTGGAACTGAGGCACGGTCTCTCAAAAGCAATGGACACTGATAAGATCAAGATCTTTGGAGCCAGAGTAAAAGTAGACTCGACAGGAAAACTTGCTGAGCTCGAGCGGGCTGAACGGGTACTTACCTGCTTGTATTGTTTCATTTGATTTTCTAACGGCGCACTGCAGGAAAAAATGAAAGCCAAAGTAGACGCGATCGCTGCACATGGCATCAATTGCTTTGTCAACCGGCAGCTCATCTACAACTACCCTGAGTCTCTCTTGGCAGAGAAAGGTATTGTGGTGATTGAGCACGCCGATTTTGAGGGTGTCGAGAGGCTATCACTCGTCACTGGTGGTGAAATTGCGAGCACGTTCGACAAACCAGATCTAGTCCAACTTGGGAAATGTGACTTGATTGAGGAAATTATCATTGGCGAGGATAAGGTCGGCGCGATCATTTTCTCACTGATCCTGTGCTTATCAGAAGTCACAGCTCATAAAATTCTCTGGTGTGGCTGCGGGCGAAGCCTGCACCGTTGTGCTACGTGGTTCAACAAACCAGATGATCGATGAGGCCGAGCGTTCATTACATGATGCGCTTTCTGTCTTATCGCAGACAGTCAAAGAGACACGGATTGTCTTGGGCGGTGGTTGTTCTGAAATGTTAATGAGCTGTGCTGCGGAGGAGGCTGCACGGAAGGTTAAGGGCAAGAAGGCGATAGCTGCCGAGGCGTTTAGCCGTGCGCTGAGACAGATACCCACTATCCTTGCGGACAACGCTGGCTACGACTCTAGTGACCTCGTTGCCAGGCTAAGAGCAGCGCATTATGAGGGGCAGTCAGATGCCGGACTCGGTATGATTGTATTCTTTTTCAGGTTGATTCCGATCTTATTAGATTTTCAGATATGAACCAGGGCACCATTGGCTCGATGACACAACTCGGTGTTACAGAAAGCTATAAACTGAAGCGACAGGTTGTCCTCAGTGCAAGTGAAGCAGCAGAGATGATAATACGGTAAGCAGCGCACCTTCCGGATAATGAGCTCTCCTTTGATCTCGGATATGAATAGGGTGGATGACATTCTACGTGCTACACCTCGGAAGCGTGAAGCGGTATGACCGGAGTAGTATTCATTGGAGGAAGAAAACAAGGGTACTGGTGGTGATCATCAATAGCTGTCTCTCAATGACCGCTACGACTTACTCGACAACTTTAAAGTGATCTATGCGTTGCTGTTAGTTGTTCGTAGACAAAAAAAATGCATTATAGATCTTGAATAGCTGTATATCACTACTGAACATAAATGATTGAAGGCAGAAATAGTGCGAGGGTGGCGACATTGCCCCTATATTTATTATTTGCGCATCGTTTAGACGCTCGCGCGGCCGATCGCGAGGCTCCTGAGTACTTAGTCAATTATGTGAGTGCCAAATTTCTCGTTCATCCATCTATCGTAACGATTAGAGCGCTAGGCTAGACAGGCTGTCGCTGCCATTCTGCCTTTCATCATGGACGCGAAATGTCAATTCCATGTAAGATCAGGAAATGTCATTTTTAGCGAGAACTCAACATAAAACTAGTCTGTACAGTGCTCAGCGGCAAATGGGAACAGCTACCATGTTTACCTCGAGCCATCCAATGAAACAGATGGCATCCTTACACGGCACGTCTGCACCAAGTTTCTGAACAGATCCAATGCGATCAGTCAGCCCACTATTGATGTGATGTTCGAAAGGATATGTGAAGACGGCCTTTACGACAGAGATCAGCGTCGATGGACGGATCGCAGCCACTATTCCGATGCTCTACTATTCCTGAACTGCTTGACAGAACGTTCATATACAGCACTTTCCACAATGCCAACTTCCGAGACGAAGCTCCCAAAGCGCCGAATTTGGGTCATGCATCCCTCTGAATCACCACTCAAAATTTCCGAGCATCAGGTATTACTTCTCGTGAATCATGACTCTCAGGGTGTATCGGCCATGGATGAGGTACACGCAATCGCAGAGCTTGTATCTGATCAAGACGCCCCACATCATCAAAGTGGCTTCCAGCCTCTTCAGTTCAACCTCAGCACCTCCGAGTCTCTCTCTCGATATGATCGCTCTTTTCTGTTTGGTTTATCGATCCAAAAATCAAACATTATGCACCTGATCAAATATGATCGACGTGGTTTTATGTCCACTCCATTTCACATCCATCATTATCCATGGGCAGTCCTTGGCTGCATCGACACTTTGGCTACGTGTGATAGCTATGATCTAGGTTGTTGTCCCAGCGTCGAGTCGGCTCCAGTTCCACCCGACAGTGCATCCTCCCGATCAATCAAGATGACCTATTATCAAAAAGCTACCCATTTGCGGCAGAGTGCAGATCATCACATGCGCGTCAGACTAACAAGACCACTGGTCTTCGGGTCCTTCGACGGATCGTTGTTTCCTTGTAATTGCCCCTTCGGATGGAAGTTTATCGTAGATTGCGGTGCCGCTCCTCAGGACCACGCACAGTTTTTGGATGAACTGAAAAATCTCAATGGGGTTCCAAAAATAGGGGCATATCGATCTATGGCAGTTGACTGCATGATCACCCACGAGAAGAGACTTTTTGGTCCACAGCATCTGATAGTGGAGAGCATCGTCCAAACCGTAGAGCATCTCGTCAGCGTCACCTACTTTTCATCCCGCAAGGAGCTTTTCTTGGCGATGATATCGTGCATAGACAGTGAGTAAAGACGTGTTGTACAGTACGACGCGACGTTCAATGTGCATAATAGCCCACCGTAACGCGTTTCTCTCGCACAAGCTACTTCATAATAACATCAATCCGCGCTCCATCTGTCTGAACGTGAACGATCCCAGCGATGAGAATGTCATACCGTTTTGGAATTCGGACGGAACACCTCCCATACGGGAAGCGATGCTCTGTGGGTGGAGATTCGCAAGACACATGGATCCTGGAAGCCAGATGATCGGCGTTTACAGATTCTCGGTAAGACTCCAACTGAGGATCAACATTATTTCAGCGACTAGAGGTTTTGTAGGAATACTTGGCAACAGAAATATTGTGGCACAAGACTTGTTTGCCACAACGAAGACACGATCTGGAATCATTCCTCTGGGTCATGCTTTTCATTTGCATCAATTTTCTCGGACCTTACAGCCAAAAACGCACGGTACTACCTAGCTGCGTACCCATGTGGCTGCGGGAAGATCGCCTGCCTTTGTATCGGCAAGACATATCTCATGAGAGATTCCAGGTGAAGGACTGGACTTCCACCTGCAGTGCGTGCTTCTCAGATTACTTCAACCATCCACCTATCGTGAAAGGTCTTGCACATCTCGCTTCAAAACTATTGCCACCGGGCTCCTTGAAAATCAAACGCGATGGTAGCAAGTCCGCCACTTTCCCGGAAAATCCTGTCACGTACGATGACATGATTTTAGCGCTGAAAGATATCATAGCAGAGCTCCCAGTAGAACAACCACCGTCGGAAGACGATGTCCGAAAAGCAAGGGAAAGATATAGAAGTATACAGAGTTCAGTATCTTACCGGGCTCCACATATTTACAATTGATTGCTAGATGATGGGATAATCAATGGGAACGATCCACATTCCTCCATGATAGTAGTACAAGCTTAATCATCATCTGGAAGGTGTCCGGTCTTCTCGACGTCCAAGAGGATTGCCTTCAACATCTCATGACAAATGGTGGCTTTGAGAAAGAGATCATATTGACTTAGAATCACCATTAAGTGTATTGCACAGCCAAGATCAAAAAGAATGGCATACTCATTATATCCTGGGGTTTCGCTTTGTCTTTCATCTTCCCACATGCTTGCCAATCGTCTATCAATCCATATTGCACTAGGAACGAACGATAGCCACGGGATGTCCAGGAGGTTGGCTTCATTCTGAAGCATCGCATAGCGCGGACCAAGAGGAGGAGGAAAGATTGGACTATCTGGATTGAATCGCCAAGGAGACACAAACCGAATGATTTGTGACTGTCGATTGCCGATGAGGTGGGAGTATTTTTGGACAGCCCAAGTAAGATCGAGAGGCCCACGTAGAGCCACAGAGGCAGCAGCAAAACTGCGAAGGAGGGAATGGGCTTTTGCGAGCTCGGTTTTGGTATTCACGACGAGACTAGATAATGGGTGGTCCAAAGGTAACAAATCTGGGGGGTTGTCACCAACTGTGATAAATACGCTTCGTCCCGGCACGTTCATCCCGCTCTGTAAGTACCGAGGGCTTGCCCATCGCGAGATGATGTACCCAGAAAAGGCGAGGACGGGGATGACCATGAGGAGTTTCTCCCAAAATGAGTAGGTTGAATACAGGACAACTAAACAGCTGATCAGCCATGCAATATCCTCCAAAATCGACAGCTCGATGGCCTTCTCAAGTGTTAGCGCTACATATCTGGGGAAAACACTTGGAGGAGCCAGGAAAGGCTGTACAGTGTTACGGCTAGAGAACAGAAACAGAAGTATGATCACGGTTGTTAATATTAGCTGCCAGCCCTCTGGGGCTAGAAAATAACAAAGACCCGTCGCATATGCAGCATCGAGAGGAATATTCATGTTCTGAATGACTGCGGTAAAGGGACGAGTTGTTTGTCTTTGCTAGAAATTGAAGGTACTGATAAACAAGCACAAATACGTTGAGTTATTTATGTACACAAGTGTCCCCAGCTTTTCATCTCTGATAGTATATCGGTCAGTACACCCGCCTGTCAGAAAGCAGCCCGCGGGAGAGCGGAGTTCGATTCTCCGTCAGAGAGATATTTTTTTACTTAAGAGAGTACAACTTGATGATACTACACTTTGCTTGAAGGAACGACACCACAGGTGCGATAATCTGCATAAGTTGTTGAAGAGGATTGACGCAGAGTATCGGTGACAATAAGGTACTGATTTCATGTCCTACCGTCCAAATTTTGGTCCCGTTTGGATGTAATTTTATTGGCATTGGCACTCCGATCGGTGTGTCGCAGACATGAGGTCATTTACAGTAAGTAAGTGAAATTTGAACCCTTCCCGACTTTACAGCTTAAATTGTTGCTCTTGCGTGTCTTGGTCTACAACCTGTGAGTTTAGACATACCTGTGACCTGATCTGGGTACTGATAAGTAGCACAATTCGGACCATTATAGGGTTCAAAATTTCAGGCCTCATGTCCTGGGCGTCTAATGATACACGAAGCATGTTAAGGCTGTGAAGAAGCACAAAAAGGCCGATACACGCGCTTCTTAAACTTAGATCAAGACAACCACAAGCTCTCCAGCAAGTTGTGCTCAAAACCATCCACCTCAAGCAGAATGACAGAACAACACTCCGTCATTCGAATCACCACCCCCAGTCAAACATTTCAAGGCCATAGAGACAGTCTCTTCGCAGTCGCGGCCATCCTCGATGGTAGAGGCCGTATGGTGACGGCATCGTACGACAAGAAGCTTCGTCTATGGAACTTAGAAGACGGTGTTGTGTTGAAGATAATGGAAGGGCATACCTTTGGCATACGAGAACTTGCAGTATCAAAAGACGGGGAATGGATCGTAAGTGGTGATGATGGTGGAAGAATCATAGCTTGGAACAAAGACGGCGAATCTCTCACCCAGCCCATCAAAGTCCACTCCAAACAGATAGGGTCGCTTGATTTTTCCCCAGACAGCACATCACTAGCGAGCGGCTCATGGGACACCACAGTGGAGCTCTGGAACCCAAGAACATGGCAACTGCAAGGGGAACCAATCAGTTGTGGCGCTGAAATCCGCTGTGTTCGGTATTCGCCGTCTGGTGAATATCTTGCTATCGCAACCAAGAATGATATCCAAATATGGAACCCATTCAAGAGAGAACGCATCGCAAAGTTCCAGGGTCATTCTGCGTTCAACGGAGCATGGAATACTACACTCCTATGGACGCCCGATGGCAAACAGCTTGTCTCGGCTGGTTCTACTAGTGATCCTACTTTACGGATATGGGATTCATCGACCTGGCAGCAGGTTGGTGAACCTTGCAAAGGCCACACTAACTTTGTCTTCATGATTGCCTTGAACCCTGCTGGCACCCTTCTCGCGTCTGCATCTAAAGACTGCCAGGTTCGCCTTTGGCGGCTTTCGGATCGACGAACCATCGCCATATTAAAGCACATCGATGAGGCTTATTGTGTCACCTTCTCCACGGATGGCAAGTGCATCCTGAGTGGAGGGAAAGATGCAATTATTTCAAAGTGGACAGTACCTTTACTTGAGGACATTCTTGAGGACCAGGAAACTGATGTGAGATTCTGTTCATTTTCTGTCCTTTCTTCATCTCATTTTATACAAGGATGCGCTACGGAAAGACACTGTCAAGGAACAAGTAACGAATCACGTAAGTTCCAAATTTTTGGTAGTCTCCTTGCCTGTTGATCCTCAATCTTGATGCCAAGGCTCGACAGTCTGATTGCGAGGCTTGTTTTTAGCTGTAATTCTTACCACACAATCTGACCGGATGCAGATCCTCACTATCGACACGACAGCCCGTGATGCATGCACAAGCGGTGACTTACCTACTGCTTGCAGGCTGCTTACCCAAGATATCAACACTAATAGCAACGACTACAACTCTTACGCGAATCGATCGTTTGTTATGGCGAGAAAATCTGACTGGGACTGCGCACTCGATGATGCACTAAAAGTGAGATGTCGTTCTTGTGGTGACCTCTATATAACGGGCTAAGCTACATGATGATATAGAGTATGAGCATTCAGCCATCCTTGATGGGCTGTATCTCCAAGGGCATCGCCCTCTGTGGTAAAGGGCAGTTATATGGCGCGATGAGGGCGTTTGACCTTGCGTTTATGTTCGTGGATGCAGATTCGGATGCCACTCATCTTCTGCTTTTGATTAAGGTATATCGAATGTGTCTCACATATTCCTCATTTGATGGTGGGCTATCAGGCCATCGTCTTTTTTAATGCAAATCATCATGATGAAGCCATTCTTCGCGTCCAAGAGTTAGCTACCACGTGCCCCAGTGCCGATACTCTTGCCTGTCGTGTCGTGGAAGTGAGTGCTACTGACGCAATTAAGTCTTCATTCATGCATTGATACTGATTTTATGAACTTCGCACATCAGGCTTATTTACGTGTCCAGATGGGGATCAAGTTAAATGGGGTGCGTTATAACGAAGCTGTTGATCAGTTCACTGCTGCTATCAATGCCATCCCTGTCTCGTCTACGCCGGACATTCATTTCAAATATGATGTCTTCGTGGTCGTACGTTGATTGTCATGCAGCTGAACTTTTTTTACGCCTTACCGTTCTATGTCCAGCTATTCGGCTGGGACCTCCTGTCTTTGTGGCGAACTGCATATCAGAATTTGTGCCGTGTACTCCTTCGAGCAGGTAGACATGCGGAAGCCCTCAAATCGTACCGGTGCATGATGGATGAGAGCGATGAAGCTACGAAGGCAAGCTGTCTTGATTGGTCCACTGGTAAGTCATTATGATGTCAACGAACAATGCTCATTCTCATTTTACTCAGCTTTCAAGCGAGATTGCAGCGCGCTATATGTTGCCAACGGAGTGACTGATGTTGCTACAAAGGGAGATGACGCCTTCGCTGCGGGTGACTACAACAGAGCTATCGAGCTATACTCTGCGGCAATTGACTTGGATGTTGCAACCGATACCATCTTTGCAAACCGCAGTAAGGCGAGGTCGGAAAGAATGCTGTGGGACGATGCGCTGCTGGATGCACAAATGGTGTGGTTGGATCAAGTAGCCCTACCTCGTGCTCATATTGCTGGGTTTCAGGTTATCGCACTCAATCCTCTCTCTTATGTTGGATACCAGTTGAAGCATGCAGCGCTTCATGGCGCACGACGCTATGACGAAGCAATTGAGGCTTTCCAGGTCATGCTGTCCAAGTTGGACAACGCTCCTGACGAACAAGTACCAGGTAAGTGTCAATCACACACGAGTGAAGATACTTGACCCTCCCTTTGCAGTGCTGCACCGAAAGTATATATCTCTATCCGAAGCAGAAGCTGCTGTCCAACAAATAATTCATGCTCAACTCGACAACGCCCCGTATCGTCTACTCAACACCTTCACTGGGCGCTTATGTGATCGACAGGCGCAGATCAACACCTTCACATCAAGCATGGAGTACAAAGAGTTACTGTCATTCACAATGAATCATGGAGGCATTCAAATGGAACGAGTCAATGAGGTGGTGGAGCACTTCCGTTGGGTCATGTTATCTCATAGGTGGGAAGGAGCAGAGCCACTACTACACGACATCAGGGACAAGGTCGTTTACGACTTGAATCCCCTTGGCGGCATGACGAAGCTGCAGTCCTTTTGTAAAACTGCTCGTGATATGGGGTATCGTTGGGCATGGGTTGACACGTGTTGCAGTCGACCAAACTAACAACGTCGAAGTGCAACTATCAGTCAACTCCATGTTTATTTGGTATCGCCATTCAGCACTTACCATCGTCTACCTGTCGGATGTTCCGCCTTCGTCGATGGCAGGGAGCGCCTGGAATACCCGCGGATGGACAGTCCAAGAGTTCCTGGCTCCTAATATTGTCCTCTTTTATCAGAAGGACTGGACTCCATATCTGGATGATCGCTCTTCCAATCACAAGAATTCTGTTGCAATAATGCAAGAAATGGGAAATGCCACAGGCATAGATGCACGAACCCTTGTCGCCTTCCGTCCGGGGATGAGACACGCCAGGGAGAAACTCCAATGGGTGTCAGCGCGAGTCACCACGTGGCAGGAAGACATTGCATACTCATTGTTTGGTATATTCGGCATCAACCTACCTGTCATTTATGGCGAGAGGAGGCAAAGGGCGCTCGGGAGGCTCTTGCAGGAGGTTGTAGCTCAGTCGGGCGACATCAGTGCCCTGGACTGGATCGGGGAATCATCCGAGTTCAATAGCTGTCTACCAGCCAACATCACTTCATACACAGCTCCGCCGTACACGCTGCCATCTCTGCCTGAAGATGAGATTCAGACTTCGGTCTCCTTACTGCGAAACACTGAAGCCATGGAATCAGCTTCGAAGCTTTATACCTTTCTGGACCAGATGAGCGCTCCTCGTTTCGCGAACTGCAGACTGCATCTGCCTTGCATAACATTTCGTGTCACAGCAGTGAGACGGAGTCATACTCAAGACCAGAATTCATATACCGCGTATGAAGTCAATGCAGACGGCCTCCATGACCTGTTAATCACTACAGAGGACAAATTGATGCCCTCCTCTTGGACATTTGCCACGCGGCAGACGTTCTTGCTCGTCCGTCCGTGGGATCGTGATCTCCTCGAGCTGCTTGAGTTTTCGGAGCTGTCTAGTTTGACAGGGCTGCCTGACATTGCAGACGACACGCAGAGCGAGGAATCTTATTGGTCCGCGCCTGGGTCTCCGTTACAGGATTTGCCTGACGGCTCCCTTGAATCAGAGGACTCGGAGTCGGTTGATTTGGAATCGAGCGAGCGAGCATTGCGATTGATCGTTCGCCTTGGACAACCATTCAGTGCATTTTTGCTAGCCCAGCAGCGTGGCGGAGAATACAAGAGAATAGCATCGGATCATGCCATCATTGCACAAGTCAACGACGTGGTCTTTGCTCAGGATATTAAGATACTCGAGATATTGTAGCTGCCAGCTGTGTCAGTATGCATATTGTAGACGTAGATCTCTAAGAACTTTCCATTCTCGAGCCGACAGCTATCGGTATGCGCCATGCGCAGCCTTTCATACTTGTATCCAAGAAATCTCATTTGTAAACTTTTAGAAGGTTGATCACTTTTCTCACCCGCGTAGAAGTCATCGTGTCGCACTATGTCACACTGCCGTTTTGATCTGACGAAGGAAACTTACATAGACTGGTGACCAGCCCCATATCTATAGTGTTGGGCACAGGTGAATCGGATCCGCGGGTCGCTAAAGCCACACCGCACCGGCCGCACTTTGTATACGCAAGTAGAACTAATGCCGTGCTTCCTCTTCTTCCTTCATCACCGCCCTGAGAGCAAGACAGTCTTCACTCTTTTCAAAGCACGGGTAAGCGCATCCACACTCTTCTTGACTGCCTGGCTGACAGACTTCAGAGATGATGCTATCGAAGACAATTTTGACGAGTATGATTGGACTGATCAGCTTTCTTTGAGTGGTGCATGAGAGTATTCTGCACAACTTGCAAATCAGCACAGCTGGTGCCGTCGATCATCACTCTGGATCGACATTGCTACTCGATGAACCTGCGGTCGAAGTTCACATGGTGACAGCTCGGGAGGTTCTTTATGAGTAATAAAATTTTGACCCTCGGACAAGTCAAGGTATCCACGACCGTAAAGCGCAACGGGTATGCACGGTGTCCGTGCGGTTGCACAGTGTTCGGAGGCCAATAGAATCGATTACATTGCCTGAGATTCTGAGAATTAGAAGCCTTGGAAGTAGAGCATCGTGGACCGTGCTGACCGTAACGCGCCCGTTGCGGTATATCGTTTACTGCATATAGCCTCGCGTGAAAGTCGCCGCCTCATGGATCAGATCCTTTATCAACATGTTCCCTAAGTGACCTGGTGAATTGAATAAGTAGGTCCTTACATACATATATATATGTCTAGTACCTTGCAATGTGAGCCAACAGTCGTCTATCCTAGCACCATATCGCAATGCATCCACGGTGGCCCAACATCGAGTCAGGTTAGTTGCACTCTTATCTTATGACGAACGTTGCACTTTAACCTAGGACACGGATGGGTATCAGTATTGAAATACCTGAAAACCACTTTCAGTGATCTATTTGAAAAGCTCAAAAAACAGTTTCCGCCACCTCATGAAGCTCCCGGTCATGAGAAGCGCATGGCCACGATGGACACAATTCTTGATTGTGTTGAGGAGTATCTTCTGCAAATTGTCGGCAAGCTTGGAGTGAGCAGCAAAGAACTCCAAGGTCTCACAGGTCCTTTCAAGTCGGGGGTTAAGCATGTTGTTGTGACCATCGGTGTGTCACGAATAAATGACCGTCTCGGGATGTTGACAGCCTAATATCAAACAATGATACAGGAGACCTTATCGAGCAGCATCCATACCTCGCGTGTGCCCTCTTCACCATTGTGATCGGCATGCTATTCGGAAAAGAGATTCTCTGCATATTCGGCTTCGGATCTTTGGGACCAGTGAAAGGTACAATGTTTTTGTATAGTTGCAAAACATCAATATTTATGATATTTTTAGGTGGAATTGCTGCGTGGTTGCAAGGGTGCTTATTTGGCCCTGCTGTGCCAGCGGGCAGCTGGTTCGCGATCCTTCAGCACTTCGCCATGATATGACTGTAGAGCTTTTGAGAGGTTCCGTGGATGTTTGGTCGTCCGTGATTTGTGATCAATATGTGCTTTATGCTCCTGTATATGCTTGCGAACAGCCTGTCTATGCACTCAATTCTTATTTTATTCTCCAATTTGGTCATCATCGCGACCAACGTCATCGACTTCGTCGTACGGGCAAACGGAGTCATTATGGATGCATCTGGGATGTGCTGTGCGCGGCCAGATTTTCGAACTGCAGCTGCAGCACACCATGCCAAAGTGACAGCGATGGCACGCCGGGCTGCATGGTATCATTCGTGCGGGCGAGATTTTTGAGGAGGCTTGCCATTACCATTAAGGGTGATACAGTGACCATAGAGAGACGTCGTGTTCGGGAAAGATCCAGTACTAGTATATCCAATGCACTGTGGACAAATTCGAGGCACGTGATACCGGTCTCACCAAGTATCAACGTAAGCGACGAGATACTTAGCCTGAGTTTGAACTTGAAGAAAGTTGTTTCTTCAAGTTCAAGGTATAGCAATCTCGGATTCTCTGTAACGATACTCTGGCAGAGTCTCACGACTTGCAAAGTGGCAGTCCTGTATTCTTTGTTCAATCTTCATTGAAGCGTACTCTGTCGATTCCATATGGCCACTGATTTCTGGGCCAGTTCGCACTAGTGAGGAGGATCAAAGTCATAAGAGGCATAAGAGGCTTATGGTGGGTGTCATAGCAAACGATGGATCGTGGATCGGGCTACCCTGAAGGAGTCTCGTTCAGATGACCTACAATACGTGGATGATCCAGAGTACCTCGATTTCTTTGCAATTTTCTTTGCCAATGGTGAGTCCCAATACACCTGCCGACGCGGAGCGACGTTCAACCCTTCTAGTTATAACGAAACTAGGAAAAAAGCTCAACTTCAGGCAGCGAGTCATTGCAACAGCCATCGTATTTTTTCGGAGATTTTATATCAAAAACTCGTACTGCGAAACCGACCCATTTATTGTCATCGCAGCATGCTGTTACGTAGCTGGGAAAGCGGAAGAGTCGCCCGTGCATATCAAAAACATGGTAGCAGAGGCCCGCCTTTTCTTCAGCCGTGTGTTTTACCTCCAAGTCAATTTGTTTGAATGCTGATGTCAAGTTGCACAGAGCAGCCTTACGGCGTAAAATATTTTCCTTCAGATAATTCCAAACTCGCCGAGATGGAGTTCTATCTCGTTGCGGACCTCGAATGTGATCTCACCGTTTTTCATCCGTATCGCACGTTGCTGTCCATATGCAAGAAGGAGAGTTCGACCGACCTGCAAACAGAAGCTGGTGAAGTGGGGATGGACGACGGGCCACGGTATTGGGGAAGTGGAGATGGGCAACTCGAGTTGTCAGATGATGCATTCCAGCTAGCTTGGTGAGCGGATTTGTAGGAGAAGTGTCTCATAGCTGATTTTGATTGTAGGTCCATTGTCAACGACACATATCGCTCAGATCTGTGCCTGCTTTATCCTCCCCATCTACTCGCCATTACGGCGCTCTACCTTACTGTTGTTTTACACGGTCCAACTAGAGAGCTCCTGCAACAGCAGTCTCATTCAGTTGAAACAACACCGGTCCATAGCTCCCCGAGAAGATCGTCGCGGCAAAATTCTAGTACATCAATGGGTCACACAAAGAAACCCTCACAGGACTTTGTTGCTTTCTTTGCTGAACTTAACATTTCAATGCCATTGGTCGCAACTATTGCACAAGAAATTATTTCACTGTACACACTCTGGGAGCGGTACATTGAAGATTCCGATCTCGTTGATTCTGCAAGGGGTGCATTCTACGGACATGCGTCGGCGCAGGCACAACCGGCAGTGAACCATAGCGGGATGTCTACGCCTGTGGAGAGCCTGGACGACGCGCAGAGGCCACATGGCGCTACGCCGACATTCTTGCTGCAGGTCTTGACGAAGATGAGGGAGAACAGGTTGTCGGATATGGCGCACGCGTCTTCTGGGAGGCCTGTTGTGGTAAATAAGATGCTAGAGCGGACTCAGGCTGCTGGGTGATCAACCGTATCATCTTCATTTACATCCCTATGTGTGTATGTACGTTTTGTATCTCATGTGATTAGCTAGGACGAAGCCCTTTCAAGTAACCGAACAAGATCTATGATAATCTGTTCAAGTCAACTTGAACAATATTAAAATTGGAGGTTCACCTTAAAAGTTCGCCTCGTTGCAACCTCAAATCACAAAGTTTCACCCTTTCATCAGTGAACAGCCGGAGGGCGTCAATAACTGAACATCTGTATTTCTCACCAAGCCCACTTACGAGAGTCAATGCAGTGAAGAGCTAAGAATAGAAAAACTTGCACAGCCACTAAAACAGTTCAACGCCATCAACGTTCACCAGGACAACGCTGAATACACGCCGAACAACCATTGGCATTCGTCACCTGCAAAACTTGTTTCCACCTGCGCATAGACCGTCTTTCGTTTCTTATGTTTTGACAGCTTTCCTGGATTGTACTCTTATAGAATCCTCATCGGGCCAATATTTCGTTAAATAATCACGTACAGTATGCAAACACAAGACCACCAACGACGTTCACCGAAGCGCCAGGATACTTTCGACCTTCGTGACCAAATTATGGCCGACGACCCTACGGCATCTGCACATATGCATGCTCATGCTGATGCAACCAATACCTACGCAGGCGCTTCTGATGAAGAGCACTCTGTTCTAGAAGATGACTCTGATGGTGAAGAGCGCGAAATAGAATATATGGACGAAGACGACGACCGTTCGTCCTCACTTTCTATTCCAAATGAATCTATCGACTTTGATTTGGTCTACTCGCTGCATAGCTTCGCTGCAACCGTCGAAGGTCAAGCCAGCGTCGTAAAAGGCGATAGCCTGTTTCTTATGGACGATAGTAATAGTTATTGGTGGCTTGTCCGTGTGCTCAAGACACAGGACGTCGGATATATTCCCGCAGAGAATATTGAGACGCCCTTTGAACGTCTGGCCAGGTTGAACAAGCACAGGAATGTAGACGTGAGTCCCGCACCATCCAACAATTTCAAACTCGTGACTTTCTTTCTCAGCTTGCACACGCGACTCCACAAGAACTTCAAGAAGACGTCGAACGTGTGCGGAATAATCTTTCCTCTCGCGCTGGTTCGCACCACTCCCCTTCTCCTACCCATGGTTTCCCACCCACAGCTGCTGGGCAAGGCAGAGGTGTCACATTCACAACTGCACGGTCTGTGCATCGATATCCGCCTGCTGTCTGGCATGAGGAAGACGAAGAAGAAGAGGACATAGAATGGGATGACGGTGCATATGAGGAAGAAGACCCAGACCTCGCAGAAGATATGCTTGTTCGACAGCGCCAAGGTCAGGTGGGCCGCGATGAGCAACAGGATCCTATGGGCATGCAGATGGAGCCGGATGACGGAATGAGCTGGGATGATAGCGTTGCAGAAGACATGCAAGCACAAAACGCGCAGAAGAAGATGGAGCAACAGATGCTTGTAGCGCCTGATGCTCTGCGACCTAGTGGCACACCCGAAAGACAACAGACGCAAATCCAAGCGCAACAGCAGCCAGAGATAATAATTACCGAACAGAGGCAGCAGGAGGAGCAACAGGCACTTGCTCAACAAGCTTTACGCCATCAAACTTCACACGATCGTATCACTGCCGATGTCCGTTCGTCTTCACCGTCCTCATCTAGTAAGAGCATTGATCCCGCAGAGGTAACTGAAACAAGAAAACTCTCCGTGACGCCTTCAATTGCTCGTGATGAGCCAGTCAAACAAGCTCCAGCACCGAGCGGCCCCCTTCTTCCGAGCGCAATCATGCAGAAGCAGGAGATCGAGCGGCAACGCACTCGCGAGGAAATTGAAGTTCTCGAAGAGGCCTCGAAAAAGAAGCTCAAGAATAAAGACAAGTCTCTACAGCCCGTCTCGAATACCCCAGTTCAGAAGCCTGTGCAGGCGCCTGGTAAGCTTCGCAAAGAGCAACGCGACGCGACAGATGATGAAGCAAAGGAGAAAAAGGAGAAAAAGAAAGGAGGCGTATTCGGACTCTTTGGCCGCAAGAAGGATAAAGGGAAGGATAAGAATTCCATTGAGACCGCTTCCAATGAAACTCGCGGGTCTCAAGAGTCAGGGCGGTCCTCCAGCAACCTTCACGGGCCCACACCTGAACCTCCGATGTCTCCTGTCACTGCATCAGCCATGCAACAACAACAGCAAGTTCTTCGCACGCCAAACGACTCGAGAACGCCAACGAGACTTCAGTCACAGCAGACGCCTCAGACACCGCCACAACAAGTACAGGCTCAGGTATCGCAGCATGCGTCACAGCTGCGCCAACGCGACCAGCAACAACAGGCACTGTATCAGCAGTATCTTAATCGTTCGCCGTCATCGCCACCGGAAGCGCCTTCATACGGATTACAATCGGCTTCCGCTGTGTTGTCAAGCTCGAGTTCGTATAATACCTCTACCGCCTCTGCCGCTGGGCTTGGGCTGGGCTTGCCCTCCTCTAGACCACGACCCGGCTCCCTCGTTCTTTCGCCCACTGCTGACGGACAAGGTGTTGGTGTACCTGAGCTCAGTGTCATCCGTGTCTTTGCAGGCCAACACTTGCAGACCGAGGCGACTTTCAAGACTGTTCTTCTCAACGCATCTACTACTTCAGCCGACCTCATTCGTCAAGCTATTCAACGCTTCCGTCTCCCCGCTGGCGAGGACGGAGCAGACTACTACCTCACTATTAAACAGGTTGAGGGTTCATCTGCGGATCTGCTCCCGGAAGAAAAGCCTCTTGGAGTCTTTGAGTCGCTTGTAGAGGCCGCTATGGAATTACCAAAAGTCAAGCGCAGCAGTGTGGGCAGTATCAGCTCCGTATCAAGTAACCTCTCCATGCATCCCGCCATAAAGAAGTTATCCATGAACGACTTCAGCGATGACTCCGTTGTCAAATTCTACCTCAACAGACGTCGTGACGATACAGATGACAGCGCCACGACAGAAGAAGGCGATGAGACAGTGCAAGCTGATACGTCTCACGATGTAGCCGAAGGTCTCAACACCTCGGCGAGCAATGTCAACGTCACTCCTGATCGTTTCAGTTCTCCCTCGTACCGCTTCGCGTTGCAGCTTGTTATCCACCCCGAGGACCTGCCCGATGATATGGTCTTCGACCCAGTCACAGAAGCCATCGTATTCAAGAACACACTACGTGATAGAACCCATTCTACATCATCAATTTCTTCCGGTGTGTCACAGGGCCAGCGTCGGAAAGTTTTCACCTTCCCAAAGAATGTCACTGTTGCTGAAGTGATTGAGCTGGGTCTTGAGCGCTTCGGCATCTTGGAAGGTGTCGTTGATGGTGGTGACGAAGTTGAAGATAAGATGACAAAGAGGCGAAGTATCAGCAAAGTCCGATATGGTCTCACGGTTGACATTGGAGGGCAAGGTAAGGATACATTTAGCATAGATGGATTTGAGTACTAACTTTGTTGGTCTAGAACGAGAGCTATCGCCTTCAAGTAAAGTTACCGATGCATACCCTCGTCCTCCCAGTTTCCGCCGAGTTCAGGAAGGCAAGCGTAGATCTATTGATTCTGCTCAACTGCTTGGAAGCATAGACGACGTTAATGTCGATGATCCTGTCTTCATTCTCCGCCGAGCAATCTCCTATCGAACATCATCGTCCCGTCACCGCATGTCCGCACCCCTTGATGAAATCGCTCTTCAACATTTCCGCGATTCGGTTTCTGGCTCTAGTCTTAGCTCTGACAATCAGACTTCGGGTACCGAGGAAGTCAAACCGAGGCAGCTGTCAAGACAAGAGATCATTGCAGCACAGCGCGCCGCATCGCGAGCGAGCCAGAAGGCCATTCTTTCGGCCCAGATGAACTCCCTTCGCGGTGTAGATGTTCTTCTGCCTGGAAACGCCATGATTCGCAGCTCCAGATATGACTCTGGAGACAAAATGCGGTATTCATACGTGCAAGACGGCGAGTCGTTTGATATCAGTGACATTGTCGAGCAAGAGTTTTGTGAAGGCAACTCGGCGCAAAAGAACGACCTGCTAGAAGGCGTCCTCGGGCGCAATAAGGAAGGCATGAACGAGAAGATTGATCGCGTACTGAACAAAATTAAAGGTGGTCGACTTCAGGCTCAATACGTCGTTGCGGCTTCGAGTCAGTCTGACGACCCTCCCTCTGCTGGCTCTGCACCTTCGGAATATTCCGTCGATGATTCCGTCACTCCCCGTTCTGTTTCTGATGGGAGGACTCCTACGCCACTTGCAAGTAGTGTCACTGGGACTAGACACGTTGCGTCACCGGTGCCTGAGGTATCTCGGACACCGACACCTACTGCAGCAGATGGCCGACACAGTCGCGCCCGTTCCACCACCCCATCATCAAAACAAGGCACAAATGCGTCTCGTTCTCTTCGTCAATCGTCGATCGCTTCTATCATGTCAGAAGTATCAATGTACGGCACCCCAACTGGACAGCTTATCAGCCCCCCTGAAACGCCACGTATCAACACCAACCCCAAATCGCAAATCCCCAAGCGACCGTATATTCCAAAAGATGACTTTGGTCTGTCACATATGATGGCGATCATTGAAATTGCTGGTTCAGCACCCAAGGTTCCTCAAACCTCTGTACACCCAGTGGACGAGTCGTTGTTTGGAAAACCAATAGATATGACGACTCTACACCCGGACATTCAAGAGATATACGCCGGTGCTTTCCAACAACTTGATGAAATGGATAAGGTAAGATTCGTCGTTGGTCGAACAGAATATTTCGTACTGATTCACTTTGATAGACATTAGATGAATACCTTCAATACGTCATTAGCGCTCGTTAATGCTTGGTGCAAATTGTTATCTGTTGATGTATATATTCGCGATTTAATATTTATGATTTATTCGTTTCGCTTTCATTGCAGCCGCATGTATTGACCTCCCATCTGTGTTGGCGTTTGGTTTCCTGAGTCATTCTAACAAGTCGAATGACGGTAATATAAACGGGACATGCATCGACTTACTCGTGTAGATCATAACAAAGTTGGGTGGCCCACTCCCTAAGAACTGCAAAACTTCCTCATCCCCTATGTATAACTGACTGTATTTGATATCTCTGTTCGAAATGCAGACGAAATCCTGCATATTGACGATGTCCCGGATTTACCGTGAGGCTCTAACATGCGGAGCATGTCAAGATCATTCATTATGTTTGCAGCGATAGGGCCCCGAATGATCTAGGCACGCGTCAGTGGTATTACACCACTAATGGACTCTACAGTCATGAGTACATGGAGAGAATGGAGTGTTGGATAATCACGAACTTTGTATCATGCGCCCATGACGACATCTACTTCATTCATGTCTGTCCCGTTGGCGGACGCAGAAGACGTAAAAACATCTGCCCCAGCTGCGAGCGAATCAATAAGCAGTGCTAGCTTGGAGGGTCCCAAATTTGGCTCCTGCACACAGAGACATTCATGAGGATCGACTCATGTCTGAAATAAACATATGCTGACCTTTCGTATTTCCTCAAGGTCTTCGCTGAATCCTTCCGCAAGGGATGACATCCAGAACATCCTGAATTTGTCTTTCATGGCTTTTTCACGCGCCTCGTAACCTGCAGACAGATTTGGCGGTAGAAAAGATGGTATTTCTGCACTGTGCAGGGAGGGTGAAAGTGACCTTGGTCGAGGAGCGTCTTTTTCATTGAAAACTTCAAGACTGTCGGTCTGCATTTGTTCCTTTACCATGGATGTACCAGCATCGTCATCACCTGATTCGGAGTCGCTATCCGATGATGTAGATTCAGACGATGAACTCGTGTCGGAGTCAGGTAGTTTGATTGGGAGAGGTGCCCGCTTTTGAGGTGAGGAATGTGTGGATTCATCAGAGGATGAATCATCAGATGAAGAGGAAGAGCCAGAGGATACGGCGCGTCTTTTGCGTTTCCTGTTCCTTTTGCGAGTAGGCTTTGGTGCTGGTGGACCCATCTGTCAAACTTATAAAGCTTGGATCAAGGCTTTCCGAGTCAGCACTACGTACTTCACAAAGATATTGATTACATAACATTGATTTTAATCTTTCACTCTTCATCTACTTACCCCGAATCGACTTTAATCAAGATGAGTAGCAAGGTCGTCGGGGTTCTTGGTGCGCGTGAGCTCACAGCGTTGAATTTTATCTATGAAAACGCTCATGATATCTGCCAGGCTATGTTTCTAGCTTTTTATCGTTTCCTCTGACTTGCTTGATCCAGGCGGAGGTCAGCTCGGGCGAATGCTGGCCGCTTCGGCGGCTCTACTCAACGTCGATATAGTATTCCTTGACGTTGGGGAAAATAGCCCAGCAAAGCAGATTGTCTCCCCGCGATCTCCCTCTCTTGCTCATATCGATGGATCTTTCGTAGATCCAGAAAAAATCAAGGCACTGGCTAGCAAGGTCGACATCCTAACTGTCGAGATCGAGCACGTCGATACGAGCGTACTTGAAGAGATTCAGTTAGCCCCCGGAGCTGTCATCCATCCCAGTCCATCTACGGTGAAGATCATTCAAGACAAATTCATCCAGAGACAGCACCTCCAGAGTCACCAATGTCCCGTGTCAGAGTTTCTTCGTGTCGAATCCAATGTAGCATCAATACAACAAACCGCTGAAACACTTGGTTTGCCATTCATGCTCAAAAGTCGCACTTTGGCATATGACGGACGGGGTAATTTTGTTGTTCGGGATATTGCTCAAGCTGAAGAGGCCATCTCTGCCCTCGGGAATCGTCCCTTGTATGCTGAGAAGTGGGTTGCATTCGCAAAGGAAATCGCTGTCATGGTGGTGCGCTCCACAACAGGGGAGGTTCGCTCGTACCCCGCTGTGGAGACTGTTCACAAAGACAACATTTGTCACTTGGTTTTTGCCCCCTTGCGAAGTCGCGATCCACATGTTGCTATTCGCGCACAGAACGTAGCCGAAGCAGCAGTCAAGACCTTCCAGGGAGCCGGTGTTTTTGGAGTCGAAATGTTCCTCATGGAAGACGGTAGAAGATAGCTCCTGGATTATGTGAACCAGCCTAACTCACGGACTTTGTCAGGCTTTATCTATATTAATGAAATTGCCCCTCGGCCACATAATTCTGGACATTATACTATAGAGGCTTGCGAAACCTCCCAGTACGAAAATCATCTACGTGCCATACTTTCACTCCCGCTTGGTTCAACGTCACTAAAAGTGCCTTCGGCTGCAATGCTGAATCTCATTGGCGCTTCATCCAATATGGCAGAAGTCACGAATTTTGCATCTGAATGTATCAAGACAGATGGCTGTGCGGTCCATCTATATGGCAAATCAGAGTGTCGAAAAGGACGCAAAATGGGACACGTTACCATCGTGGGCAACTCAGATTCAGAGGTCCGCTCTCGCCTGCGGCCATTGTTAAAAGCATTGCCATCAGGAAGTACTGAAGAACTCGCTCTATACGCCCCAGAGGCGCCTGCACAAGGCAGCGGCTTTTCCCACAAATACCCGCTCGTTGGTGTGATCATGGGCTCCGATTCCGACCTTCCGGTAATGTTGCCGGCTGCTCGTATTCTGGATCGGTTCAAGATTCCCTATGAACTCACCATTGTCTCTGCACATCGCACACCAAATCGCCTCGTCGAATACGCAAGGTCAGCGAGCTCGAGAGGTTTGAGGACTATCATTGCTGGCGCAGGTGGTGCAGCACATCTTCCTGGCATGGTTGCTGCCCTGACTGCGCTTCCTGTCATTGGAGTTCCTGTGAAAGGTAGCTCGCTCGATGGTGTTGACTCGTTGCATAGTATCGTGCAAATGCCGGTGAGGCTCTTTGAGTCTTTATGTGATTTGTTGATGTCTGAGTGTCACCACAGCGAGGTATACCTGTGGCGACGGTTGCAATTAATGGCGGTATGAATGCTGGATTGCTAGCTGTGCGGATTCTTGGGGCTGGTATACCTCATCTATTTGCAGACATTGATACATATTCAAGAGGATTAGAGGGCGAGGTTATCGCAAAGGTCGAGAAGCTGGAAGAAGTTGGTTGGGAAAAGTATGAGGTGAAGCGATGATGGGTGAAGATCTACACTCCTGTTCGGGAAATGTTCATATGCATGCACTATCACCGAAGGAAATTACTAAAAGAAAATTGTGACTTTATTACGTGCTACTCCCTCTAATAGCGCTTGTCGATTACACTGCCTAAGCAAATATGCGCCCAGTAAGTGGTCACAGCAGCTACTAGTAATTCGAATTAAGAACTGAATTTATTTCATTTTTGATCCTTTCCTGCCGTGTATACGTAGCAAAGCCACCCAGATGCCTTCAAGTTTGCAGTACATCGCAGGGCGAGTATCGGAAACCCCAATTTCATCATAGAGTTCCACGATTAAATAGCTAACAGAGAAAAACAAGATCGAGAGCAATATCTACATAGTAATAACCTCATATTTCTGAACAAACATCTTGAGGCACAATAAATATTGTGTATATTCACGCCTGGGCGTTCTCTTCTGCATCATCAGGCTGAACCTGAACTAAACCTGCCTCCATCGCCATAGAACGGAAGATGGAATTCTTGTTCTCCAGCAACTTCTTTGGCGTATCAAATTCTGCAATCTAAATTGCGCAATCAACAACACATTATGAATGAACGCCATTGGTAATTTTCTTACCCTTCCAGCATCTAGAACCAGAATCCTATCAGACTCCATGATCGTGTTTAAGCGGTGCCTATAGTTTCATTATTAGTACTAGTGATTGATAATGTCGGACCAATGTAACATACGCAATGGTTAGAATGGTCACATCGCGGAAGATTGGACCCCTAATAATTTCCTGAATCGCTCGGTCGGTATCTAGATCAACCGCAGATGTTGCTAGAGAATTATGCTCATTAGCCTTGCAGAAGAATAAGTAATCGCTCATACAAACCTTCGTCGAGGACGAGCACTTTAGTCTACGGAATGTCGGCGATAAAACCTTACAATCGATCAAAGAAAACGTGCGTACCTTGCGCAAAAGTGCCCTCGCGAAACACAAGAGCTGTCTCTGACCTGCCGAAAGCGATGACCCGGCCTCCTGGACCGGAGCATCTAGTCCCCCAGGGAGTGATTCAACATATGCCTTCAGATGGGCCTGTGGAAGCGTCATTGGTAAGTATCAAGAGTGTAAATACATTTCGAAGACGAACATGTTCCAGAGCAGTCCATATATCAACATCTTGATGCTCTCCAACAGGGTCAATGTTCTCTCGCAATGTACCCTCGAACAAATCTGGGCTTTGAGGAACAATGGATATCGCGGAACGCACTAAGGTTGGCTCGATCAAAGGGTGTCCACACGGACAACATAGGGAAGACGCACAATCATGCAAGCCAAGTTTAGTAATATCTACTTTGTCGATGAAGATAGTTCCAGATGCAGGTTCAATGATCCGGAAGAGGGCGAGAAGAAGCTGCAAAAGTATCGTCACAGTCCAAGAAAAAACAAGCAAATGTCTTACGGATGATTTCCCTGCCCCAGTCCGGCCACATATCCCAATATTCTCTTTGGGTTTCTGGAGCATCTAGAGTCAGCGTACATGTGTGAAAAAATTGGCGTAATGACTGACTATGGTCATGGAAATATCTTTGAGGACTAGATCAAGCCCGGGTCGATACCTCGCTGAATACTCCCTAGATCAGACAAGTTCAGTACAATTTCGTGCATACACTGACACGAACTTACCGAAATTCAACTTCCCCCGCCGTGGGCCACTCAGAGCCAGGTTTATTCTCGGGGATCTCATAAGGAGCTTCTGGCTCAAGGTCTTTCGCATAGTGGACGATCCGCTCGACGCTAACCACGTTCTGTTCTACTTCACTTGCAGAGCGAACGAACCAGTTCTGCAGCCGCTTAGTTGCCAACACCTCGGGACGAAGGAAAAGCCACCTACCAGTGAACCCGTCGTGTTCAAAGCATACGACAGAACCAGACCGACCAATCCCGCATCAACGTTGCTGTTCACAACGGCAGAGACAGCCAACATGGCCGTGACGAAGATAATCACCGCTCCAACGAACTCCAATCTCATTGCAAGCCAACGATTGACGGAAGTACTAGGGAGGTAGCACAACTGGTTGCGGTCAATGCGGCGCGCGTTGTTCGCAATGAAAATGGATTGTTGGTCATAGGCCCGGATAGTGGAAAGTCCGGCCAAGGATTCCGAAAACCACGCAAAGATGGGTGAACGGGACACCGCATCTAAACGCTTGAGTTCACGCGACGTCGCGAGATAGTACCTATCAACAGTGTCAGGGTGGTTTTGGAAGCATAAAAAGGTCATTCGTACACGGTGATCTTCGAGTAGAACCACGCCAGGGGAACGACGGCGATCAAGAAGGGCGGGAAGCTGAACCCGATGACCAATAAAATAGAAGCGCAGACCGCGCTTGTGCGTATCATATTTTGGATCACTCGCCCAAGGATTTGATCGACAACATATGTATCGCGAGAAAACAAGTTCAAAATACTGCAACAAGAGTTTGCTCGAATTCAGAAATCATGCCAGTGTTCACTAATCTGACGCACCGTCCTGTTGGCGTTGTCTCAAAAAAGCTGAGAGGCGCACGCATGACCGAATGCAGCATCTGAAAAATGAATGAAAAAACATTTCAACGATACTTGAAACGCAACACTAACCGAATCATGAAGGTGCTTTGAGCTCCGAAGCGAGCAGAAAACCCAAATCAGAAGCGCAGCACATGCGCCAAAGCTAATGGCCATCAAATTGAACAGACCATATCCCAGGAAATACTTGTCAGTCAATCCCGCGTTGACACCCATCTCGCGATTATGCTCGCCCCAGAGCCTGAGCATTACGGTCGACACAACAGATACCGCCTGCTGCAGGACCGTAGCAAGTACAAAGAGCAGGAACCCCTTTTTCGATGCCGCATGGAGGTATTGTGAGTACACTTCCATCTTGACGCGGCCCTGTTCAGTGTGCTCTTTCGTGATACCATCGGAAGAGGCGTCGCGCAGCTTGGGCGGTGCAGCGAGGACGGCTTTTTTGAAACTTTCTCTACGCAACATCTTCTCTGATACACTTTCAAGCTCTCCGACAAGGGTGGCTTGCATGTCCCCCTCGCTTGTAGTGGGAGTGGCTATGCCGCTAGACCGTCCGGGTGTAGTAGCTCCAGAGCTAGGACCGCTCGTGGCGTGACCGTGACTATCCGCGATTCAATTAGATTGCATCAAACATCATGGATCGAAATACACGCACACAAGCTTGCGTACTTCACTATCCGGGTTCGACATCAACTCATTGTACGAGCCACTCTCCAAGATAATACCGCGGCGCATGTAAACAAGTTGATCGAAATGCTTGAGATACGAGATGCTGTTAGTGACAAGAACGCGCGCTTTGGTTGCGAGCAAGCCTTGAGGACCAATGACATGATCTGTTATACAGTATCATTAGCAAAGAACTCAGCCTGGAACCAGAAACTCTTATTCACCGAAGACATGTCGGGCAACGTGGGAATCAACGGCAGCTAAAACATCATCAAGGAGAACCCTGCAAGACACATCCATCAGCAGCATACCGTGTACGAACTAAAGATACTTACAAATCCGCGCGAGCATAGATCGCACGGGCAAGCGCGACACGAGCACGTTGGCCACCACTGAGCTGAGAGATCATTTGCCTTTGGCTGATATGTTACTATCCCGAAGTACTCACAGTAATGCCTATAGAACGGACGCCGTGAACATTACTGGGTCGCAAAGGATAGTCAGAAACATACCCTTTTCACCGACCTCCGTCAGATCGCCCTGTGGGAGGAGCTCTAAGTCGGGCTTCAAAGCACAAGCTACGGAGAAGGGTTGGTCCAATCTCACACAATTAATTATGCATGGACATACCTTCAATAACAAGGCCATAGAACACCTCATCATACTCATGCGAGAAAAGAATATTATCTCGAACCGATGCAGAAAGAATCCTATTTGCCTGTGAGCGAACAGTCTAGAAAAAACCGCATATGCGACGCACCAAGGATTCTGAGCGGCATAAGCTACATTGCCGAATAAAGCCACCTCACCCTCCGTCTTTCGCATGTCCCCGATGATAGCTGACAGCAAGCTACTCTTCCCGCTGCCTACACGACCAAGTACACCCACTAGCTCCCCCTTATGTACCGTCAAGTTAATATCTTCCAGAGCAGCTGAGATATCTTGTTTATTCCACTGGAATTCGGCACCTTTGATTGAAAGCACCTGCCACAAATGTGAAAATGGTCGTAAGTAGGTAGAGAATTGCCAACCTCATCGCCAATGCTCAAACTGTTTTTTTGCGCCTTTACAAGGGCATTTTGTTGCAGCTCTTCAGCGTGCAGGAAGCCTGATAGACGTTTGACGGAGACAAGTGCCTCGATGATGTTCGACGTGACTTGACTAAACTGTGACACAGTCAACGATTGTTGAGGTTGTAATGCAGCTGCTACTCACCATAGCAAGTGGGAACTGAAGAAGCATGAACAGTGAGATCGCAGGGAAGATAACGTCGGCTGTGAGTGGTCGCGAAGAAAACACAGATGCGGCGGCAAAAGAACTAAACGCCACAATCACTGAGATTTGTTTGTTAGTTGTGAGCAACGAGTCAATGGTAAGGGACACACAAGGAATGCCTCCCCAAAGCGTTGTATTGAGAGCCTGATGAATGCGCAAGGATGAATACGAGTCACTCTGTCTGAAAATTGACACGTACAGTCACAATGCCAATTTTCTTCAGCATCTTCAGCTCCAAGTCATTGCGCACATGCAGAACGCGGCGGATGAACGCATATTCCCATGCATAAAGCTTGATACTGCACGAATGACGATCGTTGATGAAATTCTCTACGTGCACGAGGCTTACGTACCTTTTGATATTGGTCAAAAGCTCGCTCATTAGCCTCGTTCGCTTGTCGCGATTCTTCATTTGTTGCTCCTGCATCTTCTTTAGCATCCCTGCGATCGCCGTATTGAGCGGGATAGAGATTATCATGATTGCGACTCCGACAAAAGCCGACCATCCGAGAAGGTTGTATAATGATACAAAAGCCAATATAATCTGACGATAGCGTGAGCCTGGTTATTATAGAGAATAATCTGTCCAACCTGGAATGGTCCAGAGATCGCAATCAGACCATAGGTGCATAGGTCTTGTAGCCTGGTCGCGTCGACGGACATCAAGTTTACGATATCTCCAGATGCCCGACTCCCTCGCTCGTCGCTAGAAAGCACAAGAGACTTTTTGTAGATGGCAGTCACCAAGCCAGCGCGAACACGCATGCCTGTCTCGAAACATATTTGAAAGTACTGTGTGTATTGGTAAGCACCGTGAACACGATCACATTAGCCGGGTTACCTGGTGGAGAACAACACTTTGCGCCATGGATGCTATAAACATGATAATAGCAATGACGTATCCTTCGAGAGGGCTCGGACCAACAAGGAGGTTAGCTGCACCTTTGGCGCCCTGATAGTTCGAGATATAAGCCAGGAGCAATCGAAGAAGTTGAGGTTGCAGAAATGCAAGACTGTCTTGCAAGATTTTCAAGGATGCAGCACCCATATATGGGCCACCATATGATAGGAATAATGCGAGCCATACGGACGAGCTGCAAACTTGATCAGACAAAGAGAAGCTTTTTCATAAACATTGCACTCACTGTTTCTCCAAAGCGCTCTCCAGGTCATTTCCAAGATTCTCTGACTCATTGTGGGGAAGCAAAGCAGGCAAGTCGTTTTCTGTAATGAACTCCTTTGAACCCTTCTGCATCAATGGCGTCAACCACGCAAACGACCAAATACTGTACACATTTGCCGTGACCATTGGACTTTCCGCGTTATCCTGGACTGAATCATCAGGAGAAACACACTCCAGCGCGTATGCGGGGAGAGAGAAAAGTTCGACGGCCCATTTTGAAAGAACCACGAAGAGCCCCTTCGAAATTTCGTCGTGCACGAACGATCTAGTCCATATTGCGAGGCCGACGGTGTAACAAGGCCAAAATAGTAGGAGAATGGTTGATGATGACCGTGTCCGACGATGGTTCAGTCGGGTGAGTATCCAGGACGCAAGCAACGCGAGTGGTTCGAGGACGTAAGGCCATACGACCGATGCTGTTTGCTTGAGCGACAAGACCACGAAGAGGTTGAAGCAAGACGCGACAATGGCCAGTGCCAACAAAGCCTACCCACCAAGTTGGTACGAGGTAGGCACAGAAAGCTATTAGAACGCACCAGTTTCGCCCATAGTATCCAGCGACTTTTCCGGGAGATATCACGAGACGGAAGATATCTCAAAGCCCAAATTCTGCCTGTTGCAGAAAGTAGGAGTAAAGACAGAAGAGATGTTAAAATGACGCCTTCCTCGAAGCAAATGGTGAAATCAAGTTCACGAAGGTTGGACACGATGGACCATCCTTCAGCGTCCCGACAAGACGCCATGATGTGCGATAGTGACTGTCGATGGCGAAGCTGACTGATATAAATGATGGGCTATAGTATAGGTACCGGTCTCACGGCCAGTGATATCCGATTACAAATTTATGTAGAACGAGCGTAGTCAGCCATTGGTCATAAGTCGACGAGCTGTGAACAATTTGGCTGATGTGTGATTTGCAGTTTACATAAGGTTGGAACAGACTACAGCGTCTTCCGAGTCCGGGCCGAGATTTATGAACAGTGTGAACGAGGTGGCCGTCTCAACTTCTGGTTCTATGACGCGTTTTCGGCTGCAGGGAATGGATTCGGGTTGGCGAGCCGCGAATGATCACGCGAGGAGATGCAGGCGCCTTCCTTGCAGTAGCAGCTAAAAGGAGGTTCTTGATTGATAGATTTTCTCCCAAGGCCAAACGCATCTGGCGCTCCAAACGGACTTCCTTCGGGGTGTGAACTTCTTTCTCTTCCATCATTAGTGACTCCCTCTTCAATGCGCTAGCTCCTAGTGTCTTCACGAGAGCTTTACGAAGGTCGCGTGTCTTCTGGCTATTCGGACTTGGGACCGGATGGTATGACGGCCTGATGCTGCCGTGGCGTGCTTGCGATTGTTTCACTTTACGCCTGAGTATACTGTTCGCAAGCACCTCAACACACTCCCTTCTCCTTAAGGTCGCTTTGCATACGCTTGAAACATTTTGAGGATAAACCGCGCTCCAGAGTAGCTGGGAGGCCAAATGTGGAAATAAAGGTGCGTATTTGATCAGACTCATTCCGGGTGCTCTCGTTGGATAACGCGGCTGCTCATAGATCGTGATAATGCGCCGAGGAACGTAATGACTTGAACATACCAAGCCGAGAACACCAAGAATTCTCCTGAAGAATTTTAGGCTCTTCGACACGTATAAATTGCCCACACAATGGGATTCATTCACCTAAAAGCAAACAGAGATGGCATCAGAAACAAGCAACGAAAGACAAAGTGTTAAACAGCATACCGGGAAGACCGTCAGAAATCCTGTATATCGCTCTTTCTGGTACACGTACCATCTCGATGAGTGGTAAAATATGATCCTCTCGTAATATTCCCCTTGGCTGATGAGACTAGCAAACTGTTCGAGCAACAGTCAAGCGTTAGTAGAAGTGTAGGTCGTAATTATCGCTGACCTTGTAGAGTATTTCTTTACCAGCTATCAAAGATTTGGCGTCAACAGAGCTGAGACCCCGCTTCCACTGGTACATGATGGTGTGACCGAAGATTTTGGACGTCATAAACGCAATAAGACTGATCGCTGTAAGGATAATACGGTAGGCAATGTCTGTTATGGACATGGCACTATGATCGACTATGAGATGTTGAAGGGAGGTGGACTGCTCACCGTTGAGATTTAAATACAAGACATGGATTTGTTTCAGCCCAGGTCAGCCTCCGACAAAGATCGAAATCAATATTTATAGCTCTGCAATGGGCAAAGGTGACCAATCACTTATCACATTTAGCCTGAATATAGTCCTACATGAGCTGGTATACCTAAGTTGAAGCTTTGAAGTATTGCAGTGAGTCCAGGACTCCAAAAGTCATAAGTATTTCCACCGGGCCGCCGTAATTAAATATCAAATGATTAATAATTATGGGCTCTGTTAAATTCATTACGTAATACCCTGACTGAGTTTTACAGTTCAGTCTCCCGTGCCTTCTCGCGCAGTAGGATGGCTAGTCAAGTTCCCAAGCGCGGTGCACTGACAATCAGGCAGTGCTTCTCAATATCCGAATTCTTGCAAAAGTGTGGAATTCTCTGCTCTTCTTCAGCCTCACAGCCTCGAACAAAGCTCTCAGGCTGTTGTACAATTCTGACGCCCAGACTGTGCATGGGCGATGCACCATATACATGCTGTAGTTCTCTCCTTTGGTACTGCAGTGTTTCGTAACCTCCAACATACATCTTATTCTCAAGTGTTAGCTTGAATTCATCCCGTTGGCCCGTCGTCGACGTGTCACCTTCGAGCCTTCAAGCTCATCAGAATCAGACCCTGATTCAGACTTTCCTTCAGCGTCATCGCAAATGACTTCCCCAACTCCTTTAATTGAGAATTCCAGTACCGAGCCCTTGAAAGGGAGAAAACGCAAGCGCAAGTCACTAGGCAATGATGATGACAACAAGACGAAGAGTTCAAAGCGTTCACGATCGTAAGTCATTGTGTTGTATATTACATGTATGTATTCAATTTCGCGTTTTCAGGAAAAAGCAGGAGTAAGTATACGAAGCACTGATCGTTTAAATGCCTGACAATCTGCACATTGCTTAGTGAGGAGCCAGAACATACCCAGGAATCGGGAGAGATACGCCTCAGTGGAGTGCAACAAGTCATCATTACTGGCATGTGATATCTATCTTCGCTCAGCTCGCATTGACGATTTCCCTGAAGGCATTCGCGCAACTGATCTTACCCTTGGTCTCCGACGAATCCCCGCTGGTTTCCATACAGTGGTCAAGACTGATGGCGCCGAATACCAGACAAGCAATAAATCTGTAGACGTGGACCAGGCTGTCCTCGAATGGCACGAGCGCATTCGCCTGTAAGTCGCCCTTATCTTCGTCTGTCCTGCAGGTATTGAGAAAGACTCTAGGCCGTGCGAGCCATCTTCTAAAGTTCAGGTCAGTGTGTATGCTTCATTTGAGTTGGGTCCTATGCTCTGTCACGGAGAACTCCTCCGCACATTCGAGATCTCCGTCGGAGAATTACTGGATCGCAGCGAAAAATCGCATTGTCAGTGTTGTCTATTGAAAATCACGCCTGACAGATGCTAACGAACACCACAGCCATAATATTTCAGCCAAAGCAGGAGGAGGTCGTATCTGCTTGTACTTCACTGTTCATAACAGTGGAACAGCAAATTTCTGATCAAGATGACGTCGCAGTTCTTTCCCCACTGATTAACGTGAGTGATAAACACAGTCTGGCATTCTGGTGCTGAGAGCTGCACCGTGTAGCCTACATCCCGGGATATGGATGAGTTAGCATCAAGTACAGATGCCGGACATCATCTTCTCGCACGATACCGCAGGACGCAGAACAGCAGCGATCTCGACCAATCCGAAACCCACTTTCAAAGGGCCTCAGATCTCTACCCCACGGACCATCCCTGCCGCCCTGCAGCACTGTTCAATCTAGCCACCGCAAAATTTGTTAGTTGCCAAGCTGGCGGAAGATACATCGACCTTGACATCGTTATTACTCTTTTTCAAGATGCCCTTGACTTGCGTCCCGTTGATCACCCGGACCGAACCGCCACTCAACTCCATCTTGCCATTGCTCTGCTCTCGCGCTTCACGAAACGAGGATCTCAAACCGATGGTGATGCAGCTACAGAGCTGCTGAGCGAAGTCCTCGATGTCTGCTACGCCAGCAGCCACATCTATAGAGCAGCTTTGATCGCGATCCAATCATGCGCTCTGCATTTGGCTGGAAATGTAAATGATCTTCAGGAGAGACCTGCCACATCCATGCCTCCGTTATCGCTGAATCAACTTGCTGCTCGAGCAGAGTGGTGTTTGCGTAACGACGAGCCCCGTACCTTAGATGAAGTGATATCCCTTCTTTATGATGCTCTGAGATACTATAATACCGGGCATGCTTACCGAGGCGCATTGCTCGGTAATCTCGCTCTAATGCTGGGAACTCGCTTTAAGCGCCGAAGCAATTGCAAAGACTTGGATCAGGCTATCGCACTTCACAGGGAAGTGCTGGATTTGTGCCCGGTCGGTCACACAGATCGGTCTGGGTCATTGAACAACCTCGCGACGCAACTCTCCTCCCGCTTTGACCACCGAGGCAACGACGAAGACTTGGATGAGGCTATCGCACTTCACAGGGAAGCGCTAGCTTTGCGCCCGGTCACACATATCGATCTCGGTCATTAAACAACCTCGCGAATGGACTATCCACCCGCTTTAAACATCAACACAATAGAGAAGACCTCGACGAATCACGAGAAAACCTACGCTGTGCATTGACTAGTGATGTGCACGGCTCGGCTTGAGGCCCTAGGCCGGCCCAAGCCGGGCCCAAATAAGCCGAGCCCAGCCTAGGCCTAAGTCACGGCCTGAGAAAGGCTTGGGCCTGGGCTTGAATTTCGAAAAGCCTGAGCCGGCGGCCTAAGCCGTGGCTTAGGCATGTTCAGTGGCACTGCCATAGAAGCCTCACCGGAGGTACGTTTTCCGACTCTATTTTTGTCTTTTCGACCTTCTGACTTTTATCACTAACCGTCCATATGTCGCAGTGAGTTGCCATGTCTTATTTGTGCTTCGGTTACTCACATTGCAGTCGAAATGCCTACTCTGTCCAACATATCCAGCAATTTACCCTCCTTTGACGCCTTTTCTCTTGTGTGTTGCTACGCAAAAGCCACGGTGAGCTGCCAGCGCTATGTCTTGTGCTTCGTGAGCTCGACATAACTCACTCCGCCGTCGGCAAACTAGATCTCAACTGCACAAGCCAATATTTTTGGTAATTTTGAAGCCTTATGTGCTTCACCTTCGCAAGTGTGATTGTCCACCCAATATCTTTCAATTGATTTATGTTGGTACGTGTCCCTCTAATATCCCAACTACCTGCTACCTACCTATGATGAGCACAGAAACCGAGCACCGTGTTGCGCGTCCTGTATGCAAAACCAAACCTACGGCGGCCCTTCTTCAACATGCGGAGAAGGCAGCACTGCCATCCCAAACCAAGGCAATTCACGACTTTGTATACCTCTCCGTACGAACTTCCATGTTATACGAAGCCAAGATGGGCCGTGACTTTATGATACTGTATCTACATCACAACGGATGTCGACATCGAACAAACATGTGCCGGTTTCAAGAATAGCGGAGCAGAATGGTCTTTCCCCGAGAGTCTGGCGTTCGATTAGACACGTGGACGGGTATGTACTTTGTACATTTTGCGTAACGGATATGCCCAATAATCGTGCAGGCAAGTGTCCCTGGTATACTCGTCGATTCTAGTGTCGGCAACATGTACGTTCAGCGCTTGACTCGAGGGTTTAACGTTTAATCCACGTGTGTACGCAGCGAGTCATTCCAGAAATCTACTAGTATGTAAGCATAGAACATGCACATTTGGGCTGTGTTGTACACAGCTACTAGTACTTATCAAGTACTCCTTCGCTCCGGACCTACTCTTATATCCCCTCTCACTCATCTTCTGACCTGGATCTGGTCAAAATGCCCTCCTTGATGGTTAAGGATTTCAATCTGGGCAAAACATATCAAAGGTGACGAGGCTCGGACTAGGAAGCTAGGGACGGAACGGACTCAGTCTTGGGTTGAAAGACTCAGCATTAGGAGATTATTCGGCGAGGAGAGGAATTAATACACTGATTGAGACGGAGAATCAATGGGGAACGTGTATGACGCATGGTAGAAAGAGTGATTATGTATGTAAAAGAAAAGATGAAGTACGTATATGAAGGTCATATCTTGATACTCCCACTCAGACGCAAATCACTGGAGGCGCGCGTGTAGCTTATTCAGCTGATTCCTCGTTTGAAGGTGAACGGAGGGCAAGCGAGTGGCGATGGTTGCGGGACAGTTTTCGTTGTAATTATGCTGCCTAATGCCACAGTGGTCTTGAGCTGTCTGTTGGCTGCGAAAAGCCGCGGCCTGGTTGGGCTTAAGCCCCGGCTTTGGGCTGGCTTGGGCTCACGGCCTAGGCTCTGAATTTTTGTGAGCCTAAGCCCTTCGAAGCCGAGCCTAAGCCGGGCTGGAACATCACTAATCGCACATTCCAAGCACCAATAGCATCTTGTGCGGTAGTTCAACGACACTACAAATGCAAAACGTTTATGGGCCCAGAACGCCAGCTGGCATCAGCTTATTGCAGAAATTATTGGGCGTGAGTATTTATTAATTTGGAAGAACTGTGACTGCATCCTCTGAGCCTGAGAGGTAGGTCCGCTTGCAACAAGGAACTCTCCTTTTCTCATGTGACTATTCTTAGCGACATTCAGAGGCCAGAGCTAGCCTTGAGATTATCCATCCAATGATGATTGACGCAATGCTCACCCATTTCCGTAACAGCCAAAGATGAGTTCATATCTGACATGTTGGTATGTTTCAATGGCGAAATTTGATGATGATTCTCCCACTCAGAAGGCAAGGCAGGACTGGCAGAATGTGGCAAGATTAGGATGAACAGAGGCTCCCTACATTGTCCAAGTCTGGAGGCCGTCTTCTCGATTTCCTCCTCGAAAGCAGGTTCGTGAAGGTATTAATGCCGAGGTTGTCTGGCAGTTTTTCAAATGTGTACGTACCACATGCAAGTCACAATAATCTTTAGTGACGTCAGCTACAATCTTGAAGGTCCAGGATCTATCTTGCTTGACAAACGGTTTACATAGTGGTCCTAACGTAGGTATCTAGATCTGATATATGTTGAGTGGGTAAACGTCGTACTCCCGGGCAAAGCCGACGTTGATTTCATGGGGAATGGATATTGCAGATCCGAAACTCGCAATGAATCGCACGTTGCTCTTGTTGGTGGCACGTCTGTGCACAGGTTTGCTCTTTAAGTTCCGGGTTACGGCGTCTTGTCGAGAGCGGGGAACAAAGGACGACGATTCTTGTTCACGCGCAATAGGACTCAGGAGCAACTTGGTAATTTTCATATCATATTCGGTTCTTTGCGCAGTGCGTACTCTTCGATGCACGGATCACGTCATGTCTAGTCATACCTGCTATAACAACACAGTGCGTATCCATTCCTTCGCCTCTCCGAGTCATTCCTACTAATACACCAACAATCCGCCGACCTGTGATAGTCTTTCCCATCCGGTCTCGGAGTGTTGTGTGTTCAATGGGTGGTACAGGTATGTGCATCTGACTTTTTTTTAAAAAAAACTCATTGGAGTTGGCAGGCTTTACAATTATGTGCGTGCGTGGCAGAGCATGGTTCCGGTAGAACTGGTCTTCCTAAAAAATTCATCTGTTCATATGCAGTCCAGGAAATCAAACGGCGTAAGAAGGATTCATGCGAAATGATATTTTGAAACACGAGCGCGTGAACCGCTACACTGAAAGAAATAGATGTCCGAATTCAAGGACTTGAACGAGTCATACTAGTCTAGTTGCATGTTTGAAAAGGGACTGCATATGGACGAGTTCTTCCTGCCGCGTCACCCGGACCACGAAGAATAATATCCAGCACAAAGTATAAAAAGCCGTCCTCTTATCGACCGTCTGATTCAAATCGTTTTGAACCCATATCACATCTCCAGTCTCACAAACAATGCGTATCTTCTCTGTCCTCGCAGTTGCTGCCGCCTTGATGGCATCAATAGTAGTATCTGCCATTCCCACACTCATGTACCGTGATCAGTCTCCTACCAAACAGAAAACCTGCCCTTCACTTTGTGGCTTAAGAACACCATGCTGCCCTGGGACGAGTTGTCAAGTAAGGAGCAGCTTCGTTGTGTGTGTGTAAGTGACCCATTTAGAATTTACCACTGGCAGGAATTGAACCATTGACTTCATCCATTAGGCCTACCTTGTAGTGTTACCAAGTACTGGCAGAATATTCCCGCTGTTTTCGCTCTAACAAATTAAACAACTATGGTGCAGTTCACTTAGTCACCGCTTACTTTGTGCAAACTTCCCACCACCTACAAAAAAAGTCGGATTTTATTTTCCTCTTGCAAAAACACTCCTTTTGATAAGTAGAATAAAACCCCAAGACAGATTTTTATTTGGATCAAATCTGAGAGAGATAAATTTTCGAGCAGTGAGTAAATTGGCGGTATGTAGCAGTAAGGTGACATAATCAGTCAAAAAGACATGCTACCATCTCTGGAATGCGTCTGTGTGATTTATACTTTGTGGAGCTGAACTGTCGGACCTGTAATTGAGCCTCCTTTGTTGGTAAGCCTGATCTGTAAGCCTCTATCCACCTGTGCATACGATGTTCCTACAGCCAAACAGTGTTCACCTGGACAGATTCAAGTGCTTTCAGCATGTTTGCCTTCAATGTCTCGAATGAGCCATCACAGTTATCTCGGAGGTATTTTTTGACTCTTCCCCAGAAAAACTCGATGAAATTGAGTTCGCAGTGGAACTTTGGCAAAAAAATGCACATGTGTCCTGCAGCCTTGATAATCTCTTGAATGAGAGGCCTCTGTTCCCAGAAATCAGGTTGATATTGAAGAATGCGCTGGTTGCAGCATTCTGTTGCACCTGGCTCGCACTTGGAGGAGCACTTTCCATGCAGGTTTGATTTCCAGAGTCCGTGCTCGCTGAGAATTACTTTGATACCTTTAGGTTGATTTGGATATTGCGGGTGGCTCGCTGTGAACACCATCTCTTGTTCAACATGGACTCCGTTGCAAACAAACCATCCATTCCGCATCCATGCCTGTTTGCCACTGGGATTAACATTCATGCGATTACCAACCCGAAGTGCATCTTCAGCATATGCTGAATGCCCCTGGGAATTGTCGATGATGAATAAAGCCTGATAACCTGCTCCATGAGCTGCTTCGAATGCCAGAATAATTTTCTCAGCCATCTGGGACTGTGTTTGGTGAGAAATCAATGCCTGCCAAATCTTGGTACAAACCTGAGTGCAAAACCATTCACCATTCAAATACCCTTCATAATTCTTCCCATATTCCATAGAGTCACCTGCTTGTGAAAGATTTCAGCAGCTTGTCAACATCTCGGAGTCCACTCTTCAACTTCTCTATCTGGGCTGCCCTGTCTTTTTCACGCTGGACATGATAGGGTACCTCAAGCTTCTGTCGTTTGATTGGTGGCACTGCAGGCAACTTGCCACTGTGACTCGTTCCCACTGCAGGAGAATATACTGACGTGGTGCCGTCTTTTTCATCATCACTGCTCCAACCATCTGAATCTGAATCTGACAGATACATAAAAGGATCATTTGTTGGTCGCAGTATGGGAGCCTCTGACAAAGCTGCACCAGGTGGCTGCGGAGTCGACGGTGGCTTCGGTGCAAACATTCAAAGCATCATTTTGACCTGTGGATTGTCTCTAAATCGATTCATAAGTACAAGTCTTTGGCCATTCAGTTCATGAGCTGACATACGATTTTTTCGCATTTTTTCGCTCTTCTGCTGCAGCCCGAGCTCACTGTGCTTGCCACTCATGTGTCTGCTGTGACTGGCCATTGTACCCAAGTCCTCGACTTTTTTTGGTTTTTTTCCAGATTGCACTCGAGACTCCTGTTGCAATTTTCTCGAATGCGGTGGGTTTGGTGAGTAGGACTGCTTCAGTGGCACTTTCAGCTTGCAGCATGCACATATTCTGCTCTAACTTGTCACCCAAGAGCTCTGAAAGAGTATCATCAGTCAACTCTGTCTCCCAGTCCAATTCTCCAGGTTCATAATCACTGTCAGAGCTGTCAACATTGACCCCACCCATATACTCACATTCTGAACACGAATCAGGTTCAATGGCAATGTAATTGTGTTGTTCTGTGGCTTCGCATTATTGGATTGGAGGCTCTGAGTCAGCAGTAGCCTTGGGACTTGGAAGGGGTGCTCTGGAATTCCATCTTGCAGTTCTGGCTTGAGCAGCAGCAGAATTTTGGTGTTTTTTGCCCATAGATGATGGTTCACGCTGTCCACAACATTTGTTAGATACATTAGATACATTTTTACTCTGTGATTGCTCAACTGCTATGAACTAATATGGAAGAATGATTGAGCTACACATGTATTCCCTATATAGATATGCTAGGGTTAGGGTCAGGATGTTACCTTGATGAAATTGGTGGTTGCACAAAGTAGGCGGTGACTAAGTGAACTGCACCATAGGGGTTGGCATTGCCGACTATTTACCTTGCTTCAGCTTCGCCTGAGTTTTCTCGTCCCCAATTTTATTATTTTTCAACTACTTGTTGCCGATGTTGACCTTGCTCTGGTAACTCTTGTTTTAACATTCATGGCATCAAACTGAATATGAAAGCACATCAATTGTCAGAAGTATTGAAGAGTTCAAATATGCTGACTCCATGGCAGTTTAGATAGTAAATCTGAAATTTAGGGGTGGGGATGCCGGGGAGTCGAAAAGTCGAACTTTGAAATTTTTTTTTTCACATGGACTACATGCTTATGTTAGCACATATTTACCAACATGTGAACATGACCTTGCAGAGCAAGGTAATAAACAGCTGTAAACACTTGCAAACAATGACATTGACACCAGCCTGAGCATCAAATACTGCCCCCTCACTTTCATGCAGTTATGCTGATTCCACCCATAATGCCACAACTTGTCTGATAGTCCAAGTCAGTACTGACATAGCCTGCTATTAGAGGCGCCCTGTGAATCATTTATGGTCACTTCAGCACGACCATGCCATGTTGCAGAATTCAAGAATAGTATAACCCTCATTGATTGTGATCGCGCTGCAACTGCATCATCAAAAAAAAACTTGTTAGCTGTCTCCTTGCAAATTCTGTGCTGAGGTACTTCACCTACTACTCAAGTTTTGGCTGCAACTAGTTCATTCCCCAACCCAGACTCCAAACCAGTCAGCGGGTGTGTAAGAGCACATAGTTCAGTCAAAGCCCAACGTAGAACCTGTACCCTGGACATGCCAAAAGGTCGTAGAAGCTGTGCAGCCAGAGGCTGGCTGGCTGTACTAAATTCACGTATATGTGGTACTGGCCAGCACGTAGAGGCATGTACAGTAATATGTGACTAGCTATATACTAGGTATCAGCTATGGACATAGGACCAGTGCTAGCCCGTAGACCCTGTCTGGCCAGAGGGGTAGGACCTGTACTGGCCAGACATCAAATGAGAGGGAGCTGGCCCATAGACCCTGTCCGGCCAGAGGGGTAGGACCTGTACTGGCCAGACATCAAAAGAGAGGGAGCTGGCCCATAGAACCTGTCTGCCAGAGGGGTAGGACCTGTACTGGCCAGACATCAAATGAGAGGGAGCTGGCCCGTAGGCCTTGTCCGGCCAGAGGGGTAGGACCTGTACTGGCCAGACATCAAATGAGAGGGAGCTGGCCCATAGACCCTGTCTGGCCAGAGGTGTAGGACCTGTACTGCCTAGATATCAAACATCTCTAAGATGTATCTCCAGTTAGACAGAGCAAAATATCATTATATTTGATATACATTGATACCAACAAGGTGATATAGGTGTGAGCAATATAACATGAGCCATGTGATAAAATGCTAAAGTTTCATGGCTTTCTTAGTGGGCTGCCTAGATCTGGAGGATCGACGGATATCAACCTTGACCTTCTTGGATGGCTTTCGAGAACCACTGGACTTGGCTCTTTTTTTCCCTTTCACCTCCACCTCCACCTCCACGTCCTTGCCCTCCTTGCCCTCCTCATCTTGCTCTACCTCCTCAACTCTCTGTTCTTCAGCTAACCGCCTCTCGTCCTCCTCCTCCTGGTTTTCTAGGAGCCTACTGGTGTCCTGCAGCTCCTTCATGGTGGCCTCAAGCATCCGATTCTCCTTCTACAACTTCTCATTCCTGGCAATATTCTTCTGAAGCATCTGCAACTCATCTGCTAGCTTCTGCCTCATCTCTGCCTCGACAACTCCCTTCACACTATCTTTGTGATCATGAGCATCATCTTTAGCTCCAAGTCCACCTCCACCAGCAGTGTTATCGAGTATAGAACTTTCCTGCTGAACTCCTTCAACTTCAGTAAATGCATAAGTCTGCCTCTGACCTTGTTAACCGACTCTACAACCATGTCAAGCACCTTGATATCCAAGATTGAGGTGCTAATGTAACTGGGAGTCTGGAAGGTGACCTCATCAGCCTCATATTCAATGGCTCGTTTACACTCCCTAAGCAGCAATCCAAGACTGAGTGTAACTCACATTGCGGATGACAAGCCAGAGATCTTGATAGATGCAGCTGTCTCTAAAAACTTCTGCACCTCACCATCCACGCAGTGCACATCATTCAGAAGGTAAGACTCTTCCCAGGACCAAGTTGCCCAGGCAGGCCATTCTTTTTGCTGGTTAAAATTTGGTTTCTGGACTCAGTTAGTATGAAGTATCACTCGGTCAATTGACAGCATACCTTGCCCAAGTCTCTGATGCCCTCAACTAAAAGAAGGTATTCATTGTTGCTGCTCAGAGACTTCAAGAATGGGATTCGATCCTTCATAGGCACCGTTGCAGGAGCACCCTCCTGAGCACCTGAAGGTCGGCTGGCCGTTGCTGTTGTACGACCTGTGGAAGCTGCTGCAGCCGACTCATTTGCACCCTTGACTTGTTACAAGAACATCTAGACGCTTGGGCCCCTACCATTATTCTTCTTATTCTCCTTGTCTCCGCCCTCGCATCACACCCTTACCCTGACCTTGCTCTTGTTATCCTCATCATCCTCGCATTCCCCTTCGCTCTCTACTTGTCGCTCCAGCAGAGCCAGTACATTTGGCCAGACCCTTTCTCTGACGAAGCATACCCATGCTCTGTTCCACCCAGTGACTGATCCTGTGGACAGCCCCTTTACCCTTACCGTCCGGACGGTAACCTATGATACAATGCACGCTGCATCCCCTTTGCCCTGTTCCCCTTCCTGATCTATGACTCGGTGCACAGTCGCACATTTTACTTATACTTAGCTCTGCAGTTGCACGATTGTGCCCCTGCTTGTTTCACTTCCTTTTTCTGTTATTTCACTCGTTTCTTATCTGCACGTTCCGGTTCGCCTATGACTCACCTTGAACATGCCTTCCTTTTCTAGTATCACCCTTTGACCAGTTCCTCTTTCGGTAGTACAAGTTATCATCCACTAATATGTTTCCTTTCCTCTATATAAACTCGCTACCATGTATCTAATTCCTTAACTTGAATCTACTTGGTTCTTGACCTCCTACTCCTAACAAGAGTGATTCCTTCAGCCTAGCCAGCTGTCTATATTCTACTTTCTTATCTGCTCATCACGGATAAGTCTCTAGTCTCGATCTTTACTCATCGACTCTGTCGACGAGCAAAGCCCCTGTTAACTAGTTGGACTTCTGTCCTTCTATTAACGCAGATCTTACGATTAACCTTCGGGTGTCATAAGCCTTGGCAGATACATTTATCGTCGAGCCCCACTTGACATAAGCTACCCAATTTGGACATAGGCATTAAATCTTACTTGCCGAAGCCTCGCCAAGTAAGACCCCTAACCTTGGGCTAGCCCAAGGACGTCCTCGACTGTTGACGACACACGCTCTGTTTGAGCATCGCCAACAGATACCATCCAAGTTGTAACATGACTAGGTTTGCCCTACGTGACATAGATGGTGTTCCACCTGACTTGCTTTCAGAGGAACTGACTGGCTCAATTTCGACATACATCTTCTTCATTTTCTCCTGGTGGGGAACCGTGTCCCTAAGGAGCTCCTTGCTCATATCACCTATTTTACCCGCAACGAATATCACCAGCTTCTTATTTTCCTCCTTCCTAGCCTGCCAGTGAGCCCAGAGCTCATTGATATTTTTGGCCCTCATATGAGATGGGTCTCTCAAGATGAAGCCTTCTGGGATTGAATTGAGGTCCAGGTAGAGAGAGGGCTTTGCCACCACCTTGTGCCAAGGCACTGGTTTGTTAGTGTTGGTAAAGACCTCTGTATAATGTATCGTAAGTTCCACAAAAACCAGTGAAGCAGACAAATACTCACTGTATGATGCACGGAATATCTGACACACCAATTCTTGTTGCCCTCTGGTGCTAACTCCAGCTCGGGAGGGAAGCTTCGGGTACCCTTTTTTGTCCAAAATGACTTCAGGTGGGCTGACCTTGCCGTCATCCTCCTCATCATCAGTTGACTGGTCATCATTTTCGTCCAGGTCTCAATTTTCCTTAAATACAGTGAAATTCTTAGAACAATAGACACTCACAAAATTCTAACTTAGACCATTCTGTGAATTTTTTAAACCCTTCAGAGATCCATTCCTTATTCCCTCGTGAACTCTGAGTAAAGGGTTTTTTACTGTTGACCGGCTTCAACTCATGACTAAATAATAATAGCAAAGTGTCATTATACCGTAATACCAAAGTGCTAAAAATACACTCACACAATGACATTTAGAGTCTGGTCAGCAGATTTCTTGTGACTAGCTAGGATCATAACCCAACATCCCATAGTACAACACATTTGTTCAGCGAAGTCATCAAGAATTCTTTTGAGGTGCCTCTTTCGATACCTGCCAAGGCAGTTAATCCGAGAATTAGAATAGTTATTTTAGATACTCACATCGTCTGGGATTCCAGAGGAGCACTGTCCCTATTCCACTTTTCCCTCGCATTCTCAACCTCCTTCTGTTGTGCAGGGGTCATGTTTTTGAACCAATCTCTAGTATGACCGGTTCTATACTTGATTTCATTCTTCACCCCTAACTTTGCTTGTTCCTCCTTGTCATACTCGTCAATCTCCTGCTTAAATAGCTTCTGGGCAACGTCCCAGTCAGTAACTGCCTTCTTGTAGAAGGCTGCATCCTTAGGACGGGCTGCTGCCTCCCTTTCCTCGGGGGACAAGGTAGATATCTCATCCTCCAGCTCATCTCCCAAAAGCTTTTCTTCCAGCCGTAAGTCATCCTCATCAGTCAAAAATTGGAGGTAGTATCGCCTGATAGCCTTCGTATTACTGTAAAATTAGTTATTAAATACACAAAAATTTGATCACACCTTTTTCAATGCCTTTGGTAACTCAATCAATTCATCCTGCAATTTGTTTTGGCAATAATACGGTCCCGGACTGTCCTCACAATACCTTGATGTGCATCCTGAGATGCAGCCAAAAATTCGGTCTGATGGAGAGCAAGTATGCCCTCAAAAGATACCTGCCATTCAGCCATGATGAGTTTAGTGATTAGCGCAAGAAAAGGGTCAATGGTATGAAAGGTATGCGTGACGTAGCAAAGAGTTGGCCGTTGATGACTCTAACATAAATTTTGCAAACATGATCATGTGACTCTGGAACTGCGTTGTAGGCACACAAAATCAAGTCAATTATTGCAAACAAACATCTACCAAACTAACTATTTGTGAAATAAATCAATCCTCATCCTCTTAGCAGACCCTTCCCCATCCATACTCCTCTGATGCTTGCCCTGTGTGCTCAACTCAACCGGAGAAAAATTGTGGAAGGAGACTGGAACCACCCAGTAGTCTTTGCCTTAGCAGCATTGACAACAAACCAGGTGGTTTTGTCGATGTGGAACTTGTAGCAAGGCTTGCACTGAGCCTTACCACACTCAGGATAGGTGCAGGAATATAGGTACCTGGATACAGGAGCCTCGGCTGGAGCATCAGGGTCAAGAGGCTCATAAGACACCTTGACGGTGACCCTCTCTGACCAACTATTGGTGGACCCACAGAGAGGGCACTGTGAAGGGACTGGGATACCCCAAGGTTGGGTCTGCATGTGGGCTCGCGCATACCTGGTGACAATGAGCTTGTGCATACCGCCAGTGTTATCCCTTGTCGTCAAAATGACGTCCGTGTGTTGTCCAAGGCGACTGGAGAGGGAGAGAGAAGACCAGGGAATGCAGTGCGGATGTCGAGGTCCTCGATTATCACTTGCTCCGCTAGAGAGAGCAAAAAGTGGGTGGCAACCAGAGGCTGAAAGTGTTTGGCAGAGAATATGATGGAGGATGCGACACCGTAGTTGAGTAGAGCTTCCTGGAGCTCACTAAAGGTGTCACCATGGGCCACAACTGAGCCGCACACTAGGAACATCATGATGGCACCACCAAGGATGCCAAATAGGGGCTTAGGACAGTAGATAGTACCTAATATCACATAAGTCAAGAAAAATGCAAAATAACAGAGACCTTACCTGAGAGATGCTCATAGCGACAAATTTACCTTTCTCTCTCCCAGCAAAAAGCCACCCACTATCTTCCTCGGAGTGATCGGAGAAGAAGGCCAAGACACGTCCGCTATGCGCAAGGTGAGACTTGAGCTGGGTGATGCGGGCGTCCTGGGGCGCGCATGTAATCGTGAACGCTCTTGTGCGTGGTGATGTCAAATGGGACCTCAATATAAATGTACCCACCGTTGGGAAAGTAGTGCTCCAAATAGTGAGAGAGCAGAGGAACGGGCGTCACAACCTCATTACTGCCACCCAGAATGAAGTGGATGACAGCAATGGGTGCAGCAGCCAATGCTGCAGATGATGCAGTCTCGAACCTGCCGTTCAATTGAAGGTAACCCTGCAGAGCAGGTTCTCCTCCTTGAGCCGGAAGGCTCCCTCTGTAGAATCCCTGTAGTCATTAGTTAGCTTTATTCAAATTGAAAATGAAATAAAACAAAGGACTCACATAGTAAGGTGCGGGCACCTTATGGGTGCGCCCAGTATGACAGCTAAGGCACCAAAAAAGGATGTCCAGTTGAGCCACCAGGCTGCGAGAGTCAGACGGCACATCAAGGCACCTGCTACACATGACCCAAGGGCAAGCACTGCACTTATAGAGCACAACGTCTCCCTCAGCACCGTCATGGCAAATAAGACACCACTAACAAATATTAGCAACAATAAATGTGTGAAGAAAGGACTTACTGAGCTGTGGGCATCTGGTTGTACTACCTCAACCTCCCCCTCACTACTTGGGCTTGCTGGAGGAGGAGAGGCAACCGGCGATCCCAGAGGTCCACTGAGTCGCCTAGCAACACCACCAGCAGCTCGCTTTTTGGCAGTATTCTTAGTCATAGTGCTGAAAAGAAGGACTTAGTAGAAAGAAGGAAGGTGTGAGGTGCAGAAACTGAACCAGCCGGTTGAACCAACAGTCATGTGACCATGGACAATGAGTGGCACAGTAAACAACAACACATCAGGTGGCCACGAAAGTCACGTGCTTGAATTGTTGAGCCGGTGCTGTGCGAATGTAAACAAAGGCAAATATGCTGTGGCCTAAAGGCGCCACCACCCATTCATATGGTTGACTTTCTTGTTTCTCTCCACTCAACACTGCCGCCTCATCCCATTAGGCACTTACACAGGCTGCAGCTGTGTAAGTGCCTAATGGTCAATGAGCGGCATCTATTTAACTTAAGTATATCTCTTTTTATCTCAAAATCCTTACTGAATAGCACTTCAGTTCTTTTATAGGTCTTCTTTTGTAAGGTGAGTACTATCTTGAGAACTCTTATGCTCACACCTTTTCTTCCTCTCTAGTGGCCTCAATCTTGAGCTCAGCGGTCTAGTGTGCGCACCGGCGCGCCTAGCCTCTATGCTTGGTCACTCTGGGGGCTTGGAGGGTGGTTTAGTGTGCACACTGGTGCGCCTATCCACCCTCACCATCAACCTTGGGCAGGGAGGTCTAGTGTGCGTGCCAGCACGCCTAGCCTCTATGCTTGAGCATTCTGGGGGCTTGGAGGGTGGTTTGGTGTGCACACTGGTACACCTATCCACCCTCATTTATCAACCTTGGGCAGGAAGGTCTAGTATGCGCGCCTAGCCTCTATGCTTGAGCATTCTGGGGACTTGGAGGGTGGTTTAGTGTGCACACTGGTGCACCTATCCACCCTCACCATCAACCTTGGGCAGGGAGGTCTAGTGTGCGCGCCGGCACATCTAGCCTCTGCACTGTCCAATACTTGGGTAATTTGGCAGTTTATCAAGGTATCTCTCTCATTATTGACAGAATGCACTCTGACCACCGCTTACAGTTTTTTTTTTGGTAAATTCACTCTCAGGTAATTTTGATTCACATTCACACCCCAAGTGCTACCAATGCTTGCAGACCGTCCTTGACTTATTTATATATACATTCAATTGTTTCTTGTAGTAGTGTGCTGTACAATGCCAAGGCGGGGAGGTCCCCTCTGCTGCGGCTTTGTATTAGCTAGTTTAGTTTTTTCTGTACATCTTAGTATTTTCGTTGTTTTCTTTACTTTATACTAGCTTTGTCATGTAATACCTTACAACAAAGCTTACAAAAGAAAGGCTGAGCACACCACCCTTCGCCCAAGTAACAAGTCATGTGACCGACCGCCCATGATGGGACATGTGACTGTGCCAGTGCGCCCCCAATAAGTAACTGACCAGCCGGTACTCCTTGCCCAACTAGAATTCTGAGTAGCGTCTGTGGCAAGTCTAAATATAACACTAGAATAGTGAAACTAATCTTCTACTGGGCAGATTTGTGAGGTGGTGTATGCAATGGCTTCCTGAGCAGCTTTGCCAAGCTCACTCGTTCAGTACAAGAATAGTCGGACTATCTGACTGTTCTTGTACTGGACGGATTTGTGAAGTGGTGCAGCTGGTGGCTTCTTGAGCAGCTTTGCCAAGCTAGCTCGCTCAGTACAAGAATAGTTGGACTATCCGACTATTCTTGTACTGGATACAAATATCATCTTATCTTCCTTACAGTACAAGAACAGAGGAATAGTCTCACTATTCTTGTACTGGACATATTTGTGAGGTGGTGCAGCCGGTGGCTTCTTGAGCAGCTTCGCCAAGCCAGCTTGCTCAGTACAAGAATAGTCGGGATAGTGACTATTCTTGTACTGGATACGAATATCATCTTATCTTCCTTACAGTACAAGAACAGTCTCACTATTCCTGTACTGCACGTGTTTGCGAGGTGGTGTACACAATGGCTTCTGAGCAGGCTAGTATTACAATTCTTGTACCAGATAATGCCATCAGCAGTCTCCTACAATCCTACCAGTTCCAGTCATCATGAGGTTAACAGCCTATCAAATCCATCTAAGGCATTCCGGTAGCCATTACATACATCACCTCACATTATCTCAATTTGGTGATTCTCCATATAGACTAGCTTGAAACTACTGGAAAAGTTTTCCTGTTGCCACCTGGCGCCATTAATCTTCTGTTCTTCTTTTGCTTCTGCCATGGAAGATCCTGTGACAAAACTGTCTAAAAACCTCTCTAGCCGCGTAGATGAGCTACTCCGGAACTCATCACCTTTTGAATTATTCTCAGATACTAAGATAGATGATAGGTTACTAGAAAAAGCAAAGTAAGCAGGTTTTAAGTTAAGATTTAGTTGTGCTGAACTGCTCCAAATTTCAGGATGAGACTGTGGAACGAGTGGCAGAAGGTTCAACTTTCCAGTTCTGCTGTACAAGTCAAGACTGGGGAGATTGCCAAGATTGAACTCTCCAGGGCTGCGGTCACCATAGCTTATGCTGCCGTTAATAGCTGTAAGATTTTATTTGAATTTGACTGGGATCTATTTGTGATTGTTTGACCCCAGTAAGGGCAGATTGGGATGTCCATCTTGCAAAATATTTCAAAACTCCTTCTTTCAGCCACATCTTGGAGCTGACCATGTTTGTTGACAAGCACAGAAGGATACTCACTTGGTATTTGCTGGAGATCTTGGTGCCTGATTGAATGGTGTGCCCAACTTTCAGACATGCAGTCAAATCATTTGTAACTGTTTATATTTAGGAACAGGCCAATAGCTCGATCAAGTCGCTCAGACCTGTCTTTGGCCAAGGCAACTGAAGAGAAAAACAGCCCTTGGCGTTCACAAGGTTTTGTCGTGCCTCCAGGGGGGGGGGGAGTTTGGAGTAGGGCGGGTGACTTTATGCCCTGGTGGATTCATGCAGCACCAAGAGGTAAGTTAGTCTTTCTAGGCTCATTTAAGTACAAAACTAACTTAACGGAGCTAGCGTCTCCAAGATGATTTGTACCAATCAACCCAGCTCGGTTCGCCTGTTGTTTGGTGTTGGTTATCCAAAATTACTGTGCCTGAACAACTCTGGTCGGCTATTACTAGTATTATTGCGCCGGATCAGTATCTTGCTGGTATTGAATCCATGTCTAGGCTGAAGAATATGGTTCATACCTCAAAACCAGTCGTTTGGCCCTCTGTCTTTTCTGGAATTGAGGTAATTGTCAGCTGAGAGATGCCACATCACTGAGATCCAGGAGCATCAGCCTGCCATTCTACGACCTTCTAGTTAGCCTTGGCCAAGCCAACCAGGTTGTACTAGATCTTCCAGATTTGGGCGCCCAACTAGGTTATCCCCCTGGGACTATGGTATATATTGCAGGCAAGGTGCTGGAACATGGAGTCCCAGGTTGGGGTGATGGCGAGAGGATCGTGATTGCCCATTTTATCAAGGATAAGGTCCATGATAAGCAAGGCATTCCAAGGCCAAGCTTTCCGATCCAGCATGATCTTCTCAAGCGGGTGGGGGCTGGTAGAGGTCTGAAACCTGTTTGTAAGAAGAAGGTGGGAAAAATTGATGGGGTTGGAATGGTAGCAGCTAGGCGGTAATAGAGTTAATTAATCTATCAAGAGGAGATATGGCCAGAAAAAAAACTAACTCAAGTCTGTTTCATATTCTTTCAAAGACAGGGGTAGTTTGTCACAATGAAAAGACCTGGATGTCAACTATATTGCCTACAAACCTACAATTGGAAGGAGGGGAAAGCCATCATGGCTCGAATCTCGCGCTGATCCACTGTATGAAATATTGGGGAAACATTCCTCCTCCTCGAGCCCCAGGAAACGAGCAAAGGAGGTCTTAATGGATTTGCCAGACATCGAGACATTCACTGACTTTGGTCTGGAAGGAGAGGCTGCTCAGGATGCAAGAAAAACCAAGGTACAACTCGCATTTTCTAGCTTACAGATAACTCTCTTCTCATAATACATAATATAGACCCAAAATAACTTCATAGCAGAGTATTTGGCCTACCGGGATCTATATCTAGACATCATCCTGGAATTGGAACAATTTACCCGTGCTGGCATCTGTGAGACTTGCCAAAGTGCTGAGGGCATATTCAGTTGTTTAACTTGCACTGGAGATCATGGCTGGTGTCGCCCTTGCATGGTCAAGTTGCATCAGTCATTACTGTTTCACAAAATTCGTTTGTGGACCGGGAAGTGCTTCAAGGATGTCAAGCTAGCTGACCAGGGTTTAATATGGTACTTAGGCCATGGTGGAGAATCTTGCCCTTGGTATGAAGCTTCACAACTGTGTGACTCCGAGGTTGAAGCCTTGGCCCACAATACCACCTCAGTCACTATTGTACATTCTTCTGGGGTGTTCATGCATAATGTAGCATGGTGTCATTGCCCGGGATCCAATTCCCAGCATGTACAACTCCTAAAAGTAGGACTATTTCCTGCCAGCTTCACCTGTCCAAAGACCGCGTTTACCTTTGAGGTGTTGGATCATTTTCTCATTGATGCCTTGGAATGCAAGACTTCTGCAAGGAGCTTCTATGAGAAACTCACAAGGCTGACTAATAATGCATTCCAAGATACTGTCCCAGTGAGTTTAAGTGTACTTGATACAGTAGCTCTTTCTGAATATCCAGCATGTATTGGCAGGATCGATACCATGAACTCATGAGAGTATCCCGGCTTTGGCGGGACTTAAAGAACCGAAAATGGTTTGGATTTGGCCATGATGTTAAACCAGAGCCTGGCCCTGGTGATCTTGCTCTTTTTTGCCCTTCTTGTCTGCAGCCAGGAATCAATATGTCTTTGCTTTGGGAGCAGAAGTATGAAAGGCAAGTTGTTTAATTATTAAATGGTCTGGCCGGTACAGCTACTACGGCTGCCAGCTAGCATCCTGGCCAGCCAGTCTAGCTGGGAAAGGAAGCTGGCCAGCCTTAGTTCTACCTAGGGTAGACATAATGCTGCCCCAGAGCAAACCGGATGCAAGCTCAGACTCTAAGGTTAAACAAGGCTAATTGTGCATTGCAGGTGGCTGATTATGAGGAGATTGGTCATCAATGGGAACTTCACTGCTCAGCATATGAACATGTGTCAGCCTGAACTAGACATCTTCCTCTCAGATGGTTCAGGTTATATGGTGGCTGATGCTCATTATCAAGCTCACTTTGTTACAAGAACATCTAGACGCTTGGGCCCCTACCATTTTTCTCCTCATCCTTCTCGTATCAGCCCTCACATCATACCCTTACCCTGACCTCACCCTCGTTATCCTCGTCATCCTCGCATTCCCTTTCGCCCTCTACCTGTTGCTTCAGCAGAGCCAGTACATCTGGCTGGACCCTTTCGCTGATGAAGCATACCCATGCTCCGTTTCACCACCTGACTGATCCTGTGGACAGTCCCCTTGCCCTTACCGTCCGGACGGTAACCTATGATATGATGCACGACGGATCCCCTTTGCCCTTTTCCCTTTCTTGATCTTTGACTCGGTGCGCAGTCGCACATGTGACTTATACTTAGCTCTGCAGCTGCACGATCGTGCCCCTGCGTGTTTCACTTCTTATTTTGACCTTTGACTCACTTTCTTATCTAGCACGTTCTGGTTCACCCGTGTCTCACCTCGAACGTGCTTCCCTTTTATGGTTATGCCCTTTACCGATCACTTCTCTTGGTAGTATGAGTTATCACCCACTAATACACCTCCTATCCTCTATATAAACTCGCTACCATGTACTATATTCCCTAACTTGAATCTACTTGGTTCTTGACCTCCTACTCTCACCAGAGTGATCCCTTCTGCCTAGCCAGCAGTCTATATTCTATCTTCTTATCTGCTCTTCGCGGATAAGCCTATAGTCTCGATCTTTACTCATCGACTTCGTCAACGAGCAAAGCCCCTGTTAACTAGTCGGACTTCCGTCCTTCTAATTAACGTCGATCTTACGATTAACCTTCAGGTGTCGTAAGCCTTGGCAGATACAGCTCATCATCTAGCAGCCGCTTGACATAAGCTACCCGATTTGGACATAGGCGTCAAATCTTACTTGCCGAAGCCTCGCCAAGTAAGACCCCTAACCTTGGGCTAGCCCAAGGACGTCCTCAACCATTGACGACACATGCTCTGTTTGAGCATCGCCAACAGATACCATCCAAGTCATAACACACTTGGCCTCAGCAATGGAAAGCAAAGAGGTGAGTCAGCTAATTCATTTTTCATTTTCAGTGTCTCAATGTGTGAGAAGAGGTCCACGTGTAGCAACCATTGGGCAGTCAATGCAGCAAATGCAAATTGAAGCAATCTTCAAGCCACTGGGGTGGGTGCCACAGCTTGTGCTAGGCACGGATGTTTTGTGCCCCACTCAGTAGTAGACTTCCAGAAGGGTGAATGGCAAGTCTTCTTTGATTTATTGCGTCATGACATAATATGGTGACAAAATTATGTTAAGCCAAATGAATGTTGATTACTCCATATGTGAGGGTATTAAATACACTGCCAACCGAATTGATACCTCCCTGGTGATTTATGATGTGGGGTGTCAGTGGAACCTTCACTTTGCAGATCGTGTTGACAACTGCCCTGGCCTAACACTACCTGAAAATGCAGAGATTGTGGCTGCTGTGGGGAAATTTCATCTTAGTGCTCATAAGCTGGCTTGTTTCACTAGATACAGCCTGAACTTCATTATTGGAGCTGCCCAGGTTGATGGGGAAATTCTGGAGACACTCTGGGCTCCCTTCAACAAGATATCCCCAACAGCTCGTTCCATGAGCCAAGCCCACCGTCAAGAAATCCTTGATGACCACATGCGGAATTCAAATTGGAAAAAACTTGTTCATATCAGTGAGTCATATATTTGGCGTCAATAAGACTTTGATTAAATATTATCAGTCAAGACCCTGTTGCAAAAGTACAAAAGAGCAAATAAGGGCATTGATGACACAAAGATTCCATTTGATGATCTTACAAAATCCTTGGATGTCAACAAAGTCATCATGTGGGAAAGTGACGAGAGACAAGCCATGGAACGGTGGGGGGCTCATCTTGATATATACAATCTAAAAATAGATAAAGGTGAGTGTTTGAGAGCTTCTACTGGCTTCAGTGTACATTCTGATGGAGGATTTGAAGCACCAACGATGGCAGACATAAGGCTTAAAGTAACCAAAACAGAATATGCTGATACCGGCAAATTGGGTTCAGAATCTTGGCTTATTGAAGGTATCAATTTGGAAGATACGCAGTGAGTCATTTAATTAGCCTCACAATCAACAGCATTTTAATTTGGCCCTAGGGATGCATTACAAGTAGATATTCAGCAGCTTCCCAGAGATGCATCTGCTACTCAAAAGGCTGTAGTCACAGAGAAACAGCAAAAATTAGCTGCGCGTATATCAAAATATCACGAAAAAACTGATGCCATGACACAGGGCATTGAATTAAACTCAGGTACAGTGCCTGTGGATGACACCAGATTTTGCGCTGCAGATACCGAGGAGCTAGGGAAAGAAGTTGTAGATGTCGAGTTTACCTCAGAAGAGATCGTCAATGAAGTTCCTGCAGAAGTGATGGGTATTTGGATGCCATCATCAGTGCCCCACCAGGATGCTGTAGCCCTTGGCTTGGGTGCTCTACAGATCGAGGAACTCCAGTTACGGCAGGGTCAGGCAAATGATTGCCTAGAAAGATTACGACAGGCTCTTGGTCATAAAGCCATCATTTATCGTCAATACTTCTGAAGTGCAGATTCCACCTGGATGGGTACCAGGTCAAAGCAAGATGCTTTTCGGTGCCAGATAAAAATAGATAAGTGCATTCGAAGTTACCAAAGGGCAAGGGATGCCATGCAGAGACTAGGAGTGGATGAAGAAACTCTCAGGGATGTTTATCAACAAATCCAGCCCAGCCAGCTCACCGTGAACCAGGAAGTGACTAAAGAAAATAGATATGGTCAGGGATCAGACAGACTAGCATGGTTTTGGAGGATCAACAATGGTGGTGATCTTCGTGAGGATGCATGGATGAATGAATGTGAGTGGTGCTTAATATTTCATATGTATTCTTACCACAAGAATCAGTCTACAGGGTCAATTGGTTAAAAGCAAAGGCTAGGTGGCAAAGGTGGGAAGAAGAATTAAGTTTGGTTGGGCATGAGATGGGTTGGACAGTTGGCTGGTTTAGGCACAATATGGGTGAATGGGAGAGAAGGTATAAAGAAGCTACAAAGCTTGGGCATAAAGCTTATGCACAACGGCAGGTGCTTTTGTGGGAAAAGTTTATGCTGGATGCAGAGAATTCATTCAAAGACAAGATGATTGTGGTATCTTAACTATATTGTCACCAGTATACAGCTCTCATTACTCTTCTGCTCAAAGTGAAGTCTGCCCAAAATATGCCCAAGCAACAAGAGGTTTTGGCACAGGCCAGCTTCCCTCTAATTTGATGTCTGGCCAGACAGGGTCTAAGGGCCAGCTCCCTCTCATTTGATGTCTGGCCAGTACAGGTCCTACCTGTCTGGCCGGACAGGGTCTACGGGCCAGCTCCCTCTCATTTGATGTCTGGCCAGTACAGGTCCTACCTGTCTGGCCGGACAGGGTCTATGGGCCAGCTCCCTCTCATTTGATGTCTGGCCAGTACAGATCCTACCTGTCTGGCCGGACAGGGTCTACGGGCCAGCTCCCTCTCATTTGATGTCTGGCCAGTACAGGTCCTACCTGTCTGGCCGGACAGGGTCTACGGGCCAGCTCCCTCTCATTTGATGTCTGGCCAGTACAGATCCTACATCTCTGGCTGGTCAGGGTCTACGGGCCAGCTCTCTCTCATTTGATATCTGGCTAGCACTGGTCCTACGTCCATAGCTGATACCTAGTATATAGCTAGTCACATATTACTGTACATGCCTCTACATGCTGGCCAGTACCACATATATGTGAATTTAGTACAGCTGGCCAGCCTCTGGCTGCACAGCTTCTACGACCTTTTGGCATGTCCGGGGTACAGGTTCTACGTTGGGTTTTGACTGAATGGTCTGGTAAGAGTCTCATACTGTAACTTAGTGCCACAAACCAAACATGTACAACATTATTTCAAATAGCGCAACTTTGGACTCTACACACCCAGCAGACTGGCAAAACTTGTAGTGGCGCAAGGTTTGTTAGTATTTGTCCCACCGAAAAGCCTTCCGAATGCACTGACACAACACTGACACATACTATTGGTTACCACACCTTCGGTCAAGTTGTTGCTGGTTCAGACAGTCACACAATGTCACATCTGCCAAAACAAGCTCCGCTCAGCATCCAGTATCAGCACATAGGCCTCATAACGATCATTACTCCAAGTTGAATAATTCAAAACATTTTATTGAATGTGCATGTGCATTACTATGAACTGGTAAAATTTTATGAGGGGGTATAGGAACTATGTAGATGACTGGGACAGTATGATACAAAAGAAAGTGCTGCAAAAGAGTGAGTAAATGGTGCTGCTGATGTGTAAGATCCACGGGACATGATATTAGCTGACAAGTGTGATGATATTGTAAACTTGAAGGAGGAGTATACAACACATGTTTTGAGTCCTGCAGATGGCAGTGGGACTGGGAGCAATGAGCTGAAGCCAAAGTGTGGTGCAGGGTACAACACTGTATGACTACTAGTAGTAGCGTTGATATTAGGCACAGAGTCCTTGCTGAGTGGGATGTGTCTTGAATATTAATGTGTGCAACACTTGTGCAATGCTTTGCACAATGCAGAAAATCCAGCACCGGGTGCACCAATAGTGATCTGAAACTCCGCTACAGCAGACTCGGCTTGGTGACAAGCAGACATGATCTTCAGCTCTGTCACACCTGGACAAGGATCTCAATCATTTCTCAACCAATTTCAATTATTCTACTTCGCAGTAGTGTATTATAAGTGTATAATGATATGTGGTCGAACAGAATATGATTTGAAGCAAAGTTGAGTGAGATATTGCAAAGTGTCCGAACCAGCGGTTGACCGAAGCCGATAGTATGTGTCAGCGCGTTCGGAAGGCTTTTTTGGTGGGACAAATACTAACAAACCTCGCGCCACTACAAGTTTTGCCAGTCGGCTGGGTGTCACATCGGGGTTATCAATATTTAGCAGCGGTTTATATGTAGTACGAAATGTGAAGAAAGCATTTGAAGTTTAAACTGACATAAAGATGGAGAGATAACTTCAAATTTTGGCAGTGTTTTCTTTTAAATACAAAATTTGAAACATCGGCAACCGTATCCCCACTGACCATATGTCAATAACAATAAGAAATTTAATCTGAATTTTTGCGTGTGCTCAAATTTGAAGTTCAATTCTAGCCTAAAATGTTGGACAAAACGTGAAGTTTGGGACGTGATCATACGCCTGCTTATGTATGAAGTATTGTCCAACAATTAAGATGCCCTGAAAATTTGAAGTTTATGCCTGTGACGAAATGCGAAGACAAAACTTGAAGTTTTGTCCAGAGACAATATAAATCGCCCGATCATCGCCCGATCATCACACAATCGTAGCCCGCTCACCACCCGGATTCGTTACCTCAAAGGCATTTTATTCTTATCAGGTACTAGCTACAGTTTTGTAGCATAACAAGGCAATTCTTATACGTAGCATAAAACGAGAAAACTATGTAAATTTCATGAGTGTGAATGAGAAAAAACAGGAACAGATGGAGAGGCAGCCAAACGGAAGCACGGAGGAGGCTGATTATCTTGTCAATATCAATAAGAGAGTTTGGTTGAATGACTTACCGTCAATCACGAGATACAGAAAGAATCACTATATGACTGTCAGAAACCGCCCACCGCGCGAAGTGACTGACTACCCAGGACACCTTGGCTTTTTCGAGACGACTCTGGAAGTTGGTCGAGTACAATTTGGCCGGAAAATCGGGATACATCGAGAAGGGGTCGATAGTACGGTTGTTGTCTAACAGGAGATGTCGCTGTACAGCAAACAACATTTCTCCTGTCAGCGTACCATAGATATATTTGATACTAGCGGCAACAGGAGTCAATGATTTATCTCCGTTGGGATAGAAAAAAATCTGGCTGTTCCCCATGTGCGTAGATGCCCTGCAGTAAACAATACCATCAAACTTTAGCGAGGCGCGCAATACTGCTGTTCGTCGCCTGATGAGGGCATATAGATCCTCAGGCACCGTACTGGTCATTGCCGAGTCAGGAACCTGGACAATATCATCCATAGGGTCTTTGGCAAGCTCTTGGCTGGGATCCGGAGCACCCTTTGGGGCATATACTTTATCAAACAGAGCCCTGCACTCTTGGATAGCGGGCGGACAATCTGTTCGAGCGAGCCAACGGTGAAGCCTAGCAGCCTTGATGTATGAACGCAGCATTGTGTTCTCGAGCTCCCCTGAAAAAAATATTAGCCCATTTTGCTCGTTCAGTATTCTGACAAGGACCGACCAAATTTGTGATTAACGGGAAGGCGTTGGAGTATGCCAATCAGACGTTCGAAAGGGAAACACCACCACAAGTGAGCAGGTCCGAATAGGAGCAAAAAGTCATATAAGTGGAAAGACGCATGGTGATTTGGGCGGAGAGAGAAGGTAGGATGGATCTCCTTCAACTTTCCGACATAGCCAGAGATATACGAGCGGTAGGCGTTTGCTCTTCTTGTTGTCATAGTTCGTGCGCATGCAAGATACACCGCGCACACTAGTTCCATAGTGTGATCAAGAACACTTCTGAGTCGCACAGAAAGTTCATCGGAAGCATGAGAGGTACCAGCACCCCACAAGCTCACAAGAGCAATGGGAAGATAGACTGTGATAAGTGATCGCCACTCATCAGCTTTAAGCGTCCCAGCAGATGCATCTCCAAAATCACTGGGGACTGAACCAAGCCAAGTGGGGACAGATGCATCTCGGATGACGTCGCGAATGCGTCCAAGTACTTCTGCTGTCCCAAACTGAGGTTCTTCTATGGGAGCGGTTAAAGGTTTTCCACGGCGCTGTGAATAATCATTAAGAAATTTGAGACAGTAACACGATGACGAAGAACTTACCCACTCGAGAAGAGCTTTGACATAATCTATCTTGAACGTTCTACCAGTTTTCTGTGGCATACAGCCCAAGTTATTACAGATATACTTCAGCGGTCCGATATTCTTGTGGAACAGAGAGTCTTTCAGCTTGTTAAAGCAGGCCTCTTCATCGGGAATAGTCATCTGGGAAAGAAGGAGGGCCTGGATCGTAGATACCTGTGTCATTTCCTTCGTTGTCATCGTCCCGGAAGGTACTTCGCCAAAGTTGTACGAAAACGCGCGAGGGGTAGAGGCCGAAGCGGTTGACTTCGAAGTCAAACCGAGCAGATTACGAGTATGGTGAGGAACCAAACCTTCCAATAGACAATGCATCAGATCAATGACGAGCTGCCGGGAGGGGTCCCAGTACGGTAGACGCCAGAGCTCGGAATAACGCACACCATGAGCCTTGAACAGTGCTTCACGTTCAGCGAATGTAGCAGCGTCTCTCCACTGCTCAGCATATGCTCGGAGTTTGTCTCTATCGCGAGGTGTCCAATTCTCGAAGTCTACTCTTCCATAAGTAGATTTGTGATAGCAATCACATGTGCTGCAGTAGAAATGACTGCTGACTCCAGCCAGATATGAGAGATGGCGAGCAGCAGGAAGATCGCAGACGACAAGGGCAACAGCACTACGAGTTAGACGACCATTGGGGTAACACGCAGTTTTTGAAAACTTGATGCCGTGCTCCCATGTGTCTACCAAATCATTCATGAGTGGTCGGATGTAGTGATTGAGATTTTCCAAAGACGGCTGCTTCGGACCTGGGATAATACCTGCAAGATACATGTTCTCTGGCTTATATCTGATATCCAAAGGCAGATTCAAGCATGCCATGGAGATAATTCCGCAGGACGTACTAGGTCCCCGCACATTCATCCCTTCAGGATTGAAGAAATCCACGTGAAGGGCGAAGGCATAACGTCCTTCTTCTCCTCTGTTGATAAAAAGTGTGTCAGGCTTCGGGCCGCCAAATGAACGGAGGAATTGGGCTTCAAATGGATTTTTGACAAAGGGCGGAAGAGGAGAATTAATGGAGTCCATGAGATCATCACACGCTTCATCCATCACGGCTTCTACATCTCTACGAGAGAGGAGGCCAGAAAGATAGTCTTTGAAGTCGTGATACATGAAAGTTTTCTTTGGACGGTGTTCTCCTTCAGGGCCAACAAGTAAAGCATCACCACATTTGGTCCCGGGTGTAGGACAATGAATGCAACGTTTAGGGTATCTTGCAGTCGTAGAGCCTGGTGCATATGTCGGAGGATAAGTACAATGACAGCTGCAGATGGCATATGCTGATAGTTTTCCCAGTGAGATGGAATTTTGCCTCTGCACCATCCGAGGTCAGAGGAATTTGCTGGAGGATATTTTCATGTGAAGAGCTGAGACTGCCGTCCGACCTCCAAAACGCGAGGAACAGTACAACGGAAATGATCTTTATGATTAAATCACAACTACTCCTGCTGACCCCCATGACAACTCTGCATGCCACACAAAGGAATAGGACGATTTGGCTGATCTCGTCTGAGCGATCAACTGAAGCTTGCTGCAGGGCGTCTATTGAACTGTAAGCAAGGAGCCATGATCGACATACTCATGACTTACCGGTATTGATCTCAATGGGCCCATGCAGCGTATCCTGGTGGCTGCCGAACTGGGCAGTCAAGTCATCTATCTGTGTTGCAATTGCCTTCTTTCGTTCAATGACAACATCTACCCCTCCGCTGACATTCTCCATAGCTGTGCGAAGCAAAGATAACTCGCGACCAACATCATCAAGGCTACAAGCATGTAGCGATAAGCGAAAGCACCGCTGAATCCGGGACTCAATATTGTCAAGGATATTCAACACTTTGACTGTGCGTCTATTGTGTTTCGGCTTCGATGCGGTTTCGCTAGCAGCCTGTCAACTTGTTGTCATTGGCGGGACTGGCGTGCCATCTGACAACTTCAACTGCTGGAGGTTATTTGACAGGGCAGAGACAGAAACTGCAGGAGGGTTGCACGGTCCTGGGCGCTCCAAATCATTGTTCGTTGAAGATGAGAATGAAGGGGGCTGGGAAGGATTCATCGAGAGGGTCAAATGACCAAGATCGTCGGTGATGGAGGAGACAGTGGGTTTGCCAGCTTTGGTGGATGCAGCACGCTCAGCGCTTTCTGCCTTTACACGCCGGACGTGAGCCGGGATTGATCGTTCTGCCATTAGAACCCCTTTTGGTGCGCCTCTCTCGTCATATCCCCCTTTCTCGATGCACTCCTCACACACACATCATGTGAGCGCTGCACGGGATGCGGGCATTGAGCGAATAAACTTGACGGCGACGACAGTATGTACCGTCGTCGTCTATAGATAGTGTTCTGAAAACAGCCTGGGGCGACCATTTAAAACCAAAACAAAACAAGGGAAAATAGAGTGACCTACAACAACAGAAGGTACTAATCCACTAGAGGAACAACAGACAACGAGCTGATCTTAATTGAATAAGAAAGAGCAGCGACGGAGTACAAGCTGCTTACCTACATAGCCGCATCCAAATACAAGTGTGACTAAATATGGGTGAATGACATGGAGACACTACAGAAAAAAAATGCGGGGAGATTGGAGTCAGGACAGCGACTGGAATTAGAGCGAGAGCGAGTACATACCAGCTGTCCCAGACAAAGATTAATTCGGACGGAGGAGCCGGGCGACGAAAGGACGACACGGCAGTACATACCGCTGTATAAAGAGTCCAGTCAAGTTCGGGACGAAGTCCAGTCGAATAAAGTCCAGGTAGTACAACAATGATATGGCAGTACATACCGCCGTATCAAGAATCCAGTCAATGTGAAGTCCAGCCAAATGAGGATTTGGAGGGAGGAGTCGGGCGACGAAAGATGACACGGCAGTATATACTGCCGTGTCAAGAGTCCAGGATGAAGTCCAGTCGAAGTCCAGCAGACACGACAGTACATACTGTCGTGTCAAAGGAGGAAGGGATAAGGGATAGACGCGACAGTACAAACCGTCACGCCAGTGGGTGTTGAAACCGGTATGGGGAAAGTATAGCAAACGGTAAGCAAACGATAAGGTAAGGCAAAGGTAAGGTAAGGTAAACACCTACAAACTCACGTGCAAATCAACTTTCAACCTCCGACAAGTGTCAATTATCTCTGTCAATTATCTTTTTCATCTTGGGCTCAGCGGTTTGTACTGCTGAGTCTACTTTTTGGTTCATAACCTCCATCGCCCAGCTGTCTGTACTGCTGGGCGTATTATGGGAGTGCTCCACTGCGACTGCCTCACTAGTGCAGCGCACTGTTGCTGAGCGCTTTGAGTGACAGCCACTGAATCCGCCAAATTTTGCAGCCTGCCTTCTCCCCATATCCAGCGGTCTGTACTGCTTGGGTGTGTGCTTGACGACTACCGCAGCGCGGTGCACTTTCTCCCGCCCTCTTGAATAGGGATTCACCCTGGTCCCCCCCTTATCTCATCTTGCCCAGCCAATGTCACACTCGATCCAGCCAATGTCACCCGTCAGGCGATTCTTTCTGGTCGCCAATTTTCCATCCACTCGATCCAGCCAATGTCATCCGTCAGGCGATTCTTTCTGGTCGCCAATTTTCCATCCACTCGATCCAGCCAATGTCACCCGTCAGGCGATTCTCTCTGATATCCGATTGCACCGTTATCTCCCCCAGCCCATGTCATCTTACCCGGTTCTCTCTGGTCTTCGGCCATCCCTCCACATTTACGTGGAGGGATTTACCCAACAAACACGAGACGACGTTAAGACTATTACAACATTTCTACGTTACAAGAGCAGAACTTCTTTTCCTGAATCATCGTGTCGTCTCCAAGCTCTTCTGATATCGTCTTCTCCTGCCTTCACGGCCTCAAAAAATACCCTTTCGGCTTCCGCAGTCATCTTGTTGTGTCGTGTGACATGAATGTCCTCACCCATATCCTCATCTTTCTTTGCCTCTCGAATGACATCGATGAGTTTTCCTGCCAGCTCATGTAGCATCAATATGTTGTCATGTTTGCCAACTTCCTGGTAGGCTTGTGGTGCTTTGCTGAATACCGCATTTTGGCGGAGGTTGTGATCCGAGAAGTCAAACACTCGAGTTGCTATCATACGTTGGGCGAGGTCTCCTGACCATGCCGCTGCTGCGTCCTGTGAAGGTATGAACTTGCTGACTGCTGCTGAGTTAATTCTTGACTTACATAGTAATTTGTTATCAAAAAACAGATGATAACCATCAAGGCACCGATATGAACCAGGATTTTGAACAAGCACGTAACCATACTAGGGCGGGAATTTTCAGAGGTGAGAGTTCCCTTTACCGTTCCATAGTTATAGGCCCATAAGTTGATTGTAGCCTTTCCGCGGCCTTGTGCTGGTGAAGCACTGGCGACTATACAGCGCCCATTAAGATCACGCGCCTTGGCAGATAATCAGTACCCATCCTACCTTTGAAAAATTCTGACACTTACCGCTATTGTCTGCACCAAGCCTGTACTGGAGTGTCGCAGGCTCTCGAGTAACTTCCCTGATTTCCTCTCGAATACATACACTAATCCATGGTCACTCCCCCCAATGATCAACCTTCCTTCTGCCCCAAATGCCACCTGCTTGGGGACAGACACACTTGGTGCAGGGGTTATAAATGTTCGAACCGGTTCCTCATCACCTTCTAATTGATACAAAGTGAAACCATTGGTGGCATTGTCCACTACGAACACACCCCTCCTTTGGTTGACTGTTGCGTGTCCACTGAAAGAAAGTAAGTAATACATCTGTTGATAACGTGCCATGGGCTCTTACATGACTGATTGGCAGCTGTATTCCTTCATCACTGCGCCGTCATCACCTTTTAGCTTGATGAAGTTCCCATTATACAATCCGAACACATAGACACATCTGTTGTCTCCAAACACCACAGACTTTGGCACTGTGTTGTCGAGTCGCACCGAAAACACGGCCTGCAGCTGCGAATTTGTGTTGAGAACGAGGACTTGAACCACCTTGTCCCTCGTTCCCACTGCAATCCGCGTATTTGCTTCGGAGGATGAGGAATCCCATACCATGCAAGTGATTTCGAAACCCGATCCAAGCCTCCTAGCACAGATCTCCTGAAAGTGCGTCTGTTCGATGTTAGCTGAAGGTTCAATAACGAGACCAGGAGACGAGGATGCTCTTACATCTACTTGGCTACATCGTAAAAATATGACGTAGCCTAGGCCAGTTCCATAGCAAAGAGTTTCTCCCATGCCCAGTCTTGTTGTCACCCAGACAGCGCAGCTAACTGTGCCTCGGGACTCATGATGAGTCGAGCATGTAAGTTCTTTCCGAGATTTGATATCCCAGAGTTTGACGCCCTCGGTCCCTGCTTATTTGTTAGCACCTTCCCACAACACAGTGCGTGTCAATTTACCGCTGCATGCAAGAGCTTGACCATCATTAGAGATTGCGAGCGCGTGAATGGACCCGCTGAAGGTAGAAAGGCGCATTTGATGTTCGAAGTGTCGCTTCGATTTCGTCAAGAGTGATGACGCAAAAAAAGATGTTGTGTGCATGATTTGTTTTGAGTCGCCAGTTCACCTGCTCACAGCCTATTTATATTAGATTCCCATTTGCTTTCGCAAACATGTTGATTCCATGGCGATTTGCTAGCCATTTGTTGGTTCTCACCATTTGTATTCATCCTTTTGTGAGCGCATGTCACTTCACGTAATGATTTCGTATTTCTATTATATGTAGGCCTTATTTTATTGATGCGTTTTAAGCAACTTCTTTTGTTGATCGTCCTTATTGTTTAATCTTTATATAGTAGTGGTGTCATTTGGTCATAAATCTCATTACAGGCTATTGCAGTTCAACCCAATACCTTGACCCGCTCTTGTCGCCCCACTCACGTCGCCCTAGCCTCAATACCATGTCCAACTTGAACAGATCCACTGCTGTCCCTGCTTTTTATGATCAAGAGCCTGGCGCTCCACCACCCCTCCCTCCTATGCTGACAGACCAGCTCGAATTATTTAGCTGTACTCGCCACTCAACTACGCTCATTGCCGACGAGATTCTTCCTTCCAGAATCAGCACTGCCGTTCCTTCTACTCAGCGCACTAAACAGCCGCAGGCCAAGGACACGCCTGGGTTCAAACTTGCAACGCGGCCGTTCAAGAACGACCGCTCTTCATCGCCATACTCAAAGAGAGTCTCATGTTCCCATTCTCAGACGCCCACACCCTCAGATTCTTCAGGTTCATTAGATTCAGTGTCAGACAGTGGTTCCTCGACTTTGACTGAGAGTCTATCGGAAGAGTCAAAGATACCCAAGCCTCCTGGCGAACCTGGACGTCCGGGGCGTGGAGGATACACACTCCAGGAGGCTTTAGACTGGAACCCAAAGGCATATACTAAGTTCAAGGTGAGTGACGTGTCCTCACCACAGCATGCTATTTGCTCATGAACACTTTAAGAAATTCATGCACCACCTCATTGAAGAAAATCTCGACACGACCAAGTGCGCCTCTTCCCAAAACCATGCGCTCCTGAAAACCGTGCGTGATAAGGTGAGTAGACTACAGGCGGCAGTCGTTCACAATCTTACTATTTGTCAGGCTGTCGACGCTTTCCCAGACTTAGAAAACTACAGTGGCTACTGGCCGCTGAATGACATGATCATGATGCGTTTGAAGTATACTTCGGGATCGTGCTAGGCAGAAGGAATCAAAGTTGGGTGCGGGCAAGACCAAGACCAAGATCAAGAAATAATTCGTATTACTTATGTCGAGCGTTTTACGTTGTAACTTGTACCCCACATTTTACTTGAATTACTAGGGGCGTCCACATCCCAGGCCAGACTGTGGGCACCGTTGATAATCATACCGTTGTGTGGCACGGCATCCGTAAGATCTCCAACAATGGCTATGAGTCGTCTATGACATGACATGATACAAGAGGGCAATCAATCAGTCCCGAGTAGCTATAGGCAGATGGTAGCCTGCGATGAGCGGGCGCCATGTACAACAAATATGGCCATATGACCCATCACCACCCACTGTGCGCTAAGTTAAACATACTCGTCCTGTCTCACCCGTTAACTTCAATTCCCCCATGGTGCAACGGTCTGTACTGTCGCATTTATCCTGCCGTCACGGCAAACTCCATATTATAACTACATACAAATCATTATGTATTACTTCGAATCAGACTACCTCGCCGTTGATGAACTGTCAGCCAGCCGGTGGTTGACCCGAGTGCACAAGGGCTTCACGACAGTGAGAGTACGTGGGAGCTTTGCTTGCGGGTAGTGTCTAACGCTTTGTGTAAAACTGATGGATTCTATGTCAACGAGGTTTCAAGGAATCACAATCATGCTTACCGATGCATGATGAAGTCTGCAAGTGAATTGTCCCTGCTTCGCATGTTCACAACAGAGCCGGCACCAGAACCAATCCTCATGACCACTGCATCTCCTCGGAATACATGGTTAATGCTGCTGAGAAGTGGATTGGCTCTCAGACGACAGTGCCGCTTGAAGAAAACGCAAAACCGATATACATGTCTTCCTTCATGCAGGGTGACAAGGCAGTTATGCACGTATGGCTGCACAGTTGCACAATCTAGGAGGCTCTCAGGAACAGGAAAGCGCTTCCCGCTGCGCGAGCGATCAGAGCATCGTGTTAACATGGTGACCTGGCGAGGTTTACCCCACGATGAGGAATACAGCCTACACCGCAAATGAAGTTCAGCGGTCTTATATATATATCAGTAAAAATCAAGAGAGAAGCGAGATTGTGACCTACAGATGACGTGGGGGTGATATAAATACGAGTGTTGACCATTGCGGCAGGCAGAGGAATGACAGATGAAATTAGGTAAGTATAGGCGACCAGCGCGGAAGACAAGGAGTGGATGGTAAACTGAAAAGCGGGCGATCTTATAGTAGTTTTGGTACTTACCTTTGACTGAGTCTACCTCGAGTGGAGTGCAGACCATCATCCCAAGAACCAATTAACTGATCGCCATACCTATTGTCTTTAGTTGTTTTGCAGAATGCAGGAGAACAATAAATGTAGTAGATTCGTAAACATCTTGCCTGCTTGAGGTTAGGCTTTTTTAACTCTTTTGTACTTAGACCTGGGCATCAAATTTGTGTTTACGACACGTGCCACTAAGGCGGACGAGCGCCCGAAATGATAGGGCCAGAAAAAAAAAGATAATGCGACGTCGTCAGGGCGAAACTACATGAAAAGTGGGGATCATGCGACAATGTTATTATCATAATAAAGTCTAAAGACAATAATGACAGTCATTTAAGTAGGGGGATCCAAACCCCATGTAAGACATTGACAACGCCAACTCCTATTACCATGTCAGAAACACAGCGCTTTGAGAAAGAGAACGTACAAACAGCCAGCGATGCAGACTTGTTTAATGAAGACGATGATATGGAAGACACCGACACTGAGAGTCGGATGACAACCCAGTTCGACACACCACAGTGCACGATGACCATGGTATGTTCATCGAGCGAGCGACAATTATGTCGAGTTCAGTGATCCTGTTCTAGGTATCAACAGAAACCTCCCTGATGAACGTCGAAGAGTCCTTGAACAATGTCGCAGGTCAGCCATCAACTTGGGCGACTCGGTCGGACAAGAGGGGGACCTCCCAGATGGACTTGGACCAGCCCCCAACAAGGACAGCTCCGCTTGAGAAGAGGGAAAAGCGAGTCACCGATCCGGTATGTCTAGATAATGGATGAAGGTCAATATTATATTAAGTTTGAGCTAGGTACTACCTGACAAGCGCCGCATCAAAGAAGTTGACTACTCAGAGACACTACGCGACACTGTGTACAGACAAGAGGAACTGATCAACAATATGAAAATGGTTCGTAGTATCACTCACTGCAGTTCGCCAATATCTGACTTGTAGGCCGCTATAGGAAGTGGAAAAACAATGAGGAGAACATGTGCACAACATGAACGAGATGAAAAAGCAGTGGCAAACAACTCTGAGAGAGCGGGAAGAGCAATTAGCAAAGGCCCAGGAGGAAATTGAGGTAATTCCTGCTGCAGCGCATGACTACATACACTCATGACCACAACAGAGGACCCTGCGTCCAGCAGCAGCAGCAACTTGAAGAATATATTAAAGAAACTCGTGAAGCACTCGGCCAGGCCAATCGCAACGCGATCGAGGCCACTATACAGAAAATCCAGGAAGACGCTCACGACCACTTGGCACGAGAACGGACACAGCAAGAAGCGGATCTGCGCGAAAAACTGGCCCAACGCGAGGAAGAGTTGAAGAGAAAGACAAACGAAGAGGTGAGGTGAACCATCCAATTGGAAAACAGTTGATAACAATAAACAGTTTCAAGAGCGCAACAAAGCTGATACTCGCTGAGATGGAGCAGAGGTTACAGCAGGAAATGCTCAAGATAAAGGCGAGAATAAGTTTCATAAAAATGGAAAATATACTGAATAGCTCACCAGGCAGAAAAAGAGAGCGAGCTGGCCAAGATGGAACGGAGATTTTCCAGGCGTTACAGGTTTCAGGACAAGGATATAGAAATGGATAACGACTCCGCTATGCCAGGAGATGCGGGACAACCATCATCTCCGTCCGCAAAACCACGATCAGATACCTCGTGCTTTGAAGCAATTAAGAGGATAAAGAAAACTCGTGGAATATTGCACAGGGTTCGCCTTGTATCTGTAGCAGCGGATGTAAGCATTTGATGCGGTTGACTTTGATGTATGTAAACTTACACAATATAGGTGGACGAAGAAGAAATACCCCAAGGACACTTGTCCGAACAAGACCCACATCTACAATACGATGCACCTCCTGCTACCACAATGGAGGACGCGATTGCGAGAGGTGTAGAAGCTGCACTGAGACGCGTTCTAATTGACAAAGAATTTCCGGTCGTCAAAAAACACAGTCCCCGGAGGAGAAAGAGAGTGGAGAAAGAACTCCAGCAAGAAAGGCGGCTGAGAAAAGCTACGAAAGAGACTTCCTTTTGGTAAGCCAAAATGTGATATGGAAACTGCAACGACTTACAGTGATACATAGGGAGAAGTGCGGCGTCTCTTCAAAGACGTTTTCAACATTTCTCAAGACATCGATTTCATGCTCCATGAGGTAGCCAGTCCTGAGGATGTCTACTCATATGAATATGAAGACGGCCTAGGTCCCAATTGCAAAGATATCGCCTTTAATCTCAGACACGGGTCCAAAAGCCCCTGGAATGATAAGGTTATTGGCTTGCTCCTTGAAGAATTGCGGAGAAGGGGTGACCAAGAGAACTGGCCATTTCAAAGGTCAGAGGCGTACTTTAGGGAGATTCTTCAAGGACGCTACAAGTGCCTACGTACGATTTGGACAGTTGCACAACCAAAGGTTACAGCAAAGGGTGGATTAGAAACTCCTGCAGAGGTGGAGCAGAGGCTGATCGCGAAGAAGGACGAGGTATTGAAAGCAGCTCGTCAAAATACGCGTCGGAAAAATGTATGTCCATGAGCTCCATTCTAATCTGCTACTGACACCTTTTCAGAAATATCTTCGTAGAGCCATGGTTCTTGAGCATCTCGTCAAGTACAAGACCGACGAGGACGAGGAAGACGCCCCAGGCTGGCAGTGGCTTCAGCGACTAGTCTGGACATTGGGAGAAGGCGGCATGAGTTCCGAAGAGAGCGACGTGGAAAACGATATCGAAACAGTTCTTCGTGTGAAGAACATGACTTGGCGCCGTGCAATTGAACAGGAATTGGATATAATCGATCATCAAAGGATTGTGGATGATGATATTTTTGCTCCACAGGGTTCAAAACCGATGAAACGGATACGGTCAGCCGGGAATCCAACGACATCCAGAGCAGAAGTGGATGGATTACCTGAAGCGCTGTACAACAAGGAGTGGCTCGCGGGTTTGACCCCGCATCAAGTCGAGAGATTATCGATCTCAGATGAAAGATTCCGGTGGATGAAAGTTGCGGTAGTGTAGTGTAGGGCATTATTCGTACTCCTGGATATATTGAACGCGCAGCACGCGTGCCAAAGACATGGTTTGCCTGTCGAGGAGATTAAAGCCAGGATGGCGAAGAATTAGAATGAGTGAGTACATACCAGCTTGTGTCTCGAACTCATACGTCATTAGGGATCCATTGAAAGAGTCGGGCGACGATAAAAGGATGACACGGCAGTGCATACAGCCGTACCAGAGTCCAGGACGATGGATTCAGCCGCTAAACATGGAAGAATGACATAGAGATAGTAGAAGTCAGTGTATTGACAAAATTGGATGAGTGAGTACATACCAGTCCGTGCCTCAAACTCATCCATTAGACAGGGATTGAATTCGGAGGGAGGAGCAGGACGACGAAAGGAAGATACGGCAGTACATACCGCCGTATCAATAATACAATCAAGTTCAGGACGAAGTCCAGTCGAGTGAAGTCCAGCAGACACGACAGTACAGACCATCGTGTCAAAGGAGAGGATAGACGCGAAAGTGACACGGAGACACTATAAAAATGCGGAGAGATTGAAGTAAGAATGGCAACAGAATTAGGGTGATAGTAAGTGCATGCATACCAGCCAGTGCCCCGAACAATTGAACTTGGAGGGAGGAGTCGGGCGACGAAAGATGACACGACAGTACATACCGTCGTGTCAAAGGAGGAAGGGATAAGGGATAGACGCGACAGTACAAACCGTCGCGCCAGTGGGTGTATAAGGAAAGTATAGCAAACGGTAAGCAAACCGATAAGCTAAGGTAAGGTACAAACACCTACAAACTCACGTGCAAGTCACGTGCAAATCAACTTTCAACTTTCAAGTGTCAATTATCTCTCTCATCTTGCGCTCAGCGGTTTGTACTGCTGAGTCTCCCTTTTGACTCATAACCTCCATTGCCCAGCGGTCTGTACTGCTGGACGTGTTCTGGGCGTGTTCCACGCGACTATCTGTACGTGTTTGGACATGCCGATGTTGGTGGCACCACTAATTTAAACCCCGCATTCTTGTTCTTACTAGGCTCAGACGTTTCATCGTGGACGTTTCATCACACTTGCGTGCAACGGTCTGTACTATTGCTCGTCGTGTTCTCTGCTTTTTGCGTGCAACGGTCTGTACTATTGCTCGTCGTGTTCTTTGCTTTTTGCGTGCAGCGGTTCGTACTGTTGCACGTTTTCCATCGCCCACTCCTCCGGTCAATGCACCATGCCGCCCACTCCTGAGCTCTGTGTATTCGTGCATGCAGAGCGAGTTTTCACATCTTTCAATGCGTCTTCGCTCCCTGCCACGATCCCTCCTATTCCTCGACCCTGGAATTCCTACCTCGAGTCCGATTCTTCCCCCGACAATATCAAGGATGCATTGACCACGCAGTGGGCTTATGAGACGCGCCCATGGTTTCCGCTTATCGCGGCAAATCCTCATTTTGATGGGGCTGTCTTTGGCTGCCTCAACCACTCACTCTACTCTTTGCCCATAGCGTCTACACCCGATGGCCGCTATATCTTGCGCGAAGACGTCCGACGAGAATGGGAGAGCCTAGAGCAGAAGCTACTCTGGTGCCAGCAACGGCTAGCGGTGAACATACATTTTCCTTGGTATGGCCAACCCCCAAGACCTCCGAGAGACTACGGCTACCTGAGGTCTCATGTTGATGCGAAACTTGCAAAGAAGGTTGCTATGAGATCTCGCGATGCGTTCTTAGGTCCGGTGCTCATCTGTATGCGCTGATCATAGCTGATTGTGCTTATTTTCAGGGATCTCAGCCATCTGCACATACTTCATTATGGCTCATCAGTATAGGCCTCACAACGATTTACCCACATGGACTTCTCTCTTAACGAACGACCCTCAGTGTCCTATTCTACCTGCGTGGGTGATGGAGCTCTCCCGCACATTTGTTGGAGATCTTACGGATGCCGTGCCACGCAACGGTATGATTATCAACGGTGCCCACAGTCTGGCCTGGGATGTGGACGTGATAATGTTTGAACGCTTCAAAGTTCCGATCTGGGTGCATTGGCCTGCTGGTATTCCAGGCGACAAGGCGTGGAAACGCTACCTGCCCTCAGCAGACAATCTCGCTGCAGCGACCCGCGCAGCTCCTCAGAGTGATCCATGGGGCACTTAGTTAGATCTTCACCCTTGGCTCGCCCAGTCAAATGATGTGTTGGATCTCCAGAACAGTGATCCATGGGGCGCTCAGTTAGATCTTCACCCTTGGCTCGCCCAGTCAAATGATGCGCCAGATCCTGAGTCAAGCCAGTTAGCACCATCGTCCAGTCAACCACAACAAGACCTCTCTCGTTTTCCGCTTCCCGAGAAAAATAGTGGACAGAGGCATGGCGAAGATTGGCAGGCGTTTTTTGCGCGCAGGGCCATGCAGAACGCGAAGAAGGAGGCGAAGGAGACTCCCTCTCAACGACAGTCACGTCTCGGTCGTGAACGTTCGGCGGAGAATCATAGCCTTCCCGGCAAGTCCAGCAGGAGTTGGGTGTTTGAATGGCAGCCCCAGGATGATTACAACGATTTTTTGTTGCGCACCCACATCACGAAGGCTGGGATCGAGGAGGTATGGGGAAACTACAGCAAGTCCACCAGGATCTTTGATTCCTTCTCCAATCAGTGGGACTTGTGTCTCGCCCTCGACCCCACCAGCATCCCTGACGGTGATGATCGGGAAGATGACGACGACATCATGCCTCCCCTTCCCATAACGTCCCCATTCCAAGTTCCGCCTCCAGCCCCTTCCAGTTTTGCCGACGACATATACAAATACTTCGGCAGCAACGTTTCACTATCATCGAGGCACACACACATTGAAGGATTCATTCCTGTCTTGCATTACCACTTCGGATATCGAAGCACCGCTCCTGCCTCTGCCCCCGTGGCCGTATCATCCCTACCAGTGAGTGACTGGATTAAGAAGGCGAAATGGGATCAACTTCGCAAACTCTTTGGTGATTCAACGGCAGAAACAGGTTCAATCACAGAGCCGCAACGCCAGTGCATCACGATGTTCACTGCGTATCTCGTCAATTTGAACGTGTCTGACTTGAACGCAATCCCCCCCGACCTTTGGGATCTAGGACCCCTCTCGTCTTTGCAGATTTCACATGCCCATATTCATGTCTCTCGCACGCAGCTATCGCAATGCCGATATTATATAATCGAGCCCCGCGAGTCCCCAAATCATGTCGTTTGGACTCTGGCTATCCTCAATCCGGCTACCGCTGTAATGTGCCTGCACCGTAACTGGGGTTCAGACTTGACGCAAATTGTGTTGGCTTTGCTTAAAAGCGGCATTGCATTCAGGACTTTACAGCCGATGGCCGTCGCGCCTAACTTGCGACGCCCCCTCTCTGAACTTCGTACATACACATTGGGACATCGACGACCCCCCTTCAATCCCCCATATGCTGATTACGTCGTTTATGAGCAGCTGCGTCATGAGTTCATGAATCGTCCCCTCGCTCGGGCTGCGTTCTTGCATGGGGGACTCATATGGTGGTTGGCTTTGCACAGCCTCGGTTTTGATCATCTTCCATCTGTCGTCGAAGGTATTTCCACTGAAGCCGTTCCATTTGGCGACCTATTGGTTGGGGATGGTGGTCAGACTTACTACGATGATGGGTTGTCGGAGGAGGAAATCGATTTCATGTGTGGAACATACTACATAGACCTCCGTGAGTGTACTACAGTTCCAATCCCATCAGTACTAATAATCCCTGTCTAGGTGACGGCCTGGAGGTGGTCTCATGGTGGCCTCGGCCCAATGCTTGGAATGTGTCTGGCTTGAATGTCGGCTTTTGGTCTGCACACTGCGAAGATTGGTTCCAAACACGTCTTGGCAATATTCGAGAGGGGGTTTCCCGCACACGGCATGCGCTCACCAACGACACTAATGGTCCGATAACCTCCACGCAGTGGAAGCGCTCCCTCAAATTTCAACCTGCTACCAACAAGATCACGCGCAACATGTCAGCAGCATGTTATGATTTCATGGCAAGAGCACCAGGTAAGGTTGTCTTATTACTCCCTTTCTCATTCACGCTCACGAGTTTTACATAGTTTGGACTCAGACATAGTTTTATGCTACCTTGTATATGAACAGTAGCTAGTACCTGATAAGAATAAAATGCCTTTGAGGTAACGAATCCAGGTGGTGAGCGGGCTACGATTGTGTGATGATCGGGCGATGATCGGGCGATTTATATTGTCTCTGGACAAAACTTCAAGTTTTGTCTTCGCATTTCGTCACAGGCATAAACTTCAAATTTTCAGGGCATCTTAATTGTTGGACAATACTTCATACATAAGCAGGCGTATGATCACATCCCAAACTTCACGTTTTGTCCAACATTTTAGGCTAGAATTGAACTTCAAAGTTGAGCACACGCAAAAATTCAGATTAAATTTCTTATTGTTATTGACATATGGTCAGTGGGGATACGGTTGCCGATGTTTCAAATTTTGTATTTAAAAGAAAACACTGCCAAAATTTGAAGTTATCTCTCCATCTTTATGTCAGTTTAAACTTCAAATGCTTTCTTCACATTTCGTACTACATATAAACCGCTGCTAAATATTGATAACCCCGATGTGTGTGTAGAGTCCAAAGTTGCGCTGTTTGAAATAATGTTGTACATGTTTGGTTTGTGGCACTAAGTTACAGTATGAGACTCTTACACACCCGCCGACTGGTTTGGAGTCTGTCCCCAACCCTGCAAAGCTGTGCCTCCTTATCGGCGATGCGTCGCATGACGACTTGTCACGAGTTTGTTTGAGGCAAAACCGTTCCTGTCTGGAACCACTCTTACATGGTCTCCGATTCTCGAGGAAGAGTCCGCTTTGAATTCCGCCCTCTCCTTCAAACGACATAATTACCGTGATTTGCAATAGTCCCGTAGGCTGTGTGGCGGTCCATGCAACACCCGAATTGCCATCGTTTCCCCAGGTCTGTGTCAAACAACGCATTGGTTTCTGTGGCGAGCTAATCTGGCCCTTAAGTGTTCATTCTGGCAATGGCAGTCTTTAAATATAGCCACACAACAATTAGATCGTTGTCAGTATCTCAGGTCTGCAGCAAACCGACATGTGCATTTCAGTCATAGCAATCAGCACTAACTGCATGACTTTAGCCAATGTGAACCAAGCTGATCCGTAACACGGCAAGTTCTTACATAATTATCAATGGGCGGGAATGAACGAAGCGAGCACAGCATACTCCATTCCTGGATCTCTCGTCTAATCACTGCCTGACTCAGAGGCCGCGCTTTGACGAGCTAGTACATCCTTCATGTCTTTCCTTCCCATAGTGATAGTGTGGGTAGAAGCCGGCTTAATATTCCCGCTATGTCATCCGTCCCGTCACGGTGATCATTATGATTCTACACGCTGCCTAACACAGATAACAGCGATATATGTATATGTTTTGATCGGTTTCAAAATACTTGGACAGGTAAGCGCCCACAGTGCATGGCCATGTCTTTCAAATACACTCTAGTGCGATCATCTCGCATGGCATGCTCGACGAGGAGTCACCAGCCATCGGCATTGCATTCTTTCCTGTACGTGAAGAGTTGCCTTGGACTGTTGTGGCAACCTAGCACTCGCACTGCTATGGAACACCTGAGGTCCGTGACGTCCGTCGGCTGTTCTGGCTGTCTAAGTTAGTTTGTGTTGTGTCCGAATCATGATTCCGTGGTACGCCACCATTCTTTCAGGTGTCGGCAGATACTTGCTAAGTCCAGGAGCAGTACGCGGCTGTCGGGATGTCCAAGGCGCTGGAGATCACTGAGCAACCATTTCCGACGTGACCATGGGCCTGAAAATTTGATCGAGGTAACAACAGCTTTGAAACGGGACACGGTCAAGTCTACCCCCTTGCGAGATAAAAGCTGCGAGAGGTTTGTGTCACAATCTTATCCCGCATCCTACTACTCTCCCTGGTGAAGAGAGTGTCGCTTATTGTTAATGTTCACTATGCTTATTGCTATTTTACTCGTTTCTCTCATTTCATCGATTGATGCTGCGTCGATAGTATCTCGTTCGCAATCCTACCAATTATCTCAGCCAACAGTGCTTGGCCCCAAATCTAGAATAACTATAGGTAATAAGGCCATCGCTCCTGATGGCTTCGAACGCTCGTGCGTCCATTTCGACGGCACTCAAAGCTCACTGCTGATTTTGAATAGAGCAACTCTGGTTAACGGTATATTCCCTGGACCTTTGATTGCAGCCCAGAAGGTAATTATCCCTCGACCTCCTTTCGTGCGCCTGTGCTGACCTCACATCAGGGAGATGACTTTGCCATTGAGGTGGTCAATGAGCTCAAAGACGAATCGATGTTCAAGAGTACCAGTGTCGTAAGCATCATCAAATCATCCACCTTATCACCGATCGACGTTTAACCTTGTTTACTTCAGCACTGGCATGGTCTCTTCCAGAACGGGACGAATTATGCCGATGGAACATCCTTTGTCACACAATGCCCCATTGCGCAAAACCACTCTTTTTTACACTCTTTCTCCGCTCCGAACCAGGCAGGCACCTACTGGTATCATAGTCATTATTCCGTCCAATATGAAAGTATCGCTCGAACTTTGTACATGCAGTAAAGGACTAACCTGTGTAACAGTGCGATGGTCTGAGGGGACCCCTTGTGATTTATGATCCCAATGACCCTTTGGCACATATGTACGATGTCGACGATGGTGAGCGAAAAACTGATTCATTCATGTTTACCCACTGACCATCATGTTGTTGCCAGCGAGTACCGTAATCACACTTTCCGATTGGTGAGTTTTATGCATATCGGTGATCTTCCAGCTCAATGTAGTCTCACTAGGTATCATGTTGTGGCCCCCGTCTTGCGCCACATCATAGGTACGACCGCCAACTCCTCGCTCATCAATGGACTTGGTCGATATGCCGGCGGACCCATGTCTGATCTCGCTGTGATTAATGTGATACCGGGAAAGCGATATCGCATGCGCTTGGTTGCAATGTCGTGTGACCCCAGCTTCCATTTTTCCGTCGATGACCACAACCTAACTGTCATCGAAGCGGATGGACAGCTGACCGAACCCCTGGTAGTAGATGAGCTCCGGATTTTTGCGGGTCAGCGCTACTCTGTGGTCCTGGTAGCTGATAAGCCTGTGGATAACTACTGGGTACGCAGTCTTCCTAACTTGACACATGCGTCCTACGAGGGAGGAACGAATTCTGCAATCCTGCGCTACCAAGGCGCCCCGATTGCCGACCCGACCACGGTCTATACGGCACCCGAGAACGAATTGAAAGAGACCGACTTGCATGCTCTGATCAATCCCGGTGCTCCTGGCATTCCAGAATATGGGAAGGCAGATATCAACCTCAACCTCACGGTCAAGAACACCAACGGAACATTCTATGTCAATAATGTCCCATTCAAACCCCCCACCGTTCCTGTTCTACTGCAAATTCTCAGCGGAGCTCAAGAACCGTCTCAGCTGCTTCCACATGGGAATATCATCGTTCTAGAGGCTAATAAAGTGGTGGAGTTGACATTGTCAACAAGCGGTCCAGGTGGACCTGTACGTGCTTCCCCTTCATTCAACGCTTATGTGCCTGACATACATTGTACCAGCATCCCATACATCTTCATGGGGTAAGTTCGCTGTAATTTCACTGGCGTGGTTGCAGATTGATGGTAATGATGGTTAGCATTCCTTCGACGTTATACAGAGCGCAGGCAGCAAAACCTTCAATTACGTGAACCCCGTTCGTCGCGATGTTGTAAGTGCTGGCAGCACCCCTGAGCAGCAGATGGTGATCCGATGGACAACGGACAATTCTGGCCCCTGGTTCTTGCATTGGTATGATATCTATTTATTGGGTTGTCAAGAAGGACACTGACTCCGAAAAAAAGTCACATTGACTGGCATCTAGATGCGTACGTTTGTGTCCGTTCTCGTAAAAGAAATAGCTGATTCAGATCCTCAAATCTAGCGGTTTTGCTGTGGTGATGGCTGAAAGTCCCTCTGATACTCGCGCACATTTGAACCATGTACCACGTAGGTCATGTGTGGAAAGACTGTACATCTATGGCTGAACTGCTCCACAGATGAATGGGATCAGTTGTGTCCTATCTTTGACTCGCTATCGCCTTCTCAATTGGGGGGTGGAGGTCGCAAGTCCTATGAAGAAGCAGCCAGTATAACTACGCTACTCTTCCCACCATCACCCCTTCCTTAGATACAGTAGTAAACGTTCCAATCATTTTAGGGGGCCCGCATACATACTCCATTATAGATACCGCTATAATTAACTTTCACCGGTAATTTCCGGTAATAGTACTTAATTAGTACTTCGACTTACTAATAGGCTCCATGACTACTTACCTGATACGCTGGGCTTGCAGCTGGAGGCCTTGTCACTGAATACTTCATATAATTTCTCTCTCAAAGTATCCAACGACAGGAAGATCAATGATACCAAGTTGAAACTTATCACATCGTTCTAGTGTGTTCTCGACGTCCAAGCATGCCAAGGACTCAGTACTCGCCGACCGGTAACCTGATGCTTTTGAGGTATTTTTTCGGTCTAGCGCCACGGCACTGCGAAGGTTCATTCCTCCCAATTATAGCACCTGGTATGGAGAACGGTCACTGGGACCGCGCTGGCTAGTCGAGATCACACATCCACTAGGATCTAACTACTCTGGGGTTATTCCACGCTGACTCTTGGGCCAAATTTCACCGTGAGTGCGGTGGTCCTGGCTTCCATACTTCCGTGCACAGGCGCAAACCTCAACCTTAAACCTGTACACTCCTATAAGTCCAGAATGCAACAAAACAGCCAAAATCGTCTTGATGGACGATCACTGCCGGTATGCCATTGGTACAGCCCCGTCCACTACGTTGCAGTTCCTAGTATCTGACAGTGGTTGCTCACAGGTACTTACTATTAGTAACCAACTACTATTGATGGTGCGCCGTGCGCAGACTTGGCAATGGAGCGATACGAGACGCGCGTTAAAAATAATCTAATGCACATCCCATCAGAAAAGATCACCAGCTCATGATAATAATAAAGAGCGCTCTTCGGATTGTGCCTTTCATCTAGAACCAACTCCACGCATCGTGTTCCACTGTGGACGCCCGTGGGTCATCAAACGAGAAAGATCGATCAAATCACGCCGGACATCATCTAGGCTCGACCAAACAAGACTAGCACGAGGTCAGGAACGGATCCGGGCAGGTGGATGTCTCAGGGTCCGTTGCGCACGCAGTAAGCACGGATAGCTTCAAGCAACCAGGTCGAACAATCGAGCCTGATTGCTAGTCTTCTGCCGCTGGTTCGAATTGGTATATATGAAACGCTACAGGCACAGGACAATCTAGGTCATCATTCAATCTGTTGAATAACGACCAAGAATAATTCCGTATTTCCAAAGCCAGAACCTACCAACATGAAAGCGGACTTGATGTCACTTGGTTGGCCTTTCCGAACTTGCCGTCTCAGCTTTGCTATTTCCATACGAGTGCTATTGTCAAGCGTGGCATGGCTTTTTGCGCACAGGTGCACAGCCCGCTACCAGTAAGCTGTCGGGGCTTGGCATTTGACGATTGTAACCTTTTTACGGTCAAGTGAGTCACTCGCGGCGGAAGTTGGAATAACGAGAAGTTGGCAGATTCTATAAGAGCAAACCACATTGAGGTGAGTTCTTATTATCGAGTGCTTTGTAGCACATATTCCCTCGCTTTGTACTCAATATAATGCTCTTTTTTAATGTCATTTTCATGCTATGGCTCCATCTAGCATACGCAGCATCCATCATCTCAAGATCCAATTCTCATCCACTCAACTCTCGTTCATACACGCTAGGCCCTAACTCTGACCTAGTAATCTCTAATCAAATCATATCTCCAGACGGATTCGTGCGCTCGTGAGTTTGTCTTTTCTGTGTTGCTCGCATCTTAATCATTTGTATAGTGCAACGCTCGCCGGAGGAACGTTTCCGGGCCCAATCATCACAGCCACAAAGGTCCTTTCTAAACTAATTCTATCCAGTCCTCAGATACTGACTATAGTCGAAGGGAGAACGTTTCGATATAAATGTCGTGAACAGACTCACTGACAGTGAAATGCTTCTGAGCACCAGTGTGGTGGGTATACATCTGTTCGGTATTCATGTATCAGGCTTACCGACTCTGTTTAGCACTGGCACGGAATCAGGCAGAATGGGACTAACTATGCGGACGGTGTCTCGTTCGTTACTCAATGTCCCATTGCGCAAAATCACTCCTTTCTGCACTCCTTCGAGGCACGGAATCAGGCTGGGACATTTTGGTATCATAGCCACTACTCTGTCCAACAGTGGTACGTTGATATGCAGTGTTTTATTCTGTGATCAATGATTCGAAACCGTTTAGCGATGGACTTCGCGGAGGTTTGATCATCTACGATCCTGAAGACCCCCTATCCTATTTATACGACGTTGACGACGGTACAGTGGCTACTATCATTGTCATGAATTCGTTCACTTAAAACATCCACAGAGACAACCGTCATCACTCTTGCTGACTGGTACATCTCAACACTATTTGTGACTCGCATTCACCTCACCAATTGATCATAGGTACCATGTGGTCGCCCCTGTTTTAAGCCATATAATTGGCACCAATGCCAACTCCACACTCATTAACGGTCTCGGTAGATTTGCAGGGGGACCCCAGAGTGAACTTGCGGTGGTTAGTGTCGAGTACGGGAAAAGATACCGCCTACGCCTTATAGCAATGTCTTGTGATCCCAACTTTACGTTCTCCATTGACAACCATAACATGACGGTAATCGAAGCGGACGGTGAACTGACTGAGCCCCTGCTCGTGGACTCGCTTCAGATACTTGCTGGACAGCGATATTCTGTTGTGCTCGTCGCAAACCAACCAGTTGACAACTACTGGATACGAGCAGTCTCAAGCACTCCAGGGTTGAACAACTTCGTCAACAACCAGAACTCCGCTATCTTGCGATACAATGGTGCACCCGCTGTAGAGCCTACTACAGTCCAACCCACCAGTACCAACGGGCTCCTCGAGAGCAACTTGCATGCACTCATCAATCCTGGTGCACCTGGGATTCCAGGGTACGGAAATGCAGACATCAATTTGGAGTTGGTGGTCAGCAGCAACGCTGGCATATATTCGGTCAACGGCACACCATGGGTCCCTCCCACGGTGCCCGTACTGCTCCAGATCCTCAGCGGTGCACAGTCTGCAACCGATCTCCTTCCGACAGGAAGTGTAATTGTTCTAGGGCCTAACAAGGTCGTCGAATTGACGATGCCAGCTGTTGCTGTTGCCGGTCCTGTAAGTTTCCTGCACGTTCACTACGTTACACATCTCTCATAGCATCTCCCTAGCATCCGATTCACCTTCACGGTGTAAGCATTCCTGATTACCAGTTGACACTCGATTGCTCACCGCAGAGATAGCATAGCTTTGATGTTGTACAAAGCGCCGACAGCACTACTTTCAACTACGTCAATCCCGTGCGTAGGGATGTGGTATCCAATGGGCTCCCAGGCCAACAGATGGTGATTAGATGGGTCACAGATAACTCTGGCCCGTGGTTCCTACACTGGTGAGCACTGCGTTATTTATACCGCACTTGCACTGATCTCATCATTTATTTAGTCACATTGATTGGCATCTCGACGCGTACGTGTCTCGAGCCTTCTAACTCTATCAGCGGCCATGATCTGACATGTGTTGCCTAGTGGTTTCGCTATAGTGATGGCTGAAAGCCCTTCAGACACTCGGCAGCATCTGGGCTATATACCCTGTAATTATTCGATGTCCATCTTATGATCTCCTTTAACTGATGGTGTATATAGATGCATGGGACAAACTTTGCCCGACATTCGACTCGTTAACGCCAGCTCAGATTGGAGCGCAGAATTCATATCAGGAAGCAGCAAATATGACTACCAGTACAAAGCTATTTCCCACTAGCATATAGTGTTCGTTGTCTATAGTTCGAAGCCTTCAGGACTCTCATAATTGAGATACACATAGTAGCATTTAATACAATCAACAATCCTTTATCATGGCCCATCCCATGCAGGTCTCCGTATTTGATGCAAGCTGCTCACAGACTACGCCTGATGTTGTAATGAGCAAGCCACCGTGACATGGATCCATACCGAGTGCATGTTGGCGCCCACCCACTAGCCGTAGATACTGCCTGCTAAAAGCGCGCTGTATTAGGTTCCTCCAGGTAAACAGAGCCGTTCCTTCCTGCCATGCGCTGTATGTCGACTGCTGGCAGAAGGCCGCCCATACGGAATCTACGCGATTGACTAATAGGATGAACTAGTGCGTGTTGGGCGGTGAACCATGTCGCAGGGGCCATGGAGGAAATGGCCAGTCTGTATAAAATCTGCGCCTGTCAAGGACACGTCTGGGCAACGTGTGAGGATATATCTGCGTTCGGAAAGTTCCGGGCGGTCAAAGGTCATCGCCGCGTCTACATCAGCTATCATCGTGCATCCCGCCATCTATGTCAACCAACCGTCATGCCAATCTCGCCATCCTTGGCAGCTTGCTGTCACTTTCCTAGTCATCTTGAGGGAGGACATGGCAGGCGTAGACTGTGAGCTGCAGGCAACGGCGTGGTGTTAGCAGACGGGTAGGAAATAGCAAATGCAGAGAAAGGAGTGGACAGACAGGTGGCAAGCGTGAGAGACTTGCAGGGATCGAGGTAAAGATTCTGATCTTAATAGCAGGCAGGCGGGATGATAGTGACGTCGTACGGCAGCGTTGACAGACTTCCCTGCACTTTCCGAATCCGAGCGAGCCACTGACAGAAAAAAAAAGTCTTCAAAAAGTTTGTACGCAGACCGGCCACATTCTGGAATTTCTGGTGCCGCGGGTGCTGTAGTGCTGGACGACCAGTGGTCCAATGAGATCGAAGCAAGTGATGAGAATACGAGGGATAGGCTTAGTGATTCTCCGGATCAAAAGTAAATTCGTTCACATCCTAAAAGTGATACTGCGCCGGGGCCGGAGTCTGGTAGGATACCACTGGTCGTGATTTGAGTCCGATACCTTCTCTGTAGCTTACTTCTGCCAAGGGACATACCACTCCGAGTCGAGCTTAGCGTTTCCTAATGGTGAGTAGCTTTAAGGTCGGCTGAGAACAGATATGGGACTAGCCTGGGATGGTGTGGTGTGAAGTCGTCACTCGATTATGGGATTCTGCCTAGGGAACGAAGGGGGCGGTGGTACTGCCTGGGAGCGGATAGTAGAATCTGAGCCGTGATGGTCTCCGGTAATCGTGTACTTGTTGATCCCGAAGTGAATGTACTTCCAAAACTTGGATGTAGACGTGCTGGTTGCATCGAACGTTTTTCCAAGCAATGCCTAGATTTAGTAAATATACACTGCACATGATGCGATCTTAAGCACGTGACAGAAATGATTAATGGGTGATATCGGACGAGCGAGAGACTTATAATCGATCTCAAACTCGTTTCACTAGTTTATCGGTAGCTTATAAGGTACCTCTTCGCGACCATTTAAAAGGCTGTTCTGACCCTCATTCCATCTTGTTCCAGATCCACTATTATCGTTCTCTCTCGTCGATTCATCATGGGTGTCCTCGATATCGTTCCCGTCAGTACAAGTCAATCATCAGGGAAGCTGATCCACTGACATCCTAGCAGGCTGGTGTCCTTACTGGAGATAACGTTCGCAAATTGTTCGATTACGCCAAGGAGAACAAGGTACATCGCTCTTGACTCACTGTATCCTATTATCTTAATGAAGCGCCTTGCAATTCAACTTCAATAGTTTGCCATTCCCGTGAGTGTCTTTACCATTGGAAGTGAATATCATGCTGAAGCGATGATCTCTTCACCAGGCTATAGTGAGTAACGAGGGAAATCATGGTCTTCTTGAGCTTTGACCTAACTCCGACAGAACGTCACTTCATCGTCCACCGCTAACGCCGTCTTGGAAGCCGCAAGGTCAGCAAGAGAGTCTTAGTCATTCACCAAATACTTACCTCTAGCTCTGCAGAGACATCAAGGCTCCGATCATCCTCCAGGTCTCTCAGGGTGGAAGCGCCTACTTCGCCGGGAAAGGTCTTTCAAATGACAACCAACAAGCTTCCATTCTGGGAGCTATTGCTGCTGCTCACCACGTTCGCACAGTTGCGAAGGCCTACGGCGTGTGAGTCTTGTATTTTGCCTGGGATCCATCTTATTTTAAACCACGGTGGACATTAGGCCCGTCGTTCTTCACAGCGACCACTGTGCCCACAAGCTTTTGCAATGGTTTGATGGCATGCTTGCTGCCGATGAGGCATATTTCAAGGAGCACCAAGAGCCCCTTTTCTCTTCACACATGCTTGACTTGTCTGAGGAACCAAAAGAGCAGAACATTGCAACTTGCGTCAAGTACTTCAAGCGCATGGCTCCTCTTGGTATCTGGCTAGAGATGGAGATCGGTATTACCGGTGGTGAAGAGGATGGTGTTGACAACACTGGTGTCGACAACGCATCCCTCTACACGCAACCTGAGGACATCTACGATGTCCACGCTGCTTTGAGTGCTATTAGCCCCAACTTCAGCATTGCCGCTGCGTTCGGTAACGTGCACGGTGTCTACAAGCCTGGAAACGTCAGACTCCAGCCTGAATTGCTTGGCAAGCACCAAGCTTTCAGCAGCCAAAAACTCGGTGGCAAGTCCGAGAAGCCTCTCTACCTCGTGTTCCACGGTGGTTCTGGGTCAACCAAGGAGGAAATCAAGACTGCAGTTGACCATGGCGTCGTCAAAATGAACGTTGATACTGGTGAGTCTGTCAGGTCTAGCAGTAAATTCAGTCGCTGACGCACGATGGATATTCAGACACGCAGTTTGCTTACCTCGCTGGTATCAGGGTACGATCATCCATGAGCCCTAGAAATTGCGCAATGGCTGACTGTTACCTCTCAGGATTTCGTTACCAAGAAAAAAGATTACCTGCTCACTCAAGTTGGTAACCCTGAGGGCGCAGACAAACCTAACAAGAAGGTACGTTGCCAGGTTATCTTTTAAAGATCGCTGTCATTCATGTTTGATTGCAGTTCTATGACCCCCGTGTCTGGGTTCGTGAGGGCGAGAAAACGCTCTCGGCACGGGTCAAGGAGGCCTGCAGTGACCTCGGCAACGTTAGTGAGTGTCAAATTGAGTTTTGATGGTTTATCGGTTATTGACTTGAACATCGCCCGTAGACCGCCTGTAAAGAAAACGCCTGTATAGCATAGAAATAAATGGTCAAGATTTGTAGTAGTTCTGTAAATGCCAAGATAATTATGACGCCTGAAAGTGCAACCTTGCTATTAATTTAAATCGACGAAGAGAACTGAAAGGAGAACATCGTGGCTCATATAAAGAGATGGAAGCGCCGGAATTTGACAACTGTGGGTTTCCAAGTGATTTCGAAGTTCAAACTTTTGATGATTCTTTGAACCACTGTTGTAATCCACGAAGTGTAAAATAACAGCTACACCACCAACGTCCATCTCGATCCTGAAGCCTAAGGCATCTCCGGTCGAGTTCGCCTTGTCTATACTGTAATTCAAAGTTCCAGCTCGACTGGAAATAACCATATCTGTTATTGTAACAACATGAATCTGAACGGCGTTCGTACGTGATTCCTAATCTTTACTCCGCTCACCTGCGACTCATAACGCGTATAGTCTACGCTTCTTTCCTCCTTCCGGTCTTCTTCACTATCGAATGCACCAGAGGCGTTCTCTACGTCTCTGACAGAACGCCTGGCAGCGGTCCATTGCGCTTGGTCGTCTTACTGCTCAACATCCTCGCCTTTGGCCCGCTCCGAGTGATTTTTGGGTGGGTGTTGTTGGTCGTGTGGTTGCCTGTCCGAGCTACTTTGTGGTTCATGGGTATAGGAAGGGGAGCGCCAAAGAAAGGTGCGTATGTTTTTGGTCTTGTTTTGCAACATGGCTGATGATCGTTTCATGCGTCGTGTATGTAGGCTCGGCAGCTGCGACAGCGCGATTCTATGAATTCAAGAAGAGACGAGCTAGGAACAGGCGAGGGGATCCAAGTTGATTTGGAAGACCTTGAGGTATTGTTGATTGTATGTACCTCTAGAAGTGTATTGTGTCTTGCACTAGTACCACTGTACATTGTTGTTTCATGGTTGTTGTCGTTTTATCTTATATTTATGCTCTCTTTCGAAGTGTAGCTTCCCTGCAGGAGCCATTAAACCCTACATAGACTCAACGTTGTCAACACCGAACAAAATGCTATATCATTATTACTCATGGAAAGGTGAAAACCCCCGTTGAAATTGCACAGGATGAAGTATATGAGGGCATATTCGAGGACCTAACTTCGAGACTTAGTCTTTCGTCCCTCTTGGATTTACCTCTGGTCGCTTTGTCGAATGGCCAGACGCGTCGAGCACGCATTGTAAAGGCTATTTTGTCTCAACCGGAACTCCTCGTACTCGACGAACCTTTAAGTGAGTGATTGAACTTGAATTCGACGAGCGCAAGACATAACGGCCCTGCTTTATCCAGCCGGCCTTGACGCTAATACACGCCCAATCTTATTGAATGTCCTTCGGTCACTACATGGTTCTCGCAGTCCACGCACCCTCAGGATGCAGGACCCTGTTCCCGAGTGGATTTCGCACATCGCTCTGGTGACGGGCGAAACTATTTTGACGGGTGTCAAAAATGAAATCATGTCCAAGCACGCGGATCATCACGCAAAGGAGGCTGAGCATAGAATGGCAAGCACCACTCAGTCATATCTGCAGTCTGGCCTTGATCATGGAAAGCCAGTAGTTGACGTGAAGAACGCGAACGTAACATACGGCCCACACAAGGCAACTACATTGTTTCCATGTAAATGACGCTGTATCAATCCAGGTGCTCAAAAATATCAATTGGAAACTCACGAGAGAGAGATCAACATGACACGCACTTTGAACTCGCTTGGACCCTTCTGCGTCACCACCCTTTTATTTCCGTATGATATCGTTAAGAAACGTAGTGGTATGGCGTCCCAGTCAATGCAGTTGTGGATCATTGTATACCGGGTTTGATTGTAGAAACTTGATTACAGGTGTGGAACAACGCGATATTTCAAAACTTGCAGTATTAGTACAAGCGCGTCCAGTCCAGTCAATTTACGTGTTCCTCACGTGCTAGTTACTAATACATATGTTGCCACGTATATTAGTAATCGAAACACTTCAAAGTTCACGCCCTCTTGCCAGTATGCACAACATACAGTTACACACTACCTGAGCAAACATTAATACTCGGGCTCGAATGGCGGTAGGGAAAGATATGCTTACTTCGCAGTGTTCGCACACCTAGCGACCCCATCCTTGCCCTTCTCACAGCAATTGCAAGCACACGCGCTGTATCCTACAATTGTCCCACTGGGTCCGCAGTAAGCCGCGTAAGGCCACCCGTAGTTAAGTCCTGCGACAGTTCCACAGGCCCATTTATCTGTGGATAACCGTACTAAGTACGCAGCCTGCACGTAGTAAGCTGCAAAAGTGCCTACCCTTGGGCGAGCAGATCAAGCCGTAGGGAGTTCTATCTGAATTAGACGCGATAGCTACGCCAGCCATCGCTGCGGCAGATATGACAATATTGGTGAGTGAAGTGAATTTCATAGTTCATAGTGTTTTCTGGGCTGCGTAGGTTGGCTTTTATACGCGGTCAGGTAAATGCTTTCATGCGCTCGCATCGCCGGATATTCCAGCTCATGCCCTGTTGCATAGTTTTCTTCTACTTGTGAAATGCGCTTGATTCTTTACTCATTCTAAATCAGTTTATCCATCGTCATTCAGGATGTGGCACCACGGCGGGCGTACAGACTATGTGCAAGGCTATCGCTAGGTATTTCTCAGAAGTGTCGTTGCTCATCGATTATTCGAATCTAACCACCCTAGTTCCTAGCAGGATTCTGTCGATCCAAGATTTTACTTTCTTTGTTTTTGGTCCCTCCTCCCTCAGAAACAAGTCAAAGGCAGTGAACTTTGCCTGGCCCTGCATGACTTACGGTATGGATAGCTTCTTGCCGTAGGCTAAACAATACAGATTGTCACACCAGAGCGCCAGAATGACCGCGTATCCGCTGTATCGATGCAAGGCGTTGACGAGGCGAACGAGAGGAATTCAATTGCGCCATAAGTATGGCATAGATTTTGAGAGTTCATAGGTAGGTAGACGTATTGCGATCCGGGTATGAACAAGCACTCGGTACATGTATACTGTCTTGCAATGTATAAAAATTACATCCGGTCTTCGAGAATTTAAAATGCGTCAATACAATATATCTACAATATCTCCAATGTCCTAACATCCATCACGTCGTAAACGGAACCAATGTCTTTCACTTGTGCAATAATATCGTGATCTGACGCGATTCTCTTGTACTCTCCGCCGCGTTGTTGCGCTAGCAAAAACGCGTTAAAAGGTTGTCCAAGGCGAACAATCAATTGAAACGCTCGATCAATCAACTCCAAATCGTCCAACTCCTGTTCCTCAGGGGGTTCATCATGTGAATCCTGTGATGGAGACCCGGGCAGGATCCAATCATCCTCGCACTGCGTGCCATTGTCTTCAAAGTCAGGCAGGCCCAGGAGATGACGATTCCAGGGACGGACGAGCAAGAATGACTGTCGAGTGGGCCGTGCATGCGAGAACTGAAGCAGCCTGTCTTGTGTCGAGATTGCCAAGTCATGAAGTTTGTCGGCCTTGACTTGATACGTGATATGTGTCTCCTGGTCTTCAGAAGGCCTCCGTCTGACCTCTTTGACAGGGAACACGATGCAGGGTAGATGCAGACGGCGGTTTGCGAAACGCGGGGCGCTCAGATAATCAAGTTTACTATATAATTCCACAGCCAAATTCAAATCCCCGGAGTCTCGCAAGGCGGAGACTGATGTCCGCATCTCGTCTTCAGATATAGATGGCAGCTCGTATGGTGGAGCTGCGTATGAAGTGATGTCTGCAGGCAAACAGCTATTGAACTCGGAAGATCTTCCGACCCAGTCGAGGGCGGTGATGTCCCCTGACTGAGCTACGATCTCCTGCAAAAGCCGCCCGAGTGCGTTTTGTTTCTTCTCACCGTACATGATAGGTAGTTGGACGCCGAAGATTCCAAACAAAGAGTATGCGATATCTTCCTGCAACGTGGTGACACGCCTTGACACCCATTGCAATCTTTCTCGTGCACGTCTCATCCCGGGACGGAAGTCGACGAGGGCCCGAGCATCTATGGCTGTTGCATTTTTCAACTCTTGCATAATCTGGGGAGACTCTTTGTGGTTTGGAGAGTGGTCATCGAGATATAAGGTCCAATCATTTTGGTAGAAGAGAACGACCTTCGGAGCCAGGAATTCTGGAACAGTCCATCCTCGCGTATTCCAAGTGCTTTTTGCCAGTGCGCCAGATTTTGATGAAGGCGCAACATCCGACAGGTATACGATCGTGAGTACCGAGTGGCGATACCAGACAAACATGGAATTGAGGGATTTTTGCAGTTCGGCATTGTTAGTTTGGTCGATGCAACACGCATCAATCCATCCCCAGCGATGCCCCGCACCACGAGTCGTTTTGCAGAATGACTGCAACTTCATGATGCCGCCAACGGGATTCAACTCGTACACGACCTTGTCCTGGATGTCATGCAGCAGCAGCTCCTTCACCTCCCACCTATGCGATAACATGACGCAACGGAAGTACGTCATCGCCACGTTTTGGATGACATCTATTCGCAGCTCTGCCCGTCTCAATATTGATGACAAGAGCTCCTTGTACTCTGTGCTCGATTTGAAGGCATTTATCTGGGCCTCTCGATCACATAAGCGTCCAGTGTGAGTGTCAAGCAGACGCAGCGGGGCGTCGTCCAGGTGGGTATGCACGACCTTTCGAATAGCACTATCTGCTTCAAATGGATCGACAAACTTCTGGCGCAGCTCTGTAGATAGAGTCGAGTAATATTACTTTATGTATGTTGACACGCGTAGTGGATAAATCTTACCTGTTTTGGGAGCATTTTCCAGCTTGGAGATCATGATTTTGAATGCCTCAATGGCTTCATCGTAGAGTTGTGCGCCATGAAGTGCTGCACTTTTCACCTCATATCCAAGATAGGATGAAGGGTTTAGTTCAATGACCTGCATACCATCAAAATGAACATCGGTGACAAAACAATAGACGCCACCGCACCTGTTGTGCATCACTAAGCGCATCCTCCCATAGCATTTTCTCTGACCTCGCCTTACTGCGATTGGCAAAGATGGTATAGGTTGCTGAATCGAGATCGATCGCTGCCGAGTAGATCTCGATAGCTCTGTCGTGCTCGCCCGCAGCAAGGGCAGCATCCCCGCTCACAGCAAGGTCTGCAACTCCGTTTGCAGCATAGAGCATGCTGCATTCTTCTTTAAAAGCTATATCACGGCATGAAACACAGATGAGAATTGTAGCCCGTAAACAATCCAAAAGACTTACCGGTACACCAATCAACGCAGCTTGCCTTCGTAGCATCATCGCTCGTGTCCATCATGTATCGGTACGATTTGAGGGCTTCTCTAGGTCTACTTGCGTGCAGGAGTGCACGACACCGTTTCTGGTTTGCAATTTGCCACAAGGACCTGAAGTCCCACCCGAAGAGCTGGGATCTGGGCATGAGAACCACATTTGATTGTATCATATCAACATACCACAGTAAAGTCCCCGTATCTGGAATGATTGATTGATTCAGGTAAGAACGCGCCCAAGTTGATAGCGGTAGTGAAGTGATCAACGGCTTCATCGTAACGCGCGCTATCCAAGACATCGATTCCAAGTTGAACATGCAGATACGCCTGATGCGTGAAGTTCATAAAATCCATCAACTAGATATATTGTATGATGCTTACCTCCACGGTACGACAAACGATAACATCAGCATCAGGACAAGTGGCAGCTATCTCCTGAACACGTCGCATTGCGTCCTCATGCTGGTTTGCATTAAAAAGTGCGATGGCCTGGAAATGGCAATGAGTAAGGGACTCTGGGAGAAAGAGTGGACGTACCTTAATCAAGAGAAGATCAACTGTCTGCGAATTTCTGGTGAATATGGACGCAAGGTCAAATGCTTTCATCGCATCCTCGAAGTTCATCATTCCACAGAAGGCAATGCCTTTGGAGATATGGCCTGTCAATGAGGGCTGAATGCTGATAGACTATGTCACCATCAAGATTAGGCTATCGTAAGGGAGATCACAATGAAGCAACATATCCCACCTTAAGTGCATCATGAATCGCGCTATCCCAGTGGAGTTTTCGTGCCATGAGAAATGACCGATTAGCATATGAGTTATAGTTGTTGCCGTCAGTCTTGATCTCTTGAGTTAGGAACTCCTCAGCAGTCGCCAAGTCGCCACTTATACATGCATCGCGGACCGTTGGACCCAAAGCGAGGATCTGTATGACGCATGATCAACATTGCTCGATAAAAGTCAAGGATAGAAACATGCTGTAGAATCAGTGTCGCAAACCTGACATCAACATTGGGGTCAATGTGGAAGCAGACGAAATGCAATACGGACTCACGTTGTTTGACGACTGTTCACTGGGAGCCTCCAACAACAACATGGCCTTGAGACGAGATGAGATAACGCAGGGACAATAAATGAATAGAAACGTACTCCTACAGCCCGTTTCTGGGGAGAGTTCTCCAGCAAAGCGATCTCAGGTACTGCCCATTGTGAGACCTTCTTATTGGCACTTCCGCTGATGATGTGCTTTCCGTCTATGGAGAATGCGACACAATACACATTATCGGAGTGCTTGAATATGGCAATGGTTCGTCGATCCGAGAGTCGCCAGAGGCGGACGTGTTTGTCGTCGGATGCAGAGGCGACAAGTGTACCAGTAGAGTTCACAGCAATGGCATTCACCTGATAGGTATGGCCTGTCCAGGGATCACCGACCTGCTTCCAGGTTGATGGATCCCATACCCGTATCGTGGGATCAAGAACGGTGCTGGCTGAGAGAAGCCATGAACCATCGGGCATCCATGCGAGTGATAAGTTTAACACAGCGTGAGCTGTGAAGTTTGCGATGCATTCCTTCGTGTCTGTAATCAAAATCTGGACATCCTTAAATGTCGCAATGGCAAGGTGTTCTCCAGATGGCGCATACCGAATGCAGTAGACTGCTGTATGGCAGTCAATTGGATTTCCTTGCAGATGCCAGGTTGTGGTGCTCCAGAGCTTCACGGTGCCGTCCAATGAACCGGTTGCTAGCAGTACACCATCCGCAGAAAAGTCCAGAGAGTAGATCGACCCGAAATGAGCTTTTATGATTTGGGTGAGAGGATTACCAGTGTTGCTGTCCCAGGCGATGAGCTCTCCATTATAATCCCCGCTTGCTATGAACTGTCCGTCCCTTGATACCGCAATTGCTCGTACTGCATTGCGATGCCCCTCCAATTTCTTCAAAACAACATCTTCTTTCAAGTCCCACAGGTGGAGCGTCTTGTCTACCGAGCCTGTGACTATGCGTCGTCCATCAGGGAAAGCTGCGACTGCGCGTATGGTATCTATATGAGCTTCAAACTCTCTAACAGGTATTGTCATTTGAGTGATGGACTCCGCTGCTTCCCCCATCCTGGTGTCAGTTAATGATGGTGTTTAGCGGTTGTCGAGATGAAGATTGTGGATGACATGGTACTTACCTTCAATATTGCAGTGGCTCGAGCTCGATGTGCACTGGTGTGACTGGAGCCTGCTGTTTTGCTTCACATTGGCTGGAACCATTCAAGTTGACATTTTAGACCACCGACTCGCTCCTTCACTTACAATTTACATAAAATGATCAAATCTCCCAGGCCATTTTAGCAGATTGCTTGGAGGCTTGGAGTCACTTTCTACGAGTTGCTATTGGTACGTTATTGCCCGCCCCTGCTCACACTGCTGGTTTCTCATGTAGCATGCATTTCAAGTTAGCTTCACTAGCTCATCGTAGTTCATTCACATATACACCCCTCCGATGATCAATCGCACAGCCGGCGTATTGCATTTACTAAGCATCGGTGTTTCTAAACTTCAGAAGAAATCGGTCTCGCAATCCAGGCAGACGCTAGGACCACGGGGTGCAAGTACTTAGCGGCCTACTGCAGGTCCGCAAATTGTGCTACGGCTGATGGATGTGTTGATACATTTTTAATAGACACATTGCTTTGTTTCAGATATTTCAATTGGGCAATTATCTCTGTCTCTATCCCGCAACCACCCTGGAAGAAGTGGTGTACGCGGCAGCATTTGATCACTCACCAAAGTGCTAGAAATACCAACATATTTTTAAAATCGCACTGCATGGGATTACAACGATCTCTGACGAGTGCTCAACCAACAATTGTTGATTATAAATAGGGCGACTAGAGCACAGGTCTGCCATATTGCCGCGGCGCGACTGTCAACTGCATTTGCATAGTCACGGTAGTGTCCGCCCACCTGCCGTCTCAGATGACTTCCAAAATGTTATTCTAGGTCCGTACCATATGACTCGGTGGCTTCGTTTGACAACAGTAACGAGCACAGATGCAATCAGGGCCCGTGACGTTAGTGAAAAGTGCCTGAAAACGTGAAGGACACATTTCAACAGACACCGTGACTTGAACACGGGATATACCACTTTGACTTGGCCTTGTCTCCCCCCTTTCGCCGCCGCGGTATTATGGTGGCAGACCTGGTCATTTCCAGCCTGCTCAAGTTCTGAATCTTCTGAGGGTATGCATTCTTGAAACAATAAATTGCGTTGCTTACGCCCTTCTGCTTGAGGTCGACGGCGGTGATCAGGAGTGCAGCCTTGGTACAGGGTTCATGCCAGTGCCTGAAATGCTCTAAGGCTTAAGTTGCACGTTCTGGGTGTTCTGCGGCGTCGTTATGTAATGCTACTAATTACAACAATGAGTCAGTGACTTTTTTGGTTGGTTTCGTTTACCACTTGAGCTTGGCATTGTACAGAATTACCGTCAGCCCGTCATAAATTTCCCCAGCCTTCGTCTTAGGCGTCTGATAAGACATCAGCTGGGAATAAAAATGGTTGTTTACGGACCTGTGTAGCGTGGAACAAGACACTCACAACACTTCGCAAGCTCTCAACCGTGCTTAACACCATCAACATCTGACTGAATGGCAGAAGCACAGCAACCCTTCGTTCTGATCACCACACCTGTAGGAGCTTTCGAAGCTCGTGAATGCGCCGTATCTGCAACTGCAATGCCCGATGCTCACGAATGCGCTGTATCTGCAGTCGCAATTTTCCCCGATAGACGACACATGGTGACCGGCTTGGGAGATCGTACGCTTTGTCTATGGGACTTGAAGACTGGTGTAATCATGAAGAAAATGGAGGGGCATCGCGCCTGGGTGGGAGCAGTGGCAGTATCACGGGATGGGCAGTTGATAGCGAGCGGTGATGCTAATGGAGAGCTCATTGAGTGGGACGGCAACACCGGTGAATCTCTCACTCAACCCATCAGAGTCCACTCCAAACAGATCGTGTCGCTCGACTTTTCTCCAACTGGCACAGTACTGGCGAGTGGTTCATGGGACACCACGACAAAGCTCTGGAGCACAGGAACATGGCAGATGCACGGGAATGCAATCGATTGTAGCGATGGTGTTCATTGTGTTCGGCATTCCCCGTCTGGAGAATATCTCGCCATTGCAACATCTAAGGATGTTCAAATATGGACTACAGGCAAGAGGGAGTGCATTGCACATTTCCAGAGTCACGCTGCGCTCGATCCAGCCTGGAATTATTCACTTGCGTGGACGCCTGATGGTACGCGGTTACTCTCAGGCTCCAATCCAGATCCTACCATACAGGAGTGGGATACATCAACGTGGAAGCAGGTTGGTGATCCTGGAAAGAGCCATATTGCAGCCAACACTATTACCGGGGACCCCACTGCTAGCTTCGTAGCCTCCGCATCCACGGACCACCCCCGACTCCAGCGGTTGTCGGATCGACGAACTATCGCCATTTTCAAGCACTCTAATGGCGTTTACTCTGACACTTACTCCACGTACGGCAAGCACATCCCCGCTGCAGGAAAAGTTAGGAAGTCATTGGATTGGTCAGTTCTGGAGGATTCTTTAGTCAATTCCAAGGTATTTTTTGCCACCAGCTCTTATACCGGAATGTGAATGTACTTCACGCAGATCCTCACTATGAACATGGCAATCCGCAATGCATGCGTAACTGGGGACTTGCACATTGCTGAAGCGCTGCTGACACGACAGATTTATGCTGATCACAACGACTACAATGCCTACGCCAATCGCTCATTTGTTAGGGCGCGACAAGCCGACTGGGACCGCGCGCTTGATGATGCACTCAAGGTGAGATATTCTATCCCATCATGACCCACAAAGTTAATTCACTTTGATGGTGACGTAGTCCATTAGCCTTCAGCATTCCTTGACAGGCTGGATTTCCAAGGGCATTGCCCTTTGCGGAAAAATGCAGATCCAGGATGCGATGGAAGCATTCGACCTCGCGTTTATGTTTACGAATGAATATTCAAAGACTACCCATATCCTCCTCTTGATCAAGGCACGTCAATATTTTCTTGTGATTCACCTTGCTTCACTACAACCAGGCCATCGCTTATTTCAATGCATATCAACACGAGCACGCAATCCTGCGCATCCAAAAGTTGGCTAATGTTTGTCCCAAGGCAGATATTCCTGTCTGCCATATTGTAGAAGTGAGTATCGTACACTCTCTCAGATTCATGGTCGTCAACGTACATCAGGCGTGCCTACGTGTCCAACAGGGAATAAACGCTTTTGATGGCGCCTATGAGAATGAAGCTGCTGACCACCTTACTGTTATTATCAACACCATCGCTCTCACCTCTCAGGGGGCCATTCATTCTAAATATGAGGACCTTGTCGTGGTATGTTGATATAATGCAACCGAAAACACTTTATGTCTAACTTCGTGATCTATCCAGCTCTTCGGATGGGACCTCAAGCAACTGTGGCAAATTGCAAGCCAGAAACGGTGCGATGCGCTCCTTCATGCAGGTAGGCTTCGAGAAGCCCACGAATCGTATCGATATATGATGGATGTGAGCGATGAAGCGACGAAGGCTAGCTGCCTTGGTTGGTCCACTGGCAAGTCTTCAGTCATATCACCAGACTACAGTTCTCACCCGCAGTTGGCATAGCTTTCAAGCAACGGTGCAGCGCCCTCTATGCTGTTGATGGAGATGCCCTTGTGACGAGCGGGAATGCTGCATTCGATGCGAACAATTACGACAAAGCCATTGAGTTATACTCGGTAGCGATCGACTTGGATTTTGCAACTGAGGCTATCTTTGCGAACCGCAGTAAGGCCTGGCTGGAAAAACTGCTATGGGAGGATGCACTCCTCGATGCGGAAAAGGTACGATTGCGTCTATTGCTCCATAGCTTGTGCTCATTTTGGTAATACCTAGGTTATCAAACTCGACCCTGCTTCTTATCTTGGATACGAGTTGAAACATGCGGCGATGCATGGCACACAGCGCTACGATGAAGCCATCGAGGCTTTCCAAGTTATGCTATCCAAGTTGGACAATTCTGCCGACACTCAGCTACAAGGTAAGTCCCGAAAAACACATACTTCCAGATGGTTAAACATTTTTCCAGACCTGCGCCGACAACATCTCAGCTCATCCGAAGCAGAGGCCATGATCGAAAAGACCATCTATTTCGAACTCGAATGCACCCCGCTTCGTCTACTCAACACATCCGCTGGTCGTTTGTGCGATCGAGAGGCACAGATAAATGCCTTCAAGATGAGCACGGAGTACAAGGAGCTTCTGTCATCCACAATGAAACATGCAGATCTCTGTATAGCGCGTATGGAGGAAGTGGTAGCGGAGTATTTCGGTTATGTCATGCTATCACATAGATGGGAGGAGAGCGAGTCGTTGCTGCGAGATATCCAGGACAAAGATGTGTACGAATTGAGTCCCATTGGCGGTATCGTGAAGTTGCAGTCATTCTGCAAAACTGCTCATACTGCGGGGTACCGATGGGGGTGGATTGATACGTGCTGCATCGACAAAAGTAACAATATCGAGTTCCAAGAATCCATCAACTCCATGTTTGCCTGGTATCACCATTCAGCGCTTACCATTGTCTATCTCCCAGATGTTCTGCCTTCATCCAAACCTGGCGCAATGGCAAAGAGCTCTTGGAATACCCGAGGATGGACAGTACCAGAATTACTCGCTCCCAAAACCATCCGCTTCTACCAGAATGACTGGACCTTGTATCTCAACGACCGCACTCCCAACCACAAGCACTCTGATGCGATCATGCAGGAGTTGGAGGAAGCGACGAGCATAGATCCACAGGAACTTGTTGCCTTCCGTCCTGGTATGAGAGACGCCCGAGAGAAACTACGATGGGCATCGATGCGCGCCACCACTGTGCAAGAAGATGTTGCATACTCGTTGTTTGGTATTTTTGGCATCAGCCTACCTGTAATGTATGGCGAGACGAAGCAGAATGCGCTCGGGCGGCTCTTGCAGGAGATTGTTGCTCAGTCAGGCGATCTCACTGCTCTCGACTGGGTCGGAAAATCATCCAGATTCAACAGCTGTCTTCCTACCGACATCACTTCATATGCAACCCTACCGTACACACTGCCATTTATATCTGAGGAAGAGATGGAGATATCGGTCTCATCACTGAAAAACACTGTGGTTGTCGAGTTGGCTATGAGATTGTATAGCACACTCAACAGCCTGGCCGCTCCACGTTTTTATCGCTGCCGGCTGCAACTTCCATGCATCACATTTCCTGTCACAGAAGTCAGACGGAGACCCGCTGAACACGAGGAGACGTTGTTCACATATACAGTCAAGGCGGATGGACTTCATGACTTGAAGATCACCACGGAAGACAAGTTGCTTCAGTTCTCACGAGGAAGACCCACTCGACAGTCATTCTTTCTTGTTCGTCCTTGGGATCGACGTCTCCTCGGGCTGCCTGAATTTTTAGATGACGTACAGAGCGTGGATGATTGGAGTGAGATTGAATCACTATCATCAAGTTCATCCCCTGGAGAAAAGTGGGGGGTTCGTTCGGAATCTCACTCCCAAGCGTTACAATTACTGTTTCGCCTTGGACTGCCTTTTCCCGCATTTTTGCTAGCGCAGCAACGCGGTGGAGAATACAAGAGAATTGCATCAGATCGTTACATTATTGCACAAGTTCAAGACGTCGCTTCTGTTCACGCCATGATGGACGTCAGGATATTGGATATATTGTAACTGTACGAGCGTGATATATTACCTTGCAGACTATATAGATGTGGAGCCGAAAGGTTTTTTATGTTTTTTTTTAATAATTATGTATTCACAGTTATTTATCTACGGCGTGCGGTACTGCTACAGAAGAAGTCTGTGCAGTGTGCACATAGGTCAAATAAAATATTTCATTGCAATCAAAATCACCCTGCAGGGGTTCTGTGGCTTCAAGGTCAGCCCTGCGGTTCACGATCCAAATGGCAATGGACTAGTTAACTTGGAGTTGCACGACAGTGGCCGACGTGGGAAGCGAGGTTCTTCCGAAACACCGTAAATCGACAGTGTTAGCCCAATCTGAAAAGCTGCAGTAGCCTGGCACTGGCAGTGAGCATGCTGCAAGTGTGTGCCTTTAAAGGCATAGCCTCGCAATAGCACAGGCGTCTGATAAGACACAGCGATGATGTGTGACCTGTCAAGGTACCAAGTATCATAGCTGCTATTAGTACGCACTATCTCTGATGCACTGATAGCACATATATAGCGGTCCAGGATGTTCTATGGGGTGTATTTTAGCCATGGACGATGAAGCACATGCAAGCACAGGTTGGAGGAGCAGGAACTGACTTACGGGAGGTATTTTCATCAACACGTAACTTAGTAAGCTACACTTCTGGTACGTAGTTGTAACTTTTCGCCACGGCTTGGCTACCGAATGGTGGCTCTGAGAGTAGTAACAGGGTATCACTACAGATTAGCGCTGTAAAATTACTATAAAAACGGGAGCTGTTCAGCATAAAGCTTTACAGGGCATAAAAAAGAGTCCCTACAGCAAGTACACCCTGACGATTAACCATTCTCACCGTCAACCTCGAACTGAATGGTAAATGAAGCTCAACCCACCATCCAAACGATCACGCCAGTTCGAGTGGCTGCAACTCATGAACACACCATATATGCAATTGCAGTCTTTCCTGAAGGACGACATGTGGTGACGGCCTTGGGAGATAATACACTTCGCCTGTGGGACTTGAAAGACGATGGTGCGGTGAAGAAAATGGAAGGCCATCGCGGTTGGGTGTGGGCAGTTGCGGTATCACGAGACGAGAGATTCATAGCAAGCGGTGATCACAACGGAGAGTTGATCATTTGGAACGTCGACACCGGTGAATCGCTCACCTCAATCGAAGCCCACTCTGCAGCAATTCACTCGGTGGACTTTTCTCAAGATGGAGAAGTACTGGCAACTGGTTCAAAGGACAAAGCTACGAAGTTGTGGAACGTGAAATCATGGAAGCAGCAAGGCAATCCAATTGCTTGTGGTGATTATGTCCACTGCATTCGGTATTCGCCGTTCGGAGAACATCTTGCCATCGCGACATCTGGGGATATCCAAATATGGAATCCAAACAGCAGGCACCAAATCAAAACCTTAAAGGCTCACGCTGCGTTCAATTCAGCATGGAATTACTCCCTTTCATGGGCGTCTGATGGCAGACGGCTATTCACAGCGGGTTCCTATCTGGATCCCACCATACGGGAGTGGGATACATCAACGTGGGAACAGGTCGGTCATCCCTGCACTGGCAGGGGCAATAGCGGTACTAAGGGCATCAATACCCTTACTGTGAACCCTGCTGGCACCCTTGTCGCTTCCACATCTTACGATCATCATGTCCGCCTCTGGCGGCTGTCGGATCGACGAATTATCGCCTCGTTCAAGCACTCTCATACAGTGTGCTGTGTCGTATTCTCCACCGATGGCAAGTACATCCTCAGCGGTGGTCTTGATAAAAAGGTCTCTCAGTGGGCAGTGCCCTCTCTTAATTTCAAGGCATGTTTTGATCGTTCAGACTTGACAATGCAAAAACCATTTTCCCTGCAGATCCTTGAGATGGACTCAAAATCCCGCGATGCATGCATAGCCGGAGACTTGAATACTGCTGAAGCACTGCTGACACAACAAATTGACGCTGACAATGGCGACCACAACGCGTATGCCAATCGCTCATTTGTTAGGGCACGAAAAGCGGAATGGAGCCTCGCACTTGATGATGCACTCAAGGTGAGTTACACTATCGGATGCTTACTGCAACATAGACTAAACTATGTTTATTCAGTCCATTGAGATGCCCTCCTTGACAGGATATCTCTCCAGCGGTATCGCACTTTGCGGAAATCAGCAGATTTCGGATGCAATGAAAAATTTCAATTTGGCGACCATGTTCACGGACGGACATTCAAAGACCATTCTTCTCTTGGTAAAGGTAGGCAATATCTTTCTCTCGTATTCCTGATTCATCATGTTTGTTAGGCCATTGCATTATTCAACGCAAAACAGCATTGCGAAGCAATCCCACGCATTCAACAACCTCCGGATGCTTCTCCTACTGCTGACAGTCTTGCTTGCAGTATCGCAGAAGTGAGTATCACAAACTCAATTCAATTCTCGTTTGATGCTTATTAGAATTTTATATAAGGTTTATCTAGATAGCTTGGATGGCGCGCATCGCAACGGAGCTGCGGGAGACTTCACTGCCACTTTCAACACCATCGCTGGCTCATCTGAATCCACCATATGTTCTGAATATGAGGACTTTACTGTGGTGCGTATATATGATGCAAGTGAAAATGTTGTCATTGCTAAACTTCGTGATCTATCCAGCTATTCGGATGCGACCTCAAGTTAGTGTGGCAGATTTCTAACCAGAGACGGTGTGATGCACTCGTGCAGGCAGGTGAAACTAGAGAGGCCCTCGAATTATATCGATACATGATGAATATGAGTGATGAAGCTACGAAGGCTAAGTGCCTCGATTGGTCCACTAGCAAGTCTTCATCAATGTCATTGGGCCCAGTTCTCACCTGCATTTTCACTCAGCATTCGAACAAGCGTGCAGGAATCATTATATTGCCAAAGGATTTGATAATATCATTGCAAGTGCAGATGCCGCGTTCAACGCGAGCAATTACGACGAGGCTATCGAGCTATACTCGGCGGCAATCAACTTGAATTTAGCCAGTGACGCCATCTTCACAAACCGCAGTAAGGCAAAGTCGGGACAAAGGCTATGGGAGGATGCATTTCTCGATGCACAAGAGGTACGATGCCATCTATTATTTCTTAGTCACCACCCATTTTGATGATAGGTTATTAAACTCGACCCTTCCGATTATCTCGGATATCAATTGAAGCACGCAGTGCTTAATGCCGCACAACATTACGATGAAGCTATTGATGCTTTCCAAGTAATGCTCTCCAAGTTGGACAGTTCTCCCGACACACAACAACAAGGTAAGCTCGATTCAACACATCCTCAAGATGCTTGACCCTTTCTTCAGAGTTGCGCCAGCAGTATGTCTCTCAATCAGACGTAGAAAAAGATATTGAAAAAGTCATTCGGACTCGCATGGACCACACCCCGATTCGTGTACTTGACACTTCCACTGGTCGCTTATGCGATCGAAAGGCACAGATGGAGGCCTTCAAGAGGAGCACAGAGTACAAAGAACTTCTATCATCAATAACGAGGCGCGCAGACCTCCGAATGGAGCGCATCCGAAAGGTGGTGGCGAATTTCTTTGGTTATGTCATGCTATCACATAGGTGGGAAGGGAAGGAACCGCTGCTATGCGACATCCAGGGCAAGAGCGTGTACGAGTTGCACCCAGTCGACACCGTCAGGAAGTTGCAGCGGTTCTGCGAGATTGCTCGTGATGCTGGCTACCGCTGGGCGTGGAGCGATACATGCTGCATAAACAAGGCAGATACCGTGGAACTCCCAGAATCCATCACCTCCATGTTTCGCTGGTACCAATACTCAGCCCTCACAATTGTCTACTTGTCTGACATCTTGCCTCTGTCGGCATCTGGCGCACTCGCCAGCAGCATTTGGATCACCCGAGGTTGGACACTCCAAGAATTTCTCGCCCCCAACATCATTCTCTTCTACAGAAATAACTGGACCCCGTATCTTGATCATCACTCTAACAACCACAAGGAGTTTATCATGCAAGAGTTGAAGGATGTTACAGGCATAGATTCGCGGTTTCACGTCGCCTTCCGTCCTGGGATGAGAGATCCTCGCGAGAAACTCGTATGGGCATCAAAGCGCGACACCGAGAAGCCAGAAGATGTTGCATACTCATTATTTGGTATCTTCGGCGTCCACCTACCCGTAATATATGGAGAGAACAAACAGAAGGCGCTCGGGCGACTCTTGGGGGAGATTGTTGCTCAGTCGCGTGACATCAGCGTCCTGGACTGGGTTGGAAAATCATCCGAATTCAATAGCTGCCTGCCTGCCGATATCAAATCGTACGGATCGACATCCTTATCACCATGCTCCTCCGAAGATCAGATTCAGGAATCTATCTCTTCGCTGCGAGTTGCTGTGGATGAGCGGGTGGCTTTAGATTTGTATGACAAGCTTAGCGGCATAAACCCCCCTAATTTTTCAACCCGGCGGTTACATCTGCCTTGTATGGTGTTCCGTGTCACCCAAGTCAAGCGAAGACGCGATCAAGATGAAGAGATACTGTTCAGGCATGAGGTGAAGGCAAAGGGGCTTCAAGATTTGCTCATCGCCACGGACACAAAACTACCCCAGTTCTCGCGAAGAAGACCCACCGCACAGAAATTCTTGCTCGTCCGTCCCTGGGACCGTCGTCTCCTCGAACTACCTGACTTTTCGGACGATACGGAGAGCGTGGACGATTTATCTCCTCCCCCATCCCCATCAGATTCACATTGTTGCTTGCCTGATCCTGGAGAGCACGAGTCTCCAGGTTTGGAATCAAGGGAGCGAGCGTTACGATTAATTGCTCACCTCAAGCAACCATTCAGGGCATTCTTGCTAGGGCAGAAATGTGGCGAAGAATACACGAGAATGATATCAGAACATGATATCATTGCACAAGTCGCAGAAACGACTTCTATTCGCGACATCATGGAATGCGTCACGACAGTAGAGGTGGTTTAGCTTTGAAGAAAAAAGTGAATTCTCAGACGTCCTCTTCCTTGAACATTTCGGACATTTCACATTACTTATATTTGTACATCCATATACTAGCATTCTAATCTATGGGAAGCACATCTCGTTCTGAAAGGTTATGAATGCATCAGGACATCCAGCTCTCGTGCTTGATTCTATTAAGCACAAGTTGGAGTGTCAAAAAGTGGAAGAGCAATACTGGCCATGTCCCACCCGGAAGAAATCCGAGACTTTGAAATACACCAGAAAAATCCAGTAGAAACGTATAAAGACGCTTGGGGACAACAATAGGCTGTGTCCAGATGTGGTCCAGCGGTTTTCAGCTGGCGACGAATGTCTTCCACAGTGTATGGAGGTAGCACTGATCGAGAAAATGATGCTGAAAGAGGACATCACGCCAGACATGTCATGATGAAGCAAATTCGTGCAATGTTCGACATGCTTGTGAATGAAGTGTAAAAGGGTCCACAGAAAGATCTGCCGCAGACTCACACCTCCGAGCTAGAGGGTGGACTCAGCGACGAAGTCAGACAATGGAAAGTGAAACGCGTACGCGAGGTCCTTAACGGCCTCGGTCCGACTTCCTGGGAGACAGAAATTAGCAGTTTCGCCAGTGGCGACGAGCTGTTGGCACCAAACGAAGTATTTTCGAAATGCGATTTCGTGGACCTCTCCGCAGGCGAACCGGATGCTTGAATATGGCGATGGTTGATCGATCCGAAAGCCACCAGAGGCGAACCTGTTTGTCCTCAGATGCGGACGCAATAAGGGTGCCAGGAGGGTTCATGGCGGTCATGTAGACAGTCTCGGTATGGCCCTTGCAGGGTTCACCAACCTGCTTCCAGGTCGATGTATCCCACTCCCTTATGGTGGGATCTAGCCTGGAGCCCGTCGAGAACAGTCGTGTACCATCGGACGTCCATGTGAGTGAGTAATTCCATGCTCCGTTGAACGCAGAGTGACCCAGAAACTTTGCGATGCATTCTCTCTTGCGTGGATTCCATATTTGGATATCTGTCTTGGTTGCGATGGCAAGATATTCACCGGACGGCGAATACCGAACACTGCGGATTTCAGTCTCACAATTGATTGGATTTCCTTGAACCTGCCATGTTTTTGTGTTCCAGAGCTCCACGGTGGTATCCAATGAACCACTCGCCAGAAATGTGCTGTATGGGGAAAAGTCGAGCGAGAAAACCTTGTTGGAGTGGACTCTGATGGGTTGGGTGAGGGATTCGCCATCTTTGTTCCAGGCGATGAGCTCTCCGCCGAAATCACCGCTCGCTATGAATTGCCCGTCTCTTGATACTGCAGCTACTCGTACGCCGAAGCGATGCCCCTGCATTACCTTCAATACGACACCGTCTTCTATATCCCATAGACGAAGGGTCTTGTCGTATGAGGCCGTCACCATACAGCGTCTATCGGGGAATACTACAACTGCAAAGATACTATGCCTATGACCTTCAAATATCTGACTAGTCGTGGTGATCCGGATGGCAGGATGTTCTGCTTCTGTCATTCTCGAGGTGGATGGTATGGTGAGCGCGACTTGTTGGCGAGCTTGTGAGAGTCTCGATCTAAGACGTGCCTGTACCGGGCCTATTTGTGCTTCTCCACAGCCTCAACCTGAGATGCCAAGGACACGGGGCATTCAGACCGCTGCGATCTGCTATCGAGAACTTTTGAATTCACTGATGCGTACATCCCATATCTGTACCGAGGAAATATCTCCATGAACATAAACCAAGATGATAACTTGGTAAATATAAAACTTCCCATCTAAACTTAAAGGTTCTGACTATCTGGACAATGGAAATGAAAATTCTTGTGTTTTACGGCCTACCTATACACTGATCATATCTGAGATACCATCCCAAGGCAACGACGACGATCATCCGGGTCAATGGAATGCTATCATGCACGAGAATTTTCATGAATTCGTTGACTTGCTGCCGATGCAGAATCTGTCGTATCTCAAGCGCATGCTGAGTGAAGCGTTCAACGGCAAATGAGGATTAGAGGACGAAGGGCCTACGACACCTTGGGGCCCTGCACCTTTGTCCTCTAATTCTCATTTGCCGTTGAACGCTTCCCTAACTATAGTTGGTGAGATGCGTAACTATAAGGCTTCCAACCCAGGTGTTCTGCACCTACATACATAGTTATGTATCAACACGCTGTGACTACGATTGCAAGTTGGGATTCATCCTTAGATTGGTGTACTGCCAGAATTTGCTCACAAAAGTTGTACAAAAGAGCCACGACACGTAAGGAACTCCCCACAGCCTCACGGAGTCGAACCTGGAGGCTGGGATTATGAATTATGGCACTTATGTGCTATACGTCACTGTCGGAGTTTGAACTGAGGCTGTAACTCTTTGTGACTTAGTTTCAGATAACACCTGAGACACAGCCAGATAAAAGTCTGCAACAGATCCCGTGCAAATTAATGAACAAATTGTTAATATTTAAAAGAATATAGTTCGTCTTAAGATCCATTATCATAGTCAAAAAATGTCCAGAATTAGTGTTGACCCCAGATTGATAATCAGATTAGGGATATGCAAGGACAAAAATGCTGAATTTGTTGGTATCAATTTACCTTATTGTTATATTTATAACCAGATAATGAAAATAATTGGTATATGTTGACTAAACAAATTCAGATATAAATGGTGGACATGCCATATGATCAGATATGTGACAAATTTTAACAATGTATTAAATCGGGCGAAGGGACAGAGTGCGGCTATGTTGGGCAGACAGAGAGCGCATAAATTACGAATATGTACATGAATATGTCTGAGAGTTAGCCTCTGACAACGACCCTAAACTTGTGTGCATGTCATATGAGTGCCCCACTAAGTGATCCACTTAGTGGGGCACTCACTTTATATGTTCAGTCTAGTGGGCCGCTTCGTTAGTTAGGACATTATGAAAATACAAGGAGGAGCATTGGACAGGAACAAGAGTTTCATTAAGTTTATGTTCACTACAAATACAAAGTACATTACGAAAATACAAGGGGAGCGTTGGACAACAACAGGAATAAGAATTTCATTGAGTTGACATTCACTACAAATACCCACTACATTGCTCATACTATCAAAATTGTTGCACGAGATATCCGCACAAGATAAACAATGGCAAAGCAACAGCCAAAGATAGGGATGAGTTAAATATCGTGATTTGATGCTCACATCGAGCTTACTTTTGGAGGAATAGAATGACGAGGACCTCGCCAGGAGCATCTTCAAATTGACATTGGAAGACAGAATTGAGGGCAGGATTGAAGAAGGGCGAATCACAGCTGAAAGTTGATGCACTCCGAATGAAACCTTTAGAGCTGCAAGGGAGCATTCAGCAGAAATACATGGAGAAGTATCAGATAATTACCGCAAGCTTTTCCTCCTCGACATTGAGATGCATGCTTGTCTTTGAACTGTAACTGATGCTGTAAATCAGCTTCACTTGGCTGATGGGCAACAAGTGCTGGGGATGCTTACTGCAGAGTATGAAACAATGACTACTATGTAGGAAGAAGTGAGACACATGCAAGTCAGTAGCGATGCTTGTAATGAGGAGTTTCGGCATGCAATTCTTGGAACTTTGGAGGAAATGAGGCTCACGGTGAAGAGCATCATGGATGTGATCACTCATAGAGCAACCAATGATGATCTGGATAGTGCAAAAATTGTTGACACAGGTGAGACACAATTGTTAGTAGGAATGCCTACATAACTAAATCACAAATAGGACCCTGCTTCCAACAAAGATACCACAATGCCAATCCCACCATACTCTACCATGCTCATTGCCTTGATCTTGAATGTCTTTGGACATGTCACTTGTCCATGGTGCAACACAGTCCTTGGCCTTTTGAATCTTCTCCTTGAGACTACACTCGGAAAGTTGACCTGTCCCACCATTCCCTCCGATATCCGTACCATCCATAAAAAATTTAACTTGGACCCAGTTACTCAAACATTTGCCACCTGCACAAGGTGTTCTTGCACATACCCGCCTGCACCTACAAAAAAAAAATCACTGTAGCCCGAACACTGCACCCATCAGAGGTACTGAGGTAGCAAGCCATGTGGTCAGTTGATGGTAAAATGCAGAAAGGGTGAAGGCGGAAAAATGTGGACGCCAGTGCGCCCATATGTCATTCAAGACTTCAATGCATTCCTTGCTGAGATGTTAAGTCGGCCTGGTATAGAGGAAGCCATGGACTGTGGAATGATGATGAACGAGAAGTATCGCATGTGGGATATTAAGGATGGCACTGTGATGCAGGAGATCCTCGGCGCTGACAGAAAACCGTTCTTGGATGGGCTGAAGAGGCAGGATCTCAGATTAGCATGGAGTCTTTCAGTGGACTGGTTTAACCCTCACGGAAATAAGACTTCTGGCAAGAAAAAATTGGTTGGGTCAATCGCGATGGGATTACTGAACCTGCCGCCCAGTCTCCGATACAAACCAGAAAACATGTACTTAGTTGGCATTATACCTGGACCCAGAGAGCCAGCTCTCGACGAAATGAATCATTTTCTTCGACCTGTTGTCGACTTTTTTATGCCGTCATGGAAAGATGGGACAAGATTTACGAGGATGTTCCAACATGCTGAAGGGAGACTTTCAAGGTATGTCGTCGCAGTGACAATCAACAACTTACCAGCCGCTTGCAAACTCGCAGGATGTGCGGGGCCCACTGCAAATCAAATGTGTGGACATTGCTGGCAGAAAAAGTCAGAGATTGCGAATTTTGACTGCGAGACATGGAGACGACGTAGGTGCAGCTGCAGAAGAATGGAAAAGTGCAGAGACAAAGTCAGAACGTGACAAAGTATTTAAATGACACGGAGTGAGGTGGTCCAAGCTTCTATGACTGCCTTACTGGGATCCAGTGAGGTTTGTCATTGTAGATGGCATGCACAACCTCTTCCTCGGATTGGTGCAACATCATTTCAGGGACTTGATTATCATTGACAAACAGGCTGGCAGGGCGATCAGGGCGATCAGGAAGCCAGACAAAAGACCCTTGGATGCATCAGAATTAGATAGGGGAAGAACACTCTTGAGATCAAACCCTACTGTCTCTGCAATGACCCGCTTATGGGTGCCTGTCCTAGAAGCCCTGATCCAAGAGGCAGGGCTAGTGTTGTTGGGGACTGGTAAATGCAGCACAAAAATACAGATGGCCAAAGCCTTGCTGGTGCGTTGTCCATTTCATAGTCATGATCCCCATTGACAACTTGATAGGGTGAACCTACGCACTGTGCTCCAATGAATGACGGAGACTGGATGCAGGTTGATGACGATGCATTTATCATGGAGGAATTAGTAAAGCAGTGCGCGGCCCAAGTAGAAGGGGAAAACAACCAAAAAGGCATATCTGGCGAAGTCCTCACAGACGTAGAGATCGATCAAATTCAAACAGAACTGTGCAGCATTGAACAACCTTCATGGCACCGTGGACCACCAAAAAACCTGGGGGAAGCAGAGCATGGTAAGCTCAAGGCAGAGCAATGACGGTCTGCAATTGAATTCGACCTACCAGTGACTCTCACAAAACTCTGGGGGACCAATCATATGAAACCTGGTGATGAAAATGGAAAACAGAGGCAGAAGTTAGCTCATAGCACAATGCTGCTGGCGATGGCAATCTGATGGGGAACATCACATGTAATGTCGATGCACCACACTCAGCAGTACCTCATATATATGAAAGCCTACCTAGAGTGCATCCGAGATGTTTTTCCAAGCCATTCTTTCCATCCTAACCACCACTCCTGTCTCCACCTTCACAAGTTTCTTCTAAGATATGGACCTATGCATGGCTGGTGGATGTTTCCCTTTGAGAGGATCATCGGAGCCCTGCAGAAGACCAATACGAACTACAGGATCAGTGAGAACGAATGGAAATACGGGGAGACAAACTGAATAGGGTTCTTCAGGGGAGTTAGAAAGAACTACGTTGGAGACATTTTGTGCAGCTGCACATATCAAGGCAATGCTTCAAGAACCTGGTGCACCTGACGTCTTCAACAAAGCAGCTGACATCCTGCAGCAATGCTGTGCTCCATTTGCAGAAGAAGCATTTCATACAGACATCAGTATCCTGCAAACAGCAACAGAACCAATTCCATGTGTCTTGCATGTCAAAGTGAATATCATCAAGACTACTATTTCAGAAGTGCGACACACATTGGAAAAGGCAGGGACTCAACTGCCTGGAAACAACCACATCACCGAGTATAAACAGCTGAACATAGCAGGATTGCAATATTGCAGTCGCAACTATTCACGGGTGGATAGTTGTGTGTTCTTCAAGAACACATCGGCAAAAATTGTACCGGGTGTTATTGAACAAATATTTTCTGTGGAGGATCACCAGTGGGTTTACTACGTCGCAGTCAGATGTTACTTACCTGTAGCTGCGGGGTACCAAGACCCCTTTCTAGGCTACAGTGACTTCAGTGCACAGATATGGAGCTGTGCTTTAAATAGCCAGCTTGATATTGTTCTGGTATGCGAGAGTAAGATTTGCCATGCTATTTCGATGCCTTGGGGAACTGAATTGGTCCTAAAAGCAATGAATAGGGTAAATTCTCTGCCATTATAGAAATCTTGCTCCAGTACTAACCTCCTACCCTATAGGACTTTGGTGTATGACTGATTGTCATCAGAGGTGGAAGATCACACTGGTTTAATGATATCACAAACAATTTGTAGATCTGGTAGTAGTACATATAGTAAATGTCGAGCATACACAATTTACAAAGCCCCAATGACACGTGTCACACTGCCCTGAAGCAAGAGGAAAAGTTCTGATACTGTGCCCGACTGAAGAGCATGCATGAGCATGTTCACAAGCATGCAGATAATCGCAAACCAAAGCAGCTGGGAGGCAGGTAAAGATTCCACTGAGGGTAACTTATGTGTCTCATTGTCCTCTGTCGATGTCTGTAGTAAGTAATGAGCAATTGCCTCAATACATATTCAACAACACATACCAATTTGCCCTCCCCCCAGACCTTCACACTACTGTGTCCATCAAAGCAGCTGCCAGGTAACAACAGTGCACCCAGTGCGCCCTTTGTATGACTACCTCTGTCTTGTTAGATAGAGCAAGATACATGCTAGAACTGCACTTATGGTTACAGGTATGATCTGATCGCCCCAATTGGCATGTTCCAACTGACCTTGGTATGCACCAGTACTATAATTAAAAATGCGAGCGAAACCATCATCGCCCCTGATGAAAATGAGCCTGGCTTGTCAAGCAACAGAGATTCGCAAAGGCACATTGTGCAGGATCACATGGCTGTAAGACTGGACATGTTGAAGGCTAGGCACAGAGTATTTGTCGACCCCATCTTTAAGATTGCTTACAAGGAGGAAATTGCCCTCAAGGGTGATATTCCCACTTGCAGCTTAAGAATCAATAATTGTATGCGCAGAGTACGCGCCAACTCACATCCTTCCCTGGACTTTCTTGTGCCACTTTAAATCCCAGGGTTCGATGGAATAACAGAAACCAGACTCACAGTCAGAGTAAAATCACAATTTTTATGGTACACGTACATTTCACCACTTTCAAGATATGATACTAGTATTGAAGCACCATTGTCGTAGAAGTGTACTGTGCGCGCCACATATGGCTGCTTGTCGAGCTTTGAGGTGATAGAAACGAGATTTTCTAAATACAAAGTCAATGTAACACAAGTACTATGATTTGGTAACACACTGTCTGGTGTGAAGTTCCAAATGTGGGGCCAACTGTCACTGGCACTCGCTAGTTGACGATGCATGGGATCCCAAGCAAGCAACTCTACCGGACCCGAGTGACCGATGGTAGTACTGCAAAATTCAAAAAGTGCCTGGCGGGACCAAACATTATCAGTTACCTAGAAGTGCTACTACCATCACAACCATCACACTTACATCATTGATTCTTTCATAGATTTGGATGTTGCCATCTGATGCCCCGAATGCAAAGGTTGTCTCTCCATGATCATCGACATCAATCCAAGTGATCCGCACTAATATATCCTGCTGCTGGTGAAACAATTTCTTGAATCATTTCACCAGATGTGAGGCTCCATACCATGACTCTACTATCATTGCCTATCTCAGCTGTCATCATGAGCGAGCAAAGAAAACAGATGATTAGATACCTCCTGTAAGGAGCAATGCTCCATGCATGCTCACAGCCAATACATTGACTGTCTTGGTGTGGTGAGTGAGAGTGAATTTGTTCGCAAACTGCATCTGTGTCAGTGAATGTAGAGCTCCCCTGAATTTCACCACTTACATCCATGATTGACCTTTGAGACACCAGTGAAAAGCTGAGTGTATTTAACTTGGTGGGTTGGCATCAAGATGGACTTCATATGTGAAGACAAAAGACTTGCAAGAAAAGCACCGGGATGCAATGAATAGATGGTGAATGGATGGAGATGAAGACAAGCAATGGAGAAAAAGTGGTGGAATATGAATTAAACAAAAAAAATGTTCAAATGTAACCTCTATTATTATTGCGAAATGAAGAGTGCCTGGCGTACTTTAAGTTCATGAACAAAATCAGTAGATTACACCAGTCATGGCATCAGAATTACCTTCTCGCAAAAACAGCTCTGTAAAAACATGATTCAATCCATATGGCAGACTGTCAGCGCGTGCGCTTAGGGGAAATTTACAGGCGCACGAGATGCAGGAACTGCAATGGGGAATAAATGCCTCATTGATGTCCTATGAGCGTGAACATCAGCGAAGTTCAGACAATGTGAGTACAGCACTTACATATAATTTGGTATTGAACATCTTCAGGATGTGTATATGGGATCCACTATGGATCTTGACCTGCCCATCAGTGTGGGTAAGGGGACAAACGGGGAATATGGTTGCACAGATGCCCTTATGGCATATGACAAAGTAATTAGTCTCACTCGTCACCAAGAAAAGCCAAAACTTACTTTATTTCTCAAAGGTTGGACCCCTCGCCATCATTCTGGTACCTTTGCACTCCAGTTACCAGATGCCAAGTAAAAGAAATCTCATCTGAGGCCTACAAAAAGGCATGAATAAGTACATAGAGCATCACTGCAAAAGGATGCACCCTGTCACTGAATGGTTATGGGAGCGCATGTACATAGCGCTCCAAACAGCAATGTTGGGCAGTTGATGTTGAGGACATTGTGCTGCCTGAAGCGCATCATAACAGAGAGCCGACCACTGAGGTGGAAAACCAGAACATAATGCAGATCGTTCATTCTACACCGAACAATGTAAATGACACTGCGATAGGCAGCTTCTGCTGGATTATCTTATCTCACCTGCTTTAGCATGACAAATTTTCAACCTGAGTCGAAAATTTCATCCCGAAAGTGAAATGTGGGTTGCAGTCCCTCGGGTCTGCACTAAGCACTAAACCATCAGCTCCCATGGGTGACTGTCTGACAGGTAAGTTAACATACATACCTTCACGTTCAAGTCCCTTCTGATGAGGATTAGGATATCCTGCCACAATTCCAGGAGAATTTGCAGAGAGTTGACTGAAATTGAAAATCAGTAGCCCATGCTTATGCATAGATTAGCTTAGTTTGAACTCAAAAGCTCATAGAGTTACTGAACTGTGGTGGGTCGGGCACATCATTTTCATATAGGCATCATAGCTCTATGTAATACTATCCTCATCTCATCATATCATATATTGAGACGAATTATACTCTACTCTATGAAGGACTACGTGATGAAAGTAAGAAAGAGAAAACATATAGAAGAATTTTGAACATAAGTAGTGAACGAGACGAATTGAACTCTGATGGAGATACCCGAAAGTGGGCTGAGTGGATTACTGTTTGCGAACACTGGCAAATTGAATTCCGACAGAGATACCCGAAAGTGGGCCGAGTGGGTTACTGTTTGACTTGCGGCGAACACCTGGCGGAGTCTGATCAATCCCATTCACTACATATGGTTCCAAACCTTCACTATTGCGTCTTCCTTTCTACCATCTTTCAGTTGTTCATTTGATTAGATTTGCATAGGCTTTGCATGATGTCTAGACTTGTTATTGTGTTGTAGTAATAGACTTCTGATTTTGAGTCATAGTATAGTCTAGACTTGTATAGATCATTGGACTTTTTGATGCTGCCGCTGAACGGTGACACTTAAGTAATTTCTGCACTGGTTATGATGTTCATGGACGTTCATGAACTGTAAGTCAGCTCTACCTACACAACAAGCAAAACAACTCATTGTTCTTGGCAGTGTTGAGGCCGAATCAAGCTGCTTGCTCAGGATGGATTATTGTTCAATTCTGCAAAGTGGCTTAATCTCCCCTATCGTGCTTTGTGAGGTTGATACCTCATTTCACCTGAGTCATCCATCCACATTGGCATGCAGACAAGTCTATTGTTGGCAAGGATCCGCCCACGTTCAAGATACATATATAAATATATTGGATATATTCAGTTATGCTTTATCCAATAGTCATAGTCATGGGCTTCACACAAATTTCCACTCGCTCCTATGCAATTTCTGACCTCACAGTGAGTTTTCCTAATATTAGTCTTCTTCTGATGCTAAGTATTATTTTGTTACAGGCAGACTTCCAACCTCAAATCTTTCAAGAGCATTTGAAATGCAAATCAGACTTGGAGACACCAGATGATTCCCTCCCTCCCAGTTTCAAGCGGTGTGACCACATATTTCAGTCATGTTACTACGTAGAACCCTGGCTCCGGACATGCAAAAAGGCTGTAGAATCCATGCCAGCCAGTCACCGGCCGGTAGACATAGGATCAGTGCTGGCCAGTCTGTCTAGGAATTCTAGTAATAGCATTCACAAGCATATTGCAATCACTATACGATATGCAGAACCTGTGCTGGCCAGATTGTATAGTATATTAGTACAGGATGAGCTTATTGGATAATGTTTGGGCCAGCCTAACATTTACAGAGGGTGATATTAGGGTGGCCATTCAGTCAATATCCTACTTACATATGTAATATGTGGATTTGCTAATCTACATATCTACCTATGACTATAGATAATGCTCGGCCTGTATGTCCTGAGGTGACATAGAAGGCTAATGGCCAGGACTTAAGGACTAGTCATATATGTAGACTACCAATATATGCTAGAATTAACAAATCTGGCCAGCTTGTCTGTGGGGCCATGTGGAGCAATGACGGCCGCTGTGTGGTGTATAAAAAATTATTGGGCCTGGCCAACATGCCTATTGCCCACATAGAGGGATGGTGGGCAGGATGTTATAAGCTGACCCGGCCAGCACGTTGGCTATGTGGCCTAAGAGCATGGCTGGCCATTCAATGTAGATAATTATTAGACCTGGCCGACATGTCTATGGCCCACGTAGAGGGATGGCGGCCGGGCTGTTATAAATCTAAAGGTGGCACTGGCCAGCATGGGTTTTACATAGGCTACAGACCAGACAGGCCATTTCAGTGTACTATAGAATAAACTTACCTGGCCAGTTTGCCCATGAGCCATGTAGATGGATGGTGGCCAGGTCTGTTGAATAAATGTTTTAGTGTACAAGAAAATTATTAGGGCTGGCCAGCTTACCCAGTCCTATGTATAGAACCTATGCTGGCCGAGCCAGCTTGAGAAGATATTACACCCTGGCCACCATCCTTCTACATGGCCCAAGGGCAAGTCAGCCAGCCTTAATGATTTTCTTGTAAGCTGAAGGTAGTCTATTCTATGGTATGGCCAGTCTTGATCAATGCTACATGACACAGACTTCAGCTAGCAAGAGTAATGTAATTTAAGTAGGTACTATGTATGTACTGGTCAGCCTAAATACTACATTGTGCAAGGTCCAGATGGCCAGACAATATTTTTCAAGTCTACATCGGCCAGCCACAATACTACTTGCCACAAAGTCGAGCTGGTGGTAGTAACAAATTCCAGCCTACACAAGACTACCTGTTACAGACACAAGCTGGCCTTAGTTCAAGTACATACTGGCCAGCTGCAATGCTATGTACCATATACTCTAGCTGGCCGTAGTAACATTATTCCAGCCAACACTGGCCAGCCTCAATACTACGTGCCACAGGCATACAACGGCCAGGTAATATTATACACACACCTACAAGCCGGCCGTACTAACATTATGTCCTCACACTGGCCAGCCTTAAACCTGTGTGGCACATGAAGTAGTTCGATGGACAACGGTAACATTGATGAAGTATGCATTATGTTGGAAAAAAGTATCAAATCATGATTAGCAGCTTGTCCTTGAATTTTTCCTCAGCTTCTGCTGCGAATGCTTTCCACACCAGTACCTGTTTATGGGCATATGGTTGATGACCAGGTTTGGTAGCTTGGTGCCATCGTAGTTGCCATTTTTCCTCTTGGGATTTGAACCAACTGACTGTCCACCCCATTTCGTGTTGAACCAGACTTAACTCCTCCTCCCACCTGTTCCATCTTGCCTTTGCCTTCAACCAGTTCACTCTGTAGACTAAATATATTCATTTAGCTGCATTCAAGTACACTGATATACTAAGACTCACATTCATCCATCCAAGTGTCTGTTTGATCCTTCTTTCCATTGTTAACCCTCCAAAACCATGCGAGTTTGTCTGAACCCTGGCCGAATCTATTCTCTTCTGTCACCTCCTTGTCAATACTAAGCTGTTCAGCTAGTATTTCTTGATAAACAGTTTCTAGAGATTCTCGATCCATGCCAAGTCTCTCCATAGCTGATCTTGCCCTTTGATAACTTCGGACATACTTGTCGATTTTGATACGACAACATTGAGCTTCTTGCTTGGATCTTGTCCCAGTCCACACAGAATCGGCACTTCGAAAGTGTTGACGGTAGATGACAGCCTTATCACCAAGAGCCAACCGAATTTTTTCAAGGCAATCATTGGCTTGACCTTGTCTCAGCTCCAATTCCTCTGCTTGAAGGGCTAATAAATGAGCCGAAGTGACTTGATCATGAGGCACTGATGATGGCATCCAGAGACCCATATCTTCTGCTGAAATTTCGTCATCCACCAATTCGGAATCATCTTCAAGGTCAGCAACATGAGCCTCCCAGTCATGCTCTTCATCTTCTGCCCAGCAAAACCTAGCATCATCTTTGTGCACCGTACCTGCTTCCAGCTCTATTCCCTCTGTCATAGCATCAGCAGTTTCATGGAATGCAGTTATACGAGCTGATAGTTTCTGTTGTTTCTCTTGCAGAGTAGCCTTCTGAGCAGCAGTGGCATCAGATGGGAGGCGACGAAACTCTGATCGTAACCCATCCCTAACATAAATGTGGTCATGCTTTTATGATTGAATCACTTATGACGTACTGGGCATCCTCAAGATTAATGCCTTGAATGATCCAAGATACTGTTCCTAATCTTCCTGTTTCGGCATTCTCTGCTTCAGTTAATCTTAGTCGAATCTCAGCCATTGTAGGGGCTTCAGAATTATAATGAAAAATATTGGTTAGCCATTATTTGCACTGGACAGTAGTAGTGATGAATTACCTTGATCAATCTTGAGCTGATAAATGTCAAGATATTCCCCTCGTTCCTCCATAGCCTTCTTTTCATCATTTTCCCATATAGCAATTTTTTCATCGTCCAATGAGTGTGTTAGCTCATCAAAAGGAGACTTTGTATCGTTAATTCCCTTGATGGCTCGTTTATACTTTTTCAAGAGAGTCTTGACTGTTCTATCATGATTAATCGATTCTGTAATTAGAAACAAAATATTTACCAAGTCCAACTAGTTTCTTCCAATTGGAGTCCCGCATGTGATCATCCAAAATTTCCTGTCGGTGGTATTGACTCATTGAACGAGCAGTTGGTGATATCTTATTGAAAGATGCCCAGAGAGTTTCTAGAATTTCTCCATCTACTTGACCTGCCCCTTGAAGAAAATTGAGACTAAATCTTGCAAAACATGGAAGTTTATGCGCGCTGAGATGGAATTTACCAACAGCGGCCAAAACTCGATTATGTTCAGGTAGGGATAATCCTGGGCAGTTGGCTACACGTTCTGCAAAATGAATGCACCACTGACAGCCTACATCATAGATGATAAGCGAGGTATCAATGTCATGAGAATGATGATTGATAGCATTGCATATTGAGTAGTCAACGTTCATGTGGCTACCGCCCAATATGAGCTTGTTGAAAGTCTTGAATCTCATAATCAAAACATACCATTCACCCTTCTGAAAGTCCACCACTGCATGAGGAACAAAACATCCATGACGTGCACAAGCAGTGGCAGCTACACCAGTTGCTCGAAGATTGCTTCTGTTTGTGTTGGCAGCATTGACTGCACGGTGATTACTGCAAGAGGATCTCTTTGATATATACCTAGTCAGGAAGACAGATGTGGCAAAACCAAAATAACATACATCCTTGCTCTCCATAGCCGATGACAAATGAGCCTGGTACCCAGCCTCTGTCACCATATACCCTAGACCATCAGAGAGGGAGACATCGAGATGAGGTTGTCTCATATTCATATGTTGAGCCGTGAAGTTGCCATCCACAACATATCTCTGCATGATCAACCAGCTATTCAAATAGGAGTCAGTATGATTTTGATTAAGAATTGTAGATGGGCAACGTGTAGGAGTAAGCCAGTCAGTCAGATTAAGCATGACCGGCCGGGTGGGGTTTGCCACACATAGGAGCCATGCTGGCCAGCCAGTCAGTCTGATTAAGCATGACCAGCCGGGCGAGATTTGCCACACGTAGGAGTCATGCTGGCCAGCCAGTCAGTCTGATTAAGCATGACCGGCCGGGTGAGACTTGCCACACATAGGAGGTGTGCTGGCCAGAACATATATGCCACACATAGGAGTAGGAAATAGATAAATCACTTGCCTTGGATACTTATGCCGCCAATGAAGTGGCATATTAATTCCAGGCTGTGGACAGGCAGCACAAAATAAAGCCAGGTTACCAGGCCCAGGCTTGACCAACGAACTATGTCCAAATCCAAAACATTTTCGATTCATCAAATCTCTCCATTGACGAGACACCCTCATCAGTTCACAATACTGATCCTGAATCAAACAAGATGTATCAATGAATATCCATGTAAGATAAGTATGTCTTACTGGCACAGTATCTGGGAAAGCATTATTAGTTAGCCGTCGAAGCTTTTGGAAGAAGCTTGATGCAGATGTCTTGCATTCAAGGGCATCAATCAGAAAATTGTCGAGAGCATCAAAGGTGAAGGCAGTTCGAGGCCGGGATATACTGGCTGGAAATAATCCTGCTTTGAGCAACTGCAAGTATTGTTGCAGAGATCCAGGGCAATGACACCAGAGTATGTTGTGTGTAAATACTCCAGTGGAGTGGACGATGGTTAAGGACGTGGTTGGTGGACTTGTTTCACTGGCAATATGAGATCCAGTGCCCTCGCCCTGCTTGTCTATATGCACATCCAAATCCTCCCATTCCCAAGAGCCTTGAGAGGATGGACATGGACGACCCCCGTGACCCATATGCCATAGATAACCCATCTGCATGAGGGATGTGTCACCGAAGCATTTTCCGTTCCACTGTTGCATCTTATGAAAGGGTAATGATTTATGGGCTTCGAGAATACATGCACGGCACCATGCATGGTCACCACTGCAAGTCAAGCACCGGAATAAACCTTCGTGACTCTGACAACGTTCGCAGAGCCCTCCATTGGCCAAATCTTCTGACTCCAGGATAACATCCAGGAATAAATCATGGTAAAGGAGATATTCGTCAATGAAGTCATTCTGAGTCTTGAATTAAACAGATTCAGTCAGTGATTTTTTTTATTTGACTAGATGAACCTGCCTTAGTTTGTCGTCTTGGAATTTCTGTCTCTGTGTATAACATGAAATCTCCATCAACCTCTCTCACAAAATCTCCTGGAATGCCATCTTGTCCTTCATGATGGTGCTTAACTCTCTTGTGTGGGCTAGAGGCAGGAGACGGCCCAGTATCATACCGAGGATCAGCACAAGATTCCACCCATGTCGATTTCCTATTTTTCTTTGTAATCTTTTTGTGAGTCACATACTGAACATCCAAGTCCTTCCCATGGGATAATTGACCTTGGTTTTTGAAGGAGAAAGTACTGGACTTGAGACGGGATTTTTTCTTCCCAGACATGATAGTATAACTTGCACTCCAGCCAGAGAATGTAAAACTTTGTCAACTAGCGCTAGCAGAGTTAAAAAAACTGAAATCCCAATTTGATCCGCCCTGATCTGACCATGAGATCTCCCTATATCTCCCTATATCTCCCTCCTGACACGTTTCCTAGGTCTATGATCTGTATCACGACTTCCCAATAGTTGTAAAAAGTCCATCTGAACTGGAAATGCTGGCTTAGACACCCCTACTCGATCATGAACCTTATCCTTCATAAAATGTGCAACAACAAATCTTTCTCCAATTTTCCAGGGACCAACAGAGTGCTCCAAAACCTTCCCACATATTTAAGAAATAGTTCAATGAAGAAATAATAAGGTTCGTACCTTGCCCAAAATACTTACTAATGTTCCAGGGAAATAATCAAGTTCTGCTTCTAGATCTTCGATTCGAAATGTTGCCTTGTGCCCAATGCCAAAACTGGCTAGGAGGTCGTAATGAGACGAGGCCCCACCAGCATCACGGTGACCCAAAGTAACCCGATTAACAATAAGCTCTAATCCCGAAAAAATAGATGGTCATTGAGATGTTGGTGCAGTTTTTTTAGACTGCAAAGTGGCACTCGATACCTTCGAGGCTGCAGCTAAGCCTGCCTCAAATAGTTCAGGAGCAATGAAAGCTGTTATGGCATTAAAGAACAATTCTGTGCCAGAGATGACCTTTAGCCATTGTTGAACCGAGTTGGAGGAATAGGACGCGGATGTTACTAAAGGATCTTGAAGCCTCTAAATTACCGATCATGTGAGTCACTTGATGTCAATATAACCCCAGAAATGATATTAAGTTACCTCGCGTCTTTGCATGAAATAAGCAGGTGAAACAGTGACCCGTCCTGCTCCAAATGTCCCCCCTCCCTCTGGCATATGAAAGCCTTCTGAACGCCAAGAGTGTTTCTTGTCAGTTACTGATTTGCCAACTGGTATGGATTTCAGTAGATAACCTCGAAGATCCATGGTAGCGGTGTTCATCAAATCCTTAATTAATTAGACTCATCACCAAGGAAATTTTGAAATTAAGAAGCTCACCACTCGGCTACCAGATAAAATATTAGGGAGGTACCAGACCAATATCTTGCCATGATTATCAACAATCATAGCTGGTTCTGAAATTCTCCCTAGTACAGTCATTGGAAAATATTTTCTTAGTTTTTCCTGCTGCGTTGATGGGACGCCACTTGGCTGGCTATGGGAGGATTTCACCATGTCAACGTAACGATCAACATCCCATGTGACATAGTCTATCTCACGGATGTCAACTTCTTCATTTAGTAGGGTTTTACAAACAAGGGCTTACAAGGATTAGTCATTGCATGTGCAATAGTCAAAGATGCATGACATATTTCGTATTCTGTCACTAGATCACAACCATGACCTGCTGGCTCTGCTGACAAACAAGAATTCAGTTGCAACTGAATCCTCATACTTTGTCTATTAGCTACTGCCATCATAATAGACTGATAAGTACACATACCGCGCCTTTTGCAGTAGATGAGGTTGGAGAACACCACCTTTGAAGACAGGCACTGCAGAAGCTTCCTTCATTATTTGCTTGATCTCTGAACTCAGCAAGGCATGAAGGTTTCTTGACTCAGGCCCTAATGAGGCCATGACACAATTAACTTGAACTACAGTGCACTGCACGGTGAATTGGTTCAACCTGGTTCCTTGGCTCAAAAATTTCATATTAAAATTTGATCTGCATTAGGTTTGATGAATTTGATGACTCAGAGTTGACCCGAGTTTCATTTAGACTCAAATGAGTCATTAACCCATGAGTTCAATTACCAATCTTCTTGAGTAAGGTAAGGAGAGACTGAATAATATGGAAAGACCACAATGATAGAGTGCATTCAAGGGTATATATATTTTAGAGATATAAGGCAAAAGGAGCAACTTGGACTACAGTGGACGGTGAATTAGTTCAACTGCCTCGGCTCAAAAATTTCATATTTGATCCGAATTAGGTTTGATAAATCCGGAGTTGACCCGAATTTCATGTAGACTCAAATGAGTCATAACCCCACGAGTTCAATCACCAAGCTTGAGTAAAGTAAGGAGAGACTGAATAATATGCAAAGACCAAAATGATAGAGTGCCTTCAAGGGTAGATATTTTCATCAGATATAGTCTCCAGCTTAGAGTCCATGTCAAGAGAAATCCTTGAGTGATCAAGTCAAGTGTGCAAATTATCATTGTCAGTTTTGAACCCTCATAAGACTTTTCCTGCCTTGATCTCAACAATCATTGTTGCGATTACATGAAATGCATCTTCTTCGCCAGGTTTGCATGCTTGTCCTTGAAATTCTTTCTCCAGCGGTCAAGGTCGAAATTGTCATTGTTGCTTGAGATGGTGGCGGCGTCGAAACCCATGGTGGGATTGAAGTGGAACGCGCCACGCACACAGACGATCTATCAAAATGTTAACAAGATGCTATCATATATTGAGTATACTACTCAAAACTCAGAATCCTGACATTAACATAGGTATACTACTAAGATGTCATCATAGCCCAGATCCAGTTCATAGTGTTGCGATTACATGAAATGCATCTTCTTCGCCAGGTTTGCATGCTTGTCCTTGAAATTCTTTCTCCAGCGGTCAAGGTCGAAATTGTCATTGTTGCTTGAGATGGTGGCGGCGTCGAAACCCATGGCAGGATTGAAGTGGAACGCGCCACGCGCACAGACGATCTATCAAAATGTTAACAAGATGCTATCATATATTGAGTATACTACTCAAAACTCAGAATCCTGACATTAACATAGGTATACTACTCAGACCCAGATCCAGTTCATAGGACGATACCTTGTTTCCTTTAAAGGACTTTTTCCATGGTCACGTGACTTTTCAGAGCGGCAAAAATTGACTTTTTAGAGACATGTATAGCAGGACAAAGTAGTACACAAACAATCAATTACAAAGACTTTCATAACGCAAACCACATAAAGAAAAAATTAGGGAAGTGTACGGCTTCGGTGAGGGGGCCCTCCTCACCAAAGCTGTACACTCCAAAGAAAGTCTACAAAGTAAATTTAACGCCCTGCTGAACAATTAGATATAGTTATAATCAAAGCAAGGCACTTAGCTTTCAAAGTCGTATTGTGACAAAGTCCTGTAAGATTTATCAGCGAGAAATGTTTTTGAGTAGTATGTGGACTTACAGATGATAAAAATGTCGCCCAACATCAAATATGGCACTGAGCTTCTGAAATTTATGTTGCGTCAAAGTCTTGTGAGACTAGAAATATTTCCAAGTCAGATGTGACTTAGGTGTGAATAAGTAAAAATCACCGCTCATTGTGAACACAAATGGCATGCACCACACGCAAACCACAGGCAAGCCCCCATAATCAAGAGCGGGAGCCACTCACAAGTGGCATGCACCGCATGTCAGCCCTCAGATCCCAAGCCCGCAGATTTAAGAGCGGGAGCCACTCATAAGTGGTATGCACCGCATGTAAGCCCTCAGATTCCAAGCCCTCAGATTCCAAGCCCTCATGTTCAAGAGCGGGAGCCACTCACAAGTGGCATGCACCGCATGTAAGCCCTCAGATTCCAAGCCCTCAGGTTCAAGAGCGGGAGCCACTCACAAGTGGCATGCACCGCATGTAAGCCCCCAGATCACCCACTACCAACAAGCAAGATGCTAAGAAGAGAAGATACACTAGAGGGAGATAACATCAGCATGCGGTAAAAATGAATGAAAGACTTACCAGAGAGACATAAAAAAATACTAGAGAGAATGAGAGATTAGCAGGCAGTGAACAGAAAGAAACACGAACTTGAGAAAAAATCCTGACACCGAATCTAACCGCGGGAGAGACATGAAACAAGACACTGGAGAGAGAGAAAGGTTAGCGCACAGTGAACCGAGTGAAGGACGCACCGAATCTAACCGCGGGAGAGATATGAAACAAGACGCTGGAGAGAGAGAAAGGTTAGTGCACAGTGAACCGAGTGAAGGACGCACCAGAGAAAAGAGTAGAACTAAAGAGAGAAATTAGCGCGTAGTGAACGCAATGAAAGACTTACCATTGAGCAGCGCACAGTGAACCGAATGAAGGACGCACTATAGAAAAACACTAGAGCTAAAGAGCGAAATCAGCGCGTGGTGAACTAAGCGAAAGACTTACCATTGAGTGGGAGATGCTAAGTGGCTGTAGAGATAAACATTAGCAAACAGTACACAATGAAGAAAAAACTTACTGCGCATGAAAGTTGACATTATGGTAGATCCTTTGGATCCTTGCAGGCTGCAGCCCTGCAAGGACCCAAAGGGTACCATAGAATTAGCGTGTATCGTAGATTAATCAAAAAAGAAAAGGTGTGTAGTGTGAAGATGGGTGGAAAGAGCAAAGTCAACAGCGCGTTTGAACTTTGAACTTTGAACTTTGAACTTTGAACCAACGTGTCTATTTGGTGTTGTTTGTTGTTTGGATGTGTTTGTGTCGCAAACTTGTGAACTTGCAAGTCCAGCGCGTCTACCGTTTGTAGTCTCAATATTAATACTATACCATTGTTCTCAGCGCGTTACCATTGTTTCTGCCTTTCGCGTTTACCCAGCAGCAGCCGTCATACCAGCATCTGCAATCCCAGCACCCACGACTACGCCATGCCCCCTCGGACCAAACAAACCTGCAAGAAGTCGACTGGTGGTGTGGCGCCTCGTGTCACCCTCAACCTACCTGGTGCCGTTTCGACCATTTCAAGGGTAGAAGTGGGGACTGTGAGGATTGAGGAGGAGGAGAGAAGGGACCACAACAATGTGCGTAATTAATGTTATCTTTCTTCAACATTTCAACTAACTACATCTATCTACATCTACCTACAGTTCTGTCTTGTTTGTCGCGACGGAGCAGTGGACGACTACCACTTGTTCATGTGCGACTTGTGTCCACGCACTATGTGCTCCAACTGCTTGCAGATCACGCCACGTCACATTTGTCTGCATTTCCTGCCATGTCCTAGCGCAACATCATGGCCACGGCTCCCAGAATCCTTACTTCGTGAGTCCCTAACCTTTGTTTTCGGTTTATTCTTGTTGTATTGATTCAATCATGTGTATATCGACTACAGGGATTTTACCGCGACGGGAAGCCCATTTTCGACACATTCCTTCAGATCCGCGGGGCGCTTGAGTTGCCCCACCAAGCACAGGTTTCGTCCGAAACCGTGCTATTCATCCATCTTAACCTCATCGACAATGACACGACGGGCGGCCCTTTCAAACTCTCGCATGATTTTCTCCTGCCTTACTTTCCTGACGGCGGAATCATTTTTCGTGAGGTCATCTTTGACATCGGCTCTGATTCGAAGATCGTCAAGTTTCATTCTATGGTCAACAAACTCGTCCTCAAACTCTTGGCTTTCCCTGGCGGTTGGAAACACATTATCTTTGGGGTCTCCGACCATACCGACAATGACTTCGGCGACCCCTTTGTAGGCTACAAGGGCAAGAAGAAAACTTATATTTCGACTCCAGTCAATACTGTAAGTTCGTTTGTTTAACTTCGCACATGTACTGACCGTCGGAAACAAAGTTTTTGGACATCGTGCTTGGTCCTTTCAAGGATCTCATCAACCTTGCTGTTGAATCGTACCTATGGTTGTTCTGTTGCGGCGCTATTGTCGGCAGCTCCGAGAGCTTCAAAAACTTGAAGACCTCAGTACTCCAGTAAGCTATTCTTGATCCGTCTTGTGTCTGACTTAATGTGGTTATACTAGACATCAACTTTCCGCTTCTGTAGCCTTCAATGCAGTACGTTTCCAGCCAAGCTTCGCCACACATCTTCTTCTTGCATTCATCGAGCGTGTCGTCATTGAGCGATTCTCTATCAGCCATGCATTCCCTCTTATGCTGAGTCACTCTCTCAACTTGGGTCGGCACTCCGACATTTTTTTGTTTGTGAAGAATTCTGACTCATTGAACGTCATTAAATTCGCATGGACCCATGCTGTGTTTCGCCCTTGGGGGTAGTACCTCCCTGTCCAATGCCCAAAGTGTGGGTGGGTTGACTCATGGACTTTGGTGAACCATCACAAGGTTTATTATTTTGAATGTAAGAATCAGACTTGCACCCAGTCCTTCGAGTTTCATCAACCGGAGAATTTGACAAGAGTTCTTACACATGGTAAATCACCTCAGTCGCAATGGATCCAACTTGCCCTGTAGGCCTATATTTTGCTTGCCCTTCATGTCTTATATCTACATGTCTCTTGTCGCATGTCTACAGTACTGAATCTATTTTGATGTGCTCTCAAATCATGAAGTTTGAAACATGAATCGATCGCGATCACATGATCCATGCAACATGTTTGTTGATTGACCGGCCAGCCGCACTTAAACACGATCACGTGATCCACACGACATGTTTGTTGATCAGAATCTTTTGACTGAGATCACCGGCCAGCTGCACTCTCATACATCCTAGTACTGTTAATCCACAGCATTACTTTTTAAAAACAATACCTTCCAGTCATATATCTATGTCTTCAGATTGGACCAGTAGCTTCAGAGCTATCCTAGTCAGTTATCAATCCAAGTTCTTGGCTGCCAATTCAAAGTCAGAGCGGTCTCGTGTGATCAAGAAAATTCGAAAGGCCATAGTTGTAGCTCACAAGGAACAAGGCGAACAAGTGCCTTTGCCAAGTTCTTTGAAGAAGGTATTATTTTTACTGATGTTAGGATATTTGACAGGTCTATTAATACACTACTTGCAGGCAATCAAAAAATACTACGGACGCAAAAATGACGAAGAAGAATCTGATGAGGAAGGAGCTGCAAAGGCAAGGGAGATTAGTGCCCGTCCAAAGGAAGCATCTTTCTATAAGAAAATGCTGACCGACTGGGACGTGGCTCAGAGATTGTTTAAACAAGAAATGGATGAATTTGACAAAGCAGAGCAGGCGAGAAAAGGTGTGAAGGATCCCATCAAGTTTCGTACTTGTCATGCGCGAGAATGGTTCAACCAAATGTCATTGACACAGAAGAAAGAAGTTGATTATGCACGAGAGAAGTGGAACACAGAGGGGGCACCAGAAGAAAGCCAGGTTATGTGAGCTTGGTGAATTTTTTTTGTTAGGGTTTCAAGTCTGACATCAGCTGGCAGGTATTGTAAGAATAATCTCAAGAAAGTCCTTGAAGATTTTTCTGAACAACTCCATCGAACTATGGGTTGCCACATCGTGATGCTTGTCAGTCACAAGAAACGAGCAGATCAGACATTGAACATCACCTTGTGAGTATTAGGTCGTTTATATATCTTAAAACTACTAAACTATACTCCTCTAGACATGAATCTCAGCCTAGGAATGTCAAAAAAAGTTTCTCCGTCAGCTCAGACGGTATAAAAGAGTGGACTTCAACCGGGTTCGAGTTCTTTGCTGAGTGGGCGAAGGGCGAATTTTGTATAGTTACTATCACTTCATTTTATAAACATTAATTGACCATAAATCAATAGACCCAACAGCTGATCAAGACGACAAGGAAGAGGAGGAACATGGACTACCTGAACTCATTTTGGACGATGAAGGCTATGCCCAACTTCCTTCTCGTGATGGTATCAGACTTAAGGGTCAACAAGAGCTTGTAAGAATGATTTTTCATGCTGCATACAGTAGGTGTCTTCGTCATGAATTTACTATATGCTTGCTGATTGGGTTTGCTTCTGTAGAAGTTTTCACTGGCACTAGTAAGCCCGTGCCCTGGCGTACCATCACTCCTTGTCCATCACAGTATTTGGCGGCTAGTTCTGTTCCAGATAATCTTCTCATCTGTGACCCCTCTCACATGAGATCGAAGGATATCAATGTCATCTGGAAGTATTGGAAGAGTCGGAGCGTGGCGAAAAAAGAGGCTTGTCTCTTTTATCAAGGCAAGACCAATGGACATGAGACATAGTAAAAGGGACAAAGCAAGTTCCAGAAAGGTGAAACCATATGACGAAGTTACCTCTGAAGAAGAACAGCATAGTCTGGCTGGACTGGGTGCTACTTTAGCTGTAGTATCGCTAGCTGAGGTTCCACTTGACCGCCGCTTTGAATTTTTAGATGGGCTCAGCACTGATAGCTCTTACCTGGAGCTCGTAGATGCAGTCAAGGATCTGGCTAAAATGACGGAAAATATTGTAAGTGCATTATTAATCTTGGGAATGTACTGATCATAACTCATTCACTAGTCAACACCAAACGAGGAGCTTGAGTTACCTCCATGGGTTGATTGGTGTTGCGGAGAGTCTTACCTTCCAGAGTATTTGCATGGGTCACAGGACATGGTGATGGCCAGCTTGGAGGTATTGACACAGGCCCCAATCAGGTCTTCATCCTCAGGTGCCCTAGTGGTTTTGGGCCTGGGTTTGATTTTGAGAGACTGTAAACGAGTCATCGAGTATGAAGAAGACGAGGCCCCACCTGGTACCCCCATCTACTTGGCCAGTTCAATCATGGACCTCCAATGTATGATTAAGGTGGACAACGCAATCCGTCATACCTTATGCGCCATTGTAGGCCTCATTGAGTTGGCGATGAAGGCTACATCAGGTGACTTTGATGAGGGTGATCAGGAGGAGATGAAGGGAGTTGATGGTGAGAACGTGGACAAGGATGAGGACAAGGAAGAGGACAAGGACGAGGATGAGGATAAGGACAAGGATGAGGATGAGGAAGAGGATAAGGACAAGGATGAGGATGAGGAAGAGGATAAGGACAAGGATGATGAAGAGGATGAGGATGAGGAAGAGGATGAGGACATGGAAGAGGACAAGGACCAGGACGAGGAAGATGAGCAGGAGGAGGTGACAGGAGATTTGGATGTGCAGATGTAGGAGGTGGAGAAGGACAACGAGCAGGAACAGGAGGCAGGCAAATCCAAAGGGAAGAAAAGGGTGAGAAACCAGACTTCCTCAGTGAAGACTAAGAAGGCCAGGATTGAAGATGAACCTATTCGTCAGTCAACCAGATCTAGGCAACCATCTAGGAAGAATATTCTTTAGTCAAATATTTGTGTATTGTCTTTGGAGCTGTTAAATATACAATACGCTGGTCATTATCCTCTTAGGTATCATACTATATCTGAAGCTGACCCGGCCAGCACATTAGCTATGTGGCCTAAGAGCAAGGCTGGCCATTCAGTGAAGAAAATTATTAGACCTGGCCGACATGTCTATGGCCCACATAGAGGGATGGCGGCCGGGATGTTATAAATCTAAAGGTGGCTCGGCCAGCATGGGTTCTACATGTGCTACAGGCCATGCTGGCCATTCAGTGTACTTTAGAATAAATTAACCTGGTCTATAGTGTTGTCTGTCATTTATCATACTTGAGCTTATTATTAGACCTGGCCGACATGTCTATGGCCCACATAGAGGGATGGCGGCCAGGATGTTATAAATCTAAAGGTGGTTCGGCCAGCATGGGTTTTACATAGGCTACAGACCAGACAGGCCATTCAGTGTACTTTAGAATAAGGTACTCTGGTGTATAGTGTTGTCTATCATGTATAATACTTGAGCTTACAAGAAAATCATTAAGGCTGGCCAACATGCCTTTGTGCCATGTAGAAGGTTGGCAGCCAAGGTGTGATATCTTCTCAAGCAGATATGGCCAGCATGGTGTTTACATAGGCTACAGGCAAGACTGGCCATACAAGGTACCATAGAATAGACTACCTTATTTAGTGTAGAAAATTATTAGACCTGGCCGACATGTCTATGGCCCACGTAGAGGGATGGTGGCCGGGATATTATACATCTAAAGGTGCTCGGCCAGCATCGTGTTTACATAGGCTACAGACAAGGCTGGCCATACCATAGAATAGACAACCTTCAGCTTATAAGAAAATCATTAAGGCTGGCCGACTTGCCCTTGGGCCATGTAGAAGGATGGTGGCCACAGTGTAATATCTTCTCAAGCTGGCCAGCCCTAATAATTTTCTTGTACACTAAAACATTTATTCAACAGACCTGGCCACCATCCATCTACATGGCTCATGGGCAAACTGGCCAGGTAAGTTTATTCTATAGTACATGAAATGGCCTGTCTGGTCTGTAGCCTATGTAAAACCCATGCTGGCCGTGCCACCTTTAGATTTATAACAGCCCGGCCGCCATCCCTCTACGTGGGCCATAGACATGTCGGCCAGGTCTAATAATTATCTACATTGAATGGCCAGCCATGCTCTTAGGCCACATAGCCAACGTGCTGGCCGGGTCAGCTTATAACATCCTGCCCACCATCCCTCTATGTGGGCAATAGGCATGTTGGCCAGGCCCAATAATTTTTTATACACCACACAGCGGCCGTCATTGCTCCACATGGCCCCACAGACAAGCTGGCCAGATTTGTTAATTCTAGCATATATTGGTAGTCTACATATATGACTAGTCCTTAAGTCCTGGCCATTAGCCTTCTATGTCACCTCAGGACATACAGGCCGAGCATTATCTATAGTCATAGGTAGATATGTAGATTAGCAAATCCACATATTACATATGTAAGTAGGATATTGACTGAATGGCCACCCTAATATCACCCTCTGTAAATGTTAGGCTGGCCCAAACATTATCCAATAAGCTCATCCTGTACTAATATACTATACAATCTGGCCAGCACAGGTTCTGCATATCGTATAGTGATTGCAATATGCTTGTGAATGCTATTACTAGAATTCCTAGACAGACTGGCCAGCACTGATCCTATGTCTACCGGCCGGTGACTGGCTGGCATGGATTCTACAGCCTTTTTGCATGTCCGGAGCCAGGGTTCTACGTTGGAAATGACTGAAGGGTCTGGTGTGACCTCGTCCGATCCTATGCAATTTCTGACCTCACAGTGAGTCTTTCCTTTCATCAGTCTTTTTCCGATGCTAAGTATAATGTTACAGGCAGACTCCCGACCTCAAATCCTTCAAGAGTGTTTGAAATGCAAATCAGATTTGGAGATACCAGATGATTCCCTCCCTCCCAGTCTCAAGTGGCGTACCCGCGCCCGACCCTATGCAATTTCTGAACTCGCAGTGAGTTTTCCTGACATCAGTCTTCTTCTGATGCTAAGTATTATTTTGTTACAGGCAGGCTCCCGACCTCAAATCTTCCAAGAGCGTTTGAAACACAAATCAGACTTGGAAACACCAGATGATTCCCTCCCTCCCAGTCTCAAGCAGCGTACCTGCGCCCAATCCTATGCGATTTCTGACTTCACAGTGAATCTTTCCTTTCATCAGTCCTCCACCCGTGTTTTATTTTGTCATCAGGCCCAGCCAGTATCCGCAGTGTACTACCACGGCACAGACCGTGCCTCTTCACACATAAGCCAGCCTTATCATTGTAAAAGAAAATTCATTAATTTTGCCTTAGGTCGCCATTCCAGCTGACTTCGCTGGATGCGGCATACTGACTTCATATTGGCCCTTTCCAAATGAGCTGATATTGATGATCTTCAAACAGCTGCCTGTGGCAGACCTGAGGACAGTCACACAAGTCTGCCGCCTGTCAAGGGACATCGCTGCATCCCTATATTTTCATTCTATGGGCTTCCATATTGAGCAGACGTGGCTGCGAGTCAATGCCCAAGGCTGCCTAGCCCTTTTGTTGTATACGTGGACAGCTTTCTTCCGCATTCCTCAGGTTCTCCGATGTGATTTCCTTGATATTAGTGACCATAACTTGACAGCCCTCAAGGTTTTCTTGGAGGCGTTGAGAGGTAGTAAGCCAATCTCATTGGTTATATGCTTTGACGTGCCCCCGGGAGTTGATCTTGGGTCTCTGTTACAACTCATCAAGGAGCTAGGTTGCTCTAGTTTTCGGTATTCAAGTACCGATGCAGAGCACCCTCGTACAATGGTACCCAATCCTGTTCTCCATTTAGATCCAAGCGAAGGATGCAATCTCCGGAGTTTGTCAATAGACTTGCCCACATTTTTCTCTTCAAGTGTCGCCCAGCTCACTCTGGCAACCTTGCATGATTCCCCAATCACTGATCTTTCACTCACTCATGTAGCCTTGAGCAGCATCCAGTGGGCCACACTGCTGAGAAATGTCCACCTTCCATTACTTCATATGTTCAGCATCGACATTGAGTGTCCCCCTGCTGCTTTAGGTGATTTTCTGGCATGGCATTTGACTATTGGTCAAGTCTGGATTACGCCTGGACATACTCCTACCCTCGTTACCAATGACTCCTCACAGCATGTCATTCCTGATTACCGCCTGCAAAATTTGGGCGTTCTTGAGGGTCCACCTTGGTACCTGCTTGCCCTTCTAGCCAAAGTTCACCCAGCACACTCTATCCGACACCTGAGCATGCGGTTTGAGGAAGATTCGACTTTGTTCAATCCTAATTACCTGTCCGTCATTCTGGACATTACGCAACACTTTACCACCATCCAGGAGCTGCAGTTGAGCTTTTATGGCACTGCTCATTCTGCTGAGCACTTTGAGGTCCTGGATAACGAATGCCACACTGTGCCTGCAAAGAATTTAGCGATTTCTACGCATTGCGAGGATGATATCTTTGTGAGTTTTCCTTCATACCAAGCATCATTAGTACTTATCACCATGTAAGCTTCACTGTCATCCTTGGCTTGACACCACCTTTCAGGAGCTGCAAAATGTCGAGCTTCAGACTAGAAACACTCTATCTGAGAAGCTGAAGGTGGCATTTTCTTGTCCGGACAATTTTACATTAAAGATCTGCGGTCATTGATTTTCATTATCCTATCATATAGGAGCACAGATACAGACAGAAGAGTCACGTGAACTGGTTCCGCAGAACCAAACATTTTGTGCATACATGTTAGATGTTAGATACCACTGGTTATATATTACTTGCACCTCTTCATCGTATTCCTCAAAATTTGTAGTAGACAACCACTGGTCATTACTCCAATTGTTCTTTCCCACAACCCCATTTATGTCAAATCATACATGGGAATGTCCACAGTTCCAAAATGGGATTCACTACAGAATGGTTCATCTTCAGTCTAACACTTCTTCTTTTCTCCTTCACCACTCTCTACTTGCCCTATGTACTTGACAATCGCAGAACAAAATTATAATCAATGTCAAAACGAGCTTCGATGTCTGGAATCGATTCTGACAGGCTCATAAAACGGGCTCAAGTGAGTCAAGATATCATTATCTGTCCGAGTCCATGCAGCTAACTTATGTTGAAGGTGTATCTCGACCTCAACACTGAATCTAGCAATGATCAGGATGACATGGAAGGTGAGTCATTTTGTCATTAATAAATATTTATGTCTCACATCTCCTTACTAGACGAGTCATTCCTTGCATCTGATCATGATCCTGACGATCATCTTCGCGTACCAACACCATTGCAGGATGAGGCTGCATGGAACATTTTGGAGGACTATCTCACCACTGACATGACCTTCCCTCAAATGGAGGTGAAGCTTACAGTCACACCTGGGGGGATTGGTATGTTGGACAAGATTGGGCGGAGGCAAGGAATGCATTGTTCTCAGCCGATGAAGACACTGGTATCAGCCTTAGACAATCTTCACGCCATCAAGGCTCAGCACATGTCATCACTTGCAAGAGTCATGGGGCCCTCGAGTAGTTCAGCAGCTCTGCCCTGGACATGCTTGGATGGACAAGATGGACATCCTTGGTGAAAAATTCACCCCAGGCCACGATCCGCCGCAACGAGTTCTTTCGTCAAAAGACTACACATACAACATAATAAACCAGTTTATTGGTGGTGAAATCACCTCTAGCTATGCAGTACGACCTGTTTGGAGGTAGAGTTTAGTGATGACCCAAAGTCATATGCTCATTGGGAATCTGTGTTGGACTGACATCACAGAAGCCGGCTCTCCCAATGAAAAACGCGAAGTATTTTGGAAGCAGATATCTGATGCACCAGTTCAATCCACGCCAAACACTGTGCTTTTAGAGGACTCTGATGGAGGAGTAGTTGACCAAACAATGTCAATTGTGCAGAGCACTAGGTTGGTGCCAACGTCTGCCCTCCCAACATGGCTGATCACTGTTCCATGTGAGTATAACTTCAGAACATACCATATCACCATCTAAACTGAATTACAGCCTCAAAAACATCTTATTTGGCAACACATTTAAAAACCAAGGGGTTCCAGGTTTACATGCATTCAACCCTTCCAGGCTGCTTGTGTGTCAAGGCCGAAAACACTTTGATCATCAGAGAAGCTTGGCCTTCCTCACATGTTAACTGTTCTTTCGATGTTGTCTTTCTCCCCACAGCAGCAGATTGATCCAGCAGTCCCAACATAACAATTCCTGGCTGGTATCGTCCCACCCATGGGCGTTATTGGTCCGACGTGGGATATGGACATTCTTATGATCCTGAATCCAATACCATCACACTACTAGTTCCCTCAAGGTCACTCCACGTCCCGAAGAGCGATATTGGTCAGGACCCTTGTACGCCATGCCTATTCAACTCTCCCGGTGGCAAGATCATCTATAAGGATGGCAGATACACTTACATCCATGGTCTTCTGTCGTTGAAACTTGCCAGGACCGCAGTTGTTGAGATCGCCATTCCCACCCCACAGGACATTGTGATTCACAGGGAGTCGGGTTGCAATCCTGCATTGGTGCAATCCACTTTGCATGCATATGCTGCACAGCACTGGATGCAAGATGACTTGGTACAAATTACAGCAGGGGAGCTATGTAATTGCCTGGGGAAGATTCTCTGTGTCGACATGGCAACTTGTTCAACATTGATTTACATGGAAGAATTACTTCATGTAGGAAAGGTCTCTTCGACACCGCTCATGTTTCCCATCACCAATCTGGAGAGGAAATTCCGTGTGGGAGACAATGTTCATATGCTCGCAGATAGCATAGAGGCCGTGAACCACAAAGGAAAAATGGGAATGGTTGTTGAAGTTGGCATCAAAGGTAACTCCATTGTGGTATATGGTCACACCTCCCAGTCTCAAGCAAGTGATTTTATTTATTTTGTATTATATCACTGACACTGTTTTCAACAGTTCACTATCAGAACTTATTGCTTGGCAACATACATTACTGAATCCAGAAATTTGAACCCGGGTGACACATCAGTTTGCCACCATGACAATCCTATGAGAGGTGACTATGTCGTTGTAGTCGACAGAGTCTATTGTCTTCAATTCGGGGAGGTAACTGAGGTTGATTTAGTGATGCAGTCACTCACATTCCTTTCAAGCGAGCTGGGGATGCTGTCGGTTCCAATGAGGCAAACAGCATTTAATCCCAATCCAACAGCCCTTCAATATACTAATGAGCGTGGATATGATGTTGTAGCTGGAGATACTGTTCGAGTCATTAGAGGTGAACAACTCCACCTATCGGGCACGGTACGGCACATGAATTTGGAAACAAAAATGTTAACCTTCCAAGTCACGCCTTACACAAAGGTTTGTCTCCATAAATTTTATTGATTCACTTTGAATGGTATGGAGTATAGGTCACTACGTCAATCACATATGTCGCAAGAATTGGCAGATGGAGTGATCGAGATCTGATGCAGAGCATTGTCAGTCAAGAGGTTTTTGTCATCCGTGGTCCTATGAAATCCTACAGAGGCACTCTGCACTTGCTCTCCCAGGACACATGTGTAGTGGCAGTTGTTCAAAATTCAAGAAGGGTTTTCCGCCGAGAACATGTGGTCAGGTGAGAGAACTGTTTCTCCTGTTCTGTTTGATACTGACCCACATCCAGCCGGACAGGAATTCTCCTTAACAGTGTTCATTTGCCTCTGAATCTGCACACTGATTTCAACAATTTAATTCGAGCATCATTTATCCGAGCCCCGCATGTCGAGCCCCCTCAAACTCTCCATCCCTCACCTCCCCCTGTTGTTTTGTGCTCTGACCAGCCTGCTGATCCTGTCATCGAATCATCCTGGGATGCACATGCTGAGTCAGTCTTGCATCACTTGAGCAGCGAGTGTACTGGAACTGGTGAGATTCTTCACACATTGTTTACCTCATCTCACTCCACGAAGCCCCTAAGGACTGCTGGACCATTGATGAAGAGGACTTGACAGAACTCCAAATGATTCCTCCCAGTGGGGGTTTATCAACAAGTCCTGGTATGGTAACATATTATTTTATTTTTTCCTGTTCTCACATTAGATCACAGCAGACAGCCTTGTTGTAGCTTTACACAATCCCCACTTAGTTAAGTTGTTTTTTGATTGGCATATGAAGTTCAGGATAGTAAAGACACACACTGCTGTGTGGTACTCATCATATATTGATTGCCTTGTTGACACGCTCGTCCCAAATCCATTTGTATCTCCTCAAGGACTAGTCAAAGATGGAGACATTGCCATCAGGTATTCCTCCCGAACGAGTAACAAGGGGATGAAAGTGGACACAATTCCGGTAGAAGTTCTTGCTCCAGAACCATCAAACGGGATCAAACAAGCTATTCACTTTGATACAAGGCAATCATGCTGGGACTATCTTTACAACGAGGTCTGCTCTGAAAAAATAAATGGAGGTAATCATGACGGAGGGGAAGAGATTTGCTCGTGCTGACACATGTATAATTATCAAAAGGGATGCATGGCATATAGCTTACAATACTATTATACCTACACGCTACACACTATGATATAGGGTGCAACCCATTCTGCATGATTTTGTGAGACGGACATACAAATATTCTACACCCGCTGAGTACCGCCATGTTAGCCACTTAGTATAACCAAAGACACTTTCGGATATCCCCGTCTGAGTTCTAATTTCCCATTCACTACTTAGAGCTCAAAACCTTATAATTTTAATTTCTCCTTTCCTTTCAACTATATTCACTATCATGCAGTTGATCGATGTCAATGAGTACTCAAGCATACAAGTGGGTCTAGTGGGCCCTTCATTACACCAGTACATGTACATTTATTAGTATAGTCGCTGTGTAGTTGCTGGCACTCACTGTTTGGAAATATCCGATGGATTCCCATTCACTACATGACCCTCTTGATTCTAATGTTTGAACTCTTTCCTCCCATCATACACGCCATCCCTTGCACTGTACATACTGTATTTCCACGTATACCACGACCTTGATACCCACTCTACTTCTCCCTGCTGGTTCTTTCCCCGCAGAGCCAAGCACACCTCAGAACCCCAATCAAACATTACCTGCACTGCCCACCGTACAGGAATCTGAGCTCCTCGACACCCCTGTCAAGCGAGGCTGCTCCACTATGTTAACTCACACGACCAATGCACGTCATCGGATTCCAACCATCAATGCTATGGGCAAGGAGATGCAAGGTTTCCTTGTTGGTCCGATGGACGCTGAGGATTTTCTCCAGGAGTTCCTACCGGTTACCAAGATTCCAGACAACACCTTCACTTCTGGCGCATTTGATACCACAATATCTGCTAAAGACAAAGTGCAGGCTTATGAACCATTTCTGGTTGCTTTCTGATTGCTTTTTATATGAATACACTCCGACTCTGACATGCAGATCAACACCATGAAAACTTTTGCACCTGGTCTAACATTTCTTGACTCTCACCTCAATGCAGACACTGAATAATTGCAAGAAATTCCCTTTCCAAGTCAAGCCGGATGTCTGCAGTATACTCTGATGGAACATCGGCAGGATGCAATATGGCAAGCGCTGAAGTCATTGTTGAATTCAAGTGGTCTCGAAATCACTGACACATTTTGTCAATGCAACAACGGAACATCCTTTTTATCTCAGACCGAGAAGGGCATAGGACACCTTGGGGCAAATTACAAGTTATACAGCAGCTCAACTTACCGCTCAATACCATACACACAGCATTCTCTGTTTTGATTATACAAGATCAAGCACAGTATCATTAGATGGGACAGTGAGGGCGCTGTTGTCACCTCTCCTATATATTATACCAGAGAGCCACACCTAGCCAGTTTTTTTTATTGTTACGCAAAAGCATCTCCTGAATTGCATGGAGTTGATACTTCTGTAAATCCGACACTTGTTATAAAGTTTCCGACCTATTATTGTGAAGTCCGAAAGTCCGAAATCTTGGACATCGCACTTTGGCTTCAGACATTGGATAAGTACCTTCGGACATCATCGGATTACTTTCGGACATCGTTTCGCACCATCAGACATTCAGTTCTTTGCATTACTGACACACTTTTACTACTAATACCAATTAGCAATCCCTTTAGGATCGAACGCACTTGCTCTGCAAGTATAGCAGCATAGGTCGTGCTAAGATCTACCTAAACATTGTTGACTAGGTAGTACAATTTCTGCTGAGCCCAGCAGAGATTTACTCTTTATACTGTGGTATGCACACATGTCCTGCATATGATCCTGACAAAGACAGGATCATCATGTTTAAGGACTCTTGGCAGGTGTCATTGCCCCATATCCTACCAGAAGGAGAAACCTACAAACAATTGAAGGAAGCCAACATCAGTCAATGTCGCAATGTGTATTGTATGCCACAATGTACCCTCCATTCCTCAACAACTCCCGCAGAGCGTCAAATTTTCAAGCGCTGACTGGGCCTGTCCCCACTCCACACTCACTCCACACCACCATTACCGCCTTGTTCTCGATGTTGTAGGCAAGGCATTGACAAACTTTCCAAGGTCTCACCGGCTTGTTGAAGCGGTTTGGGATGCACTGCTTGGTATGTACTTTGCAGCCCAATATGACATACTCATTTTAATCAAACTGCAGCCCACAAGGATGCATATGAAAAAGCAGGTGTATTACACAGAGACCTCAGTATTGGCAATATTGTCATGTTCCGTGGCAAGGGCATTCTAATTGATTGGGACTTAGCCAAGTCAGTCTCTACAAAGGGTCCTTGACAATCAACCCGCATGGTATGCTCTTGCCATTCCCAAGTCATACATTTTACTAATTTCCGCCTTACTAAGGGGACCTGGCAGTTCATGTCAGCCTACTTGGTTCAAAACCAAAATGCCCCACATGTCGTCGAGGACGACCTTGAGTCCAGTCTCTACATGTTGTCCTGTGGGCAGCAGTTAAAGTATTCAAGGACCCACATGACTGACACCCGGCGGACACTTCTCTTCAAGGAGATCTTTGAAACCGAGGAGGTGGAGAAAACCGAATCCTCTATGAAACAGCATTTTCTCATCGGGAGAACTGATCTTGCTCGTAGTCCTGTGTTTATCAACTACAAACTGCTCGATGACCTTATCGTCGCACTTGCTGAGCTCTTTTTGCATCGGTACTCTGTAGTCTCCCTTGTATCATGGAAGGCATATGAGCTGTATCAACAAAAAAATGTAGCATCACTCAGTCCTGATACAAATCTGCTTGTAAAACTCAATCCTGCAAACATGAAGATGGAGGGTATGCAGGGTCTGAAGTCACACGACCACGTTATATCCATTTACAACCATCACCTTGGGTTAGATGGTTGGCCGTCTGATGACAAGGCCATTGAGCAAGTTCTTCTTAATAAGAAGAATTTGCCACTGCAAATCTACACGAAGTTGGAAACACAGGTATCCTTACGAGCAGCAACCACCCCGACAGGAAAGAGATGCAGGCTCAATTCAAGTACCAGTGACAATTTTCCTACAGACACTCTTATATCCAAAGAGGACCATCCGGCTCCTCTGAACACTGTTCCAGCCATTGAAGGTCAGCTCAGCTTGATGACTGACTTTAATCATTTGATGTCACTTAACTGACAATTGCATTATGATACTCTTTGGGCATCTGCATGTTACAATTTTGTCTTTTGTATGTGCATTCTAATGTACAAATAATATCTCTTATGTCGCGCTCTGATGTGTGTGTAATCTACTGTTTACACCCCCCATGGACGACGAGTCTGTTTAAGTAATCTAACAAAATGATAGCCAACATGGTTGCAAGGCTTAATAAAGTGACAGCCAATGTGATCGCTGTTGCTTGAGCCAGCAGGGAATATGGCTGTGGCAATATGTAACCACTAGCATTGGAGGAGTGAACCTAACAACTAACCTTTCTTAAAGTAAAAGACTCTTGCAGTTTACTAGATTGCTGTTTTTGAAGGATTTGACGTGAACCCAAGGATGAATGTTTCTGTGTATATTTGAGTGAGTGCTAACACTTGAATCAAAGGAATGCCTCACGCAATGTGGAGTCATTTGTGATTTTGCAGCGAGACAGTAAGATAAGTGAGTCGGTACGCCTTGGTTTAAGTCATCTACATTAGGGGCCTTTGGAGTCAATACAATAAAAGCTTGTGTTGGTTACAATACATTGTATTCTATATTATCTACTATTCATACTTAATGAAACTAGATTCAAAGTGTGATTAAAGTGATATAGCTGTGGCCGAAGCAGGGAAGCTACCGCCACCCGGTGGAGTCTGAATATTCCCATTCACTACTTATGCACCAAAACTATGTTAACACTTCTCTTCTACTTCTATTGCATGACGACGAGTTTCTGTATGAGTAGCTTTAATTTATGTAGTTTGGACTATGAGTCTATGAAACTTCAAATACTTTTGTTTGGGCCCAACTCAAATGGGCTCCTTGTGGTGTTCTGGATGCTAAGCAACAGACAACAGACTGTTGTAAGTAAAGGTCCTATATAGAATGCTAATATGCTACACTGAATATATGTAGCGATCACGCAAACTCCTTTACCCCCCCCATCCAATTGTTTGTCTCTTGGTGTCATGCCCAAAGTGTTGTGCCTACATGGAAATATTATTGTCACTTCAAGCAGCTCACCTTGCACTGTGAGTTTCCCCCTGACGCACCTGTACCCCTCCACCTTTGACACAACACAGGTATTTCCCCATGATGCAGACTTGTCAGCACTTGACTTCGCACAAAACAATCCATCTGCGGCTCAGTCACCTGTACCAAACCTTCTGCCATCAAAAATTCTGAAACCACAAGGAGAGGTCACCCGTATCAGTCGGGGAGGGTACAATCTACAGGTGACGCTAGGCTGGCCTGTTGCAGATTACGAGGAAACTCGGGTGAGTGTCTATGCCTCATGACGTTTATCTACTTATTTTATTTTATTTTACCAAAAGTCTTTTGTTGTACACCTTGCCCATCAACATCTCAATGTAAACAAGTCATGGAAGAAGCAAAATCAATTGTATTTGGATGTAGTTTAATTCAGAGGTAGGTCTCAATTGGTCGTGTCTACAGTATTCATCTCACTAAACTCCATTAGGCCATAAAACATTATTCCATCCTTGATTGTTACCATGATAATTGGGTTGTTGGCGATATGCTCCGTATGTTCTGAAAAATAGTTTAATCGCGATTCTTAGGCATGTCCCCAGTGTATGTAGATCTATGAAAACAATCACAATAGCTAGTTAACCAATTTCAGTCACAGGCAATTTGATCGGCCCAATGCACAATAAAGTCAAGTCAATTAATATGCCACTATGGTAAGCCGATTAATTACTGTTACTGATCAACTTCATATGACACAACAGCACTCGGCCGCCCCCACAGAGGTATTGGTTTGTCAAGTGATTTTATGTATTTAACTAGGTAGTTTGTCTATTGTCATCTATGATATCAACTGATGTCTTCTCCTAACAGCAATTCTTCCTTGCCTCCCCTTGGGGAAGCTCCAGAATCTCGGCCTGGCAGCAAACTTGTAACTGTGCTAAAAAAGATAGGTGTCGTGATGTGGAAGTGCATATTCCAAGTCAAATCATGACCTCATCCACATACCTACATTTATCTTCAGTTTCACAACACGTGGCTCATTGTTGACTCAAGCTCCACTGTTGCCCAAAACCGAGATCATCTGAGAGGCCTACTGAAGGTACACTGACCTACAAACCTTACATTGCATTTCGTGGACATCCTGCAAATGTGGCGCCTCATGTCCTAGTACCACACATCCCTGCATCTAATCCCACATCCCAAATCGCTATCTCAACTCCTGCAGAGACACCGTTCCAGTTCTCTAACCCTGGGTCTGCTCCCATACTTCATTCTGGACCCCCTATCCCTATATCAACTCCACCTCCTGTCGCCACTACCCCCATTACTCCAACTTGGTGTCTCTCTTGTAATTCTGTCCTGAGCCCGTCTCAATTACCATTTGAGACACTTGAACTTGGGCGCATAAATTGTAGGGGTCATTAGACATTGACCCAGTCTGATGCAGCGCCCTCCCACAGGGAAAATAGTCGTTCAAGGAGTCCCGACATCTCTCATCGCACTTCATATCATTCAAGAAATCCCAGTGTGTCAGGTTGTACAACTTCATATGCAGGTCAGTGTGAATGTTTATCCTTTAATTTTCACTCTAACAATCTTGTTACAGATACCAGGCAGCCCATATTTTCCATGCCTCTGTTGAACGGTGTGAAAGACATCACGATGGGCTTTTACCCAGATCCTGCAACTCGAATTACAGATGCGAGTACAAGGGACTCCTCTCCAACCCAATCACGAGCTACCAGTCCCCCAACTCACATAATGAATACGAGTGCAAATCTGATCCTTACTTCCAGCCCCATGGTCCCCCAAATTCATACTCCCATACCTGTAAAACCTTTGCCCCTGCCTGCTAGTACCATAGAAGATCGGCTCAATCAGCTTGTTGCCCAGCGTTTTCTCAAATTGTCTCAAAATGTGTTGATGCCGGCTCTGAAAAATGCTGTTGATGCCTTGGTCCCTTCGATTATCAAACAGTTGACAGACAGGTTATCCAATGGTCTGAAAGCCTCTATTCATCCCCAGCCTTCTACTTGTAAGGCAGACATTCTGTCAGACACACAATCAAGTGATGACGAGGATGGTTTGAAACCTCACCTTCGCTGCAAGTGCCCTGGCAAGCGAGGCTCAAAGAATCATTTACATGTACATTTTTTTCATTTCAGAATTAACTCAAGCTAATTAGTCACTTAGGTTGCATTCCACACCTATCTGCAAGAGAAGGGGCTCCTAAAAGGCAAAAACAATTTGCTGCCCAAATCTCCTCCAACAGAAACTGTTCAAGCCTTCAACAAGGACAACAATGGTTGTCCCACCTTGGGCAACCTCTCCATTGATTGGAGTGACTCACTGAAGAAATCGCCTTGGAACACAGAAGCAGTAAACCTCCTGGCTGTTGATTTTCAAATGAAGGTAAAAACCGGCATATACTCTAAAGTGGTGTTCAATGACAAAACCATGAACCTCGACGATCTGCGCCTATTGTGCATCAATAAACTACAGCCGCACTCAAACAGTGTATTGACAGCACTGCACAGCTCAGTACAGTTTTCTAATCATGAAGACATGAACCATGCCTCCCATGAAATGTCAGCACTGAAATGAGCAAAGGCAACACCTAGATAGGTCTAATACTCAAAAACATGGGGTAGGTTCAGTTCCCATCATAGTATCTAACCACTTAATTTTTTTGTAGACACTCCATGGACATTGAAAAATAGTAGAACAAAATCGCCATTGGAATCCTGAAACTTGGGACACGATCATGCGTGTCATTGAGCAGTTAAATATTGATGGTATGAGTGGGGATGAAACCAACACCCCACCTGGTGTGATACCGAAGGTTACAAGGTGAGTTGGCCTTCCTTGGCTCAGTCCTGACATTACTCAGTTATTACATGCCATGGAGTCCTTCACTGCCAGCTACTTACAAAGAAAATATGACCGTCCCTATCAGGAACTCATCCCTTCCATGCATCTTGGAGCAGAAACACACAGCCCACAATTCCATTGTGATTCAGAAGCTTCCGCACAACTGGTATGATGATAACTGGTATAAAGCCAATTCAAGTAGTGCTCGTGCATTCCTGGGTGTTTGCAAGCCATTTAACATCCCACATTTGGAGCCCTATCATTCTCGCTCATCATAACTCATATTGTAAAATTGACACATTCTATATTTATATTGGTTACGTCAATTTGGACATCATCGTCTACTTTGCCTCCAACAAATTGAGTGAACCTCTCAGTGGGGCACTCCAAGGGCCACTCATACATATGTTTGACATATCTACAAATTGTAAACAAATATGCAGCATTGACAGATAATGACAATTTTCTCAATTTGTTTTTGGGCTCACCAGTTGGGCAGACATTAAATTTGACATGCGACTTGATTCTCCAAATGGCCTTGGAAATGCCACATGAAATATGCAAGAACAATTGTAACCTCAAGAGTGTCTTAATATTTGTAACTAAATTTTGGAAATTAAGTCAATATGGAAGGTATGCAGATAACAAAACAAATTCTCCCTGCACGTGCCAAACTCACTCTGAATTTAATCAATTGGTAACGCTGCTTGCGCGGCAAGTCCCCGACTCCGTTTGCCGAACAATCCTAACTATCATGAAGCCTATTACATTCGAGCTCTCCTTTACCAACATTCATGGCACTTTACACTTTCTATGCTCTCACTATTATTTCATGCCCAGAATGTTGACTCTGACATACACCTGTTTCAACCAGTTCAGCCATCATCTTCCAGCGGTCATGTGTTAATATGTACTGCTTAATAATCCTGCTTATCCATGGGATGTCGTCTTCCTCACAATCCATCAAGTCGTTCCTCTTTCACCGGGTATGTTTCATCACCAAAACATTACCTATAACATCATTTGCATTGGATGTGATCCCACCTATTCTGCGGATCAGCACATTTGGTGGACTGTATATCAAAGGATGCTTGCAGAAGAAGGTGTATCCTGGGGGTGTCACCCTGTCAGCCATATGTGTGATCACATTATATGTTTTTCGGCAGCGACCTGTTGAGGATATGAGGTTGTCTGGCCCGTGCTGATCTACCCAGTGTGTCACCTCCAATTGGGAGATATCAACCAGACTGTCCACCCCATCTCGCAGTGGGACTGATACCAGGTGTGGTTTTTCCGCCCTTGTCACATATAGCATGCCTTGCAAAATGGCTTGATAGTCCTGTTCTCGTCGTATGTTAAATGAAACTTTGTTTTTAAATTCAGTCGCTCACTCACCGGCCAGTGCTGTGTGATCCATGCCTCCTGCACCTGTATCTCTGACACGATCAATGGCGCAGGCTGTGGTGGTAGGTCGCACAGCTCGTGAGTTGTTGTTTGGGTTGTAAGCACAGAGCGAATTCTGACAATGCACCAGCCAGACACCAAACAGTCTGGGAACATTTGATGAGTGATCTTATGGCGAACCTGTCATCCCATTCCAACAGCAACATTTTCTCTTCATCGTCCAATACATTGCGCCAGAGGGTAGGGCACGCCCTCCCACATTCTTTTCCCAGGAACTCCGTCGTTCTTTCGACTCTGAAATCATCAGTCGTCATACAACCTACGTTTGTCGGCTCATGTGTGCCTCTCCTTCCATCCGCTTCTTTGGTGACAACATGCCCATTCATCAGTGTTATCCCTTTCAAAGTCCAGAGTGGGTGTAGCACCAGCCAAGCCACCAGGTGTCATGACTGCCATGTCCGCTGTTGAGGGCGAGGATGCCACGACTGTTGAACAAACTCTCCCCCTTTGCCTCAGACACCGTAACTAACCAAGAACCTTTTCGAGACTTTGCGAAGCTCTTCACCACCTTTTCAAAAGCATGGTGAGGCCTGGTCCCCTCATCTATTCTTTCGTATCACACTTCACCGGCGAGGAAAGAGTAGAGAACCTCTGCTGACCCAGAGGGAGTAATGAGGTTGAGGTCTTTTGCTGTCGATCCATGACCGCTGAGCATGTGCCTAGCACAAGATCCAGGTGATCAATGATGAGGTGATGTGCAATAAATGGCGCATCTCAGCAAAATGTGCCCCAAAAAAAGGCTCGACGATCTTCTCGAAACACTGATTTGCCATTGCCACTCCTACTTCATGCATATCCCCCCCACCTCCCAAACACACCACGAGGTCGGGCATGCAGTCCAAGTACTGGCCCATTAAGTGCACCAATGAACGAGTACGCAACACTGCCATTCCATGTCAAAAGACTATATTCACCATAACTGCTCTACTTACAGGCTCCACTTCTGTCCCTCATCATGGTTTGCATTGACTTCCGATATGAATTTGATAGCTCTTCGTATCTCGTTGTTCTGATGTGGCCTCCAGCTTTCCGACAAAGGACACAATGTCATGTGAGACACCGCCTCAATCGAGCGATCACACATTTCCCACAAGTGCGTCGACCCATGCCTTTATGTGTCGACATACACTGACTACCTTAGGTATCATACAACATTCATGTCACACCAAGGCCCTGAGTATTGTCCAAACTTGCCAGTACTGGTATCGCAAATATGCATGCCCTCTATGACACTTATGTAATAGCTCCTTCATAGCCTATTTGTAATGTAACATACCATAGTGCACCCCAAACCCAATTCACAATGAATCATGTCTTACACATGGGTTGAGCACAAGCAGGATCAAGTTTGATTTACAAAGTTACAAGAGCTAGGATATTCAGAATATGCTCAGATACATTATCAGAAGTTACTTGAGAGACTAATCATCTTCTGCCAACCGCTCACCCGATGGTCACCTTCTGGCTCTTCTTGGCAGGTCCTCCATTGTTGGCCACACCATCTGCCTTACACTTTCCTCTGGCATTCAGACTCTCGCCAGATCCTTTAGCCAATGTTGTGATTGGCTCCCTGCCATTGGGAAGCAACTTCAAGGACTTCAGTGTCGTCTGATAGATCCTGAAGCCTTTCTCGTGCTTCCCATCTGGCGCGAAGGTCCACCTGTCATATGTTCAGTCTTGCTACACCCTGTTTTCAAACACATGCTTACAGTCGCATGACCACTTCAGCCACCACAGGCATGGCCCTTGTGAATATCTTGCTGTACTCTGCAGGGTGGATGAGTGCACCATCAGTGTCTCACACATTCAGCACCACCACTGGCACCCTTTCCAACTGGAAAAGATCCATCACAGTGTGGTAGTGCCCGTGAGGGTCAGGCATGTCTTTCATTTTCCAGTCATGCACGCCTGTTGATGCATCAACTCAGGTCACACGCTGTCGGATGGATAATTACCTAGAGTCTCTTCAGGTCCATGTTGTTTGACCTCAGCCTTCTTCCCCGAGAACTTTTGCTTCAGGATGTCTGGATTAAGATGCTATGTGATCAATAGGTCAAGATAAAACAACTTTCTATCTTACCAGGTGGAGAACTGTCAATTCAGTGTCTGCGCACCATTGTAGTATGAGCATCATTGACATCCTTAGCTGCAGAATACACTTACTCTCGAAGTCCTCAAGGGAGAACTCGGGGACGACCTCACATTTCGCCTCTGCGGCCTCAGGGAGCAAAGGTTCACTATGCACGACAAAGCACAATGGATCTGCGCCAGAGTTCCCTGCATTTCAGAGGAACTGGATGATCTCGCGGTTGTCTACCTCCAATTGTCAGTGGGTGCATAGTAACTGAGATAACTGCTCTCACCTTTACCTCGGGCAGCCTCACATTTGCTCATGAGAAGCATGAGTGTGTTTGCTGCCTGGTCAGCTCAATCATGGCAGGAAACTGGATGGTGAAAGGATCACCTTCAGTATTGTACCGCTGCTCACTGTGAATCTTGGGATCCCAGAACTGAGGGTTGTTACCGGCAGCTAGTGCCCCCAAACGGCCAGTGCTAGCAGAGTTAGGTGCAGTAGATGCAGCCAAGACAGCCTCCACGAGCACAGGAGACAGAGAAAAGTCCTCAGAGTGCGAAGTGCCAATCGAGACCATTTTGCTAAGCAAGTATGTCAATGGAGGGTGGAGGGAAACAGCAAACTGATTTACTGTTCATGTCTCTCCCTTTATGAAGCCGCGAGCAAGACCATGCCAACACCATCCCCGCTCACACGGACTTTCATGAAACATGCCAAGGTCGATCAGTTCTCAGCCTGAAACTCAAGTGGTGTCGAAAACACTCTTTGTTGTTGTTGTCAAGTGACAAATTTCTGTGTGTGGGTTTCATTGTGAGACAGAATGTCAAAGATTTCAGAATGCGATCACTGTGACACATGTCCTATTCAACGAATACGCATAAACTAGTAAATCATTTTTTGAGCCAGATGCACAATACTTTTGTGATTGACTGAAGTATTCACAAACACAGACTAATTCAACCCACTGACTTCGGCAATCGTCTTTGGGCGACGTCCTCTACCGCCCCATGCACTGTTATGAAACTCAGTCAGGTGCCCTCTTGAAAGACAGATTGGCTTACCTGCAGATGAGGAAATTAATGGTTGGTGCATCTTGTAGCATGACAGGCAAGAACCCTCGTGATTTGCCTCGCTTTTGCTTCACAACAAGCAGGTTACCTGTCAGCTCCCTTTGAAACCCGCATGACCTTGCCAATCTCTGTAGCATTTTGTTGTTGGGCCACCCATATTCCGGATCTTCGAAGTAAAATGTGTACTGTGCATTCAATTCAAGGCCGGAGCATGGCACAGAAAGGAAGGTATGACGCAAACATCTTTGAGAGAATGTTGATCTGTCTGGGTCCCGTTGCTGGACCCAGGTATTCACTTCCAACTCGTCCAGCATAGGGAGACCCTTGACCCCATCATGCACAGGGACTTGCACCACATATGGCTGTCTGCATCGTCCACCATAAAACAATCTGTCACACAACCAAAAGTAACGCTGCACAAATGTTCAGCGATGGTCAACAAACAGTAGTGCGACTCACAGGCCGACGACATTGCAATTCCTCTGTGGTAAATTTGACAGCTAAGTCTGATTCTTTGGTGAGAACTTCCACCAGCACAGTCCATCCGACTATGTACCATAATCACAGTTTGTGCCCTCATAGTTAACAGCCATTTGCTCGACCCTATATGCACATTCTTCATTCATGCAGTATGTGTTGAGCCTCTATTCGATATCGACCCCCCACCGCACAGAATCCTTGGCATTCCAGTCGACAGCAAGGCAGAACATGCTATTTGTCCCCTGGTGCCAAAATGTCGGACAAAGTTGCCCACATGGCCAACCAAGGAAGTTTGTACTTCTTTCCACTCCAAAGGTTTCGACAATCTCTCTGATGCTTCCGAGCTTTTTCCCGGCTTGCACATGCTCGCCTGTTTGACTTATCACTGTCAGTTGCTGCAGTGTCATGTCAAAATAGAAGGAAACTAGACCCCCTGCAGTCATCAAAATCATGTCTGCTGTAGACGGCGCATGCAAGATGATGTGCATAATGTCCATATCCACTCTGGTGGCACACACCATGATGACACATGAGTGATCCGCATATTTGCCGAATTGTGCTACAATTCCTTGCATCGCTTTGTGGCATCGCTTGGAGACACGGGGCAACTGCAAACCTGCAGTAATGAATTCATGCCACACATTGAACCCTGATGCTGGAGTTACGAGGTTTAAATCCCGAGGCTGAGTCTCTATTTCTCCCAATAACATTTGTAGCACACAAGAACCTGTGATGATTGACCCTGTCTGTCGCAACACCCTCAAGAAATCAGCATGCCTGTCACCAGTGAAAGGAATGATGATGTGTCTGAATCGTCGTTGAGTAACATCTGCGGCAAACAGCCTTAGCATGCGACATGTCTGTCCCATTTTCATAAGGTCTGGGAGATCGAGACTCTCCAACATGGTGTTTGCAATGTCTTCATTCTGGCAGACTAGTCTCATTTGCAACTGTATCAAAGAATGTGTTTGACTAACTCACATAGCATGGGGCAGATGATTGATGTTGGGCCCAACAAATACCAGTCGAATGAACTGGCACGCTTGCGTGATCAGTGATAACAAGTAGAGAGTGCCAAGCAGGATCGGTCCCATGTCAATCAGAATATGGAAATAAGCCATTACCTTAAAATGTATGCATTGCAAGACCTGCTAACGATCGAGCAAACATTTTTTTAGGAGTCACCCACCAATGTCTCACCCGGATCAAGCAGGATCAGACGATCAAGGAATGTGGTGCGCATGATGGCCACTTTACAACAGCCAATTGTATGACTTCCTGTATTGTTCGCCTCTCTTGAACTCTGCACAACTGTTACCTATTGTACATCTGTGTAAGACAAGATGATAACACCATCCGCAGCAGATCTCATCGACCTATTCGATGCCGAAGGGGCATTCATCTTTGGTAAGCCTGCCATTTATCTTGATGCCTCTCAGCTGATTAGTTGTAGTCGAACAGTGTGGAACAGATAAACCTAAGTTCCATGTCGTCAAGGCAAGCACCATCCTAGAGACAAACGATCACTTTCCTACCAAGCCCGACGCCGGTGCAATCATAGCTCCCGATATCCTGCACAACATGCCTGTCATGTTCACTGGTAGGTGTTTGTCGACCGCAGGGGATGGCACATATGCTGACCTTGACAAGACATGGTACGAACTATAGTGAATGACATCAGTGTGGTGATTGTGTATGCTTACACCGAAGAGCTTGCAAACCGCCTGGTCTCAGAGGCTGCCAAGCTCGACCACGCCCCATTTCTCTCAAGCAGTGGCCGTCTCATGGACACGATTATGCGGCACACAGCTAGCTAGAGAACTGATTGTAGCCTTGATGACACTGGTACAAGGACAGATGGTCGTCTGGACTGGTTTGGACGTGTTTGCCAAGCAGGGAACATCAATTTAGCGAGATGAACGGACAGGAAAAGTGTTACAAGACTAGATAGATATCAATCTGATGTAAGAAACACAGAAAGAATGCATAAGGGCCCGCGAGTGTTTCAGCCAAGCAGCTGAGAGGAAAGAGTCAGAACACGTGAATTGCACAGATGGGATGTGCAGCCTTGCCTTGATAGGGAGATTGGTACGGCAATACAAGATGAAGGTGACGACAACTCCTACTCTGGGCCACGACCGTATGCTAGTCAGATAAAGAAAGTTGTGAGGGGACCATTTCACCGCTTACTCCAATACCTCTGGCCCTCCCTTTCAGACAGGGATATCCCCCATCATACAAAGACTCGCGATGAAATTCTCGAACGGGCCAAGGTGGCCATCCAGCGTGTCAGAGAGAAGCTCAAGCACGTTGACAGTAAAATCTCCATCACCTTTGACTCATGGACGTCTGAACCGGGCGTGCCTTTCCTCTCTGTCACCACACATTATATTGACTCACCAGATGGGAAACCTCAGGAGTGGGAGTTGAAGAGCGAGCAGCTTGCATTCATGATCATCAACGGCAATCATAGCGGCAGCAACATTGCAAGAATTCTCATTGAAACTATCGACAAATACGACTTTTGCACCAAGCTTGGATGGTTCACTGCTGACAACGCCACCAATAACGACACCACGATTCAGACTGTCGCATTCACTATTGACCCTTCTGGTAAGGACTGGATTGCAAGCGAGCACCGTGTGTGGTAAGTCTATTTAATATGTCATTCTATATCTACTAACATCTACTTAGTTGTATGGAGCACACCTTACACTTAGCAGCCAAGCACTTCGTCGAGGACATCGCTCCCACATCCGCAAGTGCTCTCCACAAGAATGCAACCGAGGACAACAATGAATATGAAGAGACCACCGAGTTTGAGGTCGCTGACACTGTTGGGAAAGCGCTTGCATTCGTCACGCAGGTAAGTTTGTATCCATTGTCCAACTAGCTCTGTTTGATGAACCCTTCTTTCAGGTACGGAAATCTCCCCAAGCCCACACCTTCTTCCAAAAGTGCTGTGTCGAGGTCAACGAGCCCAAACTCAAGCTCTTAAAATGGATTCGCACTCGATGGGCCTCGCTGTTTGGCATGTTAGAGCACACCCTCAAGTTATGCAAGGTCAGTTGGTCACTGCTACTGCCCCTACAAAATACTAACTCTATCGACAGGGTGTGAATAGGTTTATACAGCTCGCGGACGATAGCGATGAAGTTCCGAACCTGCAGGGCAAGTCATATGGCACATTCAAGCTCTCGGCCGAGGAATGGAAGATGTTAGAGTTGATGCATGACGTGCTTCAGGTGCGTGCGCCGTCATTGATGAATTTCATTTTTTATTAACCTATTGCATTATCAGGAGCCTGCAAATGCTCAGCAAACGTTCTCTGCAACTTGCAAACCCACTGTATGGCGTGCAATCCCGGTGCTCGAATTCCTCCAACAAACATGGCAAAATATGGCCGCGTCTTCGAAGTTCGTTGACTTTTCAACTGCCATTGACTCTGGCATCGCCAATCTTCGCAAGTGGTACCACAAGATCGATGAAACCGATGTCTATTTCATTTGTCTCGGTACGTGTTTTAATTTTTTGATTAATATAATGCCCTATCTAATGTATTGTATCTAGTGCTTGACCCCAACTACAAGATTGCGTACGCGAAGAGTAAATGGGAGCCCCATGACTTCGACAAGGGCATGGAATGCCTGCAGATTGTTTTCGACAAATACTATCACCAACATTCCTTGCCGGACGCAGAGCCTGCTGTTGTGGCCCCTTCCTCTCTTTCACACCAAGGCTTGTACGGCCACAGTTGGATGTGTGACGCTGTTAAATCCCGTTTTGCGAGTGACACTGCAAGCCGAAGGCCTCGTCAAGAACTCGAGGACTACCTGGCTTCCCCACTCGAGGACATCAAGAACGTAGTAGCTTGGTGGGGTGTGAGTGTTTTTTTTTGATTCATTATTCCTTACAAGTTGACATAAATTGTTACGACTTGGATGGTATCTGTTGGCGACGCTCAAACAGAGCTTGTGTCGTCAACGGTCGAGGATGTCCTTGGGCTAGCCCAAGGTTAGGGGTCTTACTTGGTGAGGCTTCGGCAAGTAAGATTTGATGCCTAAGTCCAAATCGTGTAGCTTATGTCAAGCGGGTGCGAGACGATAAGCTATATCGGCCAAAGCTTACGACACCCGAAGGTTAATCGTAAGATCGTCATTAATTAGAAGGACAGAAGTCCAACTAGTTAACAGGGGCTTTGCTCGTCGACGAAGTCGATGAGTAAAGATCGAGACTATAGGCTTATCCGCGAGGAGCAGATAAGAAGATAGAATATAGACTGCTGGCGAGGCAGAAAGGATCACTCTGGTGAGAGTAGGAGGTCAAGAACCAAGTAGATTCAAGTTAGGGAATACAGTACATGGTAGCGAGTTTATATAGAGGACAGGAGACGTATTAGTGGGTGATAACTCGTACTACCAAGAGAGGCAATCAGTAAAGGGTATAACCATAACAGGAAGGCACATTCGTGTCGAGGTAGAACGTGCTGGATAAGAAAGTGAGTCAAAGATCGAAAATAAGAAGTGAAACGTGCAGGGGCATGATCGTGCAGCTGCGGAGCTAACTATAAGTCGCATGTGCGACTGCGCACTGAGTCAGAGATCAAGAAAGGGAAAAGGGCAAAGGGGATGCGTTGTGCATCATATCATAGGTTACCGTCCGGACGGTAAGGGCAAGGGGACTGTCCACAGGATCAGTCAGGTGGTGGAACAGAGCATGGGTATGCTTCGTCAGCGAAAGGATCCGGCCAGATGTACTGGCTTTGCTGAAGCGACAGGTAGAGGGCGAAAGGGAATGCGAGGATGACAAGGATAACAAGGGTGAGGTCGGGGTAAGGGTATGATGCGAGGGCTGATACCAGAAGGATGAGGAGAAAAATGGTAGGGGCCCAAGTGTCTAGATGTTCTTGTAACATAAATATTCTTAGCATCATTCAATTCAATATCCTACCATCTCTCGCATTGCTAAGGACTACTTAGCTATTCAAGGCTCCGCTGTTGCATCCGAACGAGCTTTTTCAAGCAGCGGGATCACCAGTACTTCACACCACAACTGTTTGTTGCCATCGACTTTCGAGGCCCTTCAACTATTGAAGAGTGGGTATCGTCAGGGCCATATTTCCACGATGGCTCAAGCTGAGTTTGCCGCAGCTCGTGAATGCTTTGTCGTGGATATGGTGTAGTTAGTAGCTACTCATCAATTTTTTCATGTCGCGCTCAAATTTTTTTGAAATTGATATTATTGTGTTCAGATGTTCGAACACGTTCTGAACTCGAACCGAACATTTGCGAACACGTTCATAAGGGTCCGGTCCAGTGTTCACTCTCCTTGCCTGAACAAGACCCAAGGTTCGGTTCTAGGTTCGACAAAACACCCTCAAGAACCGGACCACGGCAGCACTAGTCACAGTCCTCGAGTACTGTATCACTCGTCCACTCTTGTTGGGCCATAACACCGAACCTCGGTATAAGATGAACACTGCACTCAATGTCAGCAATCGACACAATACTAGCCATGGTGTCACCATCGCGCAGTGAATGCGAGACTTTATATAGTCCGCTATTGCGGTCTGGAGCTGGCAAAAATGGTGTGAACCACTCAACATATGCAAGGTGAGTAGGAAGACGGATTGTTGGTGGGAAGAGCAGTGGGATGAACTTTGGTGGTAAGGTGAAAATGACTCGAACTTGACCGACACGGAATTCTATGATCAGTACAAAGTAAGTATTACATAGTAACACTGACTGACAGTTTACACACCTCGAAGATCCTTCAAATTCGCACCCAGCCTCACTAGAGCTGTATTGGATCGGTGAGCAATGACATGAGAGCCAAACTTGCGTTGTGGTTTTGCATGGACACTGTCCAAAGTAACGTGTGCATTGCCATGGCCGCAGGCATCAACCGAGCACCACTTGACCTTATGAAAGACAGGCAGTCGATGGAACGGAAAATGGATGTCGTGTGCCAGTACATCGAGTGCGCGACCGTGAAGTGGTGTGGGATCATTTCCTCGACTCTGCTGAGCAATATAGCGTGCAAGGGCATCTCGAAAATGAGTAGCACCATAATCCGTAGCCAGCATTTCGAGGCTGACGGACTTTGTGCAGGGGTGTTTCACCATGACTTGTTTATGACTGAATGTCATATCTGGTGGGCGTGAATGGTAAGGATCCAACTCATGGCTACCAGCGAGTCGCCAACTAACATATTTTTGATGTCTTAATACTTTCTCCTTTTGTTCAAGCCAGCGGGTCATTTGGGCAAACTCGTCCTTGTGATTCGTAGCGCGGTAGGCATCTTTCGCCAAGTCGATATGGAGCCGTTCTGTGTACTCTGTGTTATAATTGTCAGTTGAGCCGAACTGCATGATTATCCGAGGATAGTGACAAGCAGCATGCAACTTCAGTAGGTTAAAATTGGTTCGAATGCCGAGATCGATGAAAATGAGCTTGTTCTCATGAAAAAGGTCTAGCACCTCGTCCAGTAACTGAAGGGTCTCGGTACTCACCTGATGTTAGTAGACGGATATATCATTATGGGCTATAGCCCTAAAACTGGAATACATCCCTTGGTTCAACTATCCATTGACATGATACATCACTGTAGGCTAATTATCCATCTATCTTCCATCCAAGAGCCGGCACATTTGTTACTTTGATGGCGGATGCCCGGCCAATGTCTAAGTTGAGCAACTTGAGCATTTTCTGAGAATCTGAGATCCAAATGTTGATTCATTGAAGATGTCACTATGTATGAAGGTACAGAAGCTACTAATCAACCCCATCGAGATCTTCGTGTGGGGGTTCATCAATAGAAGGTCTGTCGTCCTGCTCACCTTCTGCACCATAATCCAAACCCGCACTTACTAGGGCTCCCACATCCCTCCACATTCCCGAAAAGCTTGCAGACAAGCTGCGACAGATAGAAGCCTGGCAGTTTGCATATGCGATCAGACCTTCCGCATATTCTGACCGCTCTACCATGCGAAGGGTTGCTCGCTCGTCCCACTGTCTGGCTTCCCATGCAAGAAATGCCAACACGCGCTGCATCTCGACCAGTAATAGCTGTATTTCTTCTTGCCACCGGTTATGTCGGGCCCTTGCCTTACACCATTCGATGCGGAGTGCTAAATCCACCGCAGAGTAAGTCTGTCATCTTCAAACAAAAACAGTGCTGCATGATCACTTACTGTCTTGCAGCCCCTCGCTGTCATGCGAAGAGATCCCATGAGTAAGCCAGATCCACGGCATAATTGCTGTGCCCAGAGTTTGTCCCCCAAGATCACCTATTGGTCTGAGGTCCGTCTTCTTCAGTGGTTGTAGGCCGCGATCCCACCCGACATGATCAACGTGCCTCGACAGGCAGACCAATGCGCTACACGCATGCAAATATTTATCATGGCTGAGGACTAGTGATGGCCAGGTCCGGTTCTGAACTGCGGTTCGAACCTGACTGAAGTCCGGTTCAAGGTTCGGGCAATAGGGAGGACCGAACCGTTGGTCCGGTCTGCGGTTCGGGGACGTGCAGAATTGCAGAACCGGTTCTGAACCGGTTCGAACATGTTCGAACCGATGGCAAGTAAGTATGTAGTTTAAGTGTAGTACTTATAGGCAGAGATGACGAAACATTTGGTATCCATGTCGTACATAATGCAAAAAGAACAGTTCGGAATGCATCAGCATAAATGAGGGTAGAATCACCAGTAACTGTATCATGGGCACTGGATGAGCTGTGGTGGCAGTGGAATAAATGCCTGAGAAGTGTGCTTCTTTGTGGTTCTGAGGAGTGATAGCGATGACACATGTAAGCTGGTGAGACTCCATCAAAAAAACCATGGGGTACCTGACGAGCAGGTGGACGTTGTTGGACCGGAGGTCATGTAGGATCGATCACTATGACATTGTTTAGATGTGTGATTCTCTGCTCCGGAAGGAAAATCCAGGAAAATGAGAGAAAGAATGCAAAAACAAAAGACATGCAATTACAAATGAGACCATACACAGGAAAGCTGTAGAAAGTCTTCGCATTGTCTGGAGGCAGCAGCTCATAAGTCATGCTGCGATTGTACTCCTGTACGATGCCTGGGTCTGATTCAGAACATGCAGGTGCCAATGCAAGCCAGGAGACTGCAAGTGCTGAGCATGAGTACTAAGTGAGTGAAAGTAGCATTTAGTATTACATGATGCATCTGTTGTTGGGTGTGTTTCAATATAATTTTTCTTGACTGAAATTTTGATATATAGTTTGGATGGTCCGGTTCTCGGTTCGAACCCTCACTGAACCAGAACCGGACCATTTTCAGACCGAACCGATGTTCTGGTCCACGGTTCTGCTTACTAGGAGAACCAAACTGATGGTCTGGTCCACGGTTCTCCTAATTTCCTGGAGAACCTGGACCGAACCAGGACTTTTCCATCACTACTGAGGACTAGCCAGGTCGTCAACAGCTTGTACAGGTCTTCCGTGCCTGAGTATTGGCACATTGTCCATGTAGGTGCTGGCTTTTGAAATGCAAGAGCTGATGGCGAAGGCATATATGGGATCAGCACTCGTCCAGGGCGTCATGTGCCTGTGCAAAACGCAATGACCATTCTATGTGAAGCAGTTTTGGATCACACTGGTGCATAGCTGCAGATGTCGGAAGGAAATAGCAGCTGAAAGTCCTCAGGTTTGACAGAATTGGGCCTCGGCCTTGGACATCCGCTCTCTTTGTCATCACTGGGTGTACGGTTGAGGCCGGTAGCATTAGTAGCACGGAGTTGAGAGACAGATGGCATGTATAAGAATTGAATCTTGGTCCATGCTTTAATATGATGTTGGAGACTATTGCTGTGTGCTAGGATCTTCATTTGCTGTTCATCTGTTGCATGTTGACCTAAGCTCCCATTATCTGCATGAAGCCGTCGTCTAGAAAACAAAATTAGTGTAGTATCGCTTGAATTCACTTGCCACCTACTGTACATGCTCAATATCCAGACCCGTGCTGATGAGAATGCTCGGCGTCAGATCAGAATGAAGTGAAACCGAAAATCTGTCCTCTAAATCTTGCGCATCTTGCATTAGTAGCTCTAGACGAATGGCCACCTGTGTTGTGGCTGAACTTCCCATGAGACTATAAACAACTTGAATGAAGGCCAACAAAATTACCTGCAACCCTGCTCTCAAACGGATTCGGATTTGAGTGGTCTAGCTCCCATGCTAAGACTTCGTTTGTCCAATTTGTGAGTGAGGCAATGCCTAAGTCTGATTGCTTGATGGACTCTTCCAACTCCGTAAGGGCATCGCGATGTTCTGTTTTGGCTTTGACAGCTTCCTTGATCTTGCGGAGTAAGATGTGACCTTTAAAAATACATTGCTATAGTTAGTTTATGTCAATGAGATGACTGCTGCAAAGATGTACCGAATGCAATCACTTTCTTCCAGTTCCAATCGCCGAAATGGTTGTCAAGAACTTCGCGACGACTACTGGGCCCCATTTCCTTTGTACTTGCAGCGATGCAGTTTATATCAGCCCATCCGCGTTCTGGCACTTCCCCGTCTGTTCAACTGACTCTCGGTGTCCAGTTGAAGGAGAAATTCATTTGGCAAGCGGCGATATGAGCAGCAATATGAAACTTCGGCACAAAGAAGTTGAAGGTCGTGTGCGCGCGATTGGGTTAGAGTTGCGAAGGAAGGGTCGAGACATGCTGCCAGAGCTTCTTGTGCCACTGGCAGGCAATATCATAGGAAAAGTTGATTATGGGAGTGGACGCAAAAGCAGACAGGGCAGAGAATACGATGTAATCCATATTCATATATCTGATGGAGGCATGAGTACCTGTAGCAATGGCATTGATAAAATTACTCACTTTTTGCCTCTTTGCAAATCTCCAATGCCACTTGCCAGCCACATGTCGTGCTGTGCACAAACGACTGAGCCTACGCCAGTTGCCGCAAGCCCTTTGGAAAGCTTGGTATCTGCCATGTTGATGGCATTGTGGCTAATGCACATGCTCTTCTAAAGCATGTATTAGTACGCCATGATATAAGTGAAGTTGAAATAACAAACCTCTTGCCTGACATCTGCATGATCACGAAGGTATGTCTTGTACTGTCCTTCTTCCACAAAATACCCCCATCCGGGACTGAGCCCAGGGTCCTTGATATCGTTTGACATGAGACGACACTTAAGGCAAAAATTGGCGTCAATGGCCAAGAATAGCGAGTAAAGCCATCTGTGTAAAACAGTAAGTTAATGATTGAATGAGTAGACAGAGGAAAAAATACTGTTCATTTGATCTGACATGTGCTAAGTCCTCAGGGACATTTTTTCCGAGCTGTGGACAGGCAGGGCACAGGACTGCAAGTTGTCCTTGTTGCATTGCATTAACTCCCGCAGGGTCGTGACCACGACCTGATCGTTTCAACGACGTGAGATTCCACCACTGTCTCATGATCCTTAAAAAGACAGTAGCAGTCCTGTATGGATAAATCAGTCAGTAACTAAGTAAGAAACAAGTGTCAGTCACCTTGATAGGCTTAATGCCTGTGTTGTCGCTTTTACGTGCAAGGCAATGATAAAACTCATAAGCCGACACTCTAGACTCAAACAAAAGGAGGTGGAAATGTTCAAGAACTGCAAATGTTGCTGCAGTCCTCAGATCTGTTGAAGTTGATGGAAAGAAGCACCCATGCAAAAGTTGTCTGTAGTGGGATGGTGCATTCGCACAGCTACAGAAGTCGAGCGCGACCTTGTGTATTCCATGGATGTCGATTACAACAAAATTGTCCTCTCATGCGGGTTTGGGATTGTGGCAGGACTGGCCAGTGTGATCTCCTAATTGGATGCGCAGGCCAAGGTGTTTTAAAGTCGTAGAGTGAAAATATCTGTCCTGCCATTGCTACGATAGTGTTGTCAGAGAAAGGTACACCAAGTTGCTAGTAACCAAAATGCGAACCTACCTTGACTCGATGAAGTGGTACATTCTGGTGGAATTTGATGATGCCCAGATGGCAAAATAAATCAACTGAAAAACAATCCTCACAATGATATGATGTGTCCAAGTCCCCACAAGCATGGCATGAATGATCAGCCTTCCCACACCCTTCTAATCAAATCAACTCATCTAGGTAATGTGATCGTTCTGAGGTCCAGACGCGCATCAGATAGTCCTATCATGGAAAAAGACAATGCAGAAGTCAGGTTTAGTTGAATAAAAAAAGGGAAATGTCGCTCACTTTAACCATCTGCTTTTGTTTTTCAGTCAGAACATAGATCTCATGAGGTTCAGCGTCAAGAGATATATAGGTCTCATTCCAGGGATCAGTCTCGCAGCAGTCAGCGCCAACATCATGAGTCTCTGAGACGTTGTCCACCAGTAGGACAGCATCAAGATATCTTGTCTCCAGGTTGATTTGTCCGGTAGGTTGAATTGTGAATACTCGATGGTGGTGGACATTCTGGGAGGATTGTCCAGCAGAACCTGGGACAGGATGTCAAACAACTTGAGGCTTCTTGCTGGGACGGCCGCCTGCTCCAGCCATGATTGTGAGTGAGAGTAAGAGCTAGTGTTGTCACATGGTGCAATGTGCTGTTGATATCACGTAAACTGTGCCGACTTCAAGTGTAATAAAACTTACTAGTATATTAGGTGAGAGAGCTTAAGACGAGGCATTGATTTGTATGAAAAGGAATTGTTGTAGGCACTTGTGGATTGAGACAGGCAAGTTATGAGTTTTGGTCGGACCGCAAGTCTTAGTATTGATCACTTCTTATGGGTGTTAACAGTTGTACTAGTAGTGCGACCATTACAATTTATGAAGACCATACATATACTACCTATTTAAAATAAATCTCATAAGTCTAGAAGGTGGCGGCCCACCCAGTACTACGTTCCTGCATGCATTTTACTATGTTAATATCAATATGGTTCACTCAGAGACAACATCAATATATTTATTATGGTTGGACTCCCTGAACATGTGAAAACCTGAGCTTCTTTGAGCTCTGCTTCTTTTCAACTTTTTCTGAACCTATACCACTACAATTTCAATCCTAGTCCTCCAATGATGGCATGTCCAACTATTCACAAACGGTGCAAAAAAGAAAGGAGGCTGCACGAGAAAAGCACAGACACTACTATGCCAAGTATGTCATAATTTTATTAATTGTTCCCGATGCTGTTCCTGACACCTAGAGACATAGAGACAAAATCTTACAACGGCGGAGGGCACATGGTGGAAAGAAACATGACAAGGAAGCAGAGGCGATATCAAAAGAGATCTTGAGAGCTGTGAGGATGATGACGAGTCTGAATCAGACTCTGACAATTCCAGTGACGATGATGAAACTGACACACTGTAAGTTCTATTCTGTTTTTAAAAATAGAAATATGAATTGAAATGAAAAATTAATGTCCAACAGATCCAATCTTCCGGTATGCTTACTCACCATCAAAGTCACCAAGGACGACATGATCACATTAATTGGTGCCGACCCCTGCGAGTTCGCCAAGGAAAAGTTGGGCAAGTACGTCAAGAGCATCCCAGATGATTGCAGTACAAAGGGTGATATCTCTATCATCGTGAACTCAACCGGCGAGATTGAAAAACTACTCAAGCATGTGATTCGTGCACAAGACAAGATCCTAAATTTCTGTGGTATCTCACCTGAGTGGCATGCCGCTGACGTGGTCTCTCGATTCTTGAAGACCACAGCCGCATACTTGGAGGACATTCAGCTTCTTGAAATGTCCGGAGGAATTGTGAAGCTTACAACAGCACAATGGTTGGGGGAACTAATGTATCAGAGGGACATCAGGATTTGATTAGTACCATACATAATTCGCGTCTACATACATTGAGCCAAAATACAGCTGCGAGCTCCTTCCAGCACAAAAAAGTACATTTGGGGGCCCGTGCATGGGATGTTTGAGAGCAAAATATCGAACTATTATCATTCAATTCGTGCTACATAAGTATACCCATCCCACGATTGTGTGAGGCAACGTACATGAACATTTTAATGACAGTGCTCATTGCATAACAATTAATGTAGATGGCACCCCGGAAATGGAGCACTCCTGAGCAGGAGGCATGGCTGCATCCTTGGTATGAGAAGTACCGCGCAAAGCAATCAGACTGAGCCAAGAACTGGGCAAATTTCTTTACTGACTTGTTGGGGGAGTGGCTTGATGTATTCCCTGAGCCAAGGCCAGCTACAGTGCCACCTATCGGGCCGCTGACCAGGGACAAGCTTGTGATCATGGATCAGGCTGAAGCCAAGCGAAAAAAGGTGCATCATCACCGCAAAATGTCCTGTTGAAACAATCATGTTAATAGATGCTCGCAGAAATTAGAGAACCGTTTCAAAAATAGCCTCAGGTCTATGAAGATGGGACGGCAAGCAAAGGCTGAGGCAGCAAATGTCTTCAATGCGGTGCTGAAGAGTGTTACCGAATGTGAAAAGCCGACACGTTCCCTTCAGGAAGTCAAGGCGTATTCCAAACTTTACTACCAGAGGCGTGTAAAGGTCATGGTTGATGACAGACTAAAGGCAGAAGCTGAGGTGCTACAAGCCGAGAACAAGGCACTTACTAATGGGATGCGTGTAGCCATTGCCAAAAAGGTGGCAGCGAACCTCTTCGAAGGAGAGACAAATGAAGTTAAGGCGGAGGTACGGAAGTACATCGAGGATGCGAAGATGCATAGAGACAACGAGAAGGAGGGAATGTGGAGCGAAGACAATTATGGGAGGTAATGATTCATGAATTCTGACATGTCAATAAGCTGACATGACTTCACAGAAATATTGAAAAACTCGCCACTATGGTCAATAAATTCTTGACCGGACTTGCGGATGCGACAGGGTTTTCGTTCTCCCTCCTCGCAGGTGACCCTTCTCCAGAGCTTGGTGGATTGATTGATGTCTATAGGTAAGTCATCCATATTTATCCATAGCATTCAGTACTCACCTCAGATACGAAGTTTTCATGTAGGTCAAACGAAGTATGGGAACAACTTCAGTCAAACATACCCAGAATTTGAGAGCACTATTATGGCTCCTTTCAAAGACTATCTGCACAGAGTTTATCATAAGTTTGTTGTAATCACTGATAGAAACCGACTTACCAATCCATCAATAGCAGAGGCCACAGCAACTTTGAAGGCGAGGCTAGGGAGTGCAAGC